ACGGACAGCGAAGAATATGATTCGACAAAAGGAAACGTCACCGAAGAACCGACCGATGCAGTTACAACAGAAAACGAACAAGATTCAGAACACGACGTTGAAGAAGCTTACCAACAATCAATCGAGTACCATGTACAAGCGTTTACCTACCGACAGCAGTCAATCATGGACGATATGCCAATGCTATCCGAAGAATCCGACACAGAAGAAAGTCTTGTTTCAGATTCCGACAGTGATTACAGCGTCGATTATGAGGAACTGTTTCAGCCCAGTCGACGACGAACCTATTCCAAATACGACTCCTACTCCGATTCTGAAGAAGAACTATACTGCGTGCAAGTACGAACGAAATTCAAGCCCGTTGCAAAGAAGATCAAGCCCGTAACACAACCCTTGCCCGGAGGCATTCGACCTGAAGCATTACCCAGACCTACGATTACCGAGACACCAGCCAGAAGTACCGTACGCCAAAACCGATTCAATGGACAAGAACACTTGCTTACGTTTGGAGACAATTTGACTACCGAAGAACGAGCTGCGATCTTATGACTATTGCGCAAATACGACATGGCTTTTGCTTCCGACGACAGCGAAAGAGGAACATTGAAGCCACACATTGAAGAACCTGTCAAGATTCATACGATTCCGCATACGCCCTGGATGGTTAAACCACACCGATTACCCCCACAGATGACAAAGATCGCAACAGACCAACTCCGAACGAAATGAGATGCAGGACTGTTGGAACCTTCATTTGGACCCTACCGCAACCCCTGGTTCTTAGTTCCCAAGAAGAACGGGACTTATCAATTTGTACAAGACATACAGATGCTCAATAGCGTGACAATACAAGATGCCGGATGTGCGCCGATCGCAGAAGTTTTCGCTGAAGAATTTGCTGGACGTTCGATTTTGTCTATGGCAGACATGTATTCCGGATATGATCAAGTACCCCTACACCCCGAATCAAGAGACCTTACAGCCATGCTTACGCCGTTTGGATTATACCGACTTACCCGACTCCCTCAAGGAGGAACTAATTCAGTAGCTCAATTTCAACGAGTAGTCGACAAAGTTTTCGAATTCCTCAAGCCCGACATCGTCAGCGTATATGTCGATGATACCGGCATTAAAGGGCCGAAATACCGAGACGAAACACACGTGAAACCCAAAATTCGCGAATTCGTACAAGACCACATGGACGACTGCGAGAAAGTATTTATTCTTATGATCGATTCAGGACTCACGTCTTTCAGCGAGAAATCAAGCTGGGGAATGTCGAAAGCAAGTTTCGCAGGCATAGTCTGCAGTTACGACGGAAGAGCACCCAAACAATCAAAGATCCGAAAAATCACCAGCTGGCCCCCTTGCCAGAACCTGACCGAAGTACGAGCATTCCTCGGACTTATTCTATTCTACCGCGCCTGGATCAAAGATTTCGCTAAGAAAGCCGACGCCCTGTATAAGTTGTACAGGAAAAACGCTCGATTCGAATGGACGACCAAGCAACAGACCTGTATGGATACGTTAAAACAAGAATTTGTTGCTGCCAAGATATTAGCTGCGCCGAACTACGAAGAAGACGCACCCCCGTTCATTATTACGACCGGTGCTACACACATTTCGTGGGGAGCGATCCCGAAGGAAGAGAAAGACCGATACAATTCGAAAGTGGATTGTTTACCGAACAGCAACGAAATACCTACCCAATAGTCAAACTCGAATTACTTGGAGCCTACAAAGGAGTTCGCAAACTACGAACTTACGTTTGGGGCAGACGTTTCAAGCTCCAAATTGACGCCAAACCCTTGATTCAACTACTACGAAAACCCGAATTCCCCGACAGCACCATCATGCGATGGGTAGCACAGTTAATGCTATTTGACTTTGAAATCGAACATATCAAAGGAGAGAAGAACCCTGCGGACGGACTTTCGCGAAAACCTCGAGCAGACGATGACACCGACACTGAAAATGAAGCCTCCGACGATTCGGAAATGCACGTATTACGAGTCAACTCAGCCACGACCGAATGGAAAAGTGATTTGAATGAAATTCGCCAATACCTGACCGATATGACCGTACCTACGCGATACAAGTACCCCAGCCAACGAAGAAAATTCCGAAACCGATGTACCCGATACGCTCTACAGAATGACAACCTATTCTTACGAAACGGAAGATTGAAACCACTCCTGCGAATCATCGAAAATGAACAAGATCAAGAAGAAATTATCCGATTCATGCACGAAAGCAAGGAAGGAGGAGGACATCAAGGCATCCTTGCGACATTCTAAAAGATACGACAACGCTACTACTGGCCAAGACTGTACAAAGAAGTAAAGGCCTACGTACAATCCTGCCACAACTGCCAATTCAGAGACCCGCGACGTGAATTTGAACCGCTTTGCATCGAAATTGGAACGACACGACCCTTTCAGAAATGTGGACTAGACTTCGTATTTATCAAGAAAGGAACGAACGCAAATGAAGGAGGAATGATTTTACGAGACGACGCAACCGGTTACCCTGAAGGACGAATAATCAGAGGCAAGCTGACTGCACACAAGATTGCTGCGTTCTTATATGAGGAAGTATTCTGCCAACACGGACCGATCAAAAACCTAGTATCCGATGGTTGACCCGAAAACGTCACCGAAATCATACGACATCTTACCGAGCGATACGGTGTCAAACACTGAATCATGACTGCATATCACCCGCAAGCGAATGGATTAGTAGAAAGAGGACACGCCCCGATTATCGAAAGTCTTATTCGAACCACATCGACTCCGACAGAATGGCCAACCGTATTCCCTGCTGCATTATGGGCAGATCGAGTTACCGCGAAAAGAACGACACAGTTTACACCCTTCTCCCTGATTTATGGAAGAGACGCCGTACTACCTATGGAACTTACGTACAAAACATGGATGACAGTACCGAATCTTCAACAACCCATGGCAACCGAGACACTTTTACAACACTGCATCGAACAATTCCGATACAGAGACAAAGACCTGAAGCTAGCGACAGAGCAACTAATCGCAAGCCGAAAAGCAAACAAGAAGTATTGGGAGAAATGACACCGAATTAGAAACCGACCTTTCGAACCCGGCGACATAGTTCTCCTGCACAACACGAAACTATTGACTCAACAAACCGGCAAGACTGACAACAAAGGGTTTGGACCGTACAGAATTACCAAATCCAATGACAACGGCTCGTATTATATCGAAGAATTAGACCAGACACCGATACGCAAACTTGTAGCCGGAGACTGATTGAAGATATTTTGAACTCGAACTCAGACACAACCGATAATCGACGACAATACCGAAGATGAAGAAGAAACAGATGAAGAAAACAACATTACAGACGAGAATTGATGAGGACATCAATATTCGACAAAAGGAAAGATGTAGTTTTGCGCTTCGAACTGCGCATGAAATCGTTAATATTCCGACGCCGATTATACGCCTAGAATCTTCGACGAGCGAATGAAATCACCTTTATACGACAACGTCAAAGTACCGTCAAAACTTCCGACAATAAATCGACACACTCGCGTTCCCGACACTCGGACGATTACCAAATACAGCTACCTTTACCGAAACCTTGCTTCACAATAACGTTTTGTCCTCGGATACGACTGGCATGCGAAAAATGTAGGCGTAGGAGAGGATCTCACACATGAAAGCACCCCCCGACCCGACTCCCAACCAACCAGAAGCTCGCACGACGCCCGAAACACTGAAGAAATCATGTGCGAAATGAGAAAACCAATTTCTGGTGGCCGTATACGCCGAACGTTGCAGAAAACCCCAAGAAAAGTTTAGCGATAAGACTGTATCAACGCCAAAATTGCGAATGGAAAAAGGAAAAACTATGTAGACCGCCGCAGGAAAAGAGAAAAAGACCCCGACGTAGCTAAATCCTCTAGAGACGACTAGTAGAGAGGGTCAAAATCGCGGCGGAATTAATTCTACTGCCTACGTTCAACATCTGACCACTCACCTGTTGCGATGTGGCAAAACCTCGACATTATCATTCCTAATCTGCTTTTTATGCAGGATAACGCTCCGATACACACATCTGCCGAAACCCGTCGATTCTTTCAAGCACACGGGATTGAAGTCATGCCCTGGCCTGCGCAGAGCCCGGACCTCAATCCCATTGAGAATCCGTGGTCACTGATAAAGCGGGAAGTATCAAAAGCAAACCCGGCTGTACCGTCGTTGGATGGAATTATTCAGCAACTATGGCCTACAATGCATAGACATTTGGATAGTTTGGTGGCATCCATGCCGTCGAGAATGGCAGCAGGCCGTCGAGAATGGCAGCAGTCATAGCGGCAGAAGGGGGAACCACCCGGTATTAGATTAAGTTCCAATACCCCAAGATTAAGGATGATGAGGTCTTAAGTCGCAGATTCAATTGTCGTAGCTTCTCGCTATGATGATGCTGATGATATGCGCTGATACTGACTCAATCTTGGACACGGGTGTAATGGTCACTGAGACCAGCGGGAGAAACGAGAGCGCAACGCGAGTGCCCAAATCCAGGCTGCCCCTCAAGCGATTGCGGAAGTGCCTAGAGCCACCGGCAACCTCCAAAAAGCACTGGCAGAATGCTGCCCAGCAAAAGTCAAGCTAACAATCACGCCTGGCCATGCCGGCAGTGGATACCACGCCTGGCTGTGCCGGCAGTGGTCATAGCTCTTCTAGTTGCAGGGCAACAGTGCCATTGCATTCTATGGAAAAAAGTTTGGCAATTGCCGGAGGATCTTGGGCTGGGGAGAGGAGAAAACGACCCGGGTGCTGTAGCCTGTGAGTCACGGCGGACGCGCCGACAGTGGACACTGACTTAATCTTGGGGGGGTCGGAGCTGGGTCGGAGGTTTATGGACACTGGCTGTACGCGTCAACCGCGCGTCGATCTCGAGTTTCGACTTTCAACGTTTCCCAACGGGCAAAACTCCATCGGTCTCGATGCAAAGAAGCAGAACTGTTTTGACTTTACATTGGGGGACTTCACAAAGTCTATGTACATGCACATGTAACAAATAGATAACAGAATGCGGCAACACGAACTGTGCAGGGGGATGTGTAGCGGCTGCGAGCAAACTAGCTGTCCGTCGCTGATGCCGGAGCCACGTGTCCCATCTCAGCTCCGGAGGATGATGATATTCTCCTCCTACTCCACTGATGCCTGTCGATTTCGAAAGGTTTGGGGTAAATTGCCCGCAATCCTTAGACAACTGAAACATCGATCGGTTTCCCTTTTCCACTTCTTCCACCGGGTATATGCATCGTGTGGGACTCAGTTGCATCCCTGGCAAGCAAGCCACCGAATGATCACGGTATGATCTCGCCTAAATCCTCAAGACTCTTCTTGCAAACAAACTGATGATGGTGACGGGCAGGTGTGTGCGCGATGCTGAGCCCGGTTGTCCAACAGCTAGGACAGGTCCTAGCGTCCTTCATTGCGGCCCTCGCACACTAGACCGCCCCTACCCAACGTCTTCCCTGATCCCCCACATCTCGTTCCCTCCCAGCCTCAACCAAAGCGTCATACAGATCCTGAATGAGCAGCGGTTTCGTCAGGTAGCTCCTCATCCCGATCGCGAGACATTTATCGCGGTCCTCGACCGAGGCGTTGGCGGTTAGTGCGACGATATAGGGTGGTCGCGAGGACGTTGTGGGTTTTTGGAAATGCTCCATGATCTTTTCGCATGTTTCGTGCCCGTTCAGCCTATAATGGTCATGGGAAGGGGTAAGTCAGCGCCGGCCCGCAAACGGAGAAGCATGGATAACACCACGCCTTGATACTACTCGGCGCGAGGACTGATACTTTACCCAGGCATAAACATATCAAGGAACAAAATATCGTACATCCTCCCTTTGGCATCCGCTTCCAACACCGCTCGCACAGCTTGCACGCCATCAAGCGCATGTTCGACCGAATCGTCCCGATACCCAAACTTCCCCAAGAACGTCCTAACGATCCGCGCGTTCAAAACATTGTCTTCCGCAAGGAGGATCTTGAACGGTAGGCGAGCCGAGAGGTCTGGACTCCATTTGCGCTGGCGTTGGAGGGTCATACGAGTTCCGTTGGGCGAGGTTGCCTGGCCGTTTGCGGTGCTTTTCTCAGAGATTGGGCACTTGAACTTGAAGGCCATTGTTGCGCCGCGCTCTTGGGAGGGCGGCTTCACCCAGATCTTGCCGCCCATGAGGCCGACTAGGTGATGGGCGATGGTGAGTCCGAGACCGCTATTGAGAGGTTGCGAACGAATAGATTGGCATTAGCATGTGCTCATCGTAAACAGGTTGAGTGGCGGTTAGAAAGGGAGCGTACCTGCCCTGGGCATGCTTTGCCTTTGTGCTGTCCAACTGGACGAAAGGCTTGAACAAGCGCGCAGCTTCCTCCGGTCCGATTCCTGGCCCGCTATCCTGCACTTCGAATTGAAGTTCGACTTCTCGAGCTTCCGTGCCTCCGCAAAAGAGTCCGGCGCAAGCTTCATCTTCGAGACGGATGCATCGTATGACGACTTGCCCTTCATCAGTAAACTGCGAGTCATGTTAGGGTGAGTGAGGTGGTAGAAGCACTTTTGATATCCTTTTCACGACGCCTCTTCAACCAACCTTATACCCGTTCGCCGCCAAATTGATAAGTATCTGCTTTAACCGCGACTTATCCGCCATGATCGACTCAGGCAGCCCTTTCCCAACCTCCCACTTGATCTCGACCTTCTTCCTAGCAATAGCAGGACCCGCGAGTGGACTGACTGAGTCCGACGGCGATTGGTTGATCTGAAATGTTCGTCCTAGATCGGTTGGTTGCACCAATTTGACGACCTCTTCCAAGAGTGCAGGCACATTAACAGGCGTGGGTAAGAGCGTTATCGAGGAGCCCATCTCGATCTTGGTCACGTCTAGCAGCTCGTTGATTACGTCGAGAAGGTGGCTCCCTGCGTCGTTGAGAGTGCTCAGGAGTTCCTGTTGCCCCGATGTTAACGGGGTGTCCTGTAAAAGCTGAGCCATTCCGAGCACCGCGTTCATTGGGGTCCTGACTGGAAGCAAACAACATACACCTTCGTGAGCCACATCAGCGAGGCTAACAACACACCGCCATTCAACTCCTCAACACTTACGTTCATGACTCATATGTGAGATGAAATCCGTTTTAGCATGATTAGCCGCCACTGCCACTTCCTTAGCTTCCGTCAATTGAGCCTCCATCTTCAACCGTTTGATCTCCGCGCCCGCTCTCTCCGCAAACACACACAACCCAACCCGAACGTGCTCGGCGCTGCCGATAACCCCCAACAGTCCGGGCCGATCATCGATCATGCCAATAACGCCGAGGTACTCTCCCGTTTCGGTGTCGAGGATGGAAACCGCAACGAATGATTGCGGCGCTCGGTCGAGCGTCTGCCATGCGGGATTGTCTGGGAATAGGTCCATGACGCCATCTGGGATCGATACCACTGATACAAGTATAGATGCAAACAGTAAGCATCGCAATCTGCTAAACAGCGTGTTACATTCCATCCGAAATGCTGCGTACCGTTGTCATCAAGCGTGTAAACGCATGGGGTATCCGCAATGTTGTATTCCTTTCCTTCTACTTCCCGGATATACCCGTGATCTCTATGATAGAAACCACAATACCTCAACCTAGTTGGCCGAGTGCCGGCGCTCTCGCCCCCCGGAGTCGATTGATGTGGTACGGCCATAGCAATCCAGGCATAGCAGAAGCCTGACCTATCACAGTTGGAATAGCAGCGGGTTGAGTGAAGAGCCTGATACTGTGATTAGTGGCTGGAGTGCAGCAGCAGGACGCACCAGTTCGATACGCTACGGAGCATCGTCGCAAAGAAATCGTGACCAACAGCCCGAGCGGCGTTTTGATATATTTTCTGCAATCTTTTCTCGAAATCAGGCGCTGCAAAGTCGATACTGGTTTGCGAAGACCCAAGGTCGGCTGCTGAGTGATGTCGGCCCAACGCCGAATTGGAGGGTTTGCTGCTAAGTCTGGAGAGCGGCGTTACGATGCGCGCGCATAGAAGAATTGCTTTGATGCCGGAATCGGTCGATCCCCGGTTGCCGCGATAATATACGGGGTAAGACTCGACGTCCGATGCGATTATCTCCCCGGTCTGCCGCCGGACGGGTAAGGTAAGTATGGGAAGGGGATCATTTGCCGATAAAAGGCAAACCACCCTAACACAAACAGAAAGCTTAGACAGACCTTCTTTTTGAAATGCATCAATCTATCGGTGAAGGTTTTACTCTCGTCAGTGTCCCCGACTTGTAGTAGATGCTTAATCCACGCAAGCGTCTGAAGCTGCTCGGTGGCATCATCATCCCGCCCAGCGACTACTTGGTGAATCCCGTTATTATCGAACTGCTTCAGATCCGCCATCGCATAACCCAAAGCAGCTTCAGCAGCCGGGTTCAGTTCGAAGATGAACGGGTCAACGGGAGAGACATCGTTCAAGGTCTCTGAATTTGGCTCCGAACGTGAGCAGTTCAGTGCGCAACTGGGTTTACACGCAGAGGTTCCCTGCTGCGCTATAATGATGCAAGGGTCGAGCGAGTCCCTCATGAATCGCCTCAACAGCAGGTCGCTGTTAGTGCTGAGGGACAGTGAACGATGACATACTCCGCTGTTGGTGCCGTTTTGAGAGTGCATGATTTTCTGGCGAAAATTATGCAATTTGGCAGATTCCTTCGACAGACGGCAAAGGTGTGCAGGCTTGGAAAACTACGTAGGGCTGATGAGGGTTACAGACCGGGATCTTGTGCGGATGCATTTGTCAACGACAAGTCAGACAATGAACGGGCGTAGTGCGTAGGCCTATTGTGCCCTGGCCTGCTGCGTGTGTTCCCAAACACCGTCCGTATTCCCCTTGCCCGCTTCTATAATTAGCAGCCTGGCCTGCACTGTACTGTGCTTTCAGTTGACGGCAAAAGGGACAATCTCGACAACCGACGGTACGTTCAAGTGACAGCAAGTGACACTATTGCATTCAATTGGGGAACCACATCCATGGAAGACCAGAGCAAAGTCGTTGGGCTGCCCCCATACCCACACTCGAAAGCAAAAGTTTCAACGGGTATAAAAGCGCACGTTTACTGGAGAATCACTGCTACGGGACATCAATTCCCTGACATCGTGCGTGTATATACGACTAGGGTAATCCATTGAACGATCGTGGTATGACACTCGCCGTGCTTGAAAATCGACATATCTTTCGGATGGCCACGCATTTCCGTGGTTTATCAGAACACTCGATGAACTCCGGGAAGCGGCGGATAGCCTCATCCTCTCAGGTTCGAGCTGGTAGCAGAAAACGGCTGAAAGAAAGGAAGTCAGGCAGCTTGCATCAGAATCTGATGCGTCTGGAGGCCCTTGGCACGGCGACTCCATCTGTTTCCCCATTTCGGCCGTAGGCCTCGGTCAATCCAACAACCAGTGGATGTCGTGAGATTTAGGTACCCCATGGCGAATTTTGTGCATTGGCCCCTTGTGAAAATGAGCGACGAGTCAAGCACGGAGGATGAAGATCTCTCGCAAAATCTCGTCTGGAAGAGTGATTGGCCAGGCTGATTGACCACTTGTTAATTGGCTACTTAGCGACATTTTCACCAGCGTCGACTCTCGTACGGATAATAAAACTGCTTGCGAATCGACTTCGTCTGAGACGAAGAAGAGGGGTGCAGTGCGTACGTGTCTCCTGGTGCTCTCCACATCCTGTACACTCTGTTTCTGGTTGCATACAACGCATAAACAGCTCCAACCTCCCCCTTGCTGACCTAAAACTATTAGTAGGCTCGAAGAAGAAAGGTGGCCCAGATGTGTGGCTTTATATGCCATCGATTCGGACCCACTCGGAATGTGGAGTTGACTCGGGCGCGCTGTCGAGTTACTGTCAATGAGCCCCATCTGACTTGACTCATTTGCGGGTTGGAACACGAGGGAAGGTCTACTCTGAATGCAAAAATCCAATTGAAGGATATTTTCATATTTACAGCGAACTTGAATCAAGCGACGCCGAGGTCGCTCTTGCAACCGACAGCGAGCGAATCTTTTGCGCCACCTGAGCCCAACATCTTAGCGGCGAGCATGAGCGAGCTCTCGAATACAAGCTAGCACGACGTATTGGGAGCACTGGGCACGAATGCCGTTAACTACTCACTAAGTTCATCCTCACTATCCTCATCCTCACTAGACTCATCCTCGCTCGGGTCGTCAGGGTCTCGCCGACATCGTCGAACTCCGGTTTTTGTAGGATGCTTTAGGGGACACCAAATGTCGCACAAGATCATCGGCAGACCGAACCCACATGTGGTAGATTCTTCTTTAGCATATAATCGCCAGCACCTAGTACACCGCCACCCCTTGGCTAGCTCGAAGTGAAGATGATTTAGTTCGAGCAAGCCAATATGTTTTGTTCTTTGGACAAATGCCCTTACTCTTGTATTGACACATTTCTGTGAATCCGTAAAGAGTTAGATTACAGCGCTCATGGTCACCTGACCCTGCACGTCACTCTGTACTTGCCTTCTTTAAGGAAGGCCCCGCATTTTTGCTTCTTCCCATTCATCACTAACTTCCCAACGCACATGATATCGCAGCTGCCGGGAGGCCTCTCGCATTCCAAACAGTATCCACGTGGTTTGCCATAATAAGTAAACACTGCAAATGAGTGGTGAGTATTCAATGTGAAGATGCTCTTGAAGGCTGGAAAGTCAATACTCCTGGCGATGACGCTCTCGGGGCAATTGAAGCAATCGGGTGTTATCTCTTTCCATATCTTAGCTTGACGCTCGGCACATTCTTGTTTTTGGCATCTCTCTCTGTCTTCTCCGAGTGCCTCAATCAGGGTGCGTACAACTGTCGGATACGGACGCTTTCCAGTAAGTTCAGCGCATCTCCCGTCAAAGTGATATTCTCTAGGAGCATCTTTCTCCCGTCGTACAGAGACCGTGCTCTATGTCGTGTGACACATATACAAAATTCAGAGAGAGTGCATATCACTCATCTGATAATCAAAAGACAGAGCCACCTACTTTTTTGTAAAGCGCAACCAAGGCCCTTGCACACCCGGCGTACTTTCTCAACTCCCCGGTTGAAGCGACGTACTGGATAACGGGTCCGACGCGCATCGAGGATGTCCAGCCGAACTTGGAATCAAGTAATCGATTCGCCTCATTTCTAAAGGTCACCGACGCTGCTCTCAACGTAATGAGGGTTTTAAATGAAGCGAACTTCAAGATTGATGATAGAAGTTCAAGGGGAACTACTGGTGATCGATCTTCTGGCGACTCTTCTGGCAACTCTTCTGGCGACTCTTCTGGCGACTTTTCTGAGACGACCTCGTGCACCATTTTGGACGGTTTCGTTGAGCAACGTTTCTGTGGTGAGGAGCAGTTGGCATAAAGGTTTTATATCGGAAGAGACCTGCGGGCGAGGGGATAAGCGGGGCAGTTATATCCTCCTAACTATGGAGAGCCATCCGGGTCAAAACTTTATTGGGTCGGTTGAGAAGTTGAGGTTTCCGAAACTTTTTTGGGGACATTTTGACAGTGACAGTCACTGCTTACGTCCAATTGCCTCATTCAGCTCTCGACAGCGCGTCTCACCTGGCCTGAGGTTCAAAGGAGGACATCGAGTCCATAAGTTTTGAACCCAACATCGTTACCATGGTCCACAGGCGTTGATATGTACTGCAGCAACAGGAAAAGGGCTCCGTAGGCCATTCTGATGGGGGCCGTCGGTAGGTCGATTGATTTGCATGGACGTCCACTAATAGACATGTCGCCAGACAGTACTTTCGCATAGGCAGTTGGTCCCTCGCTTTCCAGTTGATACGGGGATCATGGAGATATATAGGATCTTCTCAGAATGGAACGACTGGGAGCAACTGAAGATGCGCAACCGTCGCGTAGTCTCTTGTTTTCTGCGGGTGCTCTATTACCTCCACGCCAACACTTACTCGAGACTCTTCAACGTGCCTTGTGGAGTCGCCCTCTCTCACAATGTCCTATTTTCACCGGGAAATTCGCCGTCTGCACACCGGAGTAACACAATCCGTCACCTTGGCGTACAAGGTCTTGGAGGAGGGCATAGCCAGGCTTCCCAAGTGGCCGGAGTGCTGGCAGTCGGAGGAACACCGTTTGCGGCGTCAGTTTGGAATACCTCGCTACAGGTAGGGAGAACTGAAGCGCTATTCCAGAGTTACTGAAGATGGCTGGTGCGGTGGACGGAAAGTTGGACACCCTCAGTAAGGCTCGAAAATATGATGGACGCTTCGATCCCTGTCCAAAAGTGAGAACTGATACACAGAACAGATATGGAAAAATGGTCTATTTCATTGCCATATCTATTCTCGTATATCATTTTTCAGTGATGGATGCCACAAATGCGAGAGTAGGAAATGACGGCCGGAATCAGTGGGGAGCGCCTACATATCCATGTCAATATGAGGAACCACCCTCTACTTTTGCAATGGATCTCTTGTCTCCCGCAATGACGCATAGTCAGTTCCTCCTCTGACTGAGGAGCCAGACTGCGGGAGCCAGCCCGCCGTGGTTCGCTGCCCGCCGATGTATCAACCTCATTGTTCCACTTTCGGCATTTTCGTCATCACAACCGCAGAGGCTTACACTCTGGAAAGAAATCTTGCTATCTTCTTTGAGACCCGATGATATATAAGTCGTCGCAGGTGGGACCCGAACATGGGGGGCGACGACCGGCGCTGGCAGCAGCTTAATTGTGTGCAGCATTGGGGAACAAGGAGGCAGGAACGAACGGGGTCAGAGGAAAGTCTCTTGGCACATCACAAGGCCTCCACATCGTCTTGGGGGAAAATGACAGATAGATGGGCTCCACGGCACGTTGCTAGAATCTCTCGTTGCCGCAAAAAAGCTAGCCTGTTGCCAGTCACGACGCTATGTACGTCCAAAACGGAAACAGCGTCGAAGTCCACGTCGAAGGCAAAGTACGTAATGCACTTGCCGTCCCGCCGGTCGGAAGGTCGATGTTTCTTGAGATGCTGATTGAGGAAGGACCATGTTCGAGATCGTTGGACGGTCCGCTGGAAGGCTACTTCGTCCCTTAGGTCGCAAAGGTCGACGTAAGAACGTAGCAGGTCGGGCATTCCGAACAAACTGAAAGGTGCATAGTGGTGAGTGAAGGCTTTTGAATGATTAGCAGTACCTGCAAGACGATGCGGGGTGTAATCGAGTTGAAGTTCTTCCTCGTGGGAAAAGGCACATGGCTGGGGACGGTCCGATAATTAGAGCCGCACCCGCACGAAGGAAAGAACCGCAGTGAAAGTTGAAACACTCAATACCTTGCACTTGGACTGCATTGGAGGACTACATATATACTGCAGAGACGCCGGTCGCCAACACCGCAAAGGGCTCAGCGGTATGCTGCCATCCTACTGTACCTCAATGCCGTCGATTTGACCAGCGGAAAGGAAACCGCCATGGAAATGCCTGCAACAGAAGCAAGCTGCAAACCTCGCGTAGGCTTGCTCATAATGGCTGGACCTTCAAGTTCAGACTTCCATTGGCCTCACGCACAGTTAGCCTCCTGGCGACGTCAGGTAACAAGGTTTAGACTACTCCGAAGTTGAAACGTCTTGGGGAACCGCCGTCTATAGTTCGAGGCGGCGCGGTGATACAGCTTCCTCTGACGTCTGAAGCCTTGTACGAATATCCAAGTTGGGCGTATCTTGTGCGTCCGCCCCGACTTCCTTCATGCTGTCTCGTCGAATGGGTGGCTGTCTTATGACCGGACTATCGCTCGTGTGTCATGGACTTCCCACCGTCAACGGGTATCATATGCTCTCTTCCCTTGAGTAACTCGGATGTTTTTCGTATCCTTTCTGCTGGATCGTTGGACTTGACTCTTTCCATAATCACAAAGCTCCGGAGGGGATTTTAGGATTTGGACTCCGAGAAGCTCGAAATGTTTGTTTTGACCGATAGCCTGAGACCGCCGTAACACTGAATTTGTAGCTGGATCTGGAGCGGATACTTTCTTACATGGCGGCTGACATGCTTTCGATTTGCTCTAGCTCGGAGCAAGCCCCCGAGTCCCTCCATATCTTCCTCGTATGCAGGGATGCCCGGCAGAAATGGGATTGCCACATTTTCCCCTTGAGAACGGGTCCCGGGCCTCACACCGTCGTTACACCTCTTTCAAGATCCAGATCCTGGGCACAACCGTTGCACTGCTCCCGAAAAAGTATCGACCATAACACAAGTTTGTCAAGCAAACATTTTCCATTCACTTTTTTGGTACATGGTCAATCCCATACCTATGTGATACGCCGGTTTGCACCTCCGTTGCACCTTCTGCTCCCGGAGGGATGCGGTATGGGAGATAGTCTCAATCAAAAGCATTTGCGGCATGCCACATGCTGAATGATCCTATGTACTGTAATGCACCGGCGCGATATGCACACAGCGCTCGACATTACTCAGGGCGACGAGCCCATGTCGAGTAATTTCGCATAAAAGCAAGTGCGGGAGGAAGCCCAACCCGCCCTTCACAGCCTTCACAGCATCTGATCCAAGTTCCTCCGACCGGCCTCACACCCTCATCAAGCATCACATTCAAGATGCGCGTCCTCGCCCTCCTCTCTGCCCTCGCCGTCGGTGCCGCCGCCCTCCCTGCGGGCATCCCCACTGGCTCCGCGGCCCCCGGCTGCCCTACCGTCGAATTCCTCTCCGTCCGCGGCACCACCGAATCCCAAGTCGGCAGCACGATCCTCAACCGCGGTCCCGTCGGCCGACTTAACAAACAAATCGCGGGCTCCGCAATCTACAACATCGTCTACCCCGCCGACTACAATTTCAACACCGGCCCGGCCATCGGTGCCAGGGACCTCCTCGCGCACCTGAACTCCCGAACCGCCTCATGCCCCTCCACGAGATTCGTGCTCGCGGGCTACTCCCAGGGCGCGATGGTCGTCCAAACCGCTCTCCCGCAGATCCCCGCCGCAACTGCACCGAAAGTCAAGGCTGTCATCATGTTCGGCGACCCGTACTACGATCCCCTCGGCCCGTCCGCGGAGGGTACCGCAAAAGGGTCCGGGAGGGGTGGGAGGCCGGTGCCGGCGCAGTGGCAACCCAAGTTGAGGGATTACTGCAACAAGGGCGATCCTGTCTGCGCGGGAGGATCAAACTGGGTGGTGCATGCGAGCTATGCAAATGATGCCGTCGCTACTCAGGCCGTCAACTTTGTGACCTCGTTGGTGTAGAGAGTAATGCCTTGAAATATCTTAGATCTTCGTACCATCCCTTCTATTGGATTGGAGAACATGCCGCTGATTCCACATCATGCCAACGATGGATCCCTTACTTTTGTATGTACCCCTTTTGTATAGCTCTGTTGCCCGGTGCAAACAGGATATTAATAGCTCTAATTCACATTTCTTCTGTACAATAAATCATGGTGTTCTAATCCCCAAACGCTCCAAAGGATTGCAAAGGAGACTGGTCCACCGCACATGATGTAGTTGACTCATCGCTGGGCGATGAGGGGAAAGGGAGTAGATCGTCCCAAAGCTCAATCTAATTTCAGTAAACTTACGCCGTAACAAATCCGTGGCATATCTATCGTTACGCCGTGTCATATCTATAGCAAGCACAGTTACTATCTACACTCTAATTATCTATCTACACTCTATTCTCACACTGTCCACAACGGTGGAGAAGTCCGGATCAACAAGCAGACCCGATTCCGCAGCTTTGTCCTCCAGTCGCAGAGCAGGAGCCGTTTACTGCTGCAATTAAAACAGCGGGCTATCGGGTTGGCCCACATCTGGCGAGAATTGGATACTCAAACAGGCCGTCCAAACGCATCAACTCTAAATACGTCCAAACCCGCCTCACCCCTCGCCGCCTCCACCGCCAGGCCATAAAACGCGGAGTCAGGGTCGCTCAACAGCCTGAACGGGGTCCCGTCCTCCACAACCGCGCTATTCGCGAGCACAATAACGCGGTGCATGCTCGGCAGTGCTTCGATGCGGTGCGCGATGGAGATGATTGTTGTGGTAGGCGGGAGCCCGCTGTCGAGGAGGGTGCGGAGACGTTGCTCGATGCTGGGGTCGAGGGCGGCCGTTGCTGATGGAGTGGAGGAGGGGCGTGAGTGGCTGTATTGGCTTGTGTGAGAGCGACCATTCAATTGTGTCCGTGGACTCACATTCATCTACGACCAGAATTGGGCTTTGCGAGAAGAGCCTCGGCAACACAGATGAGCTGACGCTGGAATAGGAATACATCAGCTGCGATGTCGCAAAGCGAGGGGTCGTATCGGGTTGATGCCACCGTGTCCGAAACTCACCTGCCCCACACTGAAATTCGCACCTGCGCCTCAACCTTCGTGTTCAAGCTCGCCATCTGGTCCCCAAACAACTGCTTGATCCCACAATCCTCCAGAGCACGCCACAGCTGCGCATCGTCAAATTCCCCGCGCGCGTCAAGGTTATCCCGCAGGGTCCCCGCAAACAACACGGGTTCCTGGGCAATAACCACAACCGTCTTGCGCACCCTGTACAATCCAACAGATATCCGTGCCGTCGATCTTTATCGTGCCTGCGCTCGGTTCCACTAGCCGGGAGAGGCACGATACAAGAGTCGATTTCCCGGACCCCGTTCGGCCGACAATACCGATGTGCCGGCCGCCTGGAACGTGCAGCGATAGGTTCTCCAGGGCTGGTGTGGGCCGAGAGGCGTAAGATACCTCGACATTGCTGAATTCGATGGCGCCGGTGCTGGGCTATGAGGAGGGGGACGACGTTGGGGATGGTTGTGGGGGAATGTTTTCGGCGTGGTGGCGGAGTCGCTCTACGCTGTTCATGTTCACCTGAAAATATCCACGGTATGAGGGTCTCATATTGGGTATGCGCACTTCCGGTCCGATTCACACGGGCGTCTATTATACCGACTTTCCAAACTCCATCGATTAAGCACAATCGTAACCAACTCACCTCCAAACTAACAAACGACCACATGTACAGATACACATTCGCCGCTAACGTCAACGAGTACGTCAACCCGAGTCCCGCAAACACCGTCGACATAACTTTCCCAGCGCCCAACGCGCCCACAAAAAACGTCGTAACCGCAAACAACAGCTGAATCCGCCGCCTCATCCTCGTTTGTTGCGCCGCTGTCTCTCGTCTGCTGACACCTCACAGAAATCTTCCAAAGCCACGTCAGCGACGGCCTTGCGAATTTTCAATGTCTTCAAATAGTCTTCAAATGCTTCTTTGGTAGATTCCCGTCCCTAATACATTGAAAAGGCGTGAGGCATTAGTGGATCTATGCCCTCAAACGCCTGTCCAGCCCTTGGGTAATGTTGCTCTCCAAAGGGTCCGCCCGAATCACAATGTACACCCCCTTTCCGCAGCGGATCTTGGGTGAATCACGAAGGGTCAGGGTTGCAACATTCCCGCGGGCTGGCCAATGACTACTGGGTGGTGCTCCTCTCCAAAGGGTCCGCTCGAATCACAATGTACACCCCCCTTCCGCAGCGGATCTTGGGTGAATCACGAAGGGTCAGGGTTGCAGCATCCCCAGCCCCTCACCGGCGCAACCATGGGTCGATAATCGCAGGTTTGGGGACTTATAGCCATTGTTTGAACAGGCAATAATTAATTGTTCAGACAAATAAAAGCTGCCATGTCACTGCACGTACCAGATTCCTCAAAACGTTTTTCACATTGGCCTTGTGCTCTGGCGCATTATGATAGACCTCGCGCAGACACCTTATCCCTGCACAAAAATCCCCTTGCAGTTTTATGGCAGCACTTGCATGCAGCACATCCCGGTTTCCGGATTGGCTGATCTCCATATATATGCCAATGTAGCCTTGATTGTTGAAGCGACCGGCGTCAAAGGCCGCGAGGAAGTCGTCAATGGTAATGCCTGCCGTACCCTTCCTGAAGGGGGGAAGAGCAGGACGTACGTTCATGAGCACAAAGCGAAACGCACAGTGGGGAATTGATCAGAATCTCACCAGGGGAAAGATGATCTTGGCTTTGCTCACTTCGTCCTCGGAGGCGGTGTCGTGCTCGTCTGCGCCCTCGTCGTAAGAGTGCCTGTCGCCCCCAAGCATGATTACCGAGGTGGTGTGCGTCCTGTACACACTGTTGATCAAGAAATCACAGCATGCGGAGAAACAGTGCGGGATCGTGCTTTGGAAAACGCGCAGAATGCCTTCGGGACTGTGCGGACGTAGCGTCGGCGACCTGAATACTCTGAATCTGACTCTGAATAAGGATTCTCTGATAGCGCGACGCGACTCACTTGTTCCTCAGTTCCGCTCTTCTTCTGCCACTAGGCTTTTAGCTTTCACATGATCCCGCGCAATCTTTGCGGTAGCTTGTTCCAGGACCGCAGCATCGCCGTCAGCAGCGTCGCCCTGATCGCCACGCGGGTCGTCAGCGTGAGAGGAAAGAAACGTGCGCAAGGGTCCGTCCCGCTGCAAGAGCTCCTTGGCTGGTCCTTGCTCCACGATCCGGCCGCCATCGACAAACACAATCATATCCGCCGTATGTACGACTTGAAGTCGCTGCGTCACAAAGATCCGCGTCTTGTCCATCAACGCCCCTAAGCTATGGAATCATATCACCAAAGAAGGAAGAGAAAAGAATGCATTTAGTAACCATGGCCCAATTAAGGCACAGAGAAGTCCGTACAATTGCATGTCCCCTATTGACCCAATAGTGGTACGAAACCAAAGCTGGATCATGCAGGGTCTGCCTTACCCGAGAGGATGAAGGCTGGGATGAAGGTGACGTTCCCACACTACCCCAGTCTAGTCATTGTCTGGCATCAAAAGTTGTGCAAGACCCCTATGTTGCTCTATGATGCCCGTACCCTCAAGCAAATGCCCACCTCCCAAAGGAGAGAGCCATCACTACGTCGCGATGCCCCCGCAGGAACAACAGATACTAGGGCCCCGTTCAATGAGCATAGTACTACGAGACCAGAGCTGGATCATGCAGGGTCTGCCTTGTCCCAAAGGATGAAGGTGACGTTCCCACACTACCCCAGTCCAGTCATTTTTTGGCACCAAGGCGAGAAAAACCCCTATGTTGCTCTACGATGCCCGTAGCCTCAAGCAAATGCCCACCTCCCGAAGGAGAGAGCCATCACTACGTCCCGATGCCCCCGCAGGAACAACAGATACGCCATGAACGGGACAGGGGGAAGGTAATCGAAGAAGGAGGGAAGGGGCCCCTTACTTGCGGGTGTGTGCTGTCCTGGTGCAGTGTTGCGTTCTGTTGAGACAAGCAAAGCCTTTCATTTTCGGTGGGTCGAATTACACGAGCCTGGTTGAGAAGCATGCAAAAAGACACCGCTTCCGCTTCCAACGTACCTGAGAACAACTTACTGATGCCACCGCTGGTGGGGAACCGACCTTTGGTTTGTATCGATATAATTCTACCCGATTAGATGACGGTTCGCTGCGTCGAAGAGGAGGTTCGAATACTACGGCTTTACGATCCGGGTTCAAGCGTGTTTGGCGTATTTCACTCCGGGGCTTGGTCTTGAAGGGCAGTGATACACTTGTCAAAGACGTGTGCGGCAACGTGCGCATCGAGAGGAGCAAGCGGGTCGTCCAGAAGAAGCACGTCGGAATCGTTGTAGACCGCCCTAGCCAGCGCGATGCGCATCTTCTGCGCTGCATTCCAAAAAGTAATCAATACTTAGCCGCAGCCACGACGTCTCGAACATCGCAAAACCCATAGCCTACCTCCAGACAAGTTACTCCCCTTCTCCCCGATCTCCGTCCGATCCCCCTCATGAAACATCTTCAAATCATGCTCCAGTCTACAAACACGTATCGCGTCCGCATACCGTTGCTCGCCGTACGGTTTCCACAACAGGATGTTGGTGCGGACTGTTCCGCTTTGGATCCACGGCTCTTGCGAGCAGTAGGCGGTGTTGTCTTTGATGAAAGTCGGGTCCTCCGCTTCGTTGTCGCTGTCGTTGTTGCGTGTTGACATACCCCCTAGAAGGCCTGCTAGGAGGCAGGATTTGCCGCTGCCGACAAGCCCCACCACGATTGTAAGCGATCCGGTGGGGATTCGGAGCTGATCGACTTGCAGGGAGAATGCAGATTTGCTCGTGTCCGCATCAGCACTAATCTCCTTGTCGTCCACGATTTCGACTTGTCGCTCGTGCCAGATGTTTTGCGTGCGTCCGTTTATGCCTCAAACGCAAAGGGTACATTAGCAACATCTACAGCCAGCGGGCTTGCGCCCGTCCGATCGGCATCCTTCAGCGAGACTTCCGGCGCAGTCATAAACGCATAGATCCCTTCCAGCGACGGCCGCACGTTCAGAACGCGGTTCAACCAGCGTCAACTTGAAAGCGGGCGCGCAGATCATATTGAACAGAGTGAGCGCGGGGCACACGGTCGAGTTCGAGAACTCGTTCCCAAGCAAGGAATGCGTCGCGAACGCCGTCAAGGCCATGAAGCTCGGGATGCTCTGGTTAACGGAGGTGAAATAGCAGAAAGCCGGTATGAGGTACTTTCTGAGCGCTTTCAGCTGCGAAGCCCGAACCACCGCGATCTTTTGCAGGAGGGGCACCTCGAGCACGTGAAGCTTGACGGCGCTGATGCTGTACAGCATATCTCCGATTTGTCTATCCGCTGATCGTTGAGGCTGATATATTTCTTGATTCCTGCGCTGGTAGACTTGACAGCTTGACTTTGGAAGAGGAAGAGGAGGATCATTGATGCGAGGCTGACAAAGGCCGAGGGTCCGATGAGGACGTAGAGCAGGGCGACGATGATGAGGAGCTGCACGGCCGGACTCCAGACATCGTGGAATTTCTGGACAAAGATGGTTACGTAGACCACGTCCATGGAGGCCAAGTTCAACACTGTTACCGACGTGAATCGCACCCATAAACAAGGAGCAGGTATTCCTTCAAAAGTAAACACTTCCACATCCCCAATCCATACCTTCCTAGCAGACCCCGACAGCCTCAAAAACTTATCAAAGATAGCCACACTAAGCCCCGCGCCAACCAGTACGCTGCGTACTTTCAGGACCTGGTCACTGACATTCGCCACAACAGCTGAGATGATCTGCATCGCGCCCAGCGCCAAGACCAAAGGAAGGGCGTGACCCATGTTTCCCGCGTCGACGTCGATAGGATGTCGAGAACCTGCTGTAATACCATGGGCGAGCCTAGTGTCGCGGCGATGAATATAGCCTGTATATGTAGGAGGGATGCTTCAAATCAGGCATCTCTGTCTCCGCTTCGGCCACCTCCATACCTCAAGAACCCCAGTCAATCCCCACGGCCCACCGCACATCCCACGGCCAATTCCTCATCCACCGTCTCCAAACCCTCCCTTCGGGGCCCTCCCCCATCTCCTCCCCCCCAAAAACACCCATACCCAACCCCCTCGCCCAGCCGGCATCCAAATCCGCCGTCAACTCCGGGAACGAATCCAATTGCAACCTCCCTTCCCTCGCGAGTCTGCCCACGTACGAGTCGAAGGAGAGTGAGGCGGTTGTGCGCAATGCGCGCGAGGATGGTCGCGGGGGAGAGGGTGTAGGAGTAGGGACGGGGAGGGGGTTGACGAGACTCATGTTGGAGCAGTGGGTCTGTTTCGCCCTGCGGTGAGGTCGTTTGGTGTCGAGACCGTCATTGTGTTGAGTTTTGGTGGTAACCGAGCTCGAATCTCAGTACGTACAGTATGTATGAACGTCCGTTTCGCTCCCTTCTATAGGGCCCCAGGTCGGAGGGCGGTCCTCCCCGGGAGGTGCCAGTTACGCCCGCTGCCATCATGCCGGTGCAAAGGTTTCAATCTCCCCCGTCTGACAGCGTGGATTTGCGCGTCGACTTCTAACCATTAGTCCGTAGTCCGCCGCGTCGTGGTGACCCTCCTTCCCTGAGAGCCCTCCACATCAACGGTCCCCCAGACGCAGACAACTCGGAGGGCTCAACAACGTAACAGCAGGGCAACTTCCCACCATAACAATGAATCAATTCCAATGGGTTATTTACACGAAGAAGACCACTTGAATATGAAGTGATCACACAACCGAATATACGACACAGCCAAAAGACAACCCAAAATGATAAAGCTCATATGGCACCGACAATGATACCCGCGATGATGAGAGAGCTCACACCTTCTTCTCAGTTTGCCCACTGAAATCCGCATCCTTCAACTTCACATTCTTGACATCCGTCAGGGGAGGCGTTCCAGGCGTAGGCGGCGGCGAAAACTTCGTCTGCAAAAACACCTTGATGATCCCCGCCTCCTTCTTATCGAAGCGATCGTACACGTCCACGATCTGCTCGAAGGGGAAGCGGTGCGTGACGATTTTGGTGGGGTCGAAGAGGCCGGATTGGATGTCGCGGAGGAGGTCTTTCCAGTAGCGTTGGACGGGGGCTTGGCCGCAGCCTATGAGGGAGATGCCTTTTTCCATGACGGCGCCGATCAGGAAGCCGTTTGTTGTTGCTACGAATAAGCAAAAGAGTTGATGAGTTAATCTGCGGTAGTTAGAATCGGCGGCCGACCCACGAGCACACATACCAGCATAGTCAGCAATCAAAGCGACAGTGCCAAACTTCTTCGTCGCCCGAATACACTCGTTCACAATCTCCGGCGTATCCGTCTCCAACCCAATCGCGCGCTGCACCTTATGCAACATCGACTTGGCATACCTGAACGCCGCACAATCAATCGAGCGGTCCAGGCCGCCGGGTACAAGCTCCTGGATCTTGGCAACGACGTCCGTGTCGACGTCAAAGTTGATGGATTCGACGCCCCAGGTCTTGGCGATCTCCATGCGTTCAGGGACGTTGTCGACGGCGATGATACGCGCGACTTTGGTTTTCTTCCTCAACCACTGCGCGACATGCAGACCGATGGGTCCCAATCCCCAAATCCCGACCGTCTCGCCCTCCTTGGCCCCGGAGCAGACGACGGCGTGGTAAGCGGTACCGACGACGTCGGAGAGGTAAAGGGCTTTCTCGGCGGGGACGTCGGCGGGGATGGGGAGGAGGTTGACGTCGGCGAAAGGTTGGCGGACGTATTCGGCCTGGCCGCCGGCGAACCCGCCGCCGAAGTGGCCGTAGCCCAGGATGCCGCCGAGTTTGTGGCCGTACATGGCTTGCATGAGCGCGGAGTTGTTGGTCGTGTCGCATTCCGTGAAGATTCCTGTGGTGTTTGAGGGATGGGTGGGGATGTCAGTGTTCAGGTTCAATCCATATTACGACCGATGGAGGGACAATAAGAAAGACCGTTCGCTGTCGCTCACATTTACTGCTCGCTCCGCTCGCGCAATACCTACCCTTCTTGCAGTACTCACATTCCCCACACCCAATATTGAAAGCCGCCACAACTGTATCGCCCACCTTGATCCCCTTCACCTCACTCCCAACCTCCTCCACAATCCCCATATACTCATGGCCCAAAATATCTCCCTTTACCAACTGAATGATATCCCCATGCAGCAGATGCAAGTCGCTGCCGCACACCGTGGTGCCCGTGACGCGGATGATGGCGTCCTTGGGGTGCGAGATGGCGGGGACGGGCGCGTCGATGAGGCGCAGGTCGTGCTTGCCGTACCAGGCGAGCGCTTTCATGGTGGCACCCGGGCGGGTTTTTGCGTCGCGGGAGACGGGGGTTGAGGTGGGGAGGTCGCCCATACGGGCTTCGGCGAGGTTGGCTAATGCGTTCAAGGCCATTTTTTTTTTGCTGTTCTGATGCCTTGTTAACGGTTTTGTGATATGTGATGTGGATGTTGAGATCCGATGCGATGTGGATGGAACTGGGTATGTGTTGTTTGCTGTCCCAAAAAGTGGTTCAAGTCGGAAAACGGAAGGGGCGCAAACCAGACCTTCCAGCTCTTATACGTTTCCCTCTCCACACACTTCTGGCAGACCAGGAGACCAGCGGTGGCTTGCCTTCCCCACCCCCCACCGCCATTGTCCTGTGATAGAGGAGCTTGTGGACGAAGGGATGGATATCCAGGAGATGCATTCTTGCGTCACCATGCATTGGAATCCACAGGGGACAACGATGTGGACTTCCATGCGATGCAGTCAGCGACAGTCGACCAGGGAAATGATGAGGTGATGCGACTTTTTCCCTCGGCTTCTCTTTCTGCTCCTCGTATCCCCCTGTCCGCCATCGCCAGCAGGATATCCCATATCCCACACAGCGGATGAAAGCAACCCGATGTCACGAGGAGTTGTCAGTGCATAAAATGACGCCGGATTGACGCCCCTTTGACGCACGAGAAGGCACTCCGACGTCACTGAATGCAGATGAGGGCGCGACGCGTCAGAGACTCACGTGATCACATTAAGACATTTTAGTGCACGTTTTCTGGTAGAAGTCGGTGTGCCGAAGTTGCGCAGTCAATCCACTCCGCGGCAATAACCTCCAACGGCTCCAACTGCCGTGCCGGCTCGGGAACCGGACAAAAAAAGGCACTTTCGGACACGTTTGCACGAGGGCGAGTCATTGCCGGCAGTGCAGTCCCATGAGACCGTCCACTGGAATCCAGTAAGAGAGGGGGTCCTGGTCGAGAATTGGGAACGTCTGGAATTGATTTTCCTGCGTTCATGGATGCGGAGTGTGACCTGTGTGCCGCGTGCTATATTAATTAATCGGCAGCATGGAAGTGGGAGACACTTCTCCGACTCAGTCACTCAGAGAGCGAGAGTGTCTGTGAATCAACGATGGGGGGCAAGAGAAAAGGGGGGAGTGGGCTTAGCATACGGATAAGGGGACGGATAAGTGCCCCTAATGACCATCCGGCCCATCCGGCCCAATGCCACCCCCCCCCCCGCGCGAGTCATATGCCGTCCGTTTACTACTGCTATTAGTGGATTCTCCACATGCTCAGAGCAGAGGGGACGGAGAGAGCGTTATTGCAACAAGGCCGAAAAAAACGCTGGGAAAAAAGAACACCCCCCAAAGGAAGGCAATTGTGGACGGGACCGACCTCGACAACGAGAATAGGGTTTCACTCTCCTTGGAGGTCATTCAGGAGGCAAACGCAACGTAGGGATCTCCACTCGCAGACACACGGACGACAGGGGACAGGCTCCGTATAGGCCTTGGCGGCGTTTTTGACGGGTTTGCGTTCGATAACCACCACACCGCTCGCACGACGTCTTTTCGGACGTCGACTTCAGAGGAAGCAGGTCCATCTCGCTCTGAAAAGTCATTTCCTCCGAGATTCTCAACGTGTTGGCGTGATTTAGGCAGCTCTCGTCACATCGTGTCTTGGCAGGTTTTGGGCAGCAACCCGACCACGAAACGCAAAGGGAATCCGAACCTTTGGGCCACTTGTCTCGCCCTTCGTTTCTGGACCAACTGGGAGCTCTTTCCGGAACACTGCTTCCGGGCCGACAACAACGACATAGCCGCTGCTGATCAGACCCGTCGGTCGTACTCTAAGAGCGTTGGGGATCAGCTGTTGAGCTGATACATGGGCTGTCGAAATGGTGTCTTCTCCAGATATAGATAGTCCAAGGGATACTCGGGTTCAACATAGCACATATGGTGAGTGGCGACGTCTAATGTAGACTTGCATACTCGTCCGAACAAGGGACCGACTCGCCCTCGAATTGCACGAAACTGACTTCCGAGCGTTTTTTCCCACGCTTAGGCACAACGGAAGAGCGCATCCCCGGCATGAACGGAGGAGGCGCAAACGTACCGACAAAATACAATAAGCAGATCCCAAACCCCCTTCACCTGCCAAACGATATCCTTCAAACCGCCCTACCACCTCCCAACGGCCATGCCCACCACAAACTTCAACCGATCCAGACCTTACCACACTCCCAGTCACAACAACCACCGCACATTGCCCTATCTCGCGAACCACCCGTTCATTCGGGCTACAGCTCCCAAACCGCTTCAACACAGTCCTCACCCATGGCTACTCCTGTCACGCCCACCATGCAACCGCCGTCCATGTTTTCTATTGGAACCTCATCAATACATACATCCTACAACCACCACGCACAGAACCGTATGACTGGCGAATATACCCACCCGGCGCAACAGCAGCAGAGTACGCAGAACGAACAACAGCAGCAGCAGCACCATTCTCATCATCATCAAGGTCACCACCTGCAACAGCCGTACGCTTACCACACTACTGGAGGGAGGAATGGAGACGTAGAGCAGCATTCCCACAATAAATCTTATAGTAATGGAGTCAATGGCCATGGCGATATGCAGCGGGATCTTCCAAATTCGACAGCCACGACGCCTACGCAGAGCGCTAGGTCGACTATGAGCATCAACGATCTATGTAACAATTCTAACGATGACGCTGGTGAGTGGAAGTCTGTGCGTCTATCGCTATGCGCGCGAACCTTGCTCATCGAAACTTTATTGCAACTGTGTAGCGAGGGACCAGGAGGTTGCGTACTACTACAACGCCGACCCTGACGTTCAAATGGCCGCAGAAGCTCTTGGTGGATTACGAAACGGTGGTATGTGGATGGGGATTTGCGATTCTGCGCATATGTGGCTTTGTTGGGTGAACACGGGATATTGAAGCTTACTCAATGCATTATCATTAGATATGGGCAGAAGACCAATCCGACAATCGAGCCAGGAGCATTTCATGCAGCGCGTTCAAAACATCCCGCTTGTGAATAAGTCTATCAACCAACTCAGCACTGCGTATGAAGCAACGAAGAATGCCAGTAGGGTCGTGAAGGTACGGATTCGGCAGTCGCTTGTCAATGGTGCATTTGGTGAAGGTCTGGGGACATGTAGTTGACACTTCATCTCTCTCGCTTATGTAGTACTCGGCAGAGTCTGTCGAAACGGGTGTCAAGACGATAACGAAGCCGGTCTTCAACAGGCTGGAACCTGCCCTTGCTCCGTTAGACAGATTCGCGTGTACTCAATTGGATAAGGTGCGTCAACTCCCGTCAATCATTTTGTTCTGACCCTCGTCGCTTACCTGTTTACATCCAATCTAGCTCGAAAAATCATTCCCATCGATTATGGGCTCCAGCCCCCCACCTTCAGGATCTTACGACGCAGAACTCAACGGGCCTCCACGGATAGAATACAACCCCTCCCGCCCCCGCTCCCTCAGCACGTCGTCCATGTCCTCCGTCTCGTCCATGGACCTCCTCCAACCTCCCAACGTACCGCTCCTTGACGCGCGATCGCCACAACTTAACGGCAGCCACGCCCCGCCACCTTCCCCAGGTGGAACGATTCCTGGCCCGCCGCTGACCAACGCGCTGGCTCCACCGGCGTCGCCGGGTATCTACAGGCCTGAGGAGGGACCGATTACGACGGCACCGCATATTGATCGTAAGCCGAGGAGCCGGTGGCATCAGGTTGTTGCGGGCGTGGGAGGGAGTTTGAGTGGGTTGATGTTGAGTGATGAGACGATGAGGGGGTTGAAGTATTGTTTGCAGTGGCTTCAGGTGCGTTTGGGTGCTGGAGTTTGGCTACGATCTTGTTTTTTGATGAAGCAGGCATTAACGGTCTTTTCCGGTTTTGTAGTACGCTACGGATCACATTGATCGTCAGGTGCAAGTCTTGAGGGATTACCTTGCACGTGCTGGGGGATCCGTTGCTGCGTACCTCACGGCTGGAAGGTAAGCACCCGAAAACGGGAGTCCATTGTTATTCGCATTCCTTTGAGCTGCGCGTCATCCGAAGCGATCACTCACGACCGTCTTCCATTTCCAGCTCGGCATCGCAGCCTACTCCGCCGCTCTCTCCCCAAGCGAACGACATGACAGTCGCGACGGCCGGTGGCAACAATCTTTTCACCGTGATGGCTGCCATTCGCCGGGAAGTTGTGGAGACCCTTCGTCGCGTGGTGGATGTGATTGGCCGATATGCTGCGTTGTACTTGCCTGGAGAGGCGCGACGTACTGTTCGTGGATTCATTTTGGCTCTGCCCGGTCGTTGGGTTAGTATGCGTAATGTTGAGAAATGAGTTGCACGGCGGTTGGAGCTCATATGATGTTCTCTCTTTGTCGCTTAGGCCACCTTGACGCACACCACACCCGGCTCGTCCACAGGCCTCGACGCCGACGCCGAAGCCCAGAAAGTCCTTACCCTCGCCACCGAATCCTCCACCATGCTGAAGGGCGTCCAAAGCATCTTTGCGGAAACAGTTGACGGCGCAGAACGGTTCGGCCGTAACGTCGGTCCCGCCTCGGACGTCAGCGACCCCTTTGCGAACGGCGGCGGTGGCAGCAGCTCGTCGGCGTCTTCCACCATCAACGGCGGGTCCTACAACGCTAGCGGAAGCTCCACACCTACCTTTGCGAATGCGACAGTCAACGGAAACGGAGCAGCTGCGTCTGGGGGTACCGAGCACCCGCTCGTTTACCAGCCCGACCTGTCCTCGGCCACCGAAGCCAACACCGCCGTGGCCGTCGAACCCTCCACCAAACGCCGCAAGAAACGCAGCGGCGGCTCTTCGGGTGATCTGAAGAGCAAGGGCAAGGCGCGTACCAGTAACGGCATGACCGTCGATCAAACACCCAGGCAACCGCATCTCCCCACCAACCCGGACGCGATGGACATCTCCTCCTCTGCGGATCACCACGCAGACGATGAAGCCGCGGCGATTTCACCGACGGCGGTGGTGGATCATATGGAGGTTGAGCACGCTACTGCCTCGTCGCATCAACGCCGACACTCGGAGAAGGCGTACTCGGAGAGCGCGGGTGCGTCTAGGCAAAACTCGCCGGATGGGATGGAGATTGATGATTAGGCCATGCATCCATTCGCACTACCGACCACGAGGGCGCAATCACAACACCACACAATCAGCCGCAATCGTATCCATCTTACCACACCTTTTGCCTCGTCTTGGTTCCCTTTTCCCCCACTTTTTTCGGGCCCTTTCATTGTATGTATATTATCTCCGCCCATGATCCGCAACCGGGGATCCCGTCTCGTTTTCAAAACCCCTTTCTATGGTCACTGTGTTCCACCTTTGCCCCCGTCTTTCCGTGTGCCTCATCTCGTTTTCCCTTTCTTTTGCTTTTCTGTGGAAACACACAGCGTCTGATGGTGGCAGTTGTAGCCTCCTCCCTTTTCCTTGTTATAATTTCTTTGCGTATATGCTTTTGTTTTGTTTATAAATGAGGCTGGTTCTCTTTTTCGAATTGTGGTATTGTGAGTTGAGTTGAATGCGCGATGTGTGATCTATCCCTGGGTATACTGGGAGCTGTTAAGAAGCTGCACATCCAAAGAAACAGCCGTATTCTTTTGCAACTGATTCGAAAGGGCAAAAGGCTCGAGTTGATGAGAGTTTTTCACGGGTTCCCACCCAGGCTTCTTTCTTTGAACCAGACCCGATCAGAAGTACGGTACTTTCTGGATGCCCCGGAGACACCGTGGAGCAACGGGAGGGTTGGGTGCCATTGACAGGAAAGTGACGGGCGGTGGGGGGGACAAGAAGCCACTGCAGAACACGACGCGGGGCGACTTTGGGAATCAAGAGCGCCGCGTCACAAAAACGACCTCCAGCGGCACTTCAACCGCTCATCGGGACATGCCCACATCCGCCTCGGTAACCCCCTCCCCCATCGGGCACAATCCGCACAGCACCACATACATCTCACTTCCGCCCGCCTAACCATGGACCCACACAACGGCGACTCGCAGTGGGATCTGCACCCCGGGGAAGAAGACTCCTTCACAAACAGCAACGGCGAGGTTTATTCCAACAAGGCGAATAACGGCAACCACGGATACGACGATGTTGAGGCGTTGAGGAGGGAGAATGAGGCGTTGAAGGAGGAGGTGGGTGGTGAGGGGAGGTCTCTGTTTAGAGGGTTATCCATCAATTGATCATCTGACACATGGCACGCCATGTTTTTCACAGCTCAAACGCCTCCACCACAAATCACACACAGACCTCACCCAACGCGACACCCACATCCAATCCCTCGAACACCGCCTCTCAGCCCTCCAATCCCGGCCCTCGACACAACCCTCCTCCCCGATCCCCGGCGCCACATCCGACGCGGACCAGATCCAGCTCTTGCGCTCGAAACTGGGCAAGGCCGTGCAGCATTTGAAGCATTTGGCGGCGGAGAATACGACGTTGACGCAGAGGGTTGGCGAGGGGGAGCGGAGGGCTGAGGAGGCTGAGGGCAGGGTGAGAGAAGGGGAGGAGGAGGTTGGGAGGTTAAAGGAGAAGGTTGAGGAGTTGAAACGGCAGGATGAGGCGGTTAGGCAGGCGATGGAGGCCAAGGATGCGAGGATTGTGGAGTTGACGGAGCAGGTTGTGGTGATGAAGGGGAAGTTGGTGGAGGTGGAGTCGACGGCGCAGGAGGCGGAGACTGACAAGGTTGCTCTGGCGGCAACTGTCCAGAGGCTGGAGGTTGAGATGCGGGGGCGGGCGGAGCAACTCGCGCGGATGGAGGATACGAATCGACAGATGGCTGAGACGATCAAAGGCGCTGATGCGGCACAGGACCGTATTGAGGAGCTAACGGTGGTCGTTGCGCAGTTGACCGCTACGATCACCGAACTCCGCACCGAGAAGGAGGATGTGCAAGGTCGGCTTGCCGGCGAAGGGGTCAATGTCTCCGTTGCCCGCGGAGAGAATAAGAAGCTGAAGGACCGCGTGGCGCACCAGGATGAGGCCATCGAGGCGTCGACTTCTACCGTCAACGACGCGACTGGGAAACTCCAGACCGCGATGGAGGAGATCGCCAACCTCTCGTCCGCCGTGCAATCCCTGTCAACGGAAAAGGATTCCCTACTCGCCGAGATCCAGACCTTGACATCCACCATCAACAGTAGCGCGTCAGCGTCCACGTCCGCGGCGCCCAGCGTGAGCACCAACGCACAAAACGAATGGTCTGCGGACGCCTCGTCAGCGGATGCGGATGGGTGGGATAACGATATCCCGGACTTTGAGTGGAAGCCCGTCGGTGAGCCTACAGCCGCGCAACCCACGACGACTCTTCCAATTGCAACCCACTCCACAGCCGACTCCATCCCCCCAACCGCTGACTCCCTCGACAATCTAAACCGCACCATCACCATCCTCCGCACCGACCTCGCCGACCGTGAAGCGGAAATCACCCGTCTAACAACCAAAAACGAAACACTGGAAGCACAAGTGGATAGACTGGAAGAAGCCGAAGAGGAACGCGGCGACGCGGAGGATACATTACGTGAGACTGTGGTGGCTTTACGTGTCGAGCTCGGGAAACGCGAGGCAGAAGTCGCTGGTCTACAAACCAAAATCGAGGCCCTTCAATCCAAGAGTTCCGACACGGAAACAACAGAGCTACAACAACGTTTGGAGGACCTGCAAACCGAAGTGGATCGTCTGCGAGCGATGGAAAAGCCCACCACCGCGTTGCATCACCAGATCGAATCGCTTACGAAGCGGCTGGCGGAGACCGAGGGTGCTTCGCGGGACGCTATTACGGAATTAACGACCCGGCACGACTCGAAAATCACGGAACTCGAGAATATCATTTCCGAATTGCAACAACAGGGTGATTCGGGTGATGCGAGGGACAAAGAGCATGCGGAGACGGTAAAAGCGTATGAAGAGAAACTGAGAGCCTTGGAGACCTTAATCGCGGATAAAGAGAGGGATGCGGAGGAGATTAGGGCTGTTTTGGCGCGGACGAGGGAGAGTGTTGAGGCCCTTGAGGGCCAGGTTAGGGAGCTTCGAAAAGCTGCGGAGAACATTGGGGAGCGTGACACCGCCCGCGCGACTGCTGGTATCGCCGAGGAAGTGGTGGTGGATACGCTCACGGCCTGCTTATCGACATTTGAACGCGCGATCGACTTCTCGCAGGCTTTCACTGCGGAGAGACTCGATACTTCAGCTTTACCGGACGCTGTTGGTGAGAGGCTCACAGGTCTGCTTGACGTTGTCGTGGCGTTGAGGCAAGCCGTTGATGAGCGGGAGGCGAGGGTCGGGGAGGCCGAGAGGGAGGTTGGGGAGTTGAGGACGAGGATGGAGGAGGTTAGGGGAGGTAATTAAGCGGGGTGTAGTATCGCAGTTCTGACCGCTGAAGGAACCGCTAAAGTGTCGGCATTTGCTTTTGCAGATTACGAAGCAAAGCTATCCCAATCCTCGGAAGCCCTGGCATCCGCCCTCGCCTCCTCCTCCACGTCCCAACCAGTCGCCGCACCAACATCGAGCGAAGACCAGGACACGGTCGTTGCGGAACTGAGGGCCCAGTACGACGCCGCACAGGAAAATGTGAAACGGCTGACGAACGAAAAGACGCTTTTGATGGATCGGTTAACGCAGATGAAGAATAGTATTGTGCCGAAGTTGCAGGCTGAGATGGTATGCGTGTGACCTGCGTACCTCGTGTCAACACGATCACAGATTCATCATAAGTATGATCGTATAATTGTAGGAAACCGCCCAATCCCTCCGCACCGAACTCCACCACACCCAATCCCTCAACACCCACCTCCAATCCTCCTACACCCAATCCCAACAAGACCTCCTCATCGCCCAAGAACAGCTCTCCCGTCTCCAAACCGACCTCGACCGCCTCCGCGCCCATTTAGTCGCCACTGAAGACGCGCAGCTTGCTGAAGCTACACACACCGAATCCATCATCACATCCCATTTGACGCGGATCGCGACACTCGAAGGGCAGGTAGCGACAGCGGAAGAACGCGCAGCCCGCGACCGAGATGAGACCCGCATGGCATTGGAACGTGTCGAAGCGATGTTTGAAGCCCTCGAAGAGCTCAAAGGCGAACTACGCAAAGCCGAACTCGAAAAAGAACGCGAGGCGGAAGCCGCTGCGAACCTCATGCGCGTCTTGTCCGAGTTCCAGGACTCTAAGCAATCCGAAGTGGACGCTGCTGTTGCGGGTGTACAGAAACGATGTGATGAACTGGCACGCGAATGTGAGAATTACAAACGCCGCGCAGAGGCCGCTGAGAGCGCCAACACCCTCCCTGTGGATGGCGGTGGCGACTCAACAGAAGGACAAATGACCCTCCCACAACTCCTTGCCCAAAAAACCGCCCAGATCGGCAAACTCCGCCACGACGTCGCCCTCCTGCAATCCCACCTCTCCGAATCCCTGCGCCGGTTACACGATATGACTTCGTCCGGTGAACTGCTCGATCGGGCGGTGGTGGCTTCGCTTGTGTGTTCGTTTTTGGAGTTGCCGAGGGGGGATCGGAAGCGGTTTGATGTTCTGAGTGTGCTTGCCGGGGTGTTGAGGTTGGGGGAGGAGGAGAGGGTGCGGTGTGGGTTGAGTAGGGGGGTGAGCAGTGGTGGGGGGTGGGGGATGTGGGGGAGGGCGCCGGCGCCTGTGGAACAGAGGAGGGAGGTTGGGGTTGGTGAGGTATGTGTTTTTGCTGTTTTGAGTTTGGGAAAAGAAATGGGGCGTCAAATTTCCAGGTGTAACTCTTTGTATTTCCGCTTTCTTCAACAGTCATTCACGGATATGTGGATCTCGTTCCTGCTCAAAGAATCCTCCAGCGGGACCCAACAACAATCGGCACCCACGATGCCGACACTGTCACCCGGAACGTCCGCCTTTTCCCTTCCCGGTGGTTTTGCGCCCACCGCCACCGCAAATACGCATACGGAATCTGCACCACCACCACCACAATCATCTTCCGCGCCGCTGGTGCAGCCACTACAAAAGCAGCCATCAACACCCCTCCAGCAACACACCCCCTCGGCATCCACACCTACACCCGCTGCACCTTCTACGAACGAGAACACACAGCCCCAGATGCAGTCAGCGGACTCCGGCTCGGCAGCCGGAAGCCCGGCGTCGGATCGGAGGCAGAAGGGGTTGGTTGGGAAGGCTGATTGATGTGATCATTGAATAGGTTTGCGGCCAAGTGATGGGATCTTTGTGGATGCGGTTGTATTTAGGATGGAGACTACGTTGTAATCTAAAGCCTCATATGACATTACCCAACGGCACTCACACACACTGTAGACTGAAATGGATGGTCTCTATTCCAAACGGGCGAACGGTAAAAACAAAAGTCCTTCCCGAAAACATTAGTCTCTCAATCCATGAACGATATCACGTCACTGGCATCTGAGGTATATAGCTCACGCCTATATCGTCAGCGTCGTCATCACAAATCACAATGCGAACGGAATTGACGATCACAACCTCCAACGCAACATCAACCGTCTCGCCGACTAGCATAGTAGCCCGCATCCCAGTCTGCTGGTCAGCGAGACAGTAGGTGTGCTGATGGAATCCTGGAGCTGACTTCTCGGCCGCCGCCGCCCGCAGTCACTTGCTTCCCACTTTGCCGCACTTTGCCGGAGTAACTGGCACACCTGATCCTTCAGGTGGGTGATGGGGCGGCGGCCGTGGCTGGGTTATCGGCTGCTGGCGACCTGGCGGTGCGTGGAGATAAGCTCGAGATCACTACGATGGCGAGAACTCCATGGGCGAACGCGTTCACATTGTCACTTCCAGATACCCAGGGAGAACAGAACTACGACTGAACTGTAAGTGTAACGGAACCGCCTACGACTTCTCTATATTATGTACATGATGAATGCTACAACAAAAAATGCTACGAAACGAATAAATTACCCACTGGCCCTTCCCCCCTTTTCCCAAGCTTTTCACGCCATATCTCCTACGTCTTGGCCCTCTTAGCAAACCGATCCAACCCACTCCTGGCTTTCTCCTCTCCGTCACCCCCACCAGCATCACTCGAACGCGCCCGTTTCCGCTCGTTTTCGGCAGCTTCCCGTTCCTTTTGTTGTTTTTCGAGTTGTTCACGGATTTCAATCTAAGCCATGTTGATGAAATGGTTTAGTGGAGAAACTGGAAGTGTGCGGCTTTTGAAAAGCTTACCCTCTTTTCGTCAACGACGTTGGTCTGTTTACGAAGGTATCGCCGCATTGCTGACGATTTGCCGCGCTTTTTGTGCTGGGGGACAAATTTCTGGCCGGGGTGGTTTGCCTGCGGGCGGAACGACAAACGAATAGTGGGTACATCATCCTAAGCACCGGCATCCCCAGATGCGCGGGATGGGAACATACCTCCCACTCAATCCTCGCCTCCTCCGCAATAACCTCCGCCGGCGCCCGATCCACAGACCCAACAAAGTCAGCCTTCAGCGTAATCATCTCCGGCTGGATCTTATCCAACAGGGCATGCACCTCCGTCTCCCTCCGCTGGCTCTTTGTCTGGAAGGGGTTAGCTTCCATGGTGTCGAAGTTGGGCTCACCGGATCCGGGCACCACAATGGAGGAGATGCCGGAGGTGTGCCCAATACCGAGGACATCTTCGTAGGGGCAGAAACGGAGGGACTGGATGGTGGTGCTGGGGGAGAGGTGGGTCATGTAGGGTTCCTTTTGTTTTGTTAGAAAGGCGTTTTTCCAGATCTGTGCGGGTTTTGAGAGCGGGGTGATATTTTTTTATTGTGAGCATAAAGCAACGAACGAAATGAAAGACACAAATGCATTTCCGATCGTCACTTACGCTAACGTTGGGTCCGTAACCGACAGCCAACAGCCCCTGCTGCGATATCGACAGCGTTGAAGCCGGGCTCTTTGTGTAATACGACTGCAGCTCCTTATACGTCCTCAGATCCCACAACTTCATGCGACCATCCAGACCAGCTGTGGCCATGTAATGTCCCGCCCTATCAATCGCAATCGACTTTACCGGCCCGCGATGGCACAGCATCTTGACCAGCGGCGCCGTCACCGTCGGCGACCACAGCGTCACCGTCCCATTCGCATGTCCGAGATGCATAATCGCATTGTGCGGGTTCTGCGTCATCGTGTCGCACTTCCCCAGCCGCGTCTTCATCTCCGCCACCAACTTCCCCGTCGACGTGTCCTGGTACTTCAAGTATCCCGCATTCCCGACCGTCGCGAGCAAGAAATGGTACGGCAGGAACTCGAGCCTATTAACCTCGATATGCGACCGCAGGCAGTGGATCTCCATCCCCGTGTTGTCGTATAGGTACGTGTACTTTTTCTGCGCAACCGCGAACATCGTCTCGTTGTGCAGCCACGCCACATCCCGCGTCGTCTCTTTCACCTGCAGCTCGCACCCCAGCTTCCCCGTCTTCCAGTCAAACGTCGCAATGTGCCCTTTCCGCCCTCCGATCAGCATGTTGCGCCCGTTGCGGGTATAGTCGAGGCTGTAGGGTCCGAAGTCGTCCAGTTTCAGGCTAAACATCTTTTGGGTGGTGCTGGCGTCGACGTTGTCTTTCAGCTGCTTTTGTGTAAACTTCCATGTCTTTTCGAGGCCTTCGGCTTCGAGGTATCCGGCTTCCTCCGGCAGCAGGAACTCGGCCTGTGCTGCTTTCCATGCTGCTGCTTTCGCGGCTTTCTCGGTCTTTGTCAATTTCGCTTTCAGTTTCTTGTCTTCGATATTCTGCAAGGAAGAATAGTCAGCCTCCGTGAAAAGCAACCCTCCACTTGCTCTCATTCTCTATTTCACACAACTCACCCGAATAGGAAAACTACTATCCCCAGCCCGATCATACTTCTTCGACGCCGCAGCCTGCTTCTTTGCCTCGCTGGCCATTTTCGTTGCAAGTACCGCATCCTTGGCGTTGTTGTAAGGTTTGCCGGACTGGTTGGTCCCGCTGCCGGATAATGCGGCTGCTAATACCTTCGCCGTTGCGGGAGTCGACATTTTGTTGAATAAGTGGGCGGGAAGGTGAAAAGTGCTCCCGGAACGCTGTTGCCCTTGTTGCCGTTGGGATACGTAGATTCGCTCTGTCGTGGAGGGCTCGGCTATATCTTGCGTTCCAGCTGCCAGCAACTACGCCAATGACCCAAGTCTCTCAAACTCCCCAGAAGCGAAAAGTTCGAAAACAAAAAACGAATAACGAAGGAAGTCCAATTCAACTGCCCCAGTCACGTGGCTTCCGCTCAAGGTTATAATCCTCAACGGCATTTGACACTTCCAAGTCCAGAACCCTTCGAACATGGAAAAGGGAGCATATTACACAGCGTTGAACAGATTGAAGCTCTTCTTGAGGACATACATACGTGCATTCCATACGATGTATAAGGCGCCCAAAACACGCGAAACCCTCTTGCGTTGTGCATGAACGAGGTGTATGTATATAACAATGGGGCAACACTCCTATAGCCTGTCTCTCAAAAAGCGACGGTGTGTTTCTCATGCCGTAATAGCTGCCAGCGATGCCCCCACTGCATCGAGCACACTTCGCACGGGGATTGATGAGACATCGAATTTTCGACTAGGCCTTATATTAGTGATGAGTGAGATAAGCGGCATCGTTAGGGCCTTAGAAGTGACTTCATGCTTTTATTGGGTCCTTTCGGTTTCGTCCCCCTCAACGGTCTCAACTCTTGGGGAATCAGAATCGTGCGAGAGCGACGCTTCGGGGTTAGGAAACTGGGACGTGCTGGCGGGCTGGGGCGCCGGAAAAGCTGGGGAGCAAGCTTTTCAAGGGTGGGAGTGCCGGAGATGATAGAGTTACTCCGGGTGGTAAGACGAGGCTTCACTACCGCCCTCCGGTGGCTCAAAACGATCGGAGAATGCTCGGCATTCAATCTCGGCATTCGCATCGCGACGGGATGCAAAATGGGCGAAGATTACAAAACCCATCCTCAACGACTTCCAGCATCTCCCAACTCAGCTTGCCGCCAGCATCTTCAATCTCATCAGTTCGCCATCGAGGAGACTCGCAATATGCGCGAAAAGACCACACAGAATTTAGCAAAACAAGAAGCCGAAGGCAACTCTCGCCGCGGGCATAATCGCAAGGCAACCCCGGAAGACGCAAACAGCATACAAAACAAAGACCAGACCAAGTGTGCACAGCAAAAGAAGACAAGAACAAAAGACACAAGACAAGGCGAGCGAGGGTTTTTTAAAAGTTATTTATTATCTCTGTTGGACATAAAATATACGTTTACAAATTTTAAAATGTTTTTATATTTTTGTTTTTTTGGTCATGGGCAGGCTCTGCGCTCCGTGGCCGCGCCCTATTCCCTCCTATCGCTACGGAACCGTAGCGTACGGAGGGAGCGCGACCACGGAGCGGGCCATGCACCATGAATTGGGGGTTGCACTAGAAGGAGAAGAAGAAATGGAATTCAGCGTGCGAACGGGAGTGAAGCTCAACCCATCATAACGAGTATATACATACCAGGGGTGCTGACGGGCCTCCCCACGTATGGGGAGACCCGTGTGATTGAATATGGGACCCCTCCCACGCGCCACCAAAAGGCCCCCAGGAGCGAGCTGCCCAGGGGTGCTGACGGGCTTGTGGCCGACGTACAACGGAGCTCCTCAGCACCCCTGTGGACAGGACTCCCTAGCACCTTCTTTTAAAAAAAAGAAAGATACCGGTTCCTTGACCTGAGGGTGCTTGCCGAGTAGTCGCTTGTGGTAGGGAGAAGAACCTTGAGGGCCGTAGAGTAAGGACCGTTTGGGTAAGGTCGATGAAGATATGGTCGTAGAAGAAGGAGCGTCGAAAGGCACTTGTCGTGGGAATATGGCGGAGGGGTACGACGCGTCTTGCTGTGATGATGTGCTTGATCTTGGGTGTGGGTTCCGTCCGATGGGCTGGACGTGCTTTCGGGGGAGCCGACGACACTTGAGCCTTGAGCGGTAAGAGCGTGGGAAACTTGCATGTCGTAGGTAGACACGGCGAGAAGAGGAAGTTTCGAGACGCGCGTAGAGGAGGTAAGGCCTTGCGAAGACGATTTTCCCACGGTCGCAAGATGAGCATCTTGAAGAGCGTACATGCTTGCCGGGTGCGCCGAAAGCGGGTATAGAGGTAGAGGGTGCTTGAGACCGTGAAGGTAAGAGCGTAGGCGGGTTGGACTCGATCGCAGAGGATCAGACCTGCGCAGAATGCGCCCGAGAGGAATGCGTCGACGAGTTGAGAATCTTGAAAGTGTTGACCGAGGCTGTGTCGCGTAGCGTAGGGTATGGACGTGCGTTGCGCTGACAACCTTGACCAGCAAGTGTTGCTGCGTTGCTGTGTTGTTGTGCTCAAGCCAGATTGAAGAAGGCAGACCGGCTGAAGAGAGGTATAGGCCGTGGGAAAGTGCGTTGGGAATGAAGAAAAGGAAGAGAAACTCGAGAGGAGGGGTCGCCTTTTATGCTGCGCACGCGAATTAAACTTGGCCGACGCGTCATGGGTCAAAGTCATGTGACAAGTCACGGGTTTCGGTGCGCTGGATGGGGCACGACAGCGCGACTTCGAATAGCATGGCTGTGCCACCCGCAATTCAGGGGTAGAGTGTCTCAGAGAAGCTTCTCCTTCGACGGGGGCACCGCGTGAGAGCCATCGCCAGTCAGGTCAAGCGTGCGTCAAGGAGAGCGTTCTGCTGATTGCTGAGCTTCTCAGAGCGATCTCACGCAGGGGCATCTGACAAAGACAGACAAAGACAGAGACACCCATGGTACTAATAATAAGTAAGGACGCGTTACGTTGTTGCTGCGCTGCTGCGCGGATTACAATCGCCTACAGGAGAGTGAGCTTACGAAGAATCCCTGGGAATCCCTAGGAAGGTCGGAAGCCTTTTTCATTCCCCATTTGTGTCAGGGTGAGCATTTCCCTTGCTGATGACGCTGCGACGTAAGCTTCATGAGGACGCCAAATGTCCACCTTATCTGATTACGATTTGAGGGCGATCCAGGGCGGCAATCCGCTGCGAAGTCCGAACTCTGCTGCGAACACTTTGCTCAGCAAAGTCCGCTTGTGGGCCGTTGGGGCCGAGGATCCCTCAGTGCCGCGGGGTTTGAGGAATCCGTGGATGCCGTCCCTGTCGGTCGCGTCAATGGGTCCTGCGAATATACCTCCTTCTTTTTGTCTCGTCGTCATTATATTGCTTGTGGGCGGTCCCATTGGCGAGTGGGAAGACTCCGTTGAGCTCAGATATACTGTAGATACAGGTGTGATGGGCGTGATCGGTAGTGCTCTTTCTCCTTGAACATAAGTGAATCTGCCGAGTTTCACTGTAGCAGCGGAGCACGAAGCCGCTGGCAGATGTAAAGAGAAGGCGAGATGTGGCGAGACCGAGGCCGAGCGCATCCCCGAAAGCCAGGTGGATATACTGTACATTTACGAAAATAGGGCTTTGTCGCGGTCCGCTGACGATCCCGACTGGTGAAACACGATGTAATTCTGCCTGTTGAAGTCAAACTTGCTAAGAGCTGGCCCATGTAGACGTAGTGACGAGCGCCACTCGGCCAGCGACCCAGAGTTCATCTCACTATTAGCCAGAAGAAGGACTCCATGATAGATCTCGAGCAGACAAGCATAAACGTGGTAGAATCGTATTGCTGCTCAGCACCGCACAGATCTTGATTCGCAGACTAGATACTACAAACTCTGCATACCCCTTACGCCGCTGACATCCATCCCATCCATCGCATCCAACAGCAGAGTCCTTTCCACATCGCAGTCGCGCATCCATCGCGTTTAGTTTGCACTTAGTTCATGAGGAGATTTGCGGTCGGCCTCATCGGGGATTTCCCGTGGAGCGACCTGGCAGGGATGCGAACGGGTCGTCAATTCCGTGCAAGAAGCGGCGGCAAGCAACCATGCAATGAAACAACACTCACCCCAACCCGCCCATCAACCAATTTCCCACTCGCCACTTCCAACGGCACCGTCTGGTCCTCAAACACCTTCCCTTCCATCTTGCCCTCCCCCCCACTTTCTCCCTTCCCTCCACTCCCCGCACTCTTCGCATTCCCACCCAGGATTCCCCTCGTGACCACTCGCGCAATAGCCGCTCCCTGCCGATTGGCCTCCTGCTCGACCCGCCCCTGGTCCGTCAACGGCGGGGCCTCGCCGCCGCGCAGCCAGGTGATCCATCCGAAGACTGAGCAGGTTACGGTGATGACGGTGAGGGTTAGGAAGGCGGGGTTGCGGAGGCCGCGGAACAACCGCTTGGGTGGGTGAAGGTCGAGGGGGGGATGGCTGTTGGTGGGATACGTGCGTACGTTAGTGAATCATGCGGTGTATAGGCGGATGTCGGCTGGGTGACGTACGGCATTGTAGTTGTTTGTGTTTCTGGGAGAGGCAAACGACAAGTGGATGATACTTTTCTGGCGGTTCACTGGAGTATTGGCGAGTGTGTTGCGAATGGTGACGGTGATTGTCGTCATCTGTGAGATGATAGGATTGCTACGTTGAGCGTGTGGTTTCCAGACGTATCATGAGCCGTCGATGCCAGCGACGCCGACAGAGACAAAACCAAACGAGTGTCATGTCGCACGTGTCATGACAGCAATTGTCATCCCCACTATAGTCCCCCCCCCGTTCCAAATGTATTACCATCGTTGGCGTCAAAAATCACAGAAGTCGGACCCAAAGATATGTACATCTCCAAAGTTCCCACCTCCCCAACCCCCCGTCACCCAGAATGACGCCTACACTCACTGGCGCAACGCACCATTCGAAATCGAATACGGTCGGTGAATACTCTTTGTATATACGTGAACTCTGGATTTTTCCGGGGTGCAGGTAGTGATGGATGCTAAAGGGCAGCGGAGGAATATCTCGCCACAGCATGACGGGTGGGGGTTATGCGGGGGGGCCGTCATTGGTGATATCGACAGCGCGTGCTCTTTGAGGGCACTGTCAACACTATTTCCCACAACCTGCGCACGTTACCTCCATAGAGGTTTTCCAAATCTTGGACGCCGCTGGCTCTCGGGACGTAGCGATGGTCACACTCTCTCACCCAAATTCGGACCGTATATTCCGCGCGTACGAAGGGCCCCCTGTCGGTTCCGGCCAATCCACTCCGGTGCATATGCGGCCCACCCACACCCTCAACCATAACCCCAATCCCAATCATGTTTCATGTTTTTCATGTTTCTTTTTTGCATTACACGTTATTACAAAACCCTTCCTTCACAAATCCAAAAAACATACGGGGAGGGATGTGTGGGGGTGTTCGATTGTCCTGGCCAACCCAAAGCACTCATAGCCCGCACCCCTTTTCCCGTTTCCCAAAACCCATCGTTTTCATCCGCGTCTCCCAAAAAAAAACAGTTTCCAAAAACCGTGAAACTCATGTATGCGCGGCACCGCACGCCTCGCTTCCCTCCTCGCTCTATTCGATCCGCAGTGTCGTTCCCCTGTGTCGTTTTTTCGCGACATGTTTGCTTTGTGACCGACCGCCCACAATCCCAAAAACCAAAAACAAAACAAAACAAGACAATCGTCCTTAACTCCCCCAACATCCATCACATAAGATGGTCTCGTCACTCACTGCGCAGCCCTCCCCTGATCCCCCTCCCCCTCCTTCTCCCCATCCCTCTTAACCCGTCTCTTGCGGGCCTTCCCCGGCTTCCCGCCCCAAAAGCGTCCCTCCCAAACCTGCTCAAACTCACAGAAGAAACATACCCAGTCCGCGTTCGCCGCACCCCCGTTCGCGTCGGCCAGCGCGAGGGAGAACGGCAACGAGGATGACGAAGCGCCCCCCGCGGGGGACGGTTTGCGCTGCCCTTTGGATTTGGTGGGTGAGGGTGTTGTGGACGATGCGGGGTTGGGTGGAGCGTTCTGGGTTTCGGCGGGATGGGCTGCGGCGATGTTCCTGCGCACGCGGTCGTGGCGTTCGCGCAGGTCTTTGACGTAGCGGGCGCGGCGGTAGCGGGGGCCGAAGAGGGGGAGGGTGAAGGTGTGGGTTTGGGTTGTCTCCTTCGCTACCTCTTTTCCGCCTTTTCCGCTTTTCGCTTCTTTGGATTCCTTCGCGTTCTGTTTCGGTCCAACTGGTGTTGTCGATTTCGCCTGATCTTTAACATCCAGAGTCTTCACCCCGCCGCCCCGTCTCGCAGGCAATTTCACTGCAATCGTGGTCGGCGCAGGTGGAGGAGCCGGGGCCGGGGCCGGTGCAGGAGGTGCAGCCGCCGTTCCATTCGCAGGAACCGGAGGTACCACCGGGGCACCATTCCCCGCCTCCCCATCACCTCCATCATTCTTCTTCTTCTTATTCTTCTTATTCTTCTTCTTATTGTTCACTTTCCCAGCGGGTTGTTGGGTTGTTGTGGGTGGGTATGTAGGGGGCAGCTGCTGCTGTTGTTGCAGGGCTGCAGCCCCGTTCGTGACTGGTTTCGCGGCAGTCGTACCACTGAGAACGGCCCCGCTTTTCGATTTCTCGCCCGCAGCATCGCCATTCACAGCTTTCTTGACCTCCGCGCCCTCCTTGACACCAACACCATTCTTTCCCTTCCCGCCGTTACTGTTGTTGATGTTGTCAAAGTTGCCACTCAGCCCCGTCACCCTCGTCACCCCACCGGCACCCCCAAACAAATACGGCACGTCCCCAAACGCCAGCGATGGCGGGGCGGCCGCCATCCCTCCCGTCGCGCCAACACCGCCGCCCCCCATGCGGGAGGCAGGGGCGCGGCCCGCGGTGTGCATCGGTCGCGGCGGGTTCGGGTTCGGGTTCGGTTGGTAGGTGTATGGGTTCGGGTAAGGGTACGACGACGGGTTGTTCAGGTATCCCAGGCCGCCGGTATTCATGAGGTTGGGGTATTGGCCGAATTGGGTTGGCGGGTACGGCGGGAAATGTCCAAAATTCGGGGTAGTGGTGGTGTTGAACGTCGTCGGCGGCGCGGAGGATACGACCTTCGGCTGACAAACACTCACAAGCCCCTTCCTCAACACCCCCCTCGCCCTCTTCCTCAACCTACTGTCCCCTTTCCCCTGTTTGCCATCCACATGGAAATCCAACACCAGCCAATCGGCCCCAAGACTGTCCGCGAGTGTAGGCCACGTCCGCCCTGTGTCGGACGTTTCGCGGAGGTCGGGGATGAGCAGGGGGAGTGGGGGTGGGATTGTGAAGTTGTGGGTGGGGAGGTTGGTCGGGTTGTGAGGGTCCCAGGGGGGAAAGAGACCGGTGGGTGTTGTGGAAAGGAGTGGACGTGAGAGGCCGAACCCATTATTGTTACCGCTGTTGTTGAAATCGGTCGAGTAGCTCATCCCACCGAGCCCGAGTGCCGTCGTCGACGGAAGTGTGAAGTACGGCTGTTGGTTTGTTGACGCTGATGTCGCATGCCATTGGGAGAAGGCCCCAGGGGTGGGTTTGATCCCCCCGTCGGATGTCACGAACGCGGTATTCTCAGAGTTCTGCAGGTTGGTTCCAAGAAACGACATAGGACTCTGATCCGCGGTGCTACCCTCATCAAACGTCGCCGCGGTGCCAGGTAGCGCGCGTTTCTTGTTTTTGTTGAAGAACACCCGCGCCGCGCTGGGGGCGGGGTTCATGGCGCACATATCAGTGAAGCTCAGTCCAGTATCCATCGGAGGGATCCCAAACGCCTGATTCGCCGGCTCCTGCTGTGTGGCGGAAGCAGAGTCAACCGGCCCATCCGTGCCATACATGGCCAAGTACGCATCACACACCTCCCTCTCCTTCCCTGGATCCGTGTCCAGCTCCGGGACCTGATCACCGTGCCCCGTAACCCACGCTTCGAATTGGGCTTTCGGGATGTCCATCCCGGCGAGGTGGAGGGTCTCCCTGCCGAGGATATCGCGTGATGCGCTGACGTTACGGGGCTTCCGGGGGGAGAGACTGACGCCGTGGCGGAGTTTCTTTTTGGGGAGGATTTTGATTGGGCGGTGGTGTGGGGTGGCCGGGATGGTCGATGGGGGGAACATGGGTTGGTAGGTCATGTGCGGCACCGACATGGGGTTGGCGAGGGTCGGCGGTGGGGGGATGGAGGTGGGTATGACGGAGGGCGGGAATACTGAAGCGAACGCTGTCGAGGCCGGGGCGTGTAGGGGCGGTTGGGACTCCCTGCTGGTAGAAGCGGGTTTGCTGAGGGTTGGGAAGGTTGGGAGGTAGAAGGGTTGGGGTGGCTGTTGGGTAGGTGCGGAAGTCGGTGTGGAGGTGGCCAAGGTCACGGGGAAGAGGTTGACCTTGGGTGGTTTTCCCAGTGGTGTATCTGCTGAAGTGGTATAGGGCCCCGTCATCGGCGGCGGTGGGGTGAAAGTGAACTGTGACGGTCTGGAGGACGCTGGATGTTGACCTGATCATACAAAACACACCGACATTAGAACTTGTAAGACCACATGCGCTCTTGGCTCTAAACCATACGCTAACAATGAACTCACCAATCTTCCCCTTCCCAGTCTCCGCCGTCGTCGCAGCCCCACCCGTATTCCCCGGCTTCCCAATCCGCCCGGGCATCGGCGACTGCGTGTGCGTAAACTCAAACTGGAAATTAAACATAGGCCACGGCAGTGGCGTCGACCCCGGGATAGGCGTCCCATATCCGGTTTGCGACGTCGTTGACGAAGGACCGGCTCCATTACCGTTATTGATATGTTTTTTGAAGTCGACTACTGGGGATCTCCGCAGCGTGGACGGCGCCACCGGGCCGGTAGATGGTGGTATCCTGGGCGGCGGCATTGCTTGTTTTTCAGAGGTGGTGAATGGCGGGGGTGTGTAGACTGGAACGCCGGAAGACTGTGGGAGTGGGACACCTTCCGCACCCGGTCTCGTCGGGAATGCCGCGAATTCAAACGGTGCGATGAACGTAGATGGACGAGTCCCAGCTGGGCCTGCAGGGGGGGTATTCGCCACAGCCGCCGGTTTCGCGGAGGGTATATGAGGTTTTGTCGGAGAGAGGTTCGCTGCCGGCTTCGCGTCGTATGCAGCGTGCAGTGCCTTCGCTTCCGCCGTCGAACTCCCCGGATCCACACCCTGTTTCGACGGAGAGAGTCTCGCTGCCTGCTTTGCCTCATATGCAGCCTGTACCGCCTTGTCTTCCGCCGTCGGACTCCCCGGATCCACACCCTGTTTCCCTCCTGATCCACGCTGGGGCGGCGTGAAGATCGTTCTATACTCCACCTGTACGACATTCGGGTCATCCCATGGTAGTGGTTGTCGGGACCCATTGGACATAGTGGGTCGATCGGTGGATGTGGGTATGTCGGCGGCTTCTGCCGCAGCAGCGGATGTGGTTTGGTCGACTCTGAGGGATGGGTTTACGGTTGTTCGTTGGTGGTGGAATGCGGGGGAGAAGGATCGGAGGCCGATGTGGTGTGATGATGTGGGGCCTGTGTCGGGTAGGAGGAATGGCTTTGACGGCTATATACAAAGAGAGGAGTGAGGCGATGAGTTTGTAAGACACACGGCAAGTGACGGAAAACTTCAAATTATGTGGGGTGTGAATCCGATGATGCGGCTCGTTCTTGACCCCCACGAACGTCTCAACCTGCTCATACTCACCGGATTGCGTGGATTTTGCAGCATGTATGGCTTCTGTTTGACGTCTCCTTCACCGTTCTTCAGAGGCTGCTCTTTCAATGTCACAATAGCTGCCGGAGCAGCGTCGAACACAGCCGGGACACTGCTACCTTCAACCGCGTCGTCGCTGCTTCCGTCTTCTTCTTCGTCCTCGTTATCGTCGTCCTCGTCCGTTTCGGCGTCGGAAGCAGACTTTGACACGTCCACCGGGATCTCCGCTGTCGAACTCTGCGGCGGCGGCGGCACGTTTCCCAATTCACGTTGAGTATTATTCGAGACAGACTTTCTCTCAAGTCTCTCAAGCCGTTTCCGTAACTGTCTATGATACCGCTCTTGTTCCCACGTCGACGTCGCCGGGTCTGGGTTTGAGGGTGGGCTCGGTGGAATGGCAGCGGCGGCCGGAGCAACTTCCAAGGAGGTCTGCGCCTGACCCATTTTGACAGCCGCACACGCACGACACCGTGGGGGCTGAGCGGGCGGCTGCGGCTGGATTGCGGAGCAGTGACCTGCAGCACTTGAGCTGTGGTCCGGTGAAGCGGTATTTGGTGGATAACGGTGATTATTGAAGGTGTTTTGTGGGGGTGTTCTGGCCTTCTCCGCCCGAGTCCCCAACGTGTCAAAAGCGGCAACTCTCGCCCCGCGCGCAATGGAGGGAAGGCAATCCAAAAACACAAACAAATAGCTTCCGTTGTGGTTCGCAGTGAAGCCCTTTCCTTCTCCCGGAACCCCCAGTCAGTCGTTGTCCCCTGGGTTGGGTGGGTGGTCGCTGTTTGCGGGCCTGTGATACTGCAAGTGTGCGGTAAGCAAGCGGCTCCCTGTGGGCCTCCAGTCCTGCGAGAAGTGGCTTGTGACGCGTTCGACATCCCACACCACGTTGGGCCAGAACCCACCCCTCCACCGCTTGTGCTGTCAGGCCCGGGCGGACAACCCAAGCCTCATACCTACTGTACTGACGCAGAGAGTGACTGCATTGGGCCCATGTTATGCTTTGGAGGAACGGCGGGCCAGAGCGCATCGGAACTCTCCGGCGCTGGCCGCTGAAGGAGAGACATCATGAACACCTAATAAGAGAGCCTAAGCTTGGACGTTCGTTGTGCAACATGGATCGCTCAAACAACTATGAGGGTAGAACACATATCTCGCCCATTCAACCCAAATTCATAATATCTGCCGCATCAAATATAGCGCAACGTCTGCCGTAGTCCAGTAGTAGTCTGCATCTGCCTGTGGACGAGAAAGTCCCAACCGCGTTTCTTCGCGTCTCCCGTCTGCTTATCTCATCCTCCGCCCTGATTGGCTCCTCGTTCGGATGCATCATCCCAGTGCGACCGCCTGGCTCCTATAAAAGGAGGAACTCCCGGCCTTTTTCTTCCCAGCACAACGAATTCCCCAAAACATCGACATCTGAAAACGACACCCACCCTCCCAGTGCACGAAAACGGACGACGGTGATTTACGAGGAGACGCTCCCTCCCTCATTCACCCTCCTCCCTTTATGCTGCACCGAGAGGCGGTCTGGAAGCCTGCCTTTCCGCAATATGAGTGACCTGAGACCCGAACGCACACACACAAACACACACACACATACACACACACAGAAGAAGAAACCACCACCCCGTGATGAGACGCTTATGATTCCTTTGGCTGGATGATATAACTTCATGATTATAACCTCAAGTTTTCGCTAGATAATATCTCTGATGGGTGGTTTTTCTTCTCTGTGCCTGTTGTTTGTGTGTGTGGTCGGGCCGTTTTTCGAGAACGCTCGCGGTTTGTGGTTGATGGTCGTCTTCGTTATGGTCGGACCGTGGGGAGCTCGCTCACCGTCGCCGTAGGGAAGGAAAATTGCGTTGGCAGTTCAGGCTTCTGTTCATGCGCGACCAGTGGGGTTCCTGCTTCTGCTTCTGAACAGTCGCTTCTCGTTTGCCGTGCCCCCTTCGTTATGTGCCTTTCGCCTGCCTTCCCATACAGTACCTAATCTATATTGGCAGGTCCATGTTACACATCCATGTTTTCGTCCGTATGTTTTCGGACACATGTTTTCGTATTCACCCAATTGCGCATGGCAGAGCCAGGTCCGGAGTCCAGAATGGATGCCATTACGCCGTGACACCTCAAGTCCATATCTAACGTACCGCTACAGAAACTACAACCTAGCTAACAAGAGTGTCTAAAAAAAGCCTCGTGGCCCGCATTCCACCAAGCGGGAAGCGAACAAAGTTGCCACCTCGCACAAAGTCAAAGTCAAAGCGGAAGCGACGCACCGAAACTGTAGCCTCCACGTACAGTGTTGCCGCGTTAACGAGCCCTAACCCGATTCCTCTGCTGCTCCCTCACCTTCATCATCTGCATCTGCATCTCCATAATACCCCTAAATTCCCCCAAATCGATCGTGGTCTGCATCGGCAGTTCCTTCGGCGCCGCAAACTCATTTGGGGAGCCGTGGACGCTCATCGGGAGTGTGAATGGGATGGTGATATTTTCAGAGGAGGAGGGGACGCGGAGGGTGGCCTTTCCGGTGATGAAGTGCGTGCAGGAGAGGAAGACGCCTGTGTCGAGGGTGTCGTGGTATTTTTCGAGGGAGGTGAGGCGGAGGGGGAATGTATGTGTTTTTGGTGCTGTCCCGGTGTTTTCATCGCGGACAGTGATATCGGCTTGCTCTGAGAGACAAGTGATATCCCCGTACTTGTCGTGCAGATGATCGTCAAGCACCTGTAACGGCGGGGTGGTTGGCGCGTCACGTTGTTTCGCAGCAACACTATCCGCGATTTTCTGTTTCAGGACGTAGGTGATGGAATCGAGGGTGGCCGATGCAGGGGCGACGGAGACGGTGAGGTTGATCGGTGTGGGGTTGACGAGTGTTCCGTTGCGCATCATGATGCGTTTGATGGTTGTGATCGTGAGCTGCACGGGTCCATCTGTTACCAACACCGTCTGTTCGTTGGATGTTGTTGGAGCTGGAGCCGCGGCGGCCGTGGGAGTGAACGCGGGTGCCTCCTCCTCTTCAGAATCCTTCGTGTACGTGGGTAATCTCTCGGCTTGCAGCACGGCCTCGTTATAAGAGATAGGCGCCTCCTCAACACCCACAAGTAGCTTCTTGATCCTAAGTCCGCGTTGAGTGGCGATTTCCGATTTGCGGAAGCCGAGGAACCCCTTTGCGGGGACGATGACCGCGCGGAGCTTGTAAACGATGCTCGCGTGCGTTGCGCGCATGGAGGTGAGGGATTTCGGATCGAGTGTGAATTCGAACGGAAGGTCGTGTGTGCCGGCGGGGAGAATGTTGTCTCCATGCGAGTGAGATGAGGCAGGGGGGGAGGAGACGGCGTCGGTTAATGTCGATAATGTCGAGGTAGCCAGCACCTTCCCATGTTCCCAAAGCACCGCCTCCTTCGTCAGGAACGTTTTCGCCCTCATCCACGGCTGGGGATCCCACACCCGCTGTTCCTTGACACTGGGAAAGCCCGCGCGTTCCATGTTGGCGGTCTCTATGCCTAGCAGGAGGAGTCGAATCGAGTCTGCCTTGTAATGTTCTTTGAATTCGATGTGGAGATGGCCGCGGACTCGGAGCTGCTGTTGGGTTGCGAGGTCTTCGTTGACGTCGGCGGCGGGGACTTCGAGGCCGGTGAGAGGGTGGATTGTGCGGGCGAGGGAGGGGACTTGAGAGAGCTGGATTTGGAAGGTGAGGAGGGAGGAGGGCCAGTTGGCGGGCTTGTCTTGTGGGGGGTCTGGGGTAACCATCATGGTGTTCTATTATACGGAAGTATTGGTGAGTTGGCTGAATCGCTGCATACGAATGCCGTGAGAAATAGCGTACCTCTCACTACTTCCTCTACACAAACGAGATATAACAGCTTCAAGTTGAGACCTTTAGAGCAGTTGAGAGATAGATGCCTGGGGGGGTTTCTCCACCACAGCAGCCTTTTATTCTTTGCGAGTGAGCGGCCTCCTGTCGTCGCCGGAGCCGCTGGTATTTCATCGGTGGCCCTTGGTTCCTCGCCTCGTGTACGGACGGCTCCACCCGTTGTGCAGGTCTAATAAGACAGAGGGCGGCGGCTATGCTCTCGCACGCAGACTTTTGGCGACCTATACTGTAGGAGACGCCCGTATGCCAAGGCGGATGCCGACGACGTTGTGGACATTTTGCGGCCGCTTGATTCGAACCTGCGAAGTTCTATACTGTCAAATACTGTACAAGTTTTGCGTTGTGCAAGTCGGGCCGCTCTCGGGCGTACAGTACTACACTACGTCGGACGGTACGAGAAGGACCCGAATAATTCATTATTATGTCGTAGTGGACATTTGCGGGCCCTTGGCAAGCGCTCGACGATGCAGGACCATCCATTGTACCCGTTGTACCGATGCAGACCGGCCGGGAGCTGGATAGGAGTCATAGGACGGACGGCAATGCATGCACTGGTGACTGGGCTGGCTGCCATCGCTGCCGGTCCCAGCGCTGGGCACATCACGGCGGTTGAGCGTGTGCTCCTTGGAAGATGCGCTCGTTTGGAGGATCTGCTAGGCACGTGATCGCCTGGGTCTCACGTGACTGCCGTGTTGCGCCTGCAATCAGAGCTCGGAGTATAAAAGGCAGACAAACACCCCCCCTCCCCTCTCTCTTCCTTCAGGCAGACAAACACCTCGGAGAATCGCGTTCGAAGCTGCACACACGGAGACCGGCTTCATCCGCCCCTCTCTCACATCATAGCTTCGGGGAAAGTCCTCGAACCATCAGGCAGAAAGTGTCGCCGCCAGGCACTAAGCGGGTCCTATCTCTTCCTTCGCCTTCCCAGCGACGAAAAAGGAAATCAAACCCCTCCCCCTCGGGGTCGAGACAAGTGGCTTGGCCGCCCCTTCGTGTGGCAAAGATTCCCTCAACGGATATGCCCGGCGGTTTAGCTTCTTGGTTTCGTGTTGTGGGGCTCATGGTTCTCCTTTACTCTCGCTTGGTTTTTGGAGATGTGGTTCGTTATAGCACAGTTATGCGATTGCGGGTGGTGGATACTCTTTGGGTATTCCTTCGCTCGTAACTCAACGAGGCTTACTCCTGAGCGTTTGTCTGTCTCACCCCGAAATCAAGGCGGAAACAGGAAGTAGTTCTATGATTCTGAGTTCTATGATTCTGGTATCGTCGTCGTCGTCGTCGTCGTCGTCGTCCTTCGTCGTCTTGCGTCGATACCTTCAGTTTTACGCACGTTTGCTACACTCTGTGGCTGGCCCTTACTTCTTTCCGTGGCCGGTAACAATTTTTCTGCAAACAAAAGCAAACAGCCCATTGCCGTTTCCCTTCCGGGGGACAGCGGCTTTGGGGGGGCGGCCGTTACTCACCGAACCATTTGGCTGTCCTGACCATGGTGTCGGTCTATCATTGGCTGCATATTCTGCTTCTCCTCTCCATCCTTCTCGTTGCAAGCGGATGGACATGGATTCTCTCTCCCCTTCGTCGCTTTTGTCGTCGAGGAGCGGTGATCCCAGGGGCATATCAGAAGGAGTCTCCTCTCTGCGACCTCTTGCTGCTGCTGCTGTCCGGACGCAAGCCACATTCCGCCCATCTTCGTCCGATATCCGCGCGCAGTCCAGAAGTGTGCTTTTCTCGCCGTAACCCTCTCAGGAACTAGTGCTGCTTCCACAATAACCCCCCACATACATATAGTCACTGTACCTGCCGTCTCAGTCAGCGCAAGTGTAGGTAACAGCCGCTGTGTGTCTTGTACCCAAGCTCCCACTTGCTCCTCAAAATTCTTCACGGTACCACCCACTGGAAAGGAGGAAAGCATACACACTCTGAGCAATCGTAAACAACAACATAGTCCATCCAACTTCCCCGCACTCGCCAGCCGTCTGTCAACTTGTTTCTCGGCCAGTTGTTGTCTGCAGGTGCGTTGAACTAATGCCATCCTGCCATTAGCAGAACAACGAATTCAGTATACCACCCACGCCCTGCATCCCAACCTAAAGAACAACTCCCCAAACCCAAACCTCTCTCCCAACAACCCGACATCCAGCCGTCCGCAACAGCCACCGCTTTGTCTCTCCGGAACACGCACATGAATCCCGATTCTCATGGTAGGGATCGCATCTCTGAGACATGATGACGGCGCAACAACCATCAGCGGGAGGAGGGAAGGGATACGAGGTGGAGGAGGAAGAAGAAGTCGACTCGGCAAGGATGATGGAACTGGCGTATTATCAAATTGCGTGTGGGTGGCGGGTTCGGTTGCATGGTGGGGCGGGCGATGAGGAGGAGGGTGAGGATTTGGGGAATGTGGGGGATGTGGGGGATGAGGGGGTCGGTGACGGGGTCGAAGAGGATGGCGATACCCAGGCCCTCACCCATCCCCATATCGAGCCGGAAACCGAGACCGACATCAACGCACCACCGGTGGCGGAAGCTATACCACCGCCGACGAAGGAAAGTGTCAATCCGCCAACATCCACACCACCATGTACGCCTCCCCGCATCACACCGCAATCACAATCACCGCAAACACCGCCGCGCATGCTCGAAATGGCCGCCGCACTGGCAGCACGGCTTGGCGGGGCTCATAACGTGCTTAAGGCTATACAGAGGCAGAGGGGGGGTGGGATGGAGGCTGACCATGGGAGTGGGAATGGGAGTGATGGGAACGGGGCTGAAATTGCGGGACGGGAGGCGGATGGTGATGGGACGGGGGTGGAGAACAACGACACGGATGGAGGGATGGTGGAGCAGACCGCGAAGGATGTGATGGAGATGGATGCGGTGCTTCCGGCACAGGAGACTTCCCACTCTGTCGATCCACCAAACCCCACGAGGCCCTCGCAGCTCCCTCCATCGTCCGCCCGTACGCCAAGTCCCCCGGAAACTGACAAAGACGAAGCCTCAGAAAACTCGCGATCTTCCACCTCTCCAAAAACGCGTGCATCGTCGCCGCACCGCCCACACATCTGCCGAGAATGCAAGAAGGGTTTCACCAAGAGGTATATTGAATGCCCAACTTTCAATCAATGCGTATTCTGCACCCGCACTCCTAACAAAAATCGCACCCTCTTTCCATTGTTTTTCAGTGGACATGTAGCCCGTCATATGAGGTATGTACGCCTCCGTGATGCCTTTGTGTGCCGGCCTATGAGAGATCTTACCTTCCAGTTCAACTCCCCCCTCGGACCGCACAAGAATCCACACAGGAGTGAAACCCTACCCCTGTCTCCTCCCGGATTGCCCGGCCCGCTTTTCCCGGAAAGACCATATGATGCAGCATTATCGCGCCCATCGGACCTCGCCAATGGATACCGATGACCTCCTGCGGGCTTCGTATACGCCGGGACAGGAAACGGCCACAATGCAGATTCCTGACTCTGATGAGTTGCTCACGGGTGAACACATGCAGGAATATGAGCGGAGGGAGGAGGTGGGACAGCCCGGCTCCGTGGATGAGACGCGGTGGGCGCATGTGCAGGGGTGTGGTCGGAGGGTGGGGCATCCCGAGGATGTCGAACCACTCACGGAGGCAAACACCCCGAACGCGATGGAAAATGACCCGCAGCCGGGGTCTGGCACGCCCCACCCAGCTGAACCGCGCACGGGTGAACAGATCCCGGCCAACACGATGCGAAGTGACCGCCCGCGGACGAGTTCAGATACCGGGACCGGGACCGTCGTGCTGGGGTCTGAGGTTGTTCACTCTGTTGACGCTGGGTTGGATCTGGGACCGTCGGCGAGGGAGACGGCCACGCGTCAGCCCGACTCTGGTTCCTCTGATGAATCACAACCGGCGATGGAGACCGACCCGGTGGGGGGTTCACATACCCCACTCCACACCGGAGCACATATACACCCACAAACGGTCGCGCAAGACAATACCGTTGGTGGGTTGACTGCGGCGATACCATCATCATCATCAACACCCACAAATATACCATCAACTCCTACCCCCCCGCCAACGGACTCCCTCGCTGAGCCGGGCGGCGAGTCATCGCAACCACCGGCAGACGCCCTTCGGGAACGGGGGGCTGCGGATGGACAGCGTACGCGTGAAGCGGAACAGGGCGGGTCGGAGATATCCCCCCCGCCTCCACTATCGTCAGCTACAACCACCCTTCCCGTGACCATGACCCCGTCCCACGGATCATTGATACCAACGTCCCACACGCCGCTCCCGAAAGCAGTAGCTCTCACCATTGTGGCGGCGGCGGCGACGGCGGCGGCGGCTGCCGCGGTGGTTGTGGCGCGGTATGCGGCTGTTAGGGAGGATGCCGCTGTGGATCCTGCTGGAGATGGGGATTCCAGTGGGGATGTGACGCGGGATGAACCTGGGATGTCGCCGTTGTGGGGCCAGGCATCGCTGACCACCACATCCACCGGGGATGCGAGTCAGCTGGAGACACAAGCGACGCCGGCTTCGTCGCCTGCGCCAGCTGACTCACGCGCTGGGAATGGGGACGAGCAGCAAGAGGGAAACGGACCCCTTGCACCCCATATGGGACGACCGCCTGAACCGGGTAGTCAGGGATGGGTTGGGCGGCCGCCTGAGGTTGGGGTTGGGATGAGGTTGGATGGGGTGGGTTGTGGGGGTGGGGTGGGGCTTGGAGGGAGTGGGATGGTGACGACGGGTATGGATGTCATCGCTGCCGCGTCACCGGTACCGGGGACGACCGAAGCACAGAGTCGAGATACCGCACCGAATGGGTCCCAGATTCGGACCGCTGCGGAGGCCCAGATTCGTCCGGCCTTGACTCCCGCAGCAGTAGCAGCAGCGACCACAAGTCGAACGCAGGATGAGGCCAAAACTCCCGCCGCTGCTATCGCCGGACAGCACGTTTCGACCCCGGCAGCAGCACCGACGCCAACAGATCCGAATCATACCCAAGCCGAAACGCCCGCCGCTGCTGTCGCTGGACCCACACCCGCGTCATCTCGAGCAGCACCGACGATCGCCAATCCCACCCAGGTCCATGCCAAAACGCCCGCTACTGCACACGTCGTACGCACACACACACCGTCAATTCCGGCAGCAGCACCGACGCCGACAAATTTGAATCAAACACAAGTCAAACCCTCCGCTGCGTCTGTCGCCGTAACCACACACACACCCGCTTCAGCTCAAGCAGCACTACCCGCGACCTCACATACCAAAGTCCGAACGCCCGCTACATCTATCCCCGTCCGCCCACGCGCACAACCCCCGACATCCTCCCCAGCCTCGATCCTGATAGATTCCGACGACGAACTCCTTACCCACCCCGCTCCTCCTCCAACCCCATACTCCGTCCACCGCGGCCCGTCCGGGGGTGTTGTCATCGAGATCCTCGACGACGGCCAGCCCGCTTCTTCAACACCTGCACCCCGGCGTGCATCCTCATTCTCATCCTCGGGACCCTCCATCAAACGCCCGACGTCGTCAGCGTCCCCCACACCCACCCCGGCCGATCCATCCCCAGTCCCGAAAACGGGAGAGACGAAGAAACGGAAACGCCCGTTGCCCACCCAAAGCAGGGTTGCGAAACGCCCGGTGCCGGGCACGCTGTACATCGATCTTGTCTGCGACGAGGCGGACGAGGACGGGGTGAGGCGGCCGCCGGGGGTGCGGCCTGGCCGGGCGTCGCCGGTCCGATGGCGGGTGAAACAGGGCGGGAATGCTGGGAAGACGGGGGAGCCGGCGCGGAGTGAGCTGCGACGCAAACATGGCGATGGAGAGGAGGAGGGAGGGGGGCGTGTTGAGAAGAAGGTGAAGCGCGATCCTGAGGAGGGGGAGGACGAGATGGGTGGGGATGCCGGAATGAGTGTGAGTGGGAAGGGGAAGCAGCCGGTGTATGGCCCGCATACAACACTGCACCACCCGAGACAGGACGCTGCTGATCATCGCAGTGGGGCCAACACGGCCTCCTACCGCGCGAAGGATGATACGAAAACGAGAGAAGTAGTATACTTTGAAAAAGGCGGTAGGCATGCGGAGGGGAACGCAGTGGCGGCGCCAAAATTCCGGTCGCAGGAACACAGCCCTGACCCGTTGACCGAGCTGGCGGGCGAGAAGGCCGCGTCGGAGACTCTGAGCAAGGAGATTGGGAAGATGCGGGACAAACTTGGTTGGGCGAGGGGGTCGAGCGGGACGGGGGTGTATGATTCGGGACCAAAGGGGCATGTACCTGCGTCTGCATCATCATCGTCGCCCACAACGCAACCGAAACGAGGCACCCGAACCGCAACACAACGCAAAGACGATAACGACCCCTCGACCCATCACGACGACGAACCCGCCGTGGATACCAGTCGCCGCCGCTCAACCCGCCGCTCCCTCCGCTCCCAAACCCTCCCCACATCCCCCGGAGCCCAGTCCCCCACCCTCCAAAACCAGCACCCCACGGCCGCCACCACCCCATGCGCATCCACCGCCCCGGAAGACACAGACGTCAAACACCTCCTCCAAACCTTCACCCCCCTCCCCATCGGCTTCTTCACGCCGGCGCTGTACGCAGCGTACGAGTTTGAGCACAAGATCATGTGGTGGAAATGGGACACGCTGTACAAGCGAGCGAAGCGCGTGGCGCGCATCCCGCAAGAGGTCGGGAGGGCTTATCATCGGGAGGCTCGTAAGTCTGGTGTATTTCCCTCCCCCAAATCTCACTTTTTTCCGTGTTTGACATGTGTGCTGATTTTTTTGGTGATGAACTTCTTGCTTCTTTAGGCCGCGCTTACCACCACACCCACCTCGGCCCCCCGGACACGGCCCACGCGCTCCTGCTCGACCGGAAACGCGGCGCTGGGTTGAGCCCGGGAGCCGTCGAGGAGATCTGGGCGCAGAACGGGGTCGTGTATGAAGTCAGGGGCGTGAAGCGGGGGCCGCGGGGACCCAAACTGGGGTTGACGGCGTTGTTGGAGGGGAGGAGGGTGGGGCAGGGGAGGTGTGGGGTTGGGTTGCGGAGGGTGAGTGTGTTGGGTGTGGGTTTTCCTGGGGGGGGGGGGGGGGGGGGGGGGTTTGAGATCTTGATGCCTAACTGGGATGCATGCTAGATGATGGAAGCGAGGGTGGCGAGACGGTACCGGCAGGTTGCGAGTCATCAGCTGGGCGCGGGGCATTGTGCCGAGTTGAGGTTTGCCGAGGTTGTCAGTGTCGAGCCATCACCCGAAGGAGACGGCGATGCGGAGACGCGGGAGGATGACAACGACAACCCCGAGAACGCACCCCCGCCGCAGCCACGCACGAAACTCCTCCTCACCTCCGCCCACTTCACCGACCAATCCCCAAATTACAACAAACCGGGCGGCGTCGTCTCCTGGGACGTTTCGGCGTCCGGGTGGGGCGACAACCTCCCCGACATCGCGCGAGTCGTCGGCGAAACTCCCTCCCCCGAATCCTCCGACACCTCCCCACGCTCGCACACGTGGCTCCACCCACCGTCCGGCCACCGGCTGAACGACAACATCAACGATCTCGTGTACTCGCCTGCGGGAGATGTGCTGTTCACGGGGTCGGCGCATGATAGCGTCATCAAGGCGTGGTGGGCGGACGACGGGGACCTGTTGTATGAGGTCTCGCCGCCGGAGCATAACCGACGGTCGGAGGGGGTGGAGCTCGTGACGAGGAACCGGGGCAGGCGGTGGGGGCGGCGGGCGGCGCGGTTTGTGGATCTGGGCGTGCAGCGGTTGGCGGTGCGGCCTGCGGGGGCGGGGCCGTGTGTTGTTGCTGCGGCGGGGTATGATGGCGGGGTGCGGCAGTTTGCGTTTGGGAGTGTGGGGCAGTTTGGTGGTGGTGAGGATGATGATGTGGATGTGGATGCGTTGCGATGTGTGGATATGTCGCCGGCGTTGGAGGAGGAGGAGATCGCGGACCCGGAGGTGTTTCGGGTTGGGACGACCGTGATGTATGGGCACGGCGGGTCAGCCGATCTGTTGTTTGCCGGGTTCGAACGGCCGCGGAACCAGGTGGGGTGTGGGCTGATCCGCCTGTACGATGGGGAGAAGCAGGTCGGGCGTCTCGAAGTGGGTGAGAACGCGGTTGCGTGCATGGGCGTGTCGGCGAGTGGGGCGTACCTCGTTGCGGGCGTGACGGGAAACGCGCCGATGGTGCATGAGAAGGAAAGCGATTTCTCGGGGGAGGGGGATGGGAAGTTGAGGGTGTTTGATGTGCGCGGCGGTGGTAGGAGGACGGGCCGAATACCGGTGGAGGTGTTCGACACGGCGCAGCGGGACCACAACGTGGTCGGATTCAGCCCGTGTGAGCATTACGTGTATGCGTGCTGTGACCCGGACGCGACGAAACGGCAGCCGCATACGGCCGTGTTTGATCGCCGGTTTGCGAGAAGCCCTTTGCTTTCAGTGCGCGATACCTCCACCACCACCACCACCACGACGCCATCGAGGTTCCTCTCCACCAGCGTCCCCCAACCACCGCAACCGGCACCGATCCGCCTCGAGCACGCGGCATGTAATCGCGGCGATGCGAACGACGGGGTGACGTGTGCGGTATGGATGCGGTCGGGGCTGTTTTACACGGGTGGGCAGGATGAGGTTGTGAGGGTGTGGGATGTGCGGCGGGCGCGGGAGGATATGCTTGTGTCGGTGATGGGTGGGATGGAGGGGCCTATTAGTTGCATGTGTGTTTCGCCGGGTGAGTTGCAATGGTTGCTTTTCTGGAGAAACTCTGGATAAGGAGTCGGATGTTTACCACCTTTCCCCCTTTCTCTCTTTCTCATCAGATGAAGACTACATTGCAGTCGGCACAACGACGGGCAAAGTGCACCTCTGGACCGCCCTTGACCCCATCGCATGCATCAACGAATGGGACCGCAATGCGGGTGCCAAAACAGGCGGCGGCGGCGGGAGAGATTGGGGTGGGGTTACGGTTTTACGATGAATTGGAAGGGAAACGGGGCAGGGAAGGAGCGAGACGGCTGGTGTGCGATGCGAACAAACAATATGCACGCACTTGTACGTACTGTACGTATGCAACGTTGCAGAAGGCAGTAAGTAGTAGTGGGGGATGCACATAGGAGGCGAGGGGGCGGGAATGATGCACCAGGGATGCGTGCGTCGCAAAGGGGGGCAGTCCGTTTTCCATGCATGTATGGAGGAATACACCCCCTTGTACATACTTACTGTACATTATCCGTATGTGAACTTTCTGCGCGAGCATCCAACGCGGCAGTTACCTTGTCCCATTCGCGTCCGCAAGCCCCCACGCCAAGTGGGACTTTACGCGTATTTACTTTGTTCGGCCCGCTTTTCCCTGGCCCTGATCCCTCATATAGACATACTCACATGCATCCTTCATCCTTCGTCTCATACAGGAAAGTGTTATGGCGGTTGAGGTGTATACCTTGATCTACGACCGCGTCGCCGTGGAGACAGAGACACTCGATACCGACCCCGCCTCGTCCCTGATCACAACACTCCCAGCCTTCCTGAAAGCCTGCCGCGAACGCGGCGGGGGCAAAGACATGGACAGGCTCATCTCCCGTCTGATCGAGTTGCTGAACGCGTCGGAGGTCTGTTTCATCTGCATGGACGAAAAAGTCGGCGTCGCGTTCGGGTGTGCGCATGGGACGTGTAAAGGGTGTGCGGAGAAGGTTGGCGATATGTGTCCTTTTTGTAGGGGTGAGATTGGACAGAGAGTGGATATTGCGGAGGTTGGGGATGGGTGGAGGGATGTTGTTGCTGCTGCTGGTGGTGCTGGGAAGAAGGAGGATGATACGCGTGGGCAGGAAGCGGCTGGTAGTGGGATCGTTGACCGGGACTGAGATCTTGCCTTGGAAGACAACTGGGCTGCCGAAACCGTCGGCGGGCCCCGCGGCGGCAAGACCCAACGCTTCCGGAAATTCATGATCGACCGCGTGGAGCCGGAGAGGGTGCGTGAGATGGCGGATCCGGAGGAGAAGGGGTTTTGGAAGAGTTTGCTGAGGTGTTCGCATGTTGCAGAGGGGAGGAAGAGGCGTTTCAAGGGGGCGCAGGTCTTTGGTATGTTATGTGACAAAGTACTTGTGGATGAGGGAGCTCCTCGACTCATGTTTCTGATATCCACAGCACATATCGTCCGCGACAATGACTTTACCAGCGCCGACACCTTCGACCCCAAGAACATTCGTGCGAACCGCAGACGCCGCGGCCTTTCGCCCATAATGCAGAGGCGGACGCAAGGAATCCGGTCCCTGTCTCCGCCCCCAAGGCGACGACTGAGCACTCACTCGCGGTCAATAAGCCGGTCATTTTCACGTTCGCGTTCGCGATCTTTGCCACGCACAAGTCGTTCAGTGTCCCCCAAGACCCGGTCGCTTTCCCCGACGCAAAGAATGCGCTCTCGTTCCCCGTCGCCAGCTCATTCCAAGCGTAGTTGGTCCCCCTCACCGGCGCAGGAGACAGGTACCCGTGAGCGATCGCCGGGACATCTGGGATACACATCAGAAATGAAACGTTGCAAATCCACTGCAGCCACAGAAGGTGACGTCCCGACCATCACCGACCCAACACCCGAAGCGGCGGCCACCCCAGCCGCACCATCCCCCACCCCCGCCCCCAAACCCTACCCCAACTTCAACGAACCCTTCCTTGCCGCCAAACTCGCCCACGCCCAACACCTCGGCCTCGTCTCCCCCTGCGGCACCCGCATTAAAACCCCGGCCCTAATCCACACCCTCACCACTCGCGAGCCTCCGTGCCAATCCGGGGCTGTGTTACCGGTACCTCCGACTTGTTGCGTGCCATGTACGTGAGGGGGAACGGATGGCGGTTTGAAAGAGTGAGGTTGAAGGGATGGTGGGGAAGTTGGGGGTTAGGCAGTGCTTTGATTTGAGGCATGTTTTTGGGAGGTGTGTTGAAGCTGCTGAGAGGGGTGGGAGGGGGGTTCTCGATATGGAGGGGTTGGGGGAGATTTTGAGGAGTGAGGTTGATGGGGACGCTGTTGCTACCACTACGACGGCGGCCAGTGGAGAACCAACCGGTTCTTCGTTTCAGCCTGCAGAAGACATGAGGCGCGTCTTCCTCACACGAACAGGCACATTCTTCACCGCCGGCCCACAACTCAAAAAGGCCGCTCCCAAACCTCCCCTCGTCCCACTCCACCAACTCCACCGCGCGCGCCAACCCCCCCGCTCCCGCAACGCCCGGTCCCGCCGCAAACCCCTGGACCCGGCCACCCCTTGCCCCACCCCCACCTACACCCGTCGACCTTGCCAAACTCTCCCACCTCTTCCTCAGCAGCGTCACACCATGTCTCGCGGTCTCACGCGTGACGTTGAATGCGTTGGACGCTGCGTTGGGGAAGAGGTTGCCGAAGGGTGATGAGATGTTTGCCGGGGTGGTGTTGGAGGATGATACGGAGTTTGTGAGGGGTGGTGTACTTGGGAAAGGGTATAGGTTGTTGCCGAGGAGGTGAGACGCCCAACGTAAGTCGTGTCTGTCACATCTGCTTTCCCACGCACAACCTGATGATATTCATCCTACGGTTTTTATGATCCAATAGGTCCCCCAAATGGGCGCTAGAACACATCTTCTCCCGCGGCGACTACATCCCCCTCCCCCCCGACGCACCAACTGCTCCTCCACACCTACTGGAAAGACTCACCCACCCTCGGCCCCACCGACCTCGAGCTGTCCGTCTCTTTGCCCTCGACTCCTCACTCACCCGCTTACGTGACCCCGACACCAGTGCTCGTTCCGCCTCATCAACGCGTTGGGTGGGAAGATGACCCCATTCGGGGGATATTACGGGGGCGCCGAGGGGGGGCGGCGGAGTATGTCCGGTCTAGCGTGGAAGATACCCGAAAGCAGCAGCCACGTGCCAGGTATTTGGTGGTTACGCTGCTGAGTTATAATAATGTGGAGTTTGAGAAGTTGGATGAGGCGCTTGTGGGGCGTTGGTGTCGTTCCCGGTGTCGGGGATGAGGTGCCTGTCAACCCTGGAGTGTGACGATGGGGGTGTGTGCGATCAGGGGGAGGAATAAACTCAACCTCGCCGCGGTGGTCGATCTCGGGATCTCCGACTCCCCCTCCACCACAGCATCAACACATCAACAACAAGGAGCGGAGTTCCCGACACCGACGCATCCGGGCGTGTATTTGATCGCCACCAACTCCACCGCGACGTCGGCGCACGCGACGTACGAGCGGGTGGGACCTCGTGAGGGATGTACGGGCGTGCATGCAGTGGCGGAGGTGGAGTGCCCCGGGCAGTTGTGAGAGTGTGCTTGCGGGTGGGGAGGGCTGCTGTGCGGCGGAGTGTTGCGGTTGAGAAACAGACCGACACCGAGACGGATGGAGGGATGGATGTCGACATGCTTGCTCCCATGACCACGGCGCCCCGCAACGGACGACGCGACACAGTGGGACGCGCACACTGGACCCTCCGCCGCCGCGATGGACATCGACACCCCCCCGAAATCCAACCCGAACCCCGCCGCCGAACCACAACCATCCGAACACATCTACGAACGCCTCCCCGCCCGAATCACCCCCAGGATTTCATCGAGCGTGTCATGCGGTCCTCCGGTTCATCTTGTTTCCCCAACCCGTTCTACCGGCAGCGGAGAAGATATGCCGGTTGCGCGTGTGCGGGATCTAGCGGAGTATGTCATCCCGGGCGGCGAGGTAGAGCGGGGTGGGAAGTGGGTGGAGGGTTGTCTTTGAGTAAGAGTGGTTGTGAGAGCATTTTTTATTTTTTTTGGCGTATGGATAGTCTTCCTTTTCAATGCATTGATCAGTTCGCACCATAACCATGAAACAAACCGGGCATGATCCGATGCCGTTGTAGCTCGTGCGAGTGGGTAGGGGAGCTGTGACAAAATGTGGTATGCATTTTGAAAGGTATGATTTACCTCTCCTGTGGACTGCACAGCACAGTGATGCGGGAGATGGGTGGGTTGTACTGTACTGTACGTTGTGCATATTGGGGACGGTGACGGCAACGTGGCCCCGGCATATCTCTGTGCGCGTTATTCTCACTGGGTTCCATATCTTCGATGCTTTCGATGCTTTGTGGATTTCATTCACGACCCACCCAAATCCCCAATCTACAGCCATGACTACCTCGTAGCCGCTCCACTCCCCGTGTCTATCTCGCACCCACGTTCGCCTCATCTTCGCCCCCCGCTCTCGCGGCCCGCTCTATCTCCACCTTCCCTCGTACATCTCATCACTCCCCCATTGGCATCCCGCATCCCCGTCCTTTTCCCATCGCTACGATCCGAAGCTACGATTATTTTTCATCGCTCGGCAGAACTCGGCCGCGACTCAGCGAGCTGCGCTATCTTGCCCGCCACGTCGTCCTTGGACAGGTTCTCGAGGCTGATTTTGCGTTCGAGGCCGTATGCTGGAACGGGGAAAGATGGATGAGTGGAATGTGAGAAGGATGAGATGGGACGATGAGGCCGGCGACGAGGATGCTGGGCTGGCTCGCTTCGCGAAAAGAAGTCGGAGCATCACCCCCGGGCTCCGACGCTCGACGCTCGGGAGGCCCTGGGGGGAACTAGAGCCGACCGAGCCCACCCAACACCCGCGAATGCTCCCTGGCCCTTCCGCCGGCCAAAAACCGCAAATGGTCGCCGCCGCTCTGACATGACTAATACCTCCCTCCCCCCCGATTTACCCCATTCCCCGTTTCCCAACCCCCCCTCACAACTCTTCGTCAAAAAAACAGCAAACGCACCATATCGTCCAAACACCCGTGCCTCGACACCCGCAGCCTCACGCACGAGGATGGGAAAGTGCGGGTTGGCGTCTTTGATCGCGGCGTACTCGGAGAGGATAAATTCCCTAAAGAACATATTCCCATTTTTAGTCACAGACCCGAGAGAGAGAGAGAGAGCAGGGAGAGCGACGGCGATGCCATTCGGCGGTTCACGGCACTCCCAGTGAATGAAACTCCAAGCTGGGGGGCAAACATGCAGGGACGGAATGAGAGAGGGTGGACGCACCTTGTTCCCTTGCTCCCGGGCGACGTCTGGCACAGGTGGATGCGCAGTTCCTTGAGGTTTTTGGACAGTTGTTGGCGCAGTGGGGACATGTTTGGGGGGTGGGGTTTGGGTTTGGGTTTGTTATGTGTGGGGAGGATTGGCGTTGGCGGGGGGGGGGGGGGGGGGGGGGTTCGGGCAGAGAGAGGGTGGAGCTTGTTGTTGGCACTTTGAGGGGGCGTTTGGAGGGGCTGATTAGTCTGAGGGCATTCTGATTAGATTCCGTCGATCGCCTCGCGCGCCGTCTGATTAGGCGCGCTAAAGGAACGGGCGCAAGGGCGAGGGGCAAGGTCTTAATCGTGCGACTTGCATAGTTACTGTAGGCGGTGGGAACATCTCGCTCCATCTTGCTGCTCATCCGCTCCCCACTCTCCCCACTCTCCCCATCCTCGTCCTCGTCGTCCGTCTGGCTCCCACAAATGCCATCTTCCCCCCCGCCCGAACAGTCCCCTTCACAACCACCACCACCCCCGCCGCTCGCGAAAATACACAAAGTCGACACCAGAACTTCTCACTTGCTGGACACGCACGGCCGCACCCGTTTCTTTCACGGCGTTAACGTGGTGTTCAAGAGGGAGCCTTGGTATCCACCGACGGAGGAGTTCGACCCGGTGACATCGTTTTGTGATGAGGTACGGATCGGTTGACAAACGGAGTTTGGAGGAGGAGAGGGAGAGGGGGTGCAGGGATGCTTGAGGAATGGCGAGCGATAGTGGGGAGCAGGGTCGCAGGGTCCGCAGGGAGTGCGGACAGCTTCGCGAGCGCGAGCGAGACCCGTTGTCGGTGAGCTTCGCCCACTCAACCCAACATCCTTATGGCGCCGGAAGATATCGATTGCGGACATGTCATCTTTAACCAGGTCAATGGTTCTGATCCGCATGGTTCCCCATATGGTGCACAGGACATACGAATCCTAGCCTCCCTGAACCTCAACTGCATCCGTCTTGGCGTGCACTGGGCCGGCGTCGAGCCCACCCGGGGCGCCTACTCCACGGCCTATCTCTCCGCAATCCGGCACATCATCCAGCGATGCGCGACGCTTGGCATCTACGTTCTGCTCGAATTCCACCAGGACGTGTTGCATCCTCGCTGGGGCGGGCACGGTGTCCCCGACTGGGTCGCGGATGCGTGTGGTGGGGCACCTGGTGCGACGTTGGCGGGATTCAAGGTGCCGTGGTATTTGGTGTACTTCAAGTATGCTGTTGCGGACGCTTTTGGCAAATGTAGGTTACCTCCACCGTCTCACCTTGATGTCTTTTGGTTCCGACTGGACCGACCGCGTCTCCTGGGTAGTGTACGCCAACCACGACGGCCTCCTGGATGCATTCGCGGCGTACTGGAAACGCGTCGTTGAGGAGTACAGAGACGAGCCGAACGTTATTGGGTACGAGATCATGAACGAGCCATGGTAGGTTTGGGGTTGTAGGAGGGGAAGGATGCGGATGTGTGTGGGAGAGTACCGGTCTCATGCAACGATCCCCATTTCACACACAACCACACCCCTCCCTTCCCCTCCCCAAGGCCCGGCAACCACTACAAAAACCCCCTCCTCCTCCTCCCCAACCACGCCAGCTCCACAACCCTGCACAAAATGCACACCCACGTCGCCCTCTCAATCCGCTCCACAACCCCCTCCGCCCTCCTCTTCTTCGAAGACGCAACCTGGGACACCGCCTCCCGCGCCCCCTTCGTCCCCGGCGGCGCAGAATTCGCCGACCGCTCCGTGCTCGCCTACCATTACTACCAGCCCCCGCAACGCGCCGGAATCAACACCTACCTCCAAAACAGGAAACGGGACGCGAAACGGTTAGGCTGTGGGCTGTTCATGACCGAGTGGGAGATGTGGGTGGGCGATACCGATCTCCCCACCACGAGCTCGGCTCCACTCCACCCCCGCATCCAGAAGATGTACGAAACCGCCGAAGCGGCCGACACGCACCTCCAGTCCTGGCTCGGGTGGTCGTACAAATCCTTCGCGCAGGGTGCGGATTCCGCGGACGGCAGTCTGTTCACACGCACTGGCGCGCGACGCCCGGAGATCGAATCGCTGTGGAGCCGGCCGTATGCGAGTGCGGTGGCCGGGCGCGTCCACAGCATGCGGTTCGATTGCGCCCGCGGGGTGTTTGAGTTGTGCTACCGGCCGCGATGGCGTGGGGACGACGCGGGGGATGATCAGGCGTACGAGACGGTGATTGCGCTGACGCGCGCGACGCATTACCCGACGGGGTTTAGGGTGGCGGTTTGGCCGGAGGGCGCGCCGGTGAGGTGGGTGGAGCGGGTTTTGGAGGCGGGGAATTCGGTGGTGGTCTTGACGCCGGGTGCTGGGGTGGGGATGGGAGGTGGGGAGCTCGTGTCTGTTCGAGTGGAGAGGGTGGAGGCGGAGTAGGGGGAGAAGTAGTGCGAGGGTCGGGGGGACGGGTTCAGCCGGGCGGCGTATGTGTGGACTTTTTTCTTTCAGCCCATGTGGACGGTTCAAGAGAGATCCCAGGACTTCAATTCCAATAAATCAGGGAAGAGAAGCAAGCTCCTATTCGGACTGCAGAATCCCTTGTGTGTTTGACGAGCGACGGTATCTGAGCCGTTCGCTCTCTCAAAGGACTTGGGCGGAACGAACAAACCCACGTAGTAAAGAAGAGCGACGGTCGCGCCAGACATCTCGATGAAGTGGGTTCGCTCCCGTGGTCATGAATAACGAAAGGAGGGATGCTCTTTTTCGCAGCCGCAATAAGATTTGGATGGGGACTTTCTCGACGTGCAGCGGTTGCGGCATAGATGTTCGAGGCACACGCCGTATCTTTTAAAACGGCATCTGCATGTCGTTTTAGCGTAGGCTTGCAGCGGCAGGAGGACATGGGCGGCCCGAGCGCTTTCGCCGCTTGCACGAGGGGTATACTCTGAAGTGCTTCGGGAGCTGGGAAACTTCCGTCCCTCCTCTGTACAGTGATGGGGATCGGGATAGACTGGATAAACAAATGACGGAGAGCACCTTTTGAGCGGGAGGTATTGGGCTTTCGTTCTTTCGGCTGGACGTGTTCGGCTGGAAGCGATGCTCTGTCGTGGCGTGAGTGGGGGTTGTCGATATCTGTCACTGTTCCCTCCGAGCTGTCAGTTTTCCATGCTTCACTTCGGACAGACACAACCAAGCACACCGGCCTTCCGCGGGGGGACGGGAACCTTTGTAGCAGTGGTTGACTGCAACGCTCTCTGAGCCACGCAACGCATGGGCGCTTCCTACCGTCCGCCGTTCGTTTTGTCTCACAACGGTTGTGCGCGAAATACAGTACCAAAGAGAGCACACCCGCGAGACACGAAATTCGGACACGATCGGAGGACGCGTGAGCTCACAGCTTTCTCCTCATGCTTGCCGTCCTGTTTCTGGTGCATACTCGCTGCACAACTGAACCAAGGTTTCTCCGGGGCACTTTGTCTGTAGCATACCGCTCAACGACAGATGTTTGCTCCAGGGCTCTCGTGGCGGGTGTGGGGCTTCCTCGCAAGTGCATGTTTCGCATCCATCGGATATGTTCAGTGTCAGCAGTCCCCAACACTTGTTGCGATGTACACCCAGAATGATCACATCAATTCGCTTATAGCGCACGATGACCGCCTCTACGTCGCCCGCACCGTGCTTTCAGAATGGGACACCAAAGCACATCGCCACCTGAGGGACCTGAAATGTCTTTCGCATGATTCCTTCATCGGAGGACCGTTACAGGCCGGGAACGGTTACGCAGATTGGACCTCAACGATGGCTCACTGTGCGAGCTTGGACTCCGCTTACGATCCCCGCGTGGTGACCCCGCCACCTGCTTACGCACTGGTGTCCCCGGTATTGCCCTACTTTCGGGTGACGTCGAGCATCTTATGAGCATCCACCAAAAAAAAAGGAAGGAAATCTGATGCAATGTTGGCCTTGGCTACAAAAGTGAACGTGCCATGCAGGAGCACTGGGGGGGAAGCTTAAGCGCGATGTCGTGAACTATCTGGCATTCCCACATTTCTGATGAAACGCGAACGCGTTCGTCTGTGCTGTCATCAAAACTGTCCAAATTGCGGAGTTAGTCCATACAAAGTCTATTGTCCATCGTGGCCCAGTTGACACGATGTGTAGAGGAGTAAGGCCTCGAACGTGTGTGATTTCCTGCAGCTGCTCTATCATATCGGCAGACGAAGGTCCGGTTATTGTGAGGAACGTGAGGCCCAGCTCAGCAAACGATCATAACCCTAAGTCAACATCAAGGGTATGATTGGACCCCACATTGAAATACTGTTTCCAGGTTATCAACATGCAATGCCTGGTTGTCTAGAAGCTGCACGGTACATGTGACTCTGCCCCCGGGGGTTTTCAAAATAGACTGCTCGTACCCAAGAAAGGCGATGCACAGGCATGGTCGGGACCGGGTTTGAGCCCCATCAGAAAATAGCGTTGTGCCTTGTTTTCGCGCTGTGTGCCAGATGGACCACAAACGATATTGAATGTGGACAACGAGTAACGTCTTAGGATATCAAGGGGCGGGATATCCCATAATGGAAATTCCGGCATCCAACCTGGACAGTATATCGGTTTCGATCTATACTATACTCTGACTTGGATCAATCATGCATTGTTCGTCACCATTACCTAATGTTTACTGGTCCCGTCAACGTCCAGTCATTTCACCTCCGGTATCGGGACTTTTCCACGTTCGGTGAATATGAAGTCAGAATTTCCAAGCAGGCCAATCCTGCTGCTCCCAGATTTGCTTTCACGTTTTCAAACCGCTTTCAGGGTTTCCGCATACGACGGCTGTCTTTCTGGCTCAAACCACTTTTCTCCTGTGTATTCCTTCCAATGTTCATCAGTATTCCTGCCACTGCTACGAATAATGCGGCTGCCCCCGGTCTTCGCTGCACTATGCTTGCCATCCGCTTGTACATCAATCCTTAGCAGCAGTCTAGAATCAGGATATCCAGCATCAAATGCTGACTCAACGCGCCACCTTCACGTTCGGGGCACATCTGAGACGACGATCGACCCCACATCGCTTATACAGTTGAAATTGGGCTTTGCCTGGGCGTTAGGGAAGTCCAGGCTCAATAAAGCTGCGGCGAATATTGTAAGCACGGCAGTGGGGTAAGAACAGCATCACGTTGTATGGACAGCTATCTTGTTATCCATCACTTCTGTTGTTCCTGTTTGGTCCTTAGCTTAATCAACTCTCGGGATGACATCCTTCCGGGCATTCGCATCGAACTTGTTGTCATGGACTCTTGGGTTCAGGGTGCAACTGCTTATAGTGAGACACAAGGTCAAGCCATCAATGCCAGTTATCAACTAGCTACCCAGAAAGTGTTTGCCATCGTTGGGGGTCCGTGTCGCACGTCGATCTTTCGGTCTTGCTCGCATCGCCGTCATACTCAAACAAAATGACTTTGATAGATACCGCAACCGAAACATCTACCTACGGAGCACTAGTCAGTGCTGGGTTAGTATGCCCGCTTCAACATCTAATTGGTCAAGTCCCTCGACTCATTCATACGCTTTAATTCACAGCTACAAAATTCCGCAATGCGTGCCTGAAGCCGGAGGCGATGACCTATCCAACAAATTCAAGTACCCGTAAGCTTTTCTCCGCTATGAAGGACATGACTTGTGGTTCGCTTCCTTCAAGCGACTTAATACTCACATTGGTCAGGAACACTATCCGGATGATCCAACCAAATTACGTGATTGGAGTGAAATTGCTAAATTTCGTTGCATATTTGGGCTGGAAAAAGGTGGCTATCCTCTATAGGTATGGTGTGCTCTCGCCATCTGAACTTTAGCACACCACAATTTCATCCCCCAATCTGAACACTCCAGCGCAGAAGAGTACGGGGCATCTTACAAAAGTTCGTTTCTGGACGGTGCACGAAACAACGGCATCAAAGTTCTTATTGAACAATCTTATAACGAGTTTGGCGCATCCTCGGATTTTGTGGAGCCGATGAAGAATGTTGCGGCAACAGGCGCTCGCATTTTTGTTGTTGCTGGTACGTCGGAACGTCTTAGCGTTAACGCCTCCGCGATATCAACAATAGATGTTTGCTTTTCAAGGCCACGTGCCAGATATAACCGCTTTGTACATCGGTGCAGCCAGTCAAAATCTAACTGGCCCCGATTTCGTGTGGATCACTACCGATGGTAGATTTGCAGATGTTCGAGCCTGCATTTGATTAAACATGTCTAACGGATCAATGCGGATATCTAGGCATCAATGATAGCCCAGATTCTGGGATAAGTCCGAATGTGTATGAGGTTCTCGGGGAGGAAGCTGCACGCGCAGCTGCAGTCTATGGGATATATCAAGATAGGGCAAACACATCGACGCCTGAATGGGAGGAATATGAGCGATATTACACCGACCATTACACGGATACTTATTACAAGCAGTGGTCGTAAGTCTACCGGTTGTGAAGAGTAAATGACGTGGGCATTGCTCACAGGTTGGATTGTTAGAAACGAGTACGATTGCGTTTGGGCTTTGGCTTGGGGATTCGACCAGGTACTTTCGACTAAGCTTCTTGAGACGAGACACTCACCGTAATCACACCGTGGAAGTACTTGAAGCAGTTTGATCTCTCGCCTGCTGTTCTTTTGTCCCCAAACTATCTAGCTGCCGATATGGCTGGCTTTACGAATATCAGCATATTCAATACGAGCAAGCGCGCTGTCGCAGGACCATTATTATTTGATGTGCACGGCGACTACATGTTCGAAACTGGTAAGGCAAAATTACGACGGATCGACGATGTGTTTCAATAGTCAACATTTTGATGGATGCAATATAAACCATTACTCCCTTTGATTGTTTCCCTCTGATTGGCAGATGTGATTGAGGTTCAGCACAACTTCACATCGTTCCGTGTCGCGAAAGTCAATGGACAAGGCCAGCCCCATGTTACGGCCTCTTTGATCTTTGCTGGTGGCAGGACCACGATCCCGTTCGATTTCGCGCAAAGCCTTCCCGTAAATCCATCGTGGGGTTCCCCTGACGCCATCCCGTTTGCTGTGGTCTCTAGCATTCTGATGCTGTTTGCCATCCTGTCCATTGTCATTGTCATCAAGTTTCGCAACGAGCCCGTCATCAAGCGCGCCAGTTGGAAATCGCTAGTTCTCATCGCGCTAGGCACGTGCATCGCAGATGCTTCACCGTTTCTGTATATCGGAATCCCAAGCGCTGCTACGTGCATCGCACAACCATTCATATTGACGGTGTCATTTGGGCTTGCCTTTTCCAACCTGCTGGCCAAAACGTGGCGAGTATACAAGGTAAGCAAATGATTGAGCGGAGCCCGTAATTCATACCGAATTCTTCTTTCTGTAACCGCCAAATCGCCCCCCTCCCCCTTGTGTCTATCAGATCTTCAATAATGCCAAGTTGATGGAAATGGTCATCAAAGACGCCCGATTGCTCTCTTTCGCTGCGGGGTGAGTTCCTTTCTGTGATTGCATTCGGCAAAGTCCGTGTTATGACCATTCTATGACCATACTACAGAGTGGTGCTCGTCGAGCTCACGATCTGCATTGTCTGGGTGGCATACGACCCGCCAAGGCCGACTGTGCTCTCTTACACCGAAACTCAACACATGATCGTCTGCCAATCTGTCAATTCCACATTTCAGGTCGCCATGACCCTGATAAGCATGGCATTCAACGGTGCTCTTCTCGCTTTGACTACGATCCTTTCGTACCAGACCCGCAACGTGGCGTCGGCCTACAGGGAGACGCAGTGGATTGGTGTGTCCGTTTACAATATTGTTGCTGTGTGCGCTCTATTTCTGCCATTGATTTACAGCCAGGTGCGTAGTACGATCCCCGTTTTGATCGTTTCGCTCGATCCTCCTACTCGATAAAATCTGCCATTAAGACCTGACATCTCCGAACACGCATCTTCCAGGATTTTGCTAGTAAATCCTTCGATTTCCGAAGTTTGTCTACTATTATCGCCAGCGGGGTGATGCAAATCTGCCTCTTTGCACCAAAGTTTGTCCGACTCTTTGAGCCCGGGGGCAGTCAAAGTCTGACGGATTTCAGCGACATTTTAGCGAGCGCAACGGAGGGTCGAAAGACCACATTGGAGCGTGCGAAACCCGAAAGACACCAGCTAGTCCGCCCTCAAGCGGTGCACTTAAAACGAGTTCCGATCCTTGAACATTCCCCCGGTCGCCTCTTTAGTCTCACCACTTTCTTTTTTGCCAGATGGAAGATGGCCAACCTCGTCATTGTGCCAGGCTACATATGGATTGACTTTGTCATCGCGAAGGGGCAGAGGCCTCGGTTCAAGATGTTCCGCACGGACAAGATCTTGGTGCATCTTGGCGAGCAGGAAGAGGGAGGAATGACTGTAAGCATCATTACCTCCGACGGCATGTTGGATTTGGTTGTTGAGCCCGATGTTGGGAGAGAGTTGCAGCTGCTGCTGGCTGGGATGGAGATTGATAGTTAGCCTTTAGAATTCATCTTTATCTAACCCTAAGGGCATCAACTAGCTGGGGTTGTGCTTCAATTCAAGTATTTTCGCCAAAGTTTTGAGCAAGGATAATTGGGAAAAAGTGAAACCATCATCTGCAGCTAACTCAGTCATGTACAAGAGCGGTATTCGGCTTCTTGGCTGAACTGACGGTGATATGCCAAATCCGACAAAGGTCAGGAAGAACTTGTGGCACAGCCTGTTTCGGTTTCAGAGGCCTACTGTATATAGGGAGTACAGGGCCGGGAGCGCAGAATGCCTGCAGCACGTCCGGTTTGGAGGTTCCCGGAAGATCCGGCGCGCTCCTGAAGTACGTAATACGCGCTCCGTGTGTACAGTATGTTTGCCAATTTGATCATAGCCTTCGGGCAGAGAATGCAGGGTGGAATGCGTGCGGATTTCAGGGTTGTATTTTGGATACGAGTTGTTGAGCAAGAGCAACTGCGCGGCACTAGCTCTTTATCATTTTAGAAGTGCACATGGCTCAGGTAAGGCCGACAAGGTCTATGAAAAGTTCAGATTACAAGACGTACTGTACGTGCAAACAACAGTGCCGTTCATAAAGCAAGGTCGCTGTCAATCTAATTCATCGGCCCCTGGACGCGCCTCATCTACGCCTAGTATCTAGTGAATCCTCCTCTAGCTGCTATGACTGCCGCTATACGCCAGGGCATGCTTGACACAAGGTTTTCTAGCACATCTGGCTCAATATCCTGGAATGTCTGCTGTGCAATGGCCTCTAGCTGCTCTAAAGTTGCGGGACATTGTCTATAAATGCGTTTCTTGAGAATGGACCACAGGTTTTCTATCGGGTTCAAATCCAGGCTGATCGCAGGCCAGTTTGCCTGTACCTCAATGCCATGGAGATCAAAATATCCTTCCCTGCGAGTTTTGCAATGGGGTGGAGCGTTATCCTGGGAAGAAACACTCTTAGCGTCACCGCCGATCCAAAAAGGAGAGAAACGAGGTACACTGTGATGTGGACTACCTTCCACACGGGTTGTATAACTGATGTTTGTATACAATAACTACTTTGCTGTAAGGTATTGTAGACGGACTGGGTGTTCGTCGGCTCTGCTATGCGATATGTAGTAGAAGAACTACTTGTTGTGCATAGGAACGCGCGACGAGCACTGTTAAAGTACCCATGAGGTCGGAGTCCACTGGAGAACACTGTCTGGAAAGACCTTTCCTTGGACAGCGAAAGGTCTTTCGCTGACCTCGGGAACATGTTTCACTTAGACAGCGATACATGTTCCGCTGACGTGTCGTTCTCCAATAAGACCGGACACTCCACATTACATACACACCTGCATGAAAACAAAACCACGCTGCTCGCCCTGAATATCAGAGTACATGGGGATGAGATTCTCGGAGAGATATTCCTGGTATGCTTCCGAGTTGATGCGTTTACATCCAGGTAGAGGCTCAATGCGTGAGAAAGGACCTTTGATGGTGCCCACAAAACATCCCCAAAACATGATTGCTTTGCTTCTTCGTATCCGTGGGTGCATGTTGTTCGGGATGTAGTGGCGACCCTGTCGACGTATCACCCTGGCAGATGCGCCGCTTCGAGCATCACACTGGTCTCATCACTCCAAATGATGCGGCGCCAGTCCTCCACTGTCCAATCCTCATGCTCCTGTGCCCATGCTAGTCGTTTGCGTTTATGCTGAACTGTGAGGCGTGGCGTTCTGCAGGCAACATAACTGCGCAGGCTCATCCGCCGATAATATCGCATCATTGTGATACGGGAAATGGAAACATGCTGGGTCGCCAACACTTTGTTTGCCAGGTGTTGGAAGGGCTGAAAACGGTTGGACAGATTGGAGAACAATAAGGCTCTGAGGTATCTGCGCTCTCGGTTGTTGCGGGCGAATTTTGGTGGCCTCCCCGGTGACTTTTTGGTGGAGAGGGCAGCCTCGCCATTGCGGCGAAAATTCTGCAGTGTGCGGCGTACGGTTCATTCCGAGACTTCTTGCTGTGCTGCAATAAGCACTGATGACACTCCATTCTGTGCGAGAGCCACAATGGTGCTTCTCTGAGCAAAGCTGAGGGGTCTGGGCATGGTGCCCAGCCAGATGGCGAGAATGTGTTGTGCATGCATTTCCAATCTCGACGCTCGGGTTGTCCGGAGCGTCCGGCCGACGCGGTCGAGCACTTCTGTGACGCCACTGTCAAATGCGGTCTTGCTTTATGAACGGCACTGTAGTACAATGACCATGACTCGAGTCCAACTCACTCGGGAGTTCGGCAAATATCTTCGCATCGTCAGTCCGCCAAATACGTCGTAAATGGTAGCAACGGCTTTATGTAAACAGGCTTTGTGCGATGTATATGTACAACTGGAAGTGAAGGGAAATTCTTTCATGCTCTTCTAGGAGCATAGGTCCTATTGCGGCTGCAAAAATAGGCGACACCAGCGGGCACCACATAATCCTGAATATAAATGAGTTTAGGCCTCTAACGAAACATACGACGGCGATACTGCATAGCTTCCATAAACAAATTCTCGACCAAGCCCCAGTACAAGGGCGGGTCCCTGAGCATGTGCCGTACATGGGGCGTATTTTTCCAGTTCTTCGTCACAACGTGAGCATCTGGATGAAGCCGGGAGGCCATAACTGCGCTTGATTCAATGGCTCGATACAGGACCATTTGATCCGCTTCAGAATACTGATAAAGGCGTGGCGGCGGAGGAGGAAGAGGTGGCGTTGTTTTGCATGGCGTACGCACGGATCGGTGGACACCAAATCGAGCAGGATCCAGCAACGCTTTCTGGGATAGTTGACTGAAGTCAGCAGGGGCAAAAGGCAGCGAGTGATATAACTTGGTGGCAGTTAGGCCAAGATAAAGAAATGCGAGATAGGCAATCCGCATGAACGGGTTGCGAATGGGGGCTGCAAATGCAGCAGCCGCCGTCGAGACGGTGAAGCGCCCTGGGCAAGAGTCAAGAACAATGCCTCCGGTTGGAATTCCTTTCCCATTCGAGACTTTCTGAACGTAATCTGTGAACTGGGTCCAGGCTCGCGCTCCACCGTCTGAGAAAATGTGTATGAAAACCGCGGTATCCCGGTGACCGTCGCCGTCTTCTCCCGCTGTGGCCACAGAGGAATGCTCCCTCACTCGGATGTCGCTCTTTTCCAAGGCTGATACAACGGCTTCATTTACGCGAATAGTGGTGGACCGGGACTGCAACCAGTCTTTCTGCTGGGACAGAACGAGGACGACAGGGAGTTGCTTGGAGGTTAAGTACCAGTGAACGTAGCGTTGTAGTTGCCGGAGTGTCCCGTCCATCCAACCTACGAATCCAGGGCATGGGTAAGTGGTTAGCTTAGCTGTTCTCAGGTCTCTCAGGTCAAAGGGAAGGGCTACGTACCAAAAATTAGAACCGCACGGATAGGGGACTTTGTGGCATCTTTTGTGCTAGACGTCAACTCGTCAGACCCACTCGTTGGCTCGAATAGCCACACGCCGCTGGCAACCAGCTTCGGCTTGTCCATCCTGTTCACAGGGTGATGAGTCGTAGAAACGAAACGCTAGTAGAGGGGCAACGGTCGTCAGATTCGGTAAAAGCCCAGCGGCGCGTTCCATTTCTAAGCACAGTCAAGTCTCAGTTGACGGAAATTCAGTTGAAGGAAATTTCAGTTGACGGAAGAGGCAGCCTATATATACAGCCACGCCCAAAAGAGCCGCGCCGTAGAGCCTTCCAAACCTTCACCATCTCAAAGCATTTCACAGGCATGTTGCCCTCCCGAACTCCGAAAAAGTGCAATAAGAAACCCAGAGTCCTTCTGCCACTCAGTCAACAGCGTGAAGTGCTTCAGCAACTTGAAAATGGTGTCAAACCTTCAACCCTAGCCCGCAATCTTGGCGTGGCTCCCAGTACCGTCACCAGAATCCGCCAACGAGGACCCAACATAATACCCCTGTCCAAAATACCCCTGTCATATAGCCTTTTCCCACTCCCATTTAGCGATATTCTTCTGCTGTCAATATACCTTTTTGTCACGGAAGTTCTCACCACCCAGGACCTCTGTTCAGCTTTGGAAATTTGGGCATAGGTTCTCTCTGTACAGTTGCAATCCCTTTTTATGACAAGGAGAGATGAAGAGAGCCACCGGCCACCTTCTGCGGTGCGGCGAAACCTTCTGCCATTTCCAAAAAGCAATGGCAGAATGCCACCCCCACCAAAAGTCAAGCTAACAATCACGCCTGGCTGTGCCGGCAGTGGTCATAGCTCTTCTAGTAGCAGAGGGCAACAGTGCCATTGCATTCTGTGGCAAAAAGTTTGGCAATTGCGAAGGATCTTGGCAGTGAGAATGAAGAGAACGACCGTTCTCCCGAGCTACCCAATTCTAACGCGAGTTACCCACTTCTAGTCACGCTCTCTGTTCAGTTGGCAGAAAATTCAGTTGGCGGAAAGGCCAAACCCTTTCCGTCAACTGAGACTTGACTGCATTTGGTGTCCCGGCCGGGCTTGGGTGGCTTGGCAATGCCTGCGCTGCGGTGTGCCCCTATCACCCCCTCCCCTGGAACCTTGTGGACCAGCTGGCTTTCCCAACTACCCGCAATACCATATTACGTGCGACTTTAGAGAACGTACTGTTGGCCACATTGGCATTCCGGTTCTCCTACGTTTGTTTCAGCAGCGGCTACTCCATATCTCTTTGATTGCGATTCGTTTTGCTCGAGGTGGTGGATGTTCAGAGTTTTCGACGTTCTAATTTGCTTGCGGTGGAACGTCGAAAACTCTGAACATCCACCACGGTTCCTTGGGCCACTGGACTTACGCTGTCGACAGCACGAGCATCTCGACGCTGTCCAGAAAACTACGTGACAGATTTCAACTCGTCGACGGCCCGACCTGTTTGTACCCGCTGTCTAAGCCTCCCCCCAATCGAGCTCTGAAGGACGGAGCGGGGCCGCTTTCGTTTGATTCGGCTGACTTGTTCGGCATGTTGGAAGACGGGGGCACATATTCGATAGAGTGAGTCCTTGCTGGAATGGCAGCGTCTTCGAATCTCACCGTCTTGACCCTCATTTCTCTAATGCCAGCGAGGAAGTATTCACCTTCCAGTTTCAAGTGAGTCCGTCGTCACCGGTCTCTGTGATAGACGTCCCGGAACCCAGTTCTGCGAGGTCCACCCTGCTTGAAAGCACGAAGAAGGCGATGTTGGAAAGTTATCGGCTCGCTCCGGACGTATCCTGCGAATTGAAGGCCAAGCAACCGTTCGGCAATGGCACGGTTGACATCATCATAGCCGACGATAATGCGTTGAGAACTGCGGGAATACAAAACCTCAGGCTGCGGTTGGTTGTTGACAGTAGGTTCCACGTTCGGCGATGTTATCCGGTTATGTGTATTGCTGATTTTCCTGCTTGTTGTAGGAGATGCGCGCTTCGTATCTGGTGCTGAAGTGGGAGTGCGTAACGTCGTTGAGCTCGCGGTGAAGATGATTATGATCTACGGTTATCCAAGCCCCGCGCCCACCCGTGCGCTCAAACGCTTGGCAGATGAGACAGAGAAGCCAGGTTGGATGTCTCAAATGTTTCAGGATATAGGCGTTCCTCCTCATAAAAGTGAAACGTAGCTTGGATTGACTTTCGGCTTCTTCCGCTCAAAACCGTTCTCAGACAAAGGTTCTGGAATGAGATGAATCAAGCTTACCAGGACATCTCAGCACAAGTTATGCACATTCAGTTCGATCAATTAATGCCGGAGTGGGACGACATCGACATTCACGAAACTGTCGAGTAAGACAAACCGTTGTGCGCTCCCCAGATTGACATGGAATTAACTTCGATATTGCTAGGGTTCTGTCTCCTCGGCGAACTACGATCCGAGATGCGCACACCAACGCCACGCGCACCTCGCGCGACATAATTAAGTGGCTTCGAAGGAAGGGTTTGAATGAAAACCTCGTCATGTCGGTTTTCTACCTCAGTAAGGCCCACTTTTCTACCCGCTGATGTTCTTGTCCTTTCATAGTAATCCGTCATCGTTCTTACAGAGTCGCTTCTCCGACAAGGAGGGACAGCAGCTGATCTTGAGCATGGCGTGGATCAGGAGACTGGCCGACCGAAATACCTATTGCCGCCAAATTTCGATCAGTTGACTCACCAGGAACTTTATCGCGGGATGTGTGGACAAGTTCCCGCACTGAAGCAATGGGTACAGCAGCGCTTAATGTCCTTGTACACGCAAACGGCTGTGGACTGGCCTCAGCAATGAATGCGTGGCTGTGTTCTCAGTGTACTGTACAAGGACATTAAGCGCTGCTAGTAGGGCCTTTGAATTTTTGGGGGCACGGAGTTTACACACAAAAGCATTCGTGACCTATTTCTGCGACTGCGTACTTTGGGCCGATGTGGAGGCCTAAGCCCTTTTTTTGTCTAGCATTTTAGATGAGTTAGAGTTCAATTATGCTCTGGACGAGGAACGTAGTTCATGAGTTCAATGGATGAGGAGAAGGTTAGGCTTGTGGCCAGCCTTGTGCAGTAGGACTAGGTAGTACTGTACTAACGGAAGAAAGGGGAGGAGAAGGACGCGTTCCAGCAACACAACATTCTCCCCCGATCACCTCCATCCTTCCCCCAGTTCAACCAAAACCCCCACCCGAGCACGGCGTCCCACCACCCACCGGGGTCCCGTCAGCATCCCACCACTCAGCGCCCATCTGCGCAACGGTCCGCCCACACCCACAGCACCGCCCTCCACTCACGTCATCCCAAGTGCATTCGACCACGACAGTCGCCCCGACACACAAATGGGCCTCCTAACAGTCCTCAAAAAACTCAAGCAGAAAGAAAAAGAAATCCGGATCCTTATCCTGTAAGCCCCCCGTCCGACTCGTCACATTTAGCTAAAAAGATGTATCAACTGCGATTCGTGTGATTCGATTAGGGGACTAGACAATGCAGGCAAGACAACGATCCTGAAACGCATCACCGGCGAGAGCATAAGCGGCGTCAGCCCGACGCTCGGGTTCAATATCAAGACGGTCGCTTTCCGCGGGTATGGTTGCTCATCAACCCCATCCCCAATTCCACTGCCCCCCGTGAATACCCACCCTTTCATGATATCTGACGAAACCTTCATACCTTCATGATTTCTGATGAAAAATCCATTTAGGTATAAACTGAACATCTGGGACATCGGCGGGCAGAAGAGCATCCGGAGTTATTGGCGGAACTATTTTGAGCAGACGGACGCGGTCGTGTGGGTCGTTGATAGTGCGGACCGGGTCGAGCGGTTTGAGGGGTGTAGGGAGGAGTTGGGGGGCGTGTTGGGTGAGGAGGTGAGTTGGGAGCGAGAACCTCCTGGCGAGCATTGTCAAGCCGAGCGGGTGGCGTCGGCGAAAAGCGAAAGGAGCCGCTAAAGGGGTTTTTGAGGGGACTTGAGCGAAACGAAACGAAAAGGGAACAGAGGGGGCTCACAGAACGGTGTGTTGATACATGACATCCCTCCTTTTTTTTTCCTCACACAGAGATTAGCAGGCGCAACTCTCCTCATCTACGCCAACAAGCAAGACATTCCGGGCGCGTTAACCCCCACCGCCATCGCCGATCTGTTGGATCTGCAGAGCATCAAGACGCATCATTGGGAGATTGTCGCGTGCAGCGCTGTCACCGGGAAGGGCGTTGGGGAGGGGTTGGAGTGGGTTGTGGCGGATGTGGGGGGGCGGATATATATGTTGGATTAGCGGGCGGGGGGGCAGGGGGACTGGGAGGGGGGAGGTGGAACACTTTCCCGCGAATTCGACGGCTTGTGCACGCGGGGCCGATTCATGCTTCGTGGCATCACCGCCCACGCAACACAGAGAGCCGGCACTGTTGTTTGGTTTTCTTCGGGGCGTCTTCCCCGTCCGTCGTCAGACCGACCGACCCCCGTGCACATGGAAACAGCCCACAGATGCATGCATGCGGTTCGGGATTCCGACGGCCCGGCCCGGGTTCGTCTATGCGTCTTATTGGACGTCGAAGGGGTTTACCCACGGTGCAAGGGATTCTCGCACGCAATCTGGGGTTCGGGGATGGTGGTGGGATCGGAAAACAAGCACGCGCGGTGCCTTTTTTGCGTCTACCGCGTCGTGTGAGACGGGATGCCGGAAGATGGAGGGAGAATGCCCAACGGGCGTACTAGACAGTGCGAGATACCTGAATGGTGGATAACCACCGCGAGCGGCCTTTCTGATATGTGCCCCTGCGGTCGGGGGGGTTTGGGATTATCATAACAACACAGAACACACTTCTTGTGTGATACGAGCGGTCTCACCTTGCATGAAAAAGCGTGTATTGTAATACCCATCCTCCGCACTGCACTGTACATCACATACATATCCCCTTCCCAAAAAATTATATACGATTCCCATGCCATCCACGGCAAACTGATCCACAAATCACTTCCTCCGCTTATTCCCCGCCTCAGGCTCCTCAAGCGAACCCCCATCCCCTATCTGCCCGTACTCCCTCTTGCTCGTTGCACCGTTCTCCAACATCTGCTGGTTCGTCATGGGCTCCTCCGCATCACCGTCGTCATCTCCGTCGGAGTCGGAGGGATTGTCGTCGGGATCCTGCGAGCGGTTACCGGCGGAGGTGGTGGTGCGCGCTTTGAAGTTGCGTTTGTATTCCTGGCGTTTTTCTTTTGCTTTTTGTTGGAATTCTGAGGGAACAGCCCCGAGAGGGGTGGGAGTGAGGGTGTGTGAGTGGGGTGTGGTGAGGTTGGGATGGGCCAATTGTAATGGGGCGATGTGATAGCCCCTGCTCGCTCTCCGCTCGCGATCAGGGGAGTTCCGGAAAATCCCAATGTGAGGAGAACGATGGCTCGCTATCGCTCCGCAAACCGCTCGCTTCACTTCAGCTCCAAGGGCTCCCTAACGCTTGCCAACTCCCGCTCAAACCCATCCTCTCCAAGCGACCCTCCCACCCTCCACCCATCCCGCTACTCTCCACTTTCCCCTTTCTCAACACCTCCCCAAATCCCACCACCTACCCTGAACAGCAACCTTGATCATCGGCGCAAACTGATCAAACTCGAGGATAGTCAGTGCCCTAAAGACGTCATTGGAAGTGATGGATTTGCGGTCGTTGGATTTCGTCACGTCCAGGGCTGTTGCTGTTAGGTAGCTTATAAAAACTAAATGAGATCGCGGGGGGTGAGATGTTGAATCCGGGGTGTAAGGAGGTGCGTGTTCTTGGGCCCTTACCCGTGCAGGCTTTTGTCATTGCGGCTTTTGCGTCCTTTTGCACTTGGGCGCCGTCTGGGAGCTGTAGAAAGGAAAGGAAGGGAGGGGATGAGGTTTGAGTGTTGGGGAGTGTGAGGGGGAATAGGTGTGGGGCTGGTACGCACAGCACCCTTGATGACTCTGCTGATGATGGAGCGGGGGAGGTCGATATCTTCTATGGACGTCATTTTGGAGCGAGGGGTTGTTGTATTACGTGGCACTTGCTGGGACGTTGAGGGTGGGTTTGACTGGGTGCCAGCTGAGAAGGGATGTCCGTTGGTTGTTGCACCCTTTTGGACGTGAGTAAGTATTGCAAACCACTTGAATGGATTCCGTTCGAGGTTGTGCTTACTAAGCTTCTTTTCTTTCACTCGAGCGATACTTCTACATAATTGAATCTACACTAGGGCTCGTGCCCGCCGCTACGCCGCGGAAAATGTTTTCAAATTGCAATAGTCAGAAAGGATAAGGAAGCGTAGAAGCGTAGAAGGCTATGAAAGGCGCAGAAGGCTATGAGTCTGCCCGGAAGTTGGGGCATCCCGCCAGAGTGGAAAAGGGAAATGCTGCCGCGGGTCGACATCTCAAGGGCAAAACATGCTCCATTTCCTTTTTCCTCCACCACATCCATACAGAAACAGCAAGCGTCCTGCATCAACGAATCCTTGCAGGCCGGTTGTCTACTCCAGATAACGAGCACATGCTAATCTGATGCGCCAAGCCCCGAGGCGCGGAAGGATTGGTAGCAGTCCTCTGACGTGACGGTCTCCCAGTTGCATTCGGGTCGGTGGTAACGTTGGCTTTGATTGCCCCAGAAGCGGTATTGGGAGTGTTTTGTTTTGCCGGCAGATTTTGCATTTGAGACTTTTGCTCCATGGGCGTTGTGTAAGGTGTTCTATTCTCTTATGCCCATCTTTATAGACCTGAATGAATTGAAGAGGAAGGACACTGCGAAGCACACACTTGCATTCATGACCTGCTTAGTTCTCAATCCAACCCCTCCTCCCACTACCTACAAAAACCAGGAAATGAAATATGTATACAGAACGATGGCCCGTTCACAACCCTCACCCGCCCTGCCCACATCGAAATCGTGCGGCGAGCTTCCCAGAGCTATGGTGCCGAGGTCATGAAACATTCCAGATGTGGGGCGTCATCTCCCGCCGCGGGAATACTGTACATCCCATCCCCAACAGAGTTCCCCCATTTCCTCCCTTCCCTTCGCAATGTTATCTGTAGTTCGTTTCTTCATTTCTCTCCTCTTCCGCTGCCATGAACCATCCGACGATCCTCATCCGACGATCCTCAGCCGCTCGTGGACGGTGGTGGTAGTGCGCGCGAGAAATGGTAGACGCCCCGCTGTATCGGTAATAAATAGAATTGGTGTTGAACAAACCCGGGTGTATCGAGGGTAAGTTGTCGATATTATGTGTTTGTGAGGGATGTTGTATGGGTTTGGGCGGGCACGGCGCCGGCATGTGTGGGAGTCCGGTGTTTGCGTGTTGTCGGATGAGTGATGAAGGCGGTCAACATAGGAGTTCGGAAGTGGTTGATGGCCCAGCGGCGTTCTTGGGGATCGTTTAGAAGCAGTACCTGTACGTTACGTACCTGTGAGGAAAGGGAAGCAGGGCTCGATCAGAAAAATGGGTCCAGAAGGTTTGACGTTTGTTTCCTTTCTGCGTTGCTGCACGGTCCTCCATCGTCCTCGTTTTCTCTCCTGTCGTCCCCTATGTCCCACCGCAGCTCCACAAGTGTTCATCTCATGTATCGGACTCGGCTCCGCGTCTACGATGACGGTCCTCGCCCGCCTTCACACCTGCCACCACCACAATTAACAGATCCACGTTTCCGACCGCCAGCCATCCGCCAATAGCGCCCTTCCACCAGGTCCCTTCCTACACTTTGTGACGTGAATTTCCGCTCTGCCTCGAACCCCCAGGACTCGGGCAGCTGCTATGGGAATACTCACTTTCCCGCTGTTTCACTCGGCCGAATAATCTTAACCACCTGTCCGCGCTTCATCCCGTAGTATTTTGCAATCGGGTCGCTGTGATGGATTCGTGGCAGCTGCGATTCGCGAAGACGACTGGAAGAGAAGTGTTGGTACGACGACCATTTCCTGTACTTTGCGGAAAGCGGAAGTAAACGGAAACACTCACTATCGCTCTAGCAGATTTTTCTTTTCTTCGTCCTTCAGCACTTCGTGGTCAGGCACCAGGATGTGTTTGGTGATGTTCACGAGCAGCTCGCCCTCGGTAAACAACTCTATTGTGTATTTCGGGGCCATCTCCGTTACGACCTATGAGAAAATGGTCGCGCCGTAAGAAAAAGGAGCTGGGAGACACACACAAACCACGTGAACAACGCACCTTCTTAGCTGACGGTGTCATATTCTTTTGATATACGACAATGGCTTTGAAAATGCTGTTTGTGACCATTCGCTCAGCAATTCTGCAGAACAACATTTTCGGTCAGTAGTCCATTCCCATCATCGCAGGCGTCTTTGAGCGCACAATGCATCTCCGAAGCGTTACTTTTTGATCGGTTTGATGCCGACGTTCTCGTCTTCGGTGAAAAAGACCAGCAGCGATTCCATCGGGTTGTCTTTCAGAGACGCTACGTAGGTCATCCCTATTTTACTGAGAAGCATATTCGAGTGAGCTCTAAATTGTGCCTTTGCGGTTTCCCCTCCATTTTCGGCCGCCATCTCCTCGATCTGCTCAATGAAGTACTTGCGCTGTACGTACTCTATGTTGCCACCCCTGCCGTAAGTCGCCTTCCAATCCTCGAGCGAAATGTTGATCTCGTCATCGGATACCGCATAGCCCTGGGGGGTGTCGGAGGAGATAGGAAGTACTGCAGTCAGCATGTGATGTGCCTACAAGGCGAGACAATCCCATCGAACGAAATGGGGGTGTGGGCGGCTCGCATAGGGATTTGCAAAGGGGAGCGTTTTTTCGCCAGGAGCTCTTTCCCACGACGACGAGTACGACCACAAGTAGCTGAGAAACTCGGCAATGAACATACCCTATCCCGAACGAGTTCGCGCACAGTCTTGCAGACCCGCCATAACCTTGCAGCGTCTCTATCGTAGTCCATTGTGTACGAGGACGATTCTTCAGCGTGAAGCAGATGTTCTGAAGCTCCCTTGGTCGTTGGCAGCAGCTTTGCAAGTGGGGGCTTTGTATTCTAGCTGGTCACGTGAGTGATTTATTTAGTGAGTAATCGTTTACGTAATGATCGGAGTCGGATTTCTCGCCATCCAAGTCGAATCTCGAGGACGTGTGGGAATTGCCGATTTATGCGCTCGTTTCTTTGCCGTTCGCTCAAAAAAGACCAGCCCGCAATGCCTTTCAATACGAGTAGATTCCTCAGCGATATCTCGCAAATCGTCTGTCGGTGGGTGGCATGGGGTTGATTTAAGAGGACACCAAAACAACCATTCTTAATCATCCACCATTATCCAGCCTCACTCGCTATGCCTCCGATGTCAGCACCGCAGAGTCCCTCTCGCCCCCAGTCTTCACTCCACTCGACGGCCTGTATAAAGCCGCCGTGTCTGCTCTCAGCGAACCGACCACCACCACTCCGTCAAAGGCAGCATCGAGACATCAGAACCAAGATCACGGTCATGCGTATCAAAGCTACCCCGGCCTGCCATCTGTAGAGTTTTCGAATGTGCGGAATATGTTGATCGCGGACAGCGAGGTGCTCACCGCCGTCCTGCGTACCGTTTTAATGGAGCAGAGCGGCGGTGGCGGGGCGGGGTCCGAGACAGAGACGTCCAAAGACGCGAGTGAAGTCCCGCAAACCGAGGACGAGAAGAAGCAGGACGAAGCAACGCAGCAGCAGCAAGACAACGTCGAAGGCGCAGCCGCAGCAGCCGAGACCGTGGAGTCCGTAGTCGACGCCGACGCCGACGCAGAACCCCTCACCGAATCCCCCCTCCACACAACCGTGCACCTCCTCCGCGGGATGGAAGCCGCCGCCTTGATGGCCGCGATGCTCCTCCCGGGCGTGCACGTCCGCGAGCGTGTGCTCGTCTCCGTCGCCGAGCTCGCTGCCGTTGTTCATCACGTCTTGCACCTCCTGCTACAACCCGACAACGATGACGCGACATCTGAACGGAACCGTCAGGGTGGGCGGGCTCAGGTGGCGGCGTACGGCGGCTCGATGCTTATTCGCGCCATGAACACGTTCCTGGACACGCTTGTCCTGCTTGAGCAGAGTTATGTGGCTGCGATGGAGGGAGACGGGGAAGGGGACGCGACCATGTTTGATATCGAGAGGTTTCGCGATGGGGTGTTGAAGGCTGTTGCCGATGGGGGTGCGCAGATTCCGCTTACAGCGGCAACTACGACTCTCCCGTCGGCCAACGCTCGCAAGGGGGCAGCGGCAGGGAAACATGGCAGGCAAGGCGTCGGATACGCAACACGGTGGGGACAGCGTCAGCCGCAACGATACGGGGTAGGTCAAAGGATGGGAAGCGTTGGTGCGGGCCAACGACGCTCGTTCAGCACGCCGGTCGCGGGCGTGTGGGATATGCCCCTTGCAAAGGGATACCACCCCAGCTGGCCGGTGGGCGAGGCAGGGGGAGGAGGGACATATGCGTCGCGGGCGGATGTGCATTGGGATGTAAGTAGTCAAATGCCTGTCCTCAAGCATCTATCAGCCAAACTCTTTGGTCGCTAACCCACGCCGGAAATGAGCAGATGCCTCCGTTCACCTCACCAGCAGTACCAGACCCCAACATAACTTCTCAGACGGACGGCATTCAAGGACCACCACCACCGGCACCCTACACCGCCCTCCTCCAACACCTCACGGCCCTCGAAGCCACTCAGCTCGCCATTCTGCGCCGCGCGGGCGTCCCTCCCTCCACCACCGCCGACGCACAACCGCAGCTCCCACCAGCATCCCCCACGAGTCCGTACGGCCACGTTCAATTCGCAGACACGGTCGGCGGCCTCGCCACTGCCCTCCCATACCCAACCCAACCCTCCCCCACCCAACAACAACCCGACACCCCGCACCAACCGGCCCGCCGCAAATCCTCCCTCCTCTCCCTCCTACGCCCCCGTTCCACCCCGCACCCCTCGGGCCCGCGTCCCCTGCCCGTGCCCCTCCGGCCCGCACCGATCCCCACCCGCACGCCAACCCCACCCACCGCCCTCGCCCTCGCCTTGCTCAAGAAGGAATGGGAACCCACCCTCTCGATCCGCACGGGCGCGGCCTCGACCGCGCCTCGCAAGCCCGCGCAGACGGGGTGGAAGCTGTGTGTGGTGAAATGCGTGGTCGATGCCGTGATTGTGTTTCCGCCGCCGGGGGGTGTGGGCGTCGCGGATGTGGGCGTCGGGAGCGGGGTGGATGATCCCGAGGTAACTGTCACCACATCCCCATTCTATCTGATCCCCTACTCTCACTTGAGTTCCGATGCTGATCTCCCCCCCACCCCCCACCCCCCCCCCCGCCCACCAGTTAACAAACACCCCAGCCCTCGAGCACCACAACCTCCGCAACGTGGTCCTCTCCCTGATCCCCTCGCCGGGGTCCTCGCCGTACCCGTGCACGCTCCGGCTGCACCTCATGAACGGCATCGCGGTGCTGATCGACCTCCGCAGCCCGGCGACCGCGCAGCGGTGGGCGGAGGCGATACTGGCGACGGCGACGGGGGCGGAGATGTTGGGACGCACGGCGGGGAGACGGGGGAGGGGCGCCGGTTATGGCGGGTTGTATCCGGCGGTTAGTGCCGTGGAGTTGGGTGCGTGGGCGGGGTATCCGAGTTCGTCGAGTTTTCGGATATGAAGAGGAGGGCCAGTTGAGATTGAGGGGAGCGGGGTTGAGGACTGATGGACAACCGTGTGGCCTCTTGGTTTCCCACTCTTCTGTTCACGCAGATGTGCTTGGTGCCCTTCATAGGCTTGCATTCGTTGATCCATATGCATACCATCGCGAATAAACGATTCAGTGCGCATAAAGGAGTGCGGTAGCTAGACGATGTGTCATTTGCGAGATGTGCCGATGCCAGAGAAATCGTAGAGCTGTTGCTTTTTCTCTATCTATTGTGGGGTAGGACTTGAGGAACTATCTTGAGGCATCTTTCCACTCTGTCACCCATCTCGTCACCAAGGTTGGCTGGCCATTCCTGACACCAATAACGGCGAATCGCTGTAAGTGTTCACCGCCGACTATTATTAGTCCTAATTATGATGACGCTGGATCTTTAACCAGACAGGTGAAAAAAAAGACTGTGAAGGGATTGGTATACAGGAACGTGCGGGAATAGTGACAGTACGCCTCATGGGAATAGGAAGCCGGTTCCTACATATCTATGGACTGTGTCCCCGCTTGTGCCGATGTGGTGTAATGGCGGAAGGAATGCTACCGCGTGGAGTGTTCCAGAGAGTGATCGTGACGAATGTATCGGATGAGTGTTGAGGTTATTGCGGGTTTCCCACTTTCCACTTCAAATCGCTCCAACAACCGCCAACTCTGGAGAGCGTATTCCCAAGGCCACGCCGAAGGCGTGATGAATTCGCCTCTACTCAATATGCCTCAGATACCCCGCCGTGATAAACGGCTCCACATCCGTCCTCCTCAAATAATGCTGACTATTGTTCACCAGCCTCACCGCCCCATTCTCGGTCTGCACCTCCCCACAATCCTTCAGGACTCTCACTTCCACAAACAGATCCCGGGGTGGGACCAGCGCGGCGCCCATGTCCACGTCCAAAAACCCGGAGCGGTAACTGCTCACCAGGGCCGTGTAGCCGTTCACAAACTCCATTTCCGCGGGGCTCAGATTCCGTCTTAAATCAGCGGGCATGGCCGCAGCGCTGCTAGCCGCGGCCCCACCCAGATCCCACAACGTCTCCGTAATCCGATCCAACCGATGTCGTGTATACGCCAGCAAGCATCGTTTCGAGCGGCGGAGACTTAGGTGGTGCATTGTTGCGGCGACGGTGAGGCCTTGGGCGTGTTGCGGGGTTGGGGCGGATTCGCGCGCGGACATGATATCGCGGAGGTGGGAGGCGAGTTGGCGCATTTCGAGCTGGACGTTGCGGATTAGGTCGTCGCGGTAGGGGGCGAGGGTGGGGGAGTCGGAGGTGCGTTTGGCGTCGCGGACGAGTTTGAGGGCGTCGTCGGCGTACATGGACATTCTGGGGGGATGTCTGGGGGGGTGAAGGGTGGGAGTGGGTGGTGGAGGGAAGTCGCTGCTGGACTGCGAAAGGCACAGAGCCGAGAACTGTATCGGATTCTTTGCTTGGTCGGCTACTTTGAGACGTAAAGAGCCTGAGTAAGCTGGATGGGACTTCTGCGCTCGTATAAGACCCAGGTTCTTGAGTGTGAGACCTGTATAATACGAACAGTGAGTCCAGTATTCGTTCGGCAAAGCCCAGCCACAGACTAAGCAACTCCCAAGATGGCGGTGATCTACAATCTTCACCCGCCATGAGAACACATATCCCTCGCGCCCACCTCCTCCTGCTCGAGCGTCTCCTCGCCCTGCCTCTCCCTCCATATCGTTTTAAGCCCATCTGCGGTATCGTTCGGGCGAACTCCGCTCGTCTCCCATCCAACCCACGTACCTCTGAATGAGGAAAGCTGAGGTTTTTGACCCGGTAGTGAGGTGATAGCGTTGCTGAGTAGAAGGCGATAGACTCTCTTTCTCTGTGCAGACTCTCTTTCTCTGTGTCTCCTGGGTTGCTTCTTGTGTTGGGGTACCTAGTACGATTGTTCTGTGTGGAGTCTGGAGTTTGCAAGTCCCACTGCTTCCCCCCCGCGTTGGCTTCTTGGACGTCCGAACAGGGAGGGCCTTGCTCTCCTTTCTCGGGCATTGGACTCGCAACCACCCGTGCGCATTAGGACAGACGGCTACAGGCAGCACATACAGAGGACAACGGAAGGCTCAACAGGCTCACTCATACCCAACACCCAATACCCCCTCACTCGCACAGTCTGCGTCTCCTCCTTTTTTTCTGACACAGCAACAATGTCAAAACGGCAGAGGGTGAGTATGCAACTCCGCACTGCACCCAAAGATCACTCGGCTAATACCCCTCACCCCTATTCTAGAACGACGAAGACGAAGAAGAGACTTTCACAGCCGACGACTCCTACGTCCCCTACGTCCCCGTCCGCGAGCGCCGAGCTGAAAAGTACCGCAAACTCGCCACAACCCTCCGCAAACCCCTCGACCGCGAGAATGGCAACTCCTCCGCCTCCGACTCCGAGCCCGACGAGCCCAAAGCCGGTCCGCGCTCCAACGTCGCCCTGATCGACCAAGCCGCCGAATTACGAAAGCAGGAAAAACCAAAGACGGAGTTGCAGAAGGAGTTGGAACTGGAGAAGGAGATCCTGACTGCCCAAACGACAAAGAAGGCGCTGTTCTCGGCCCAGGAACTCGCGCAGGATGTGCATTACACGGAACCGCTGAAGACCTCCTGGACGCCGCCGAAACATATCCGGGAGTTGAGCGAGGGGCAACTAAACGACGTGCGTAAAAAATTCCACATCATCGTCGAAGGCGACGACGTCCCCCCACCCATCAAAACCTTCCGCGAGATGCGTCTCCCCCCACCCATCCTCTCGCACCTCAAAGCAAAAGGGATCGCCAAACCCACGCCCATCCAAGTCCAAGGCCTACCAGCAGTCCTCTCCGGCCGCGACATGATCGGCATCGCCTTCACCGGCTCCGGCAAAACCCTCGTCTTCACTCTTCCCCTCATCCTCCGCGCCCTCGAAGCCGAAGTCAAACTGCCTCTCCTCCCAAACGAGGGACCTGTAGGCCTCATCCTCTGCCCCTCCCGCGAACTCGCCCGCCAAACCTACGACGTCGCCCAGGGTATGGCCGACGCACTCCTCGCGGGCGGATACCCCCACATCCGCGTCCTCCTCTGCATGGGCGGCATCTCCATGGCGGAACAGGCCGACACCCTCCGTCGCGGCCCGCACGTCGTCGTCGCTACCCCCGGCCGCTTACAGGACATGCTCGACAAAGGCAAACTCAACCTCGCGACCTGCAAATACCTCTGCATGGACGAAGCCGACCGGATGATCGACATGGGCTTCGAGGACGATGTCCGGAACATCATGGGTTACTACAAAGGCCAACGGCAGACGCTCCTCTTCTCCGCGACGATGCCCAAGAAGATCCAAAACTTTGCCCGCTCGGCGCTCGTCAAACCGGTCGTCGTCAACGTCGGCCGCGCCGGCGCCGCCAACCTCGACGTGATCCAGGAGGTCGAGTACGTGAAGCAGGAGGCCAAGATCGTGTACCTCCTCGAGTGCCTGCAGAAGACCTCGCCGCCCGTGCTTGTGTTTGCGGAGAACAAGAACGATGTCGACGACATCCACGAGTATCTGCTGCTCAAGGGCGTGGACTGCGTCGCGATCCATGGCGGGAAGGACCAGGCGGAGAGGGAGTATGCCGTGAAGGCGTTTAAGGACGGGAAGGCGGACGTGTTGGTTGCGACCGATGTTGCGTCCAAGGGACTGGATTTCGCTATGATCCAACACGTCATCAATTACGATATGCCGAAGGAGATCGAGGATTACGGTACGCGCCCCTTATCCCCCGTCTCTCTCCCCTCACCCCCATCTCTCACGCCCTCGTATTATCTTACAGTCCACAGAATCGGCAGAACAGGTCGCTCAGGCCGCACCGGCGTCGCAACAACCTTCATCAACCGCAACTCAGCCGAAGAGATCCTGCTGGATCTCAAGTACCTCCTCAAGGAAGCCAAGCAGCGCGTGCCGCCGGTGCTGGAGGCGTTGGAGGATCCGAATGAGAAGTTTAGGGGAGGGGAGGGCGAGTTTGTGGAGGGGTGTGAGTATTGCTGTTCTGATATTGCATTATGGGACATGAGTACGGGGGCCGTGGTATTGATGATTTTTTTATTTTATTTTTTTGGCAGTGGATGTGGATTGTACGTTCTGTGGAGGGTTGGGACACCGGATCACGAATTGCCCGAAGCTGGAGGCGCAGCGGAGACAGACGATGTCGTCGCATCGGAGTATGCATGCCGGGAGTGGGGCTGGGGAGTATTAGGGGGATGGGGATGGGGGGGACTATGCATACACGCTACGAGCCCTACGATGCTACGGCGTGCTTGTATATCTGTCTGTATCTGTTCATCTGTGCGAATTTCATGCGTATCTTTTTTGGGAACTGTGGGATTTCCTTCCTTCCGCGCGATCGTGTTGACGCCGTTCTTCCTCTGTCCCTCTCATCGGGTCTCTGGGCGAACCTGTATGTTGCAACGTGGGTCGACATCTGTTCCTGTCGTTCGGGTCTGGTCCCGCTTTAACCTCCTCCCCATCCGCTCACATCCCGATTTCCCCCCCTTCCACATCACCACTCCACCTCTTCACGCCTCTCTGTCTTTCCGTCCCTCCAACCCCCCTCCCACCTTCCCATTGACCCCCTCACCACCACCAAAATCGCAAATACACCACAATCGTCACGATCCCCAGCACAATCACCGGCGGGCCATACTTCTGATACAGCGCCTGCAGATTCAGATGTTTGGTCTTGTCGAGGTAGGTCTTGGATTGTTGAGACAGGCGGGAGGATGTTGTTGACATTCCTAAAAAAAAAAGTACACACATTCCCAGGGTTAGTGTGCTCGTCTCATGAATCACAGAAAAGAACCGTATGATACCCCCGCACTTACGGTCCAGCGCCTCCCCCCTGCCGAGCACATCCTGGATATTCCGCGTCATGATCCGCGTGACGTCCTGGAGGTCTTCGTTGAGTTTGTTGAGGTTGCGTTGGGTGCGGGAGTCTTTGTAGGCGCGTTTGAGTTTCTGGATGTATGGATCTACAAAAAAAAAATCACACTCAGTGATACTGATCCCTACAGGTTCAGATGATTGGGGGCAAAAAGGGGGGATGAAGTGTTTCCACGAACCGAATTTACTGAACGCGAAGGGTCGGGCAACCGTCCCGACCTGGTCCCCGTACTGCGCGTGGAACTCGCGCTGCATTTCTTCGAGGTATGCGAAGGCGAGCTTGCGGGGGTAGAGACGGTCGCAGATGACGAGGTAGCAGACGCCGAATTCGATGAGGTAGCTGTAATGAAATGTGGGAGTTAGTTGAGTGGGCGATGGCGATTGATGAATGCGGGAAGCGGAGGTGGGATGACTGACGCCCCGGCTGCCAACAAGGAGGTTGGACTGCGTGTCGTAAACCGCACGGTCGTTTGCTCTCGCTCACAGTGGGAGACAGGTGCTCGCTTCCCTCGCCTAGAAACCACGACCGTCCGCTGTCGCTCACATCCACTGCCCGCCTCGCTCTCCACCCCTGCGCCCCGCTTCTCCTTCGCGTCGCGTATACGTACTGAAAAACCGACGACCCCGACTCTATTGAACACCTCGCCGGCGATTCCGCGGATAACCGTTTGAGGAGGACTTTGACCTGGTTGCGGAATTCGGGCATCTCCGGTAGTTCTGCTGACTGTTTGGAATCACAAAGTGGCCGTGAGTGAGGATGTCACGGTTCTGGTGGATGTCAACGCTACCGGGTGTGTTTCATCCCACTGCGATTCGCCAGAGAGCCATGTCTACCTCTCCCCCACCTTCAGACGGCGGGCCCGCAGAATGGGGGCCCGGGTGGATATCGGAAGCTTACCTCGGTGTCCTCAGCGAGGAAGTATCCGTCTGCCACGCGGGCGATTATGGTGGTTTGTATCATGGCTTGGGTTGATGGGTTCGGGTGGGTGGATGGGTGGCTGCAAACAAACGATTGTGGGGTTTCTCTTGTTGCTGGGGAAGACGGTTGATGAGTTCCTTGGTTGTGAATATTTTGAAGGACTGGCAGGATGTTGTGCGAACGCAGGGATGTTCGTAGATGCTAGAGAGCGTAGAGTTCTGACGTGGAGCGTTCTGCGGCTCCTTCTTGCGCCACAAGGAGGCACACAGGCGGTAGTAGGAACTTGCACGCTTGCACGCTACACACTCCATATATGTACATGAATACACCCTGCTGTCTGTATCCTCATGGCGGTGCTATGTATGGATGTTGAGGAGCGCTCATGGTCTTGCCCCAGGGTGAATCCCTCCCTCCCTTTGTCAAAAGTCCACCCACAAGTTGGCCATCCCGCCAGAATTTTGCCAGTACAGAGTGCATGAATAGTACTGTAGCAATAGCAAAGCATGGGCCGCCGTACTGCATGATACTCTGCATGATACTGGTGTAGCTGCCAGAGTGCCAAGGGCTGCGTGTGTTTCGCCTTTGAAGGGCTCCCTTTTCCACACGCGCCAAGGAACCTCTTTGTCTCTCTGCTCTCTCTGCGTCACCAAAAGCTCAAAAAGCGCCCATTGCAACCCCGCGACATTCGTACGGGCATCTGGGGCATCGTACACCAGAACGAACCCTTACTCTCATTTACATACACTTCACTATGGCGGGCGTATCAACGAACCTCCTCTACGTCGACTACAAAAAGTACGTCCCCTCCCACTCCCTCGCACCCCATCCCTCCCATCTTGGGCATCACCCGTGGGAAAATACTTCACCACCCACTCCCCATACTCATCCACCACTCTCCATGACTTTCTCAGGGCAGACAGGCTCGCCTTTGCGCCACCCCTTAAGGAGTATATCGCTCAGTCGTATGCAGAGGACCCCGATGTCTATATCGACGACTTTAGGAACTTGGAGGGACTCAGGGGGGATGTGGTCGCGCCTGATACCCATGTGGCGAGTTTGAATAAGTTGCTTAGGTAGGGGAGTTGTGAGGGAGGTGGGGTGCGGACTGCGTCGAGCGAAGCGAGCAGTAAAACATGTGAGCGACCAGCGAAGGATTCTGCCCTTCCAGGCGAGCGACGCGAGCCCCTGGCTCCAACCGGGAGCGACAGCGAACAGTCGTGCTTGCCCGACATCCATGTCGCGAGCGGAGCGAGCAGGGTTTCGTGTATCCCAGCGGCCAACAACCAACATCGCTTAATCACTCAACTATTGGCCCGATTTCTCACGCGATTCTCATCGAATTCTAGGTACTACGGACAACTGATGCATCTGAGCTCCAAGTTTCCCATGGATGAGAACCATGTATGTTTTGCGGAGTGTCCTTGGACAAAACACGTAGTTCACCGTACCCTTATCAGCTCTCATTCTCTTTGTAGATCAAAATATGTTTCTGCTGGTACAACGCGTTCGGCAAAGACAAGGATCGGAAATCGGTCTCGAGCTACAACGTCAAGTTTGAAATCGCATCCATCATCTTCGACATTGGCGCCATGTACAGCCAGCTCGCCGTTGCGGAGAACAGGGGCACCGGGGACGGGCTGAAGCGCGCTTCTATATACTTCCAGGTAATGTGAGGAGTTGGGACGAGTAAACAACGTTCCGTTCGCTGATGGGAGTCATAGCAAGCGGCCGGCGCATTCAAGCACATTCAGGATTCCGCGCTAGAATGGGGTCTGCCGAGCGCAACGGATCTGCAAGCGCCTACCCTGACGGCGTTGACCAATCTGATGCTTGCGCAAGCGCAGGAATGTTTTTGGTACAAGGCGGTTGTCGGTGAGCATATGGAATCAGGTTTTCGGGCAGGTCTTGAATTTGGGCCCTATAACTCATTCGCGAAACGTGGGAATCTCCTCTAGACAAGATGAAAGATGCGGTAATCGCCCGGCTGGCTGCACAAGCCGCAGAGTATTACGACGTTGCTCATCAGAGCGCTGTAGGCGCCTCGGGAACATTCACAGACGTAAGCAACTATACCCCAGTATTCCGACGCATCTCCTTGACCCACGCACTATTTCCGTACAGGCATGGGCCGGCCAGATGCAAATCAAAGCCAACCATTTCCGAGCCGCGGCGCAGTACCGCAAAGCCCTGGACTGCCAAGGCACCGCAAAGTACGGCGAGGGCGTGGCTCGGTTGCAGTATGCGCTGGGGTTCATTAAGAAGGCGATGGAGGGGTCGTCGTTCAAGAAGGCGACGCAGTATGTCCAGGCGGATTTGAAGGTGGGTATACAGGCTTTGGAGCATGATGGGGCGTGATGTTGATTTCAAGGTCATTGCCTTCCCGTCTAGAATCTGCAACAAACATTACAAGCGGCGTTGGCCAGTGCGGAAAAGGACAATGATACCGTCTGTAAGTAAAAGACAAGGATCCCCATCGGTTTTTTTCCTGCTATCCCATTTTCCTCCCCCGCTCACCCGTCACCTGCACCTCAGACATGGAACCCGTAACACGCACAGAAGCCCTCCAACCCATCGGCGCCGCGAACATGGTCACCCCACACTCCTTCCCCGCCCCCTCCCAAATCACCGACATTGTCGGCCCACCCCTCTTTGCGAAACTCGTCCCCTTCTCCGTCCACCAATCCGTCTCCGTCTACACCCACAAAAAAGAAGCGCTCGTAAACTCGCTAGTGACAAAATTGACCGAAGCGACCGCGGTGGCGCAGAGTACCCTAGCAAGCATGAACCTGCCTGCTGCGATTGAGGCCCTGGAACAGCCGATTGGACTGCCGAAGACGGTGATTGAGCATTCGGAGGAGGTCCGACAGCAGGGCGGCGCGCAGTCGTTGCATGATACGTGGGCGACGATCACGGCGTTGGCGGAGAAGGATAATGGAATCCTCGTCGAGGTTCGTCCTAGAACTATCACCACATCCCCCCTTTGGAATGATCCCCCCCCCCCCCCCCGCAACTGAACGAATTTCCCCCCCGCAGGCAATCCGAACTCTCGACGAAGAATCAGCAGAAGACGAAAACATGCGCGCCCAGTTCGGACCGCGCTGGACGGGTCCGCGGTCGGCGGAGCTGACTCCTAATCTACGTGAGAGCGCGAAGGTGTATCGCCAGAAACTGGATACGGCAAAGAAGAGTGATCTGCTGATTAAGGCGAAGTTGGAGAAGAATTTGCATTTTATTGAGAGCTTGGGGTTGACCAAGGTAATGGAGAAGGGAGCCGAGGGGAGTTGCGATTGGTCGGGTCGGCTTCATGGGCATCGCGTCAACGTATCACGTTACTCACCCCTCACCATGCAATCTCTTTCCTTTCCCGTATGGATGTAGCCGGAACTTGAAGCCTCCATCCCCTCCAGCACACAATCCTCCACCCTGGTCACCCGGGACCCCAACGTCAAACAGCTCAAACAGCTCCTCGACCAGCTCAACAAGAACATCAAGCGGCGGGCACCTCTGGTCGCCGAGATCAAAACGGCGGCTGCGGCGGATGATATTGCGCCCAAGCTGGTCGATGCGGCGAATCGCAAGGAGGGTGCGGGGGATGACGAGGGGTTGTTTGCGGAGCAGTTGGGGAGGTACGAGGCTTTCGAGGGGACGGTGAGGGAATTGGTGGAGGAGCAGGAGTTGGTTTTGCATGAGATTCGGGTAAGTTTTGTACACTAGTTCCGGGTTTTCATGAACTTATACATCCCCCTCCCATTGTTCGTCATGCATTTCCACTCACAAATCAAATCGCCTTCAATCACCCCTCCCCATCACCAACAGGAAACAAACGACCTCTTCCACGCCTCTCACCAAACAACCACCCTCATCCGCGAACGCGAACAAGCCCTCCAAAACCTCGACAACGCCTACAAAGCCTTCCGGGAAATTTCCCAAAACATGGCCGAGGGGCTGAAATTCTATACGGATTTCCAAAGTGTGTTGTTGAGGTTCCAGAGCAATTGCAGGGATTTTGCGAGTGCGAGGAGTGTGGATAAACGGGATCAGGTGGGGGGGTTGATGAGGACTGCGGCGGGGATTGGGGGTGGGGGTTCAGCGACAGGGGGGCCGGCGTTGCCACCGAGGCATGCAGGGCAGGGACAGCAGGGCGGCGGGTACTACCAACAGCAACAGCCCCCGCAGGGGCAGGGGCAGGGTCAAGAGGGGTATGCACAACCTGGTATGTCGAACATAGAGATGGACCGTGGCCAAACTTCTGCACCCCCCGACTAACCATTTGTGTGTGTCTCGGTTAGGCGTCTGGACACCCAACCAAGCCCCATCCTACTCGTCCACTCCATACGGTCAACAACCACCACCACCACACCAACAACCTCCCCAGCAATACCAACACCAAAATCAACCACAACAACAACAACAGCCCAACCCCTTCTCCCCAAACGTCGCGTACAGCTCGCAGCCGTTGACGTCTATGCCCCCGCCTATGAATGCTCAGGGGCAAAGTGGGAGTGGCGGGTATCGGCCTTATGGGGCGTGAGGGTGTGGTGATGTAGGGGACAAGGAGGGGACTCGGACGATAGCTCAGGATTGGGTGGGGTTTGGACGGTCGGAGATGTATACTATATTTTGTTTCCATGTTTCCTAAGGCAGGAACATTCACTGTGCGAGGTAGATGGAATAAATTTCAGCAGCGATTCCGGACGTCCGATTTGTAAGTCAAAGCGGCAATATCACATTTGGGTTCTTGGAGGAATGTACTGTACGTCTAGAATCGACAATTCAAAAAACTGGCAAAACCGCTCATCCCCGAGAACTTGGGTGTAAATGTACAAAAAAAAAAAGGAGATCAATGCCCCCTCTCACAACCGCCCCATCTCAAAAATCCCCATCAAGATCCTCCCACCCCGCCGCCGTCCCGCCCGCACTAGCCCCACCCCCACTCCCACTCCCGCCCGCGCCGGCACCACCATGACCCCGTTTCGCGGCGGCGGCTTCGACGGCGACTTCGGCGTACAGGTCGAAATCGTCGTCCGAGTCTGAGGAGGAGGAGTCGGCGGGGTATGGTATTGGCGGTGTTTGGTGGGGTTGCGCGGGGTGGGGATGTGCTAGGCGGTGTGCGGGGGTGATTTTCGTGGTTGTGGTGGGGCGGGATGGTGCAGAGGTGGAGGGTGTAGGTGGGGCGGAAGCGGACGGCCGTGCTGAATGTGAATGCGAATGCGAATGCTCACCCGGCGTATGTATCGCCGGGGTCTCATTCCGCGCCGGATGATGTCCCTCGGGGTTCCGCTGCCCCCCGCCAGCTGAATCAACCCGCTGGGGATACATGGCCCCCATCGCGCCCGTCCCTCCTTCCCCACCGCCATTCGAGTGGGTTGCCCCACGTTTCCAAAACCGCCAGAACCCCTCCCGTCGCGCCAGGCCTCCCTTGGCCACATCGTACGAGAACAGGGACAGGGTGCCGTTATCCGAGACCACCGCGACCGTTTCGCGGCGGTGGTGGTGGTCGTGGTGGTCGTTGTGGTGGTCTGCGGTCGTGGTACCATCACCGGGGGATGATTTTGGTTCGACGAACCCGGCAACGACGCAGCAATTCGTGGTGTCACCGGGCAGATGGAACTGGGCGAAGGAGCGATGCTCGGAGAAGTATTTCGGGAGGTAGGGGGAGAGCGGGGCCAGCAACGATGTCGACGTTGCCTGTTGTCGTTTCGAGGATGCGTCGGCGTGATGCCCATGGGTGTGTATGTGTGTTTGGGCGGGATGGGGTGGGGATGCGGACTGGGCGGTCTTCCATGACCCGCCTGTTGATGTGGAGGGTGAGGATTCGTTCGTACGATGGTGGGGGAAGGTGACTTTTATGGGCATTTGCATGGGTTTGGTTGTGGTTGGGTGGGTCGGTGTGTATTCCATCTCGTGCTGTTGTTGATCACTCGTACTCCCAGCAGTGAGTTGGAAAACATGCACAGTCTGTTTATCACTCGCGACACAAACGGCCGTCTCCCTCGCACTAAACGCGATCGTCCATATCCGTGCCTGATCCACTCCTCTTCGTAGTTCATGCAATAGCAAGGGTGTATGCTGTGTCTCTGGTTCGCCGGGGACGCGGAAGACTCGGATCAGCGTTCCCTTTTCGCTGGCGGTTGCGAGAAGGGAGCCGCTGGGGGAGAGAGCGAGGCAGGAGATTGGGGTGGAGTGGGCGGGGATGATAGAGGTGCGGGCGGTTGTCGGGTGGAGGGTTGTGTGGTGGGCTTGGCCGGGGTGGCGGGCGGGGAAGGCGAGGGTTGTGTTTGCTAGGGAGTGGGATTGGGGGGAGAGCTGTGGGGCTGGGGAGAGGGCGAAGATGCCGTCCGGGTTGGGGCAGGTTTGGAAGGTGTGAAGTTTTGTGGGTGGCGGGGTTAGGGTGTAGACTACGATCTTGTTTGTTAGGACTATTATCACGCTATATCCAAATTGGTATGGACGACATTAGCTGAGCCGACGAGGAAAAAAACGGGCAGCATAACTCTTACCAATCCCTCGTAACCCCAACATTCCTCACACACTCCCTACACTGCACCTCCCACACAAACCGCCCCTCCTTATCATCCCATACCGCAACCCGATGATCGCCCAGCTGCACAACAGCCACGTTCGTCTCCTCCAACAAGCACACTCTTCGTAACCTCGCCGGTCGACGTCTCGTTATCCCTTCTCCCCCATCCACCCCACCCTCTGACTCGAGTGAAGGTATCTCGGGACACTTGCGACTAAACAAATGCCTGAACGGCCTTACAGCGTAGACATGCCATGCCGAGTCCTCTGTCTCCCCGCCGCTACCACCGGTCACTGCGAAATGCGAATGGGTGTTGTTGACTGTGATGACAGGCGGCGGGGAGGGGTAGGCTGGGATGCTCGAGATGGGGACATCCACCGTCGGCAAAGCTTCCCCGCTTCTCCGTTTTCCTCCCTTGTCTGGTTTGTTGTGATGGTGGTGGTGGTGGTGGGTATCATTATTCCCACGCTCATTCTGCTTCTGCTGATCATGCTTATGGTGCCCCCCATGGTGATGCTTGTGGTGGTGGTGGTGGTGTTTTGCTGACGTTTCCGCACCGATTGTTGGCGTGAAGAGTGCGTCGTCTAAAGCTGAAGATAGGGATGCTTCCTCGCCCCAGAGGACGTTCACCGGCTCTGACATTCCTTCGTCTACCTTTTCGTATGCTGAGTGTCCTGTCTATGATTGACTAACTACCGCTGAAATGCTGCGAAGAAGCGCAAGGACGGCTGCTAGACGGAAGGGAAAAGAAGGGCTCTGCAAGGGTACGGTAGTTCTCAAGCCCTCTCTATGCTACCTGATAAGCCTTGCTAATGGTTGTACTGTACATACAGTCTGGGTTCAGTTCGTTCTGCGTGGGTGCAAAACGTCACAGGCGGAAACTTCTCACGCGTGACGCACAGCAGGCTCAGAAAGAGAACGACAGGCGAGGACACGCCAACGAGCAGGCACACCGTCGTCTTGGGGAGCTCGCTTGGAACAAGGAAGGTATGGCAGTACCCATTCGATTCGATAAGTTAAACTGAGTCAATGCGTAGCGTGAATAATTACATGCAGCGTGGGGTGCTTCTATCCTATCTACTGTATGTTCGGATGAAGAACCTTTTCGTTGGAAAGGCCGTACGAAAACGAGTTCTACAACTTCAAAAACTGCGCCCGCTCCACCTTTTCCTTTTCCCCCACCTTCCCCCCCTTCTGCACCACACTGGCCTTCATTCCCCCTTTCCCCCCCTTCTTCCCCCCCCGCACACCCTCCATCCCCCTCGTCATCTTCGCATCCGCCACAATCGTCACATTCTTCTGCCCCATCAACTGCTTCAACGCGCTCTGTTTCGCTGCCCCCTGTGCAAGGGCGGTCTGAGGACGTGCAGCGACGACAGCGTCCATCTTGGCTTGGTGGACTGCCCGTTTCTTGCCGGCTGTTTTGCGGGATTTGTCGCGGAGGCGTTTCTTGTCGCCGGAGGTCAGTTCCGTGTCGCCCTTGACGGCCGTCGTAGGGGCAGCAAAGACTTCCTGCGGCGCCGCGCGTGATTTGTTCGAAGCGGCGGCGGGCGTAACTTCCTCCATCTCAAGCGCCGCGACATTCGGTAACGGCACAATCACGTCCGCGTCCTCCGCAGCAGTCGTCTTGGGCGTGAAATGCCAGTTGGACAGCGCATCCAGATCACGGCACAGCGTCGTAAACAACCCATCAATCTCACTATGCTGTTTCGCGAGCGCCTCGTCCTTTTCAGTCGGGATCCCCGGATCACCCTTCGCAGCCGCGTTCCGTCTCGCGTAATCTTCCTCATAAACCTGCGCAAGCGATTTGCTCGATTTCTCCTCATTGATCTCGATCCGGCGGTTAGGGTCATATTCATTATTCCGATCCCTCGGGGGCGCTTTCCTAACCACATCGTCAAACAGCGCGTCTTTGATCCGCTGCTTGATCATGTCTTCCAGTGTCGCCGTGACTTCCTCGGTGATGACAGGCACCGGTTTAGCGGCGTTGTCGAACTCGAGGTCTTCTTCGAGGAGGGAGTTGATCGGGCGGGATTTGGAGGCTACTTCGCCTTTCAACGCCCAAGTCTTTTCGGCCAAGGCTTCGTGTTCGAGTTCCGCGATCTGTTTTTGGAGACGTTCCTGCTGCTTTTCGAAGCGGGAGAGTTCGGCTTCGCCTTGCGTTGCCTCTTCGTCGTTTTCGTCATCGTCTCCGAGCAGATTCCGGGCAGCACGGCCACCGTCCATCGCACCACCACTTGGGTTGGGCATCTCAAGCACACCCTCACCGCCATCATCAGACATATCCGCGTCCCCAAACGGCTCATCATCAAAGTCCTTCATGTCATCCCGCGCAGAGGCACCAACCCTCCTGCCCTTCTTCTCCGTAAACCCCTCGCCCCGCTCGCCATGTTTCTCCCTCGGCCCGAAAAAGTCCTCGTAGCGGATCTCATTCGCGTTGTCTCTATCTTCCAACTCATCGCCATCTTCACCATCATCGTCCCAATTATCGGCGTTGAGGATGTCGTCGCCGAAGGTGTACTCATCCTCCTCGGAATCGTCGCCGTCGTTTTCGTTGTCATTGGCTTTACGAGCCTTCTTGTGATCCCGCGATTCGCCGAAATCGGCAAACTTTTCCATTTCTTCGAGGGAGAAAAAGTCATCGTCGATTTCAGATTTGCGTTTGAGGGTGGTGGTGCTGCTGTTGGGGCCGTCGCCTTCTTCCTCAGCGTTCTCTCCTTCAGCGGCAGAGTCATCCTCCATGTCGTCGCCAGCGCCTTCGCCCAACCCATCGGCCCATTCATCATCGTCTTCGGTTTTGTCCAACCGACCGTTGGTCTCCTCCTCCTCTTCCTCTTCCTCATCCGACACTCCCTCCGAATCCTCATCCTCATCATCATCCCCCTCCTCCAAATCAGCATCCTCCTCCAAAGCAGCATCCAAGTCATCATACCCGTCCAAGGACATCCCATCCTCAACTCCATCCTCCATCCCCTCCGATTCACCGCCCATCTCCTCCCCCTTCTTCCCCCACTCCACCCCAACCTGTTCAACCTTCCTCCCCAAATACTCCCCCATTGGCGCATTCTGCAACTGCAGCTGCTCCCACACCTGCTCGGCATCAAACCCTTCCACCAGCAGTTCCTGTAAAGGTGAGAACTCGTTGGGGAACGGCTCGGCGGTCTTGGCGACGGCGTAGAGGGACTTTGTGATTGTGAGGAGCGTGTGCGAAAGGGTGGGGGTTGGGCGGAGGAAGCGTTCCGGGTGTGTGAGGATGGGGTCCAGGACGTGTGGGGTGAGGGTTGAGAGGGGCGTGGCGAGGGGAGGTGGTAGTGGGGGTGTTGTTTTTGTTGGCATTTTGGTCGGTTTATCGAGTCCGGCGGGTTTTCCGAGTGAGTTTGTCGGTGTGTTCCTGCTTCTCCGAGCTGAAGGATATGCCACGGGACAGTGAAAGTGGTTGTCCGTGTGCTGCTTCTCTCGCTTTTCCGTTGATGCTGCTCAAGACGACGCAATGCTTCGTTGTCGTTGGGGGGAGTTCAAACGGGCTGCAAAAGGGGGTGCAGAGAAGAGGTCGCAGGAAAGCAACGCAAGTCACGTGGGCGCACGCCTCTCGCGCAATTAAAATACATCCCTTTTCCGAGTGTTCCTTTCTCCCCCCTTCCTCGTTTTTTCGCACCTGCTGCAACTGCAAACTGCTGAGCAAAAGTACACATATACTACATCCTCGCCAACGATATCGATAGCCAGCACAGCAACAGAGCAACTAGCACCTCTGAGGACCACCGGAAAACCCAGGTCGACCACTCAACGCACTCACCATGAGCAAACGGAAACGAGGCTCCGACAACCAACCCGCCGACGAAGCACAACCACCCCGTCCACCGCCAAAGGAAAACTCCTGCAACTTTTGGGTACGTCTATGTCTATGTTCCCCCTCTCTCATCTCATCATCATCGGTACTCAACGAGCTCCGTCTTCCATTTAGGTCAAAGGAAAACGGAAATACTGTCACCTAGGCGTTGCGCCCACCCACCTCTTCTGCGGGCAACACGCAGAGTTCGAGGACCGTACCCGTGAGGGGTTTGTCGAGAGGCCGGGGTTTGAGCGGATTCCGTGTCCTTATGATAATGGACAGTGAGTGACATACTTAGAACGCGAGGGATTTGGAGACACGAGCGGGTATTGATTGAGGTGATGTCCTTTTCTTTGTAGCAATATTGCAGCGAAGGATTTACAGAAACATTTGAAGAAATGCAATAAACGGCCAGGTGTCACACCATCTTACTTTGTCGAGAACATCAACGTCGCCATCCCTCCTTCCCCATCACCACAACCACCATCAACAATCGCCACAGAACCCACACCAACCCCCCGCTCCCGCCTCCTCGCCCTCCCCCTCCCCGCCTTCGCCGCCCTCTCCCAAAAAATCTCCTCAATCCACTCCCGCCTCCTCCCGCAGCCCCTGCGCACCCTCATCCTCACCCACCCTTCTATGAGCGACCGCATCGAGCAATCCCACGAGGGCAAACATGCCGTGCAACAGGCGTCGCTGGTGGGGCATATGGAACGCGCTGGGTTGTTGAAGAAGGGGAATGTGTTTGTGGAGTTTGGGGCGGGGAAGGGGGAGTTGAGCAGGTATGTGTTTGGGGCGGTGGGGGAAGGGTGTGGGTTTGTGTTGATTGATCGGAGGAATTTTAGGCAGAAGGTATGTACGAGTGGGCATGGGCGGATGAGGGCGAGAGCGGTTGCGCAAGCCCAAAGTGGCATGTCAAGCGAGCCCCCATTCGTTCCGCTAGCGAATTGCGAGCATTGCTGTTTCTCTTCACACCCACGTCCACCCATCCATTCTCCCCATACTCACTCACCCCAATCCCCCCGCAGTACGACGCGATGCTAGACCACGCCCCGAACACCACCCGCCACCGGCTCCTCACCGACATCAAAGACCTCTCCCTCCCGCACTACACCCCCGTCACCGACTCCCCCGTCGTCGCAATCTCCAAACACCTCTGCGGCGCCGCCACAGATCTCACACTCCGCTGTCTATCCTCCTTCGAATCCGCCACCAAATCGAACCAACAATTAAAAGGCATGGTGATCGCCCTGTGCTGTCACCATAATTGTTCATGGGAGTGTTACGTCGACCATGGGTTTCTGCAAAAGGTGGGGCTGGACAAGGAGGAGTTTGAGCTGCTGTGTGTGATGAGCAGCTGGGCGACGTGCGGGACCAAAGAACAACGAGAGGCTGCGGAACTCGAACGTCGGAAAAACACCTCCTCCAACCCCGACTCCGATACCGAATCCGTCGCGGGTGAGGGTAGGACATCACCAGCGGCAGACGACGCAGACGCGGAAGAAGCAGAGCACTGGACAGGCCTCCCGTTTTCCGCGCGCGAAACACTGGGGCAGCAATGTAAACGGATCCTGGATGTCGGGCGCGCGGCGTACGTGCGCGAGACGATGGGGATGGATGCTGATTTGGTGTATTATATAGAGAGGGAGAATTCGTTGGAGAATGTGGCGTTGGTTGTTACGCGGAGGGGGGAAGGGGGCGAGGCGGCAGCGACATCGAGTTCCGTAGCGTAGAGTAGGAGTAGAGCTCGTTCAGCATCCACTGAATCAATTACACATCTCGCGCTCGTCTCTATCTCACTACATCTATTTCGCTATTCTGATTCCGCACGCACCAAACCAGACTCCACCCACCCAATCACGACCCGCCTCACCCTCCTCACCAACACCCGCGCATCAAACGGGAACAACCCCCCTTCACAAGCCTGGTCGAGTCTATCAGCCAGGCATGTCAATATCCGTGCGATGTGGGGAATATGCTGTTGCTGCCGTGGTGCTGACACCGCGGAAGACGAGGCAAACCGGAGATAGGCCACCAAATAACCGGTAAACCCCGCCCCCGGGTCGTCGTTGATGATCTGGTCGAGGATATGCAGGGCCGCCGCTTCGGTGTCTCTCGTGGAGCGCGGTTCGTCCGACTCCTCCCCATCGCTCTCGTCGCCTTCTCCACCGCACGTCAGCGCGATCCATCTCGCAAACACCTCATGCGGGTCGAACTGCGTCCGCACTGCACTCACAAAATGCGGGACGCGCTTCCCCCGGCGTTGCGCATCGGTGTTATCGTCATCACAGACAGCGGCATAACTCTCGACGGCAACCCGCAACACCGCGGCCATCATCGCGTCGTTGTCCGCATACATCCGCAGAACCCCGTCGACGAGGGTAGCGCCCTGCCGCAACCAGTCGGAGAACGCTTCGTCGAGTCCATGCAGGACCCGCCATGCACTGTCGTGCGCGTCGTTTGGTGAGGTGAGAATGTGGGCGAGGACGGTGAGGAGCGTTAGGATGCTTGTTTTCAGAGGTTCGCGGAGCTGCACGGCCGTCTCGCTACGGGCGGGGAGGACAAACTCGGTGTAATCCTCACCCAGGGTCCCCCACGCGGTTGGCGGTGCGGTGCGGTGGGAGAAGTGGGTGAGGTATGCCGCCGGGATGTGCAGGAGGGATGTGGTCGCGGGTTGGTTGTTGGTGGAGGGGGTGGAGAGGACGTGGACGAGGTCGAGGAGTTTGCGGAGTGTGTGTTGATGCGGCGGTATCTCCTTCGGCCCACCATTCATTGGTGATGGTGCACCCCGTTCGATGAGCCTCACAACCCCATCCCCACTCACAACCCTTACGATCCGTCGCACAACCACCGCCAGCCTCTCCCTATTCTCATCTACAGATACGGCTGCGGTCTTCGCTACGGCCTGCATAAGCGTGAAGAGCGCCGAGAGGGCCATGTACACCCCGGGTCCCGTTTCCGCTTCTGACAGTCTGATGAGGTCACCAACGTTTTCTATCCAGGCGGTTTCGGAGAGGGCCGCGATGAGAGCTGTTGCGATGTGTGGGGGTAAGGTGTTGCGGCGGAAGGATTTGAGGAGCTTGCAGAGGAGTTCGGTTGTCCAGATTAGTGGGTAAGGGTTTATGGGCGGGTTTGGTGCTGATTGGGAGGGGAGGAGGAGGCGTGTGAGGGAGGTGAGGAGTTTTGGAAGGTGGGGACGCAGTGAGTGAGGGTCGTCGAGGAAGAGTGCGACGAGGATTTTTTTGGCTGTGAATGCTACGAAGGAGTTTGGGTGCGATAGTGCGTTTATCTGAGAGTAAGGGAAAGTAAAAGTTAGCACCAGTACATGAAGCTAAGATTCCCCAAATTGAATATGTACAGTACGCACCAAGGTCGCGACAGCGCCCGGGACCCCATCACCAATCCGCGAATCCAAATGAGTCGAACCTGCTTCGGTCCATTCCAGCCATTCCCAGTCGCCCGCGCTGCAACGCCGTTGCCAGTCACACAGACGCCCGAGAAGAGCGTCTTCGTGCGCTTCTTCAACCAACGGTGGCGGTGAATCTCTGCTGTGTCGCTTCATGGCGGGCACGCCGGGAACGCCAGAGTATTGAGATAGCCGGCGGAGAGTTCCAGTGTCGTATGATCTAGAGGTACCGCTGTTCAGGGGAACCGTAACGTCCGTTGAGAAAGCACAGGGAAAGTTGAGGACAAAACGACGACGCCTCCCGCAAGACGTGGGCGTTGGGCCGCCTACTGCACTGTTCGCTGATAAGCATCCTCCGATGAAGCAGGCCTGCTCCCAGCCCTTCTATGTGGTCGATTCGAACGGTCTCGCCCTGTCTGTCTGGCTGCGGGTGTGAGGGAGGAAGACGGGAGATGCGAATGCCGTTCTCGGACAACAATTGGGTGTTTCCCCCTTTCGGACACGCCGTCTCGCCTGCCACTAATTATCATACGCGTGCGTGGAGAGGAGGGTCTCGGAGTGTGAGACATTCCGTTGCTGTTTTTTCTCTCGCTCTCTCCATACGCTGACGACGGTATATAATAGCAACGCTGCCTTTGTCTCCTTTTTCTGATTCTTGCTCAACCCCCCTCCCCCCTCGGTCCTCTTGCAAGCTACTGTCTCTCGTCCCTCAGCCGTCCTCTTGCCGTTGCGCTCAACTTGTGGAGACGCTCACCGGTTTGTTTTCCTTGACACCTCCCACCTTACTACGCACTCGAAACACCGTTGGGCGAAAGAGCAAAAACCCTGTCGCACTTGAAGCAGCTAGTGGGGATACTACCTCCTTACACGCGGCAACCCCGCTCAAAGGGCGACCAAGATGGCATCGCTCTCGGCATGCATCTTGACCAGGACACTGTGTCCTCAACGTCACGCCAGTGCGACAAAACGGATAGTTTCATATCCGTCGGTGAAATATTTTCGACCAACGCCTTTACAATACCTATTTCGCTGGTATACCTCCGCCGCGCAAGCAACGCAGCCAACTGATACACTGTACGAGCGCCGGTCGGCCTACGAAACCTTTGACAAAGTCAACCGCCCAATACCCTCAAACGCAGCGTTCAACCCAAATCCGGCCTCCACACCCACACGTGCCCACCCACCAACCCACATCCACACCCAAACCGACGACCTCGCCGTGATCGCGCACCTCTCCGACATCCCCGCCTCCGCCGCAGCAGCAGCCGCCGAAAAGGGCGAAGATATAACGTTATCGGAGGAGCAGGAACAATTGCTGGATCTGCTTATGAGCGGCGAGAATGTGTTTTATACCGGACGTGCAGGGACGGGCAAGACGGTGCTGTTGAGGGAGTTTGTGAAGAGGGCTAGGGAGGCGGGGAAAAATGTTGCTGTTACGAGTGCCACGGGGATCGCCGCGTCGCATATCGGCGGACAAACGCTCCACAGCTTCATGTCCCTGCGTCCGGAACACACTACGGAAGACACGAAAACGACCGAAACCACGTGGGCAGAGAAAGCAAGAAAGGAATCCGAGTTCTACCGCTACATCTCCATGTTTCCCGCCCGCCACCTCCCCTACTCCGAAACCGACATCCTCGTCATCGACGAAGTCTCCATGGTAACCCCCGAGGTGCTCGGCCTCCTCGAAAACACGGCCTACATGGTCCGCCGCAAAGCAAAGAAATTCCCTACGCGCGGCATCGGGAGATTGACCGACGCGGAGTTTTTGGAAGAGCGAAACACGTACCGGTTTGGTGGGATGCAGGTGGTCATGACAGGTGATTTTTACCAGCTGCCGCCTGTCGTTTCCCGACCCACGGATTACAAGCTGTTGAACGAAATCAACAAAATGGCGCCATCCGAAAACCTCGGATGCGGCGTGCCGATGTCCCTCAAAGCCCCGGAAAAGCTGCCTGATGCCTTAGTCGAAGCGGAAACCGAGACTACATGGGAGGCCCTACCCGACCCCGCGAATCCACAGAAGAAGCGGTATCGGCGTCGGGTGCAATACCTGTTTGAGTCAGTGACGTGGCGTCAACTGCGGACGCATGGGAAGCTGAGGATTGTGGAGCTGCAGACGGTGTTTCGGCAGAAAGAGCCGGAGTTTGTGGAGCTTTTGGATAAGATTCGGTTGGGGGTTTATGATGAGAGTGTTGAGAGACGGTTGAGGCCTTGTTGTGGGAGGGAGTGGGCGGATGAAGCGCAGTTTGTACGTATCTTGAGTTGCTGGAGCACGTTTGCGTATCTCCCGTTTTGGCGTTTGGCAGACGGCGTATCCTAGCGACTTATCCTGCTTACAGAATTGACCGTGTTTCATTCCCCCCCCAGCCACCTACAATAATAACCGCCTTCCGCCACTCCACCAACACCCACAACGAAGAAAAGCTAGCCGCCCTCCCCGGCCCAACCCACAAATTCGTCGCTATTGACCTCTTCATGGCCAACGCCGGCTTCACCCCCGACTCCGCCCTCAACCAGCCCACAGAACCGGGCCTCTTCCGGCGTCTCAACCCCTCCCGCACCGCCTACACCAAAGAGCAATTCGGGGCCCACTTCAAAACCATTCCGCCAGAAATCGAACTCAAACAAGACGCCCTGGTCGTCCTCACCCGCAACCTCGCCCCCACCCTAGGCCTCGTGAACGGCGCCCGCGGCGTCGTCGTCCGCTTCATGCACGCCTACGACGACGAAACCCAATCCTGGGAAACCTTACCGGTCGTCAAACTCGCCTCCACCGGAAAATGCTACCTCATCTCCTACTTCCGCTTCGCCTACAACCTCGACCCCTCCACCGGCTTGACCAGCGGTGCGGGCGAAAGGGGCTACCTCGTCCGCCGACAGCTCCCCCTGGACCTCGCGTGGGCGTTGACGGTGCATAAAAGTCAGGGGATGACGCTGGATAGGGTTGAGGTGGACTTGCAGACGGCGTTTGCGGATGGGCAGGCGTATACGGCGTTAAGTCGGGTCAAGAGTCTTGATGGGCTGCGGTTACGGCATTTTGGGAGGGGGAGTGTGAGGAGTTGTTGGAGGGTTGAGCAGTTTTATAGGGAGATGCGGAGGGAGAGGGAGAAAGAGGAGGCGGTTAGGAAAGCGGAGGGGAGAAGGAAGGCGTGGATGGAGAGGGAGAGGGCTTGGAGGGAGAGGCGGGAGCGGAAACAGGGGTATGGATCTGCCAAACAGACGACGTGGGCACCTTCCGGAACGGGAGGGTGGAGGAAGGAGAGCGATGAGAGCGGGAAGAGGGAGATGGTTGCGACTATGGCGTAGGGGAGGGTGTGCGACGTTACGCATGGGGCGTGGTGGGGGAACAGAAGTGGAATACTGTACGTACTCATGTGGGTATCGGGATGCGGTGACTCTCGCCGCGATGCCTACTTGAGTTCTCTGTACCTGTAGGGACGCCCAGCAGATGTATTTTTTGGTACATAGTCGTGCTTTATCAGATTTCATGTATATAGCTTTTGTGTTTTGTGCGCCAATACAGTCGACACACTCTGATTGACTGCCGTCTTATTCGGCCGGGTATTTTTTCATGACATTATAAGGTCGCAACTTCACACGACCCGTAACAGATGCCCCCATTGCTGTAAACTAAGACCTCGGCGATCGCAGGATATCCTCACCTCTGATCCCAACCTCCCTAAACCTCCACCCCCTCATACGTACATCCCAACTGCCCAACCCTCACCAACCCACCCACATCCAACCCCAACCCCTCCGCCTTCCCCCTCAACTCCCCAATCCTCTCCTCACTCACAACCTGTTCCCTCGTAAACAGCCACAGCCCCGGATTGAAAAACGGTAGACATTTCCCGTTAGACGGCCGGGTGGGCGAGCCGGTTGTTATTATGGCCCAGGTGTATGTTGAGTTTGTGTCTTCGGAGGTGGAAGAGGAAGTTGCGTTGTTCCCGGCAGCGACCACCCAGTAGTCTCCGTAGAGGAATCGCGGGAGGAAGGTGGGCCCGACTTTGAGTTTGGATTGCGTTGAGGTGAGGGCGGCGTTTAGGTGGGTGTCTTTTTTTGGGCCGTTGATGGTCTTTTGGTTGGCGTAGTTGTATACATCAACTGAACGGGGGATCCATCTTTCATTGGTGACTTGACCCAGGAATTTTTACGATGATGCTCTTCAGCCTACTCACCCAAATCCCCACCCTTCCTCGTATACTTTGCCCGCACACAAAACAGCTCATCGACAGGCTGGTACGACACCGGCAGCTGTTCCTGCACGAACCACGGCGCGGAGATGTAGGATTCCAGGTCGAAGTTGGGCGCGCTGTCGAAGCCTTTGGGTGGGCAGTTGAAGAGGGATGATGGGGCGGCGGCGGCGAGGGAGGAGAGGGAGAGGGTTAGGAGGGGCAGTGTGAGGTGCATTTTGGGGTGGGACTGCTGTGGGGGATGTGGTTGAGGAGTTTCTGTGGCGAGAAATTTGGATGCGTTTTGGAGAAAGGCGCTGGATGGCTTTATATGCAGGCTGGGAAGGTGCTCATACATGGACTATGGTTTACTTCCTTTATCGGAGACATCGGGTGGGGCGAGAAGGAAACCGTGTGGATGACGAAAAAACGACTTTTGCTCTTCTCGCCGGACACAGCCTACAAACCCGATCTACGCGTCATGCAATGGCCATACGTGCGTCCACACGCACATGCGAGCCTGACCGTCTTGGGTTGGACACCACGGTCGACAAGCGCCCGTGCTTCACCGGGCGCAGAATTATACTTTGTTCCGCTTCCGCACCATCGCATCGGCTATCGGATCGGACGATCCTGCACATGACGCTCCGGGGGAGATTCACACACGTACGGAATCACACCCACGCCCGGTCAACGATGCAAGGACGGAAGCAGCCGTTCGCATCGGTGGCCGGGAGCTCCCATTTGGCATGAAGACCCCCGATCGCGTATGCGACAACCAGAAATTCGTAATCCGTAGGATATGCTTACCTTCTTGAGATTCCGGAGTGCAGTGATGCTCATGGAGCTTCTGGCTAACGGACATGCGAGCTGAAGCTGCTGCATCCGCACTTCCGAATGTGGCCTAACCTGTAGATTTACGATCCACACGATGGAGTTCCTCTGCGCCGAACTTGGAAGGAGGAAGTCGAATCCACTGTGAATACTGTCAACGGATTCAGATCGGCGAGCCCGATCGCTTTGAGCCTGTCGAAACCTTGAAAGCTTAATCTGTATGGGACGGTTGGGTAAGCACGGACGCGTTCGTTGCGCGTGCCGTCATCGTGAGAGTCGGGGACCGCCCGAGTAGAGCAATAGGGATGCCGTTGAGTAGAGCAATTCGACACCTGAAGCGCATTGGTGTGGCATAGTGAGGTTTCTTTTAGAGAAATGCATGCTGCTGCCCTATTGCATAAATCTGTAGGTTGCAAAACAATGTCCTCGCTCGCATGCTTAATGAAAATGTCTAGGGTGGCTGTTGTCGCACACTCGCAGTATACCGTCGCGCGCCTGCGCATCTCGTCGCCCATTGTCAAGCCCAAAGCATATTTGCTCTTCCGTTTTTCGATTCAGCGTGCATGTCGAGGGCGGTGAGCCATGTTGCTTTCGTTGCGATTTCGGTTGCGATTTCGGTTGCGATGTCGGTTGCGATGGCGGTTTCGACGGTTGCGATGTCGGTTTCGATGGCGGTTGCGAGTCATTGCGTTTTCGTTGAGATTCCGTTGCGATGTCGTTGCGATGTCGTTGCGCTTCCGGTTCCGTTTGAACCGCTTGGAGACGCAAAATTAGAGACGCATGTGGGCCGGGAAACCAAACATGACGTGGTATTTGCGAACCAGTGAAGGAGGAAGTGAAGATGGAGATTGATGAAGATGCGGGGTTCGATGAGCCTCGGTTTGGTTCCTTTACGAGGTAATCTCCTGCGTAGTTCTTTTTCTAGGGTTTGCGAGAGGGAAGCTGTTGATCCAGCCGTTGTTGTTGGATATCGGAAAGGGTGGCCGTTGATCCAGCTGTGGTTTCTGGGCCTGGAAGGGAAACAGTGTGTGGTGAGAAACAGATTGAGATCTCTAGACGCTGCCCGTGCAACTGGCTGCCGACCATCGACACAATCTGGGAAAGGCTTGTTTCGACATCTGTCTTGTCCAATCTCGAATGGTACCATCTACGCACCACACCTCAACGTACATGTGGTAAAAATGTCGGGGATCTTTTCCGGAATACTTGGTAAGCTCCCTCGTTCGGCAAAGTTGGTTGCCAGCCTTCGATGATTGGCGACTGTCGAAGTGCCAAGAACCTACGATGGAGACGGAGAATCGTACAATGCGATGCATATCTTCTGACAAAGAGATGCATCGCATCGGCGAAAGAACACACTTGTTGACAGCTTGGTCGTTCAGCCACTTATCGGTTTTGACAATCCTTTGAATGGTAGCGGGCTCTATAATCGATGACTCTGCCGGTATCTTCAGGGCTCCTTTTCCTCCCTTCTACCGAGAGCCTGGCCCACCGGCATAATCATACTGCTGATTACGCGTTCAAGGAAGACGAGATGTTCTTCATCCACCTTTGGCCACGGCTCGCCTTTGCACATTGCCGGCCCGGGAGAGGTCGTTGGACACAACGGGGGCAGGGGCTCATCCCCTAGCTCTGCAACCCCAGTGTCCTCACGAGCTCCGCCACCGACTTCGACTTCCTCCGATGAACTGCAAAAATCGAGGTGCATGTCGATGTCCAAAGGAGTAACGTCGGTGTCCATAGCTGCGTTTGCACCGTTGCCACTGTGGTCACCATGAGCTTGGCGGAGTTTAAAAACGATTGCAGTGGTGACATATGGGCGAACCACCTCCATTCACGATCGCAAGGTCTCGGCAACACTCCCTTTCCGATATGGGTAAAGGTTTGCAAAGGCGAAAAGCTCGGAATAAATGTCGACGAGTTCCCAGGAAGTGGGTAGGGTCTGTGAGGTGATCTCATAACGTTGAGTTAAGAGGTGATCTCATAACGTTGAGTCGGGCAAGGGGTTCGGCTCCAAAACACAGCGTTGAGTTGGGCGCGCCCCTGGGTCGCTGACAGTCTTTCCAAAAGTTCACTGTCCATGAGCGCGAACTCGTTATCCGCGTCTGTCTCGTTGGTCTCGTTGGTCTCGTTGGTTTCGTTGCGCATGTTGGTCTCGTTGGTTTCGTTGCGCATGTTGTCGGTCTCGTTGGTTTCGTTGCGCATGTTGGTCTCGTTGGTTTCGTTGAGCATGTTGTCCGTCTCGTTGGTTTCGTTGCGCATATTGGTCTCGTTGGTCTGTTTCCGCAAATTGGTTTCGTTGGTCTCGTTGCGCATGTTGGTCTCGTTGGTCTCGTCGCAAGTCTCCATCAGGTACCCACTTGGCGAAATCGGCTCATCCGAGTGCCAAGATATGGGAGAGCTTCGAGGTAGTCCACCTGGGTAATATCTTTGCCGAGAAGCGCGGCAATCTGCTGGCCTTGATACATGCTTCGCTGCGACTGGAGAAACATCCAGTCCAGGAGCTTCTCGGGCATAGGGTGGTGGATTTGCCTGAATTCGGATGTTTTAGTGATCCAGCGGCGCAGAGCAGCCCTCTTGAAGGGGCGAGCATTGACGGTGGTGGCAGCGGTACTTTGAGCGTTTGTAAGTTGGGAGAAGACATCCGTTCCCAAATTCACAAACAGTGTGTAATCGGCCGAGGTGGGTAGGTATTGCTTGTAGAAGCCGCCGGTTTGACGGTTCAGGAGGTTGTCTATTCCAAAGAAATGAATTATTGCACGTTCGCGGTCGTCCCTGATGGCCCTTGCAACGTAGTTTGCTTGAGTGGCGGCAGGGAATGTGAATATGCGAGCTGCTTCATAGGCATCTGGGAACATCGCTTGCAGTACTTTGAGGAATTGCGAAAGGAGGCCGTACTGATGCCGGGAGTCGTGCTCAAATCGGGCTTCAGGGGTGGAGGGGAGCTCACACATCCGGATGTATCGATTGGAAATCACTGTCTCCAAGGGTCTCGTCGCCATAGCCATGATCCATGGTTCCGCTTCGGGTGGGTCCAATCCCTCGGTTGACCAAGAGGCGATGATTGTATTGCAGTCCGAGACCGTCATTGTCCAGCTTCGAACATAAAAGAGCTGAGTGCCGTCTGCTTCATTCGCTCCACCGCCGTCCTTGAGAGAGAGCGACATCATCATGTCTTCGTCTGAGACAAAGAGAGGATTTCTCCAAAACCATTGAAACCGTGCTGCATTTTCAACGTTTTCGGCGTTGGTAGGGCACAAAAAGTTAATGTGCTCGATGTCCAAGGAGGTTGTCTGGAGCCCAGCGCTCTGCATGCAACGGCCTACTTCCGTGTGCACTGTCCTCTGGATCCGCTCGATGTTGACCAGGCCAATAGGGTCTGCGAGGTGGAGGTTGATGGCAGCTGGGAGAGCAGACAAGCTGTTTCCCTTGCGGAGGGCATCACGGAATGGGGCCCGACGATTTGGGAAGTCAGAGCGAGATTTTGCAAGCAGCTGTCTCGACATGATGTGTTTTGTAGGCGGAGAGGTTCCGAGGTGGCGAGGGTTAGGCGCCCGTTGCAACTGACTGCTACAGGAGCAACCGAAAGCCCAATGCTAGTTTCAGCGTCTCTCACCGGCGTAAAGGTGAGATACGGATGAAAGTTCCGTGTTGTAGTATTGGAACTTATGACACTCTTTCACTCAGGCGCGTTCTCTCTATGTCGTTCGTGGATTTATGCGCTGATGTTGCGGTACAGGCTATCTGACAATGACACCCAAGCAAGCCGGAGGTCCCCAGGTCGCATTCGCCATCAAGGATGCGACTGATCACAACAGATCGTGAGCAATTGCATCCTTGTTGGAGGAGCCTGTGGGGAACTGTAATCGGAGCAGTCCCTGCCAGTGCGGGTGAGTGACCCGGCGGGGGACTATTGAAATCGTGTGCAGCAAGCACGAAAGCACATCCCGTTGCGGCTGTCTCTCTGTTCAGAGCAGATTTGAAACTAAAGCCCGAGCTAGCCCCGCTATGAAGGGCGTGTTTGGCGTGAAGGGCGTCGGACGCGTCGACCCACGACCGCTGACGTTATGTGAACGTCTTCCGGCGCCTGAAAACTTCACTTGCAGCCAGCGGGTTTTCCTCGGCGCCCTTGACTTCGAGCCACAGCGTTTCCGGGCAGTCGATGGCTGCCCAATCTTGACGACGCTAACTGAGCTCATGCGTCTCGGTTTTTGCGCTTGATCATTTCGATGAGTAAATTGAAGCGGGTCTTCAGAGTATTGGCAGTTTTCTGAAGAGGGACACATGGTCAGTGAAAGTATAAGTGATGGAGATGTAATCACTGTTGGCTTACCCCTTGGCTTACCCCTTCTCATCTGTGGACAAAACACTTGCCGCTAGGGACTATCTGAGCTCCTGTCCAGAGGCGCGCAAATCGGACCGATCTCGTGACAGTCAACGTCGGGTCTCCACGTTTATGCGGGACCCGAAAAATGCCGATCCCCAGCCCACTTCGTAGCTGTTGCGAGGATCTCTGACAGTGTAGGTACCTTTTGCTCTCCCGTAGGCGCCGGACTGCCTGGCTAATCGCGTGAGCTTGCTAGACGGCTGCTTGTCATCCTTCGTCGTTGGATTTCGGGGAAGCTACCAAAAGACTTATCTGTATCCAGCCCTTCGTCGTGCTCTTCCAGGCCTTCGTCTTCCTCTTCCAGGCTTCCGTCATCCTCATTTAGGCCTTCGTCTACACGACGCGCGGTAAATTGTGATCCGAGGCGTAGATGAGCCCATATCGTTTGAAGGCTTCCGGCGCCTCGTTGAGGAAGAGGTATTCGACGACGGTTTGGCTTCCTATCATCGTCGCTGAAGAGATAGCTTCGATGACGTTCCTGCGCGTTTCGAGAAATACCTCGTTCGGTGAAAACGGCTTGGAGTTTCTTGGCTTTGTCTGAAAGATATCGTTCACGTACTTCACGTAGTCGAGTTGCCCGAAATACGACGCGGTCCCTAGCCCGGATGCACCGAGATCCTCGCCGTGCGCCGCATAAAATCGTACAAAGATCTCGGTACGTCCACCAGCACCGGACCCGATGATGGCATGACCGAGAGACGCATGAACATAGCTGCAGAGGTACTCCACGACATCCACGCGGCGAAGGTGGCCGCAATCCAATCACGGATTATCGAGAGCATGGTCGGGCGCGGGACGGTGTTGCAGTATGGCAGCCTAATGCGGACTACATCCAAATGGCCTTTGAGCGCCGGTCGAAACAACGCTTTCCAGGTACCGCTATGGTTGGCGTCAACGAGATATTGCACAACTTCCTTATGGCTCCATTCCGCGGCCTCCTTGATCCCACGTTTGGTGGCTCCTTCGGTTCTGTTCTCGACAAGAAAGCGGATGACCTCAAGATGGCCGTTCGCAGCCGCCTTTTCAATGGCGCGTTTCGTGCAGCCTTCTTGGCGATGTTCGTGGAGAAACTGTACAATGTCCAACTTCCCCAGGGCGGCCGCCCCTGCCGCCCGGTCCATAGTTCTCGATGTACAGCCCGTCAACCCATAACGATTCATCCACTCGACGTGCTCCAACGTGACTGTCGCTCGATTCCACGCCTTTGTCGCACGACCCTTGGGCAGTTCTCGCTTGACTGCCTCGACCTTCAAGCTGATTGCGACGACAACGGGAAGGTACAGCAGGATCTGCTGCACGATCTCAGCTTTTTGAACGGAACTGCGTTATGTTCCTTCGGTACTCGAAGTTCGTCGACTCTGTTCGGTGTTCAAAGGGGTGGGTTTCAGAGGGGTGTTTCCACCGTTTCGTCGTCCAAACGCCATACTTCTGTCCATGTTATCGGGTCAAAGCCGCTGTCTTGACCATCGGGATGCGAACCGGTGCCCTCCGCTGTGAAGAGAGGAGGGTTACAAAATAGCGTCCCAAAAAGTGTGGAGAATCGCTGGCTCTCATCGGTGTCTGGCCTGTTGCATTCGGCCGTTGGCCCGGGGCGAGGTCGAGAGATGTGGAACAATTGATTTACAGTGTCGATGTGAACCGGCTTCCAAAATCAGTCCAACTTCCGAAAAAGGCAAAAGAATTGCTAAGGAGGCACCGAGAGTTGAACTCGGGACCGCCCGATCTGCAGTCGGATGCTCTACCACTGAGCTATACCTCCCCTTGAATACATGTTTCCGCAAGGCCGTTCTGATCGAATTTCCAAAGTATTGCTTCTGCTGGAGTGGATGCTCTACCACTGAGCTATACCTCACTTTGAATACAGGTTTCCGCAAGCCCTCTATGATCGCCAAAATAATGTGGAATGAAGAGCATCTGCGTTGTCACTTTGGTGCTGTTCACCTTGAACTTGAAATTGAAGGTGTGGGGCGCGCAACCGTCAACTTAACCTGTCAATTTTCAATTTTGAGCAATCCCTTGATTCTCTCCTCCTCCCATTCAATGCGCGAACTGCTATCCCCGCACCGTCTTCAAGTTGCTTCAAACCCCCTACCATTTCTCTTCCAAGTTTCCTACCAAGTTTCTTCCAACCTCCTATCAGCGTCTCTTTCAACTCGCAATGATCTAACGCCTCTCGCACAGGTAAGTTAGCTGTCAGTCGGTTGCGTCTTATATATACCTCACCATCAAGCGTCAATATTGAACCTTCCGTTCAAGGGCCGGCCGTCGCTCGGTGGAACCAACGCTCATTCACTTGCGCCTGCCTCAACGACCATCATCGCTGCAACCAATTGAGACCTTTGCGGTGGAAAAAATACCGTCGACGCTCGGTAACGTATACTGTCAGAATTCGACAGCTCGGGAGGACAACTTGAAGGTCCGACGGAAACACCTCTGTATACAAGCCGCCCCCGCCAGATATCTCTCGCGAGACATTCCTTGCGCGCGGCGAATGCCTTGCCTGCTCCACGATTCGATCTTCTAAGGTAGGGGCTCGCAGGCTACTCCGGCGACGGGGCGGAATCAGGATCGAGCTCACACTTTCCCGACCTTTACAGCAAGATCAAAGGGAAGTTCCGATTTTCAGCCATTGCCTCCTCTCAAACCGGGGCGTGCTTCCCGCCGCTCTGTTCCTTTGCCTGATTGCCTGCTCGCATCATCGACGCTCGGATTTACCTGTCGAAACTCGACAGCTCGGAAGACAAGGTACCAGGCATCTCGACCACTGGACATCCACACGGCGCCGCAACCCAGCGCACTCCTCTTTCAACTCTACCGCAAGCTACTTGACCGGAACCCATCTCTTTCTCCAAGTCAACGATGACCTGCAAATCGTGTGCCGGCACTGATCATTCCCGCCGAAGCAGCAAGAAATGCGCTTTCTATCAACCCCGCACGAGGATCAAAGTCGAAAATGACTCCCCGGAAAACGCTGACGTCGAAGGGAAACAGGACAACTCTTACTTCCCCAACCTCCTCAAAACCCTGCCGCTCGAGCTCAAAGACAACATCACCCACATGCTCGACATGAGGTCCATCGTCCGCCTGAGCATGGTAGACAAATCCTGGAACAAAATCATAGACAACGAGGACTTCTGGATCCGAACCTGTCGCCAGCGTGACCTGGCGCTCGAAGAGAAGCCCTCGGCCCCAGAACGCGTGCAGAGCATCTCCTTCAAGAGCTTCGCCCTCTCCTCGGTCCTCGAGCGATGCGTACTCTGTCTCGGACACCAGCCAGCAACACCCTCCCGCTTCTTTTCCAACCTCCTCGTATGCCGCGGCTGTGATAGAGCCATGAGAAAGATAACCCTCACGCGCGCAAAGTCGGAATACAAGCTCAATAATAACGATTTGCAAGGGCTACCCTACATCCAGCTCCCGAACCCGCACTATCGCCGCGCTGCGATGATGACCTTGTACTTGGTGCAAGATATCGTCGATGTAGCGTTCGCGAAGCATGGCGGAGACTCAGGAAAAGTCTCGTAAACGGTCGGAGGCTATTGTTAGCACTAGACGGGCTAGAGGAACGAACTACAGATCTTGGGGAGGGCACTCGGGGTGCATCAGTGTTGCTCCGTATTCCTCCCGCTATTATGGTGGGTGGTAATCGCCGAGTCTTTGCGGAAAAGCGATACGGCGCATTTGTCGCCGTCTGCGTCTCGCTGTCGCTCGCCTCGGGTTTCATTTCCCGTTGCCTTGCCGGCGGCATTTACTTCACCGTTCGCCGTGTCATCTGCCTCAAACTCGTCGCGCGGTGCCCTGCGCATCTTCATCCATCCTCGCCGTCGTTCTTCTGATTCATGCTCGCCCTGCCATGGTGAGGTCCGCACTTGACCTCGCTTGCCTCGCCGTCTACTTCCTTCGGCTTCGCCATCCGTCTCGCTTACCTCTCGCTTCCACTCCTGTCTCGTTCCTCTTGCCTCGCCATCAATTTCTGGCCTCCCATTTTAGCTTCCTCCACTATCCCGTAAGCCGTTTGCTTCTTTGCCGCTTTATGTTCCCTCCGCCGTCGTTTACTAGGTTGTCGATGTGCGTACAATCTTTTTGCGTATCTTCTAAACAGAAATAATTCACTTTTTGCATTATCTTCCCTTGTAAGCTAGTTTCAAAAGAAGTTCCATGTATGTGCAAGCTGTTCACGCCGCGCTCAAGAGCGACCATGCTATGTCTTCTTCAAATCCATGATACCGAACTCGGGATGACATCTGAGATGTCTCCCTCGAAGAAAACTGGCCAACGGACACACACCAGCTGAGTGAAAGTGCCAAGACCGTTGCTACTTTTGTGTTTTTCATGGCGAAGGTACGAGTTCGAGCGCAAGAAAGCTAATCCAGCAACTCATGACTTTGACAGCGGTTTCTGAAGGTGCAAATTCCGTTGATTCGGGGTCAACGAGCTGCGGGTCTGAGGGTGCAAACTCCGTCGATTTGCTTCAAAGAGCAGGGATACCCGCTGCGCTCACGAGCAGCTCGGTTTGGTAAATAGACACGCAGAGACGTCCGCTGAGCTCATAAGCAGCTCCTTGGGTCTCTGCCCGAACACCGCCCGCCAATTTGCAAGCTTTGCCGTGGAAACAAAATATAAAAGCGGGAACCAGCATTGGCGGTCAAAACGGGCCCCTCCCTTGTTTCTATAACTTCTCTGGCTTACTTTGCTTTGCTGAATGCGTTCAGGGTGAGAATGGTCGTTTCTGAACAGCTGCAGTTATGTTTGTTGGTGCTACAATTACAACGGGACGCCCGCAAGATCAACGTATTCGAAGGTGAGGAAAAAGGGAAACAAGGAATGAAGGACCAGCTGGCAAAGCCATATTTTAACAATATGCATACCCGTGGGCCAGTACCCTGTTGTGTTGCGACTGGCTTGATGTATATATCTGCAATATATTGCACTAGAGAGGGGCTTGCTCGACAACGCAGTATTAACGGCACACGCGCTGTCGGATTTCCTTCAGGGCGATGCCGTCACTGTGCCCCAAAACAAACAACACACCGTCATTCAGACATTTCGGACCGCTCAAATTCGACGAAGGGGTTTTCCCGCAGTGCGAGCCTTGTTGTTCTTGCGGCTTGCCCTCACAAACTCTCAAAATATGTCGAGGGACGGGAACAGCCCTTTGCTTCGCCCTAGAGCACTGGGCCGCCATCGTTCAACTATCGAGGGATATCCGGAGCACGGTCGCATTGATGAGAAAACCACCAAAATCGGCCACACCGACTTCGTAGAAGTGGGCAATCTCACAAAGAATAAAGGGGGCACGTTACGTTCATTTTATTCAACAGCATTGTATATCGTCTCGCCTAAGCAACAGTCTATGAACAACGAACAGTCTAATCTACAAGGAGTAAATGGTCTAATCTAAGCAAAGTCGATCAACTCCCACGAGCTGCCAGGCATGAGGGGATGTTCGCTCGCGTAGGTGCCTATCACTGCGAAGCGACACACTTTCCATCATCGCTCCACTCGAAACCGGCCTTGCAGTCGCACGCAGTTCCGTTCCACACAGCGTTAGGGTCTTCGCATTCACCGCCGCTACCAGGGTTACCAGGGTTGTCACCACCGCCGGGGGGTTTCAAGGGGAAATTAGCGATCACAAAGTCGCGCATGTTCTTCATGCAGTCCGCGCCAAGACGATTGTTCCACGTATCCTCGTTCTGAATGTCAGCAATGTACTCGACCAGCACTTGCGCGAAGAGCTCTATGAGGCTGCTCTGGGAGTACGGGTCGGGAACGCAAGTATCGGCGTTGACGGCGGCGGCCCACTCGGGGCCCAAGGACAAGTAGCCCGACCGAGCCTCCCAATCCCACGCATGCGCAGACTCATGGATGAGCACAGCCTTGAAGTAATTCATTCCGCCGCCAAGCAAAGTCATGCGGTTCCCATACGTCCATGCGCCGTTAGCTCCCGGGTCGGTCGGGCCTTGGATCTTGATGGATTTCGCGGCCTGGCGGAAGGGTTGCGGCATGATGGCGGCGGTGCTGATTACGTCGTCCAGGTTCGGATAGACGCCGTTGGGGCACATGCAGAAGTCTTGCTCGATGCCGTCGCTGTAAGTTACGTGGTAGTTTTTACCAGCGCCGATGACACCGGAGCAGCCCTTGTCATACGTGTCCTCGCAGGAGCGTTGGTCGTCGGTTTCCACGTACTCGTAGCCAATCTCGGGTAAGTATTCTAGATCGATGCAGGAGCCGATGCCTCCGGGGCATAGGACGGTTTTCTCTTTGAGGTTGATGTCGTCCAGAGCGTGCACGTCGCCGGGTTTTGAGGTTGCGAAGCATTCAGTGGGCTTCTTCAATGGAGATGAGTGGGAGACGGGGGCGGCTGCAGCGGTACAGGCGAGAGCCAGCAGCACGGCGAGGGATGAGCGGACGAACAGCATTATGGAAGAGACGAATTGGAGGAGGTTAGAGGGCGGATTCGCTTGCTGAAACACGGACGACTGACACCGTCTGCCGTCCTTTTATCTTTGTGCGCTGCTTATGAGAAGTGCTGAGCGGTCCTAGCAGCACGTCGGTCTGCCATTCTGTCATGAAGCCGAGTAAGTTGCTTGACTTCAGCGGCATTGCGGTAACAGGATATTACACACATCCGATCAAGTCAAGTCAAATGACCTAGTAGCGCCAAGGAGGATCATAGGCATCGCCCAGCCGTTCTGGTATGGCAATAATGGCCTTTCACGATGTAGGTTTCCCTACAGCAGCCCTACGGCGACAAACATGCCTGCGGGCAATAGCTCCGAATCCGTGTTCTCTGAGCATGTCCATGAGCGAAACGTTTCTAGGTTGGCAGCGCTCGGCGTTCGGGAGCATCATTCGACGGCACCGGAACATGTCAGGCACCAAGTCCTCCCCAGTTTGGAGGGCTACTCTCGCAGCGGATGCCGGTTCTCAAAGCGAAGGGGCTTTCTCGGGAGGCCGCTGAACATTATCCAAAGCTAAGTGCCTGTGATGCTGGGCGCAAAGAGAGCCACCCGCCCCAATCCAAAAGAATCCAGGCCCTAGTGTTGCAAGGTGTAGATTTGTGAGAAAGCTGCATTGAACCTACAAATTCCAGCGTCAGCCGCAACCAGCCAATTGGCCATTCACATTGGAAGGCGCTTCTGCGCTGGAAGGCGTTGAAAGGCGCTTTCAAGGCTTCAACTGTTCAACAGGCGCGCTGTTCTCAAGCGTACTCCTACGGCCCATCCCACCAGCACAGTGCTTGCTCTCGTCAGTGCGGTGTCAAATTCGAAGAATCCAACTCAATTTTTCGACTCTTGCGAAAAATAGTTGTGTTCAAAATGTTTCTCGTACAACTTGTGGCGGTTCCTACGATTGGCGTCCTAAATTGTTTACATATGATGTCCTTGCAACTTCAATGAAGGTTGGCCGCTGTGCAGTGTGCACGCCGCAGGGTGCGCTACTGTTTTCCGATTCCCCAACACCGAAGGCTGTTTCCCTCACACCAATTTCCACTAGGGCAACGATCACTGGCATACCCAGTCGTCACGGTTGTGCATGGGAGTGGCCCTTACTTATGCGCGATCACCTACTACTCGTCATGTATGTAGTACCCTGATTGGGCGCCCTCCTAAAATGACACAGAATCTGTTTACGGGGGACCTTCCTGGAGCGCTGTTGGCCGCTAAATGGTTGACCTTACACGGAACTGAGGTGCACTCGCTATTGCTCGCTCACCTCTTTGAGCTTTTGGATTGCTGGCGGGGTTGAATAATGGATTTGAGGCGAATGGACGGGAATGGATGACGCCCCTCTGGTGCAGCGTCACTTTTACTTCCTCTGATGTCGCCCCTTTTCCGTCTCTTTGAACTTACTATCTGCCTCATTCAATGCAAATTTTTTTGTTGCTTGGAACGGTGGGCCCTCGTCCGTAGGGTTTCCGAAGAAGCGATGTGTCAGTGGGGACGTCTCCCTCTGTCCGAATGTGATTTGCAGGGATCCTCGGAGGTTTCATGTGTGTATGGTTTTGTGTGTTAACATCCGAGCATGGGTTCTATCGTGGGATTGGTCGTCACGAGAATTGTGCGAGAATGACCGTAAATCGACAGCACCGCATTCGGGGGACGTATCCGACCAACAAGCGCAGACGGCATAGGAGCAAGCCTGAAACCCATGGTCCCGAGTGGACTAAATGTATGCGGAACACCTGGAAAAGGTTCCTCGACCGGTCTCAGCCTATTTACGCCAATGATGAGTGTTGCGCACAACTTGAATGTATTGTCAAATGGATCAGGATTTTGAAAAACAAAGCACAGAACAACTATGAACAACGACTACCGAGAGTGGCTGTCGTCGCAACTCCACGTCTCGGCGAGTTCCTCTGCGCAGATCATACGGCCACCACCAATTGGCAAGCTTACTGAACGACTTCCAAGATCGCCTGGACAAGCACCGCACTATTCACCAACTCCATGTGAGGCGTAGATCTATCCAAAAGATGCTTCTTTGCCTTCCAACTCTCCACAATCTCTTTATCCTTCTGAGCCATCTCTTCCAAAGTCCATCCAAACGGGTTCTCGCCCTTTCCATTAACGAGGATAGTTTCCCTCACGACCCTCTTCTCATCATCGTCATGGTCATAGACCCATCGGCTTGGAGCTTCTACTTCCCTCGCGCTCTCCGCGATAGTGGTGGGCAAAGTGCGGAGCTCCTGGTTGAATCTGCGGAGAAGGAAGCCGGTGGCAAACATGTTGAGGAGGGTTGAACTTTCGGAGAACGTGGGTGTGAGAGTAGTGGCACTTTTACGCTGAACGCTGCGTTTGAGCGCGCTACCGACGAGGATGAGGTCCGTAAAGGGGCGGATAAGTGCCAGATCGGCGAGGACGGAGACAAAAGGCAAAACAGCAGAGAGACGTGACATGTTCTTCCTGAATGCTTCTTTGGCCTTCGGATCAGCCTCGAGAGCGTGCGAAGGGGTCGGGTCGGCGAGCACGACGGCACGAATTTTGGCTTTTGGCGTGGACGAAGTTTCAGAAAGTTTGGTCTGGCGTTGCTTGATCAAACGCTGGATGTACGCTTGGACGACCGCACATCCCATCGAGTGCCCGACGATCACGAACGAAGTTGGGCTGCTGGCAAGGATCGGCCCCTCAATCTGCAAATAATGCATGAAGGCAGCGAACTCGTCTGTATGGCTAGCAATAGTGAGTTCCCGCGGATCCCTAACGTTATGCGTTGTCGTGAATCGATCATAAGCGACACTGGCCACTCCGTTAGCGGCAAGGTGACGCTGCAAGGCCCGCCAATACTCTGCCGAGAGTCCGTTGCCTGCCACGAGCACGACGATGTTGTGTTCCTTCGACGGGACGCCAGCAACATAGTAGGGTATGCGTGTGGTCTGAGTCAGAGGCCCGGTGAGGACACCCTCGACTTCGGTCCCGGCTGGCATCTCTGCGAGTCGTCGTTCTTTCCGAGCAAGACGGCGCCGGTGGGTCGCATAGGCGCGGAGGTGGTGGGTTGCCAAATAGACAGCGTAGACAGCTCCCGCTATGGCTACATTGGTGCTGACCTTGGTCGAGGAGAAACTGAAGGAGCGAGGGGAGAAATGAAGATTGGCGAAAAGCTGCGTCATGATGATGTGCGATCTTGGTGAGCCTGCAAGATGCCTTCGCGTTCTTTTCCAGCTCAGTGACGTGCGAGACACAACTTGGGTAGAATTGCTTCTATGCCTGGTTTCGGTGTCAGTATGGAATCGACAACTAGGATGAGGACGCCTGTTGAGGTTGCCTGTTCTATACCTTTTTATATCCCTTCTGGAGAAGACGGTCGTTTGACCACCTGTCTGACATTTCCGACTCGGCAGCGTCTCCTCACGCGTCTCAGTAGTCTCAGTTCCATGTCAGAAAGGTCAGAACATTCCCACGCTGGCTAGGCAACCGCATAGTATTGCTACTGTTTAAATAGCTGTGCAATGGCTCTGACGGACCAGCCCGCACTTCTGCGTTCCACATCATCGTCGTTATCAACTTCACCGGTTTATGCCTATATTCACAATGTCTTGAAGTCGCCCGTCGTTTGTGAAGCTATCCCGTGCTACTTCCCAGCGTTAGCGGACCGCTTTTCTGGCGGTGCTCAGGCTCTTTGGATCAAGGTATGGGATTTATCAGACAGTGTGTATAATCGAAGTTGCTGCTAACCTGCCTGCCCTGGTGGCAATTTGCTTCAGGAACATACGCTGGAACTGAGAATATTGACTTCTGGCCTGGGCGACGAACCTCTTTGGACTACCGTTATAGAGCAACCCGTGTTTGGGCAGATTAGAGCGGTGGCTGTTTGCTTCCTGAGAAAAAGTCAGCTTGCTTCATATGGTAGCGCGGCGTCAGCCAGCACAGACGCACGGTGTCCATGTGAGGGCAACGAAAACGAAACAGGAGAGCCTCATGTCGTGTGCACTTCCGATTCCGGATACTTGAGCATTCTCAGGGTAGAATGCGATGATGATGGAAGGGCTCAGTTTGTCGCTGTGCAGCAGGTGCGTCAGTTTGGATTGGTTCGAGTTAGGTAGCTGTGCATTCTGAGAAGTCTGGTAAGAGGAGGATGGGCAATGAGAGATCTATTATCTTTGCGGGACATGGACTCCGACTACACTAGAAGTAGCACCACACACACTCAATATGTTTTCCTCAATATCATTCCTCATGTTTGCCAACCGTGATTCACCAGATTGCACTTGACAAACCTGGTTTAGATTCTACTGAGCTGGGGCACGCCATTGCTGTAGATCCTCTGTATGTGGGCTTTCATTCTGACGTGGGAGGCCGAACATTCGGAACTCACTTCACTCTCACAGTTCGCGAGCACTTGCTGTATCCGCTTTGGAACAAAAAGTCAAGATCTATGACTTGTCCGATGGGACCGGGAGCATAGCAGAGGCGCAGGTACGACGATGTGACAAACGGACATGTCCCTCTGCTGCTACTCATCCTTTCCTGGGCAGTTTGTGATAGTGGAAGAGACGGGCATAATATGGCGCATCGCCTTCGTTCAGCCTGACTCAGCCACCGACCTTGTCCGGCTTGTCATCGTGAAAACATCGTACGTGGGGTTGTTAGCCTGCACTGGAGATGCTTTTCGGCTCAATGTTTGCGTCTGTGATTCAGGAACGGCGCGCTATCGGTCGTTATCACTGAGTATGATGCGACAAAGTCGTTCGCGAGCATGCGACGATGGGCTGAACATGTGGTTGCGCAAGGTAAAGCTTGCGATGCCTCATGAGCGTTCTTATTACATACACAACGACTCACTGTCTGTGACATCACAGATGCTGTGCCGCTGGAAGTGCTCGCTCTTAGAAGTCTTCCGAACTCTTTAATCATCATAACGGTAAACTCCGCACTTTAAATGATTCTTATAGCCCGGACTAGCGTCTGACATGTGGATCATCCCTCGCCCCCAGGACTCCAGCATGCACTTCGTACGAATAGGATCCACTCGCCTCGAGCTAGTTGATCTTCCTCCCCTTCGAATCTCCCAAGACACTCCTGTTCACCAAACCCCAATAGCAGCCACACGCACATGTTCCCACCCGCTCGCAAGTGCAGACACAATCTTCGTCGCCACAGAGGAGGAACATCTCTTCCGATTGGACTTCGCTGCCGGGGAGAAAGAGGTTTCGATTCGCCATGTCGAGCATGTGAAGTTTAGTGTACGAGCCATGGCGGCGTTTCCGATGTTGGATGACGCGAGTGGAGATGGCTCGACGTGGGTGGCTATGTTTGGAGATATGTGCGATGGAGTGACGCTTGCGGTAAGCGGCATGGATACTCGGATGTCCAAACGTCACGTCCTAACGCGCATTGTCCATCCAGCTGGACGCAAACTCAACTCCTATCTCCGAGTCCACCATCCCGAACTGGGCACCTATCGTCGACTTCAAGCTGGTCGATATCCACCGAGAAGGACACGACTCCCTGCTGCTCACCAGCGGTCGGCTGAATCACAGCCCCAGACCGGCGGGCAGTATCAGGGAGATCAGGAACGGGATTGCGGTGAACGTGCATGCGTCTGTTGAAGATGGGGCTGTGGGGTGAGAGACTGCTGTTTGCTGGGAGCATTCGCAAGATGTCAGACAGGAGGACTGATTGGGTTTGATGCAGTGCTTCCGCTCTTTGGGGACTCAAGCGGGGTGTTGATTCCAAAGAAGATACCTTCATTGTGATCTCATTTGTGGACGAAACCAGAGTAATGGCTTTGCAAGGTATGAAAATACCATCGCTGAAGTACGTTCACATGTGCACCATTTCACGTCTTCCATCGCAGACGGCGAGCTCGAGGACATAAGCGCTATAAGCGGTTTCGATACATCCTTCCCCACCCTATGTGCCTCAGCCCTGTCCCTCGGAAAAGACACCCTGCACGCCCAAATACATTCGCACGGGGTCGTTATCTCGAACTTATCCGACTGCATTGATAAGCCGTCTGAACCCGTGCGAAAGTTGGCGTGGGAACCACCACCTGAGGATTCGAATGTGGCGGACGAAGGTCATACGCGTGCGAGACTGCTGTTTGGGGGCGCAGTGAGCGACTTGCTGGTAGTCTGCACGGCGAAGATGGTGTATTGTCTGCAGGTTGTAAGGCAATCGTGAGTAATCGTGGGGTCTTGCTCGAGAAAGCCATAGCGGATCCCAAGCTGACGTGACCCATTCCTTCGTTAGCTTCACCGGGTTCCTCCCCGATATCAACATCCGGCGAGTCGCGCAAGTGGATCTCTCAATAGCGGGAATCACCCCATCCTGTCTCTACACATTCTCCTTACCAACCCTCGCTCCCGACGATGTTCCATCTTCCATCCCTCCCGCCCCAAGACGTTTCTGCGCAATCGGAACATTCTCCCCATCAATACTCCTCCTGTCGCTCAACTCTGACCACGGCAGTGAAGCACTAAGTGTCGCAGCCCACGTCTCGTTAGACAATCTCGGCGCAGAGGGAAGTATTTGTATACCCCAATCCTTCGCAGTCGTCAGAGATTCCGACTCGGCACACGAAAATCCAGGCAGTTTGTTCCTAGCGGGGTTGCGAGACGGGACACTCGTGTCCTTCCGAATAGTCTCGGAAGCCAGCGGAGGAATCTCGCTTACGCAGGCTAAGGCTCGACGGCTTGGATACTTCCCGGTCCAGCTAGTGACGGATACGAGGGACGCGGCGGATTTTGCGCTTGCGTTGGCTGATACGCCGTGGAAGGTGTCGGTGGGGGAGTTGGGGGAGACGAAGTTGGAGAGTTTGTCGTGTCCTAGGGTGAGTTTTGTCAGTGACTAGGGACTGTTGGCAGCAAGCGAATGTTAGCTCACATGTATTTTCACAGATCATACACGCCACTCCGTTCAACTTCCCCAACATCGCACATGGCTACATGACATTGTCCAAGAACAGCATGCAGTTCATCGAACTGGACACGCAGAAGCGGATCAATATGCGGGCCGCGGAAGTCGATCAGGTAATGTTGCCTCGATATGTCTACGGAATGGTAGAATGATCCCTCCGACGACTGACCATGTGGATGGACGTTACAGATTCCGCGACGCATCTTGTACGATGAGGTGACGCGAAAAGCGGTGGTTGCCGTTTCGTCACCGGGCAATAGTCGGAATCCTCGGTCGGAGATCATAGTTATGGATTCATTGAGGTATAGGGCCGATGATATGCGACATGTAATGTTGATAACACTTTAACATATCCTGCATGCTTAGCGGAAAGGTTTACGTCAAGGAGAAGCTCCAACCCAACGAAGTCGTTTACGCTTTGACATGTAAGTGGAAGCTCAGCCCGCTCATAGGAACGCATGGCTGGTATATCCACATCACTTTCACTGACACACCTTTCGCTCTCAGCTTGGAACGTAAAAGAAGGCAAACGCTACATCTGCGTCGGCACATGGGGCTACATTCCACCCTCACCGCCCTCGCCAGACCCAAATGCCACTCCAGAACGCAAAGGCCGAGTTCTAGTATACAATCTCAAAGCGTATGAGAAGAAAGACCGAGATCGCGATACCTCAATGGAGATTGATGATTTAGATGTGAGGAGGAGGCCGACGCCGGTGGGTAATGGCTGGTGAGGTAGAGTTGATTCCTCAAGGGAGACGTAAGCTGAGACGTGTGTGGGTAGGAGAAAAAGTCGGTTATGTATAAGATGAAGCGACTTGGGGAAATGTTCCTCAAGGGACCAGTGCATGCGATTTCTCCATTCGTGAACAGGTATGACTGAGTTTTCGTCTTGCTTTTGAGGTTAACCATATCCTCCTACACAGCCTCACTTTTGTGTTCCAACCTTTAGCTACCTACTGGCCTCCGCAGGCGATGTGTTCTACCAACTCAAGATCGATGCACATACGAGAAAGTATGGCTTACAAACACCTACTGCTCCGGCTGTTTATGGCACGTGTATTGACTTCCGTCCTATGCTTCGTTTCACAGGCTAGTTGTTCGCACAACGGTACAATGTCGATGGCCTATCCAAAGCATTGGTGTATATGGCACCCGCGTGGTCATGGGAGGGCAGCGCGAGTCAGTTTCGTATTGGGACTATGACCTTGCTACGAAGAAGTTTACGTTTCTGAAAAGGTGGGTCTTGCGTGTCATCAAAAGAACGTCATACAATAAAGTGTTCTGGAGGTCCATCTGAACAAGCGTGGTTATTTTTTGGATTATAGTGATCGGTATTCCCGTCCCATCGCCGACTGTCTCCCCTTCTCCGACTCTCTCACAATGGCAACCGACAAGTGCGGCACGCTTGTCTGCTTCTCCTCTGGCTCAAATTCAGCAGCGACGGAGCGCACCCTGGATACCGTCTTCAGCTTCTACCTCGGTGAAACGATCCCGAAGCTCCATATGGGTTCCCTGAGCAAGGATCTGACGTCTCATCAGTCAAGGGCTGTCGCTTCGGCAGTAGGCTCCTCGTCTCTATACCCTTCTGCGAAGCCGCCTATCGAAGGTGTACCGCCTGCCGAATCGGTTCGCTGGCCAGGCACGGCCGATGACGACGTTATCTCAATACTGTGGCATTCCGCATCCGAAGGTCCATCGTCTTCAGTCGGGACAAGCACAGTGTCTCTACCAGACGCGAGCAAAGCAGATTTCTCGAAACCTGTTCGCTATTACCAATCGGCGTCACGCTCAGTATCGCAATATGAGGCAAAGTTGCACAGCTCGGCCGAAGTTCTGTATGGATGCTCGGTACTAGGAAGCGTATTTGCGATCGCTCGAATCGAGAAGGATGCGTATCGCAAATTGAAGACTTTGGAGGAAGTTCTGGCGCAGATTGAAGCGACTAAACCGTTGCTCGGTAAGTCTTTGTTGGGCCCGTTGGCCGTAGTCGCCCACAAACCGCTGTGTTCACTCGAGACATTACCAGGCAACGACCATTCGCGGTACCGCGCTCAAGGCCCCGATCAACCCACCTTTTCCGTCAAAGCAACGCCGAGCGGCCCAGCTCCCCTCGTCCCCATCACATCAACAAAACCGCACTCGACAACCAACGTAATCGACGGAATCCTCATCTCCCAGTTTCTATTACTCTCCCGTCAATCTCAATCCGCCATCATGGACCTCTGGAACGAGCGGTGGGCAGAACTGAACCCGATTATGATGCTGCAAGGTGAAGCGACTGCTCAGTTTGGTGTTGACGACATGCTGAGGTTGATTCGCGGCGTGCAGCGTGTTTGCTGCTGATGCGGTCCATACTCCGGGTGTATATGCGTGGTGTATCGTCTCGATTGCTTCGGATAGCTTCGTCTAGCAGGAGCAAGATGTAATTAGCGAGTTTTTGGCAATGAAATGATGTAGATACCGCATGGAAAGATAACGGACATGGGTCCTCAAGCGTGCCACCGTTTCGTTCAGTGAGATGGAAAGATGGAACGCACAGAAAATGTGACAGATCGCGCTGTCGTATTCTGTCAAGGCCGGGATTTAACGCGATTAAGGGAATCCGAGCATTTCACGCATCCTCGAAGTTAGAATGGCTACGTTTTGAATCGAGGCTTTTTGCCTCTCAATGGAGGGCAGCGAACCCTCTGGTTCAATTCTATACACTTTTTGCCGAGGCCACGCAGTGATGGTTGCCAAAGCACCCTCGAGCGGAAATCTGATGTCGATCGGATCCACGAGCTCGAAGGAAACGACGTAAGCCGCTCGATCCGGATGAGCTTGGTGTGCTTGAAGGAAAGGTGTCATCTGATCAAGCTTTCGGAGCTGGACATTGCTGTAGAGGTTAACGAGCCATGCCACTGACGACACACTCTCACAAGCTTTCCCCGAGTTTCGGGTGATGCATGCTTCGCAATTTCGCAGATGATTTCGAAAGGGAGATCGGGATGCTCGTGGCTCGGCTTTCGACGGCTGATGCCATGTTGCCCTTTGAAGATAGGCTCGTTGTTATAAAAAAGCGGCGATACGTCGTGGGAGTGTTCAAAGTTTGGCTGTTTCGCTGCATCCTTTTGTATGTGTTTCGCCTCTTCACACCTCTCCACAAATCGGGTTTGAGGGGAGAACAAACCTGTCAGACGTGCGACGCGCTGTCGATATTCTGGCTTCCGAGTCGGCGCAGGGAATTGTGAAACGGTTGACTTTTAGAAGGAACTGCATTACGGTGCCCTACACTCGCCCCGAGGAGCGCTGGGTCATGTATCTGTGGTACATCAATGGTTTTCCCATTGGGACAGAGCATGGATTCCTTTGAATCGGCAAGAAGGCGTCACACCAGCACCTATCCTACACCAGCACATTGCCTGACAGAGGGTATTTGCCGTCCGAATGCGAAATATTACATCCCATATGTCGAACATTTGTTCTCGTTAGCAAGTTCCCAGGGAATTTGTTTAGCAACAAAGCTCGTGCTGGGGAAATGCAAATCAGTAGGAAGCCGCAGGATCGGGCGGAGACGAGATGCGTACCTCAACATGCCATCAGTGTTCACTCCGGACGTTTGTGTTTGATCTCACTGACCTTCACCGTGTCCGGAAAGTGGACCTTTTGAAAGAGGATCAAGGCGCGGGAAAGGCGAGCTTCGACCAGACTTGGAAACAGTCGCCGGAGATAGTTCGTCTCCCAGTTCATACTATGTATCCCAGACCAAAGTGGTCCGTCGCCTATTGTGAGGGTGACCAGTTTGGGGAAGGAAGGCGGAAACGCACTCCTACACATATTTCCGCGTTGAAACTCTGCGGACAAAAGTTGTGGAGCGGCGCAGTTTATGAGTTTTTTGATCAATGGTCGTAGGGGAGTATTGTAGATCCACTGGTTGGGGTCTATAGTTTCGTACAGTGGGATGTTGTTCAGATCGATGTACAGATGTCCATGCAAGAGGGAGATGGTGACATGACGTAACACACATTCGGGCGGTGAGTCCGCAGCGAAGTAGATGATGTGAAATTCTCTCACTGAGGTGCACCATGGGAGAACGGCTGAAAGCAAGACATTCGAATATTTCTCGTCCCCGGGGACTTCAAAATCGACAATTGGTATTTCCAGTTTGGAGATCCAGGCGCGGCGATTGCGATGTTCAGAAAGCGTGTCATAGAACACTCGCAACTTTGGTTCCTTACTGATGGTTACAGATGTGTACAGGTTCCTGATAAGGGAGTCATGCCATTGGCGGCACACCCTGACGAGCTTGTTCAGGTTCCCGGGACTTGAGTGCTTTGCGATCTCGCCGATGACTTCGAAAGGGAGGTTGGGGACCATGATGCTCTCCGGGCTTTCGATTGCGGATGCCATGTCGTCGTTTTGACAAGGGGCTGGTGAAGATCAGAGCACCTACGTTACGAGGTACAGCGATGTGTACAAGTAAACAGGCGCTTTGAGGCCTGGGCGTGGGCACCAGCGTGGGCACGGTCCACCATAAAGTTAACCTTGGCAAAGCTGGTTCTTTGAGCGAGAGAGAGCCGAGGGCTCACTGCGCGGAGCAAAGCGTTGAAACGATATCGACCGTAAAGCAACAGCGCGGTCTCCCAGACAGAATTGAAGTTTCGGTCAGTTGTAGTGTTCGTTCTTCGCTTTTACAAGATCGTGTCAAGCCCGAAGATGTAGACGTTGAAGATTATGGTAATAGCACACGTTAAAGTTAGTGTGATGTCTGGTGAGCAGCCATGCGCTTATAATAGGCCGGGAAAGACCAGCGAGCTTTGCTTGCGCACACCGAGCGAACCGAACGCTTCTCCATCATCCTGCAAAGGTGGTTCTGAGAAAGAAAGAGGTGCGACTAGTCTAGATATGAACCGTTGACAAGGCAGGGCCGAGCGCCCAAGTCCAAAGACGGAGGGCTGTGTATGCGAGTGTAAATCACAGTATTCATGACCAGATCTGGTTTTACGGTTTCGTGAATCACCAGTGTTCCTCGCACTTCAAATCTCCAGACCCAACGCAGATGAAACCCAAAATGCCAACAACGGCCTGCCGGGGAACTGAGCACCTAAATCACTTATATGCTATAAACTGACGACTCGGCCGGCGACCGATGCTAATCCACATACACCCTGACGCATCATGCCGCGACTATGCGGCCCAGCTTGGGAAACTCTTGCTCGCCCCAATCAACTTTCGTTTCTGGAATTTGCTCTGCCACGTAAGCCCGGATCATGCGACCAACGCATTGGGACCTAAGACAAGAGGGCCAGATGGTGGCATGCAACTCATGATCCCATCAAGAACCGATCAAGCAGAGATACATTCCAAGCTCTAGAACCTATATTTGAGCAATACTTTACAGTGCACGGCGGCAGGGGTTCTCCTGACAAATCCGCCATATTACATTCCACAACACCCTTACTGTGAAGGCCCCGCGCCCGGCCCACCAGGCGCATCCTTCTTCAGGTCGTTCATGTTGGTCGTCTCGACGGGGGTTCCGTACAGCGAGAACTGCTTAATGGCCGTGACTTCCTCGTCTCCGATGTTGTCTTTGATGAAGATCTGCGCGAAAATATGAGACTCCACTTCTACTTGTGAAGGGCGTGCTAGTGGAAAGTAAAGACTCACGTTGATGTTATGAACATTCTGGTACTTGACAAACCGCAACTGGACAACAGCGGCCCCAGACGCGTAGTCAGACTCCTTCAGCTCAATCTCCTCGGTGGCTTCGACGGTATCGGCGTCGTCGAAGCTGAGGATGTGGGATTTGTTGACGAAGGTTTTGATTGTCTTGGGTGCTTGTTCTGACGACCAAAGGGATGTTGAGTGTGGTGTTCGACGACCTCGCCATTCTCTCGCACACCCACCTTTGCTCTTAGGCACGATCTTCAGCGAATGCACCTTTACCGTTTGGTTGAACGGGATGTTGAAGATGAGTTGCTCGTCGACGTCGGATTCCAGGTAGGTCTGTTCGTTCTTGTCAAAGGCGTTCTTCACGTGGTGCTCGTCGCTTTGGTTCAGGCACTCCAGTTGACCTTGCGTTATGAATTCAAGGCTAAGGTATAGCTGACATGGTGAGTTACGCGATGCGAAGTAGAGCAAGATTCAGAATACAGCCTTACAGGTCGCTCTGTAAATGAGAAAGGCACTCTGTCAATCATTCGGGTACGTGTTATGCATTGATCTAGAAGCGACACTTACGTGGCCGCCGTGAGCTGTGTTCCCACTCGATTCATCCGCCGGGCCCTGATATTGCTGTGCGAACAGACGGAATAGTTGTCAGTACGCAACCCCTTCCCATTTTTGGAGTAACCGTTGGTTTGCAATACCTTAACCAGCTGTTCCAGCCCTTGCTTGTTGGCTCCCTTCAATTCTGCAATCTTGGAACCAGCCTTGAAGAACTAAGGGTGCACGGTCAGATGTGTTCCATAGCTATGCGGGCAGACCCGAATGACACCAAAAACATACTTGGAAAGTAGGCATCGCCTGCACGCCTGCCGCAGCTGTCACTTCCTAACGAGCGTTCATGCCCCGAATCAGTCATCGCTCTCTCATCCGAAGTGTATGAAAACCCTTATCCCTCTGCAAACACTCCTCCAACCCTTCCGCGACCAAGCAGCCCCTGATGCTCACTTGTAATTGATCCACGTCCACCTGGGCAAACGTCACATGCCTACAAAGACAAAATGTCAAGCAACTGTTCCTCAGGAAACGCTCCCTCCTTACAAAAATCTACCCACCTATACTTCGTGCTGAGTTCCGCAAACACTATTTTGTGACAGACGTCAGTTTATATACTGTGCCAGAAGAAGATCCCATATGACCCACGGGCCTCAAGCTGACATACCAGGCTTCATCATCTGTCATTGACATCAGACGCAAAAGTTGATCAGATCACAGAAGTTTATTCTCCTTCCACAGATTGACCCCAAATAAGAGATGATCGACGAATACTGAGGGAAAGGTGAAGCAGTGTTATTAGTCTTCACCTTACAGACGGACACCTCGCCGGAAACGCGTCACTCTGCCAATCGAGAAAGTTCCGCCGCAAGGAACGTACCCTGACATGGCCCACACCAGCTATTGTTAAAAATGCGTTCAGTTCAGCAGATCGAATCATTCGAGAGGTGTATAGGGAACGATCGAATATCTCGGTGAGCGAGACTGTTTCTCACGCGTGATCTACACCGGATTCCGCTAGCTCTCCAACGCTTCCAACACCACTGTACCTTGCTGTGAAATCGACCACAATCTGTAGGAGAAGACAACAAATCAGACAGAGCATCCCCAACCCTCCATGCTGCCCAACAGCCTGTTTCCATCGTCGACGCCGCGCCCTCCCTGAGAACATGATATAGGGACAGGAGGGACTCACCAACTTTTTCGCGTCCGCCTGGGACAGCAAGGCCTGATACTGAGCCTGTGTTGAGATAGTCTTCACGAGCGACATCTGTGAAGGTTTCTGCTTCAAATGGGGGTTATGTTCTTGTGGGAAAGTGGACGATGATGGACGTCTTGGGAGTCCAGACTTCCTTGCGATGGAAATGACGTTTGGGTGCAAACGTGCCGTATGGATACGTATCTGTTCGAACAGAATCGCTGCTGCGCCACTTGTGAGCTTAACCGTAGTCGAGATTCGAGAATTAGGGGATGCCACATCTGCCACATGGGGGTCACATCGATCTGAACCACAGTACGGGAGACGGGCGCTACATATGTAAATAGCATCTGCACTGGATTGGGACCTTATATTTTCCGTCCCGACGGACACGGAGACGAAGCACATGGGGTCACCACGGATGGAACCGAGGGCCTCACCTTCAAGGTCTCTCTCAGGCAAGCTGAAGACTCGCGACGAGGCCGAGTGAAGTTGGTGCTTAGCATCCAGCAAGGCAAGAATCTTTGTCCTCTCCGTGGTAAAGAATGGGGAATCGCCATTGACTTCAGATAGATCAATTGGTATCAAAATTGTGAATAAATTAGAGTGGCTGTCCATCATTACGTGCATTGTATTCACATCGTTTCGGGTATGTACAAGTACAAAGAACGAAATGGCAGAATCGGGTCGTCAAAGAATCAAGGGGTTTGGATTTAAACCTTGATCTCACGAGCGGCACGGGCCTCCTTCTTGGCGGTGGCGTTGTTGGACTTTTGGCCCATGATGCCTCCACCCCAGGTCTTGCGGTGGTCCTCGTACTTGTCGTTGTAGGCACCCTTGATAGCGCTGACGACGGAGGCGAGCTCGTGCTTGTCCTCGGGCTTCACGTCAGTCAAGGCGAGGGCGGTGGCGGTCTTCTTGTGGACGACGGTACCGAGACGGGACTTGGACTTGACGATGCAGTATGGGACACCCATCTTGCGGCAGAGAGCCGGGAGCCAGATGACGATCTGAAATGGGAGCAAATTTTGAGTACTGTGGACTGGTAAGCCCTTTGCAAGAACGATCAAATACACACCTCAATGGGGTCAACATCGTGGGCAATCACGACCAACTGAGCCTTCTTGGCCTCAACAAGTGCAGTGATGTGGTTGATACCGTACTTGACGACAACGGGCTTCTTTCCCTGGTCAACCTTGTTACCGGCAGCAACGGACTCGGCAGCGGCAGTAAGACGGGTCTTCTTCTCCTGCTTAGACTCGGGGCGGTACTTGTTCAAGACCTTGAACAGCTGGGTGGCTGGAAAAAGAGGTAGACGATGTGAGCAGCTAATACGCAAGATCAATTTCAACAAGGCGAGAGTGTACTCACCAGTGTTCTTGTCGAGGGTCTTGGTGAACTGGTTGATTGCGGGGGGGACCTTCAGACGCTGCTTGAGGATAGTCTTCTGGCGCTGAAGACGGACGTACTGGGGCCACTTGACGAAGCGGGACAAGTCACGCTTAGGCTGGATGTCCGCACCTATGAGAATAAAGACCGTCAGCATCCACACTTTCATGAAGTCCAAAGTGACCACATTCCACATACCGATGGAGAAGTTGCGGGGCTTCTTTTCGATCAAGGGGTTCTTGGCCTTCTTAGCGACAGCCTGACCCTTGGCGGGGTAGGGAGCCGGTGCGGGCTTCTTCGACTTGCTGACGGCCTTAGGCTAATCAGAGGTATTGACGGTTAGTGGGGCCATAATGGGGTCATCAGAGTAGAGCTCCGCCAGTTCCCCGAGGGGAAAAGACGAGAGATTCTCCTATAGTCATTGGTCTGCCTCTCCTCAGTTCTTCAGGCCGGGAGCCTTACAAAACCGAGAGAGAAGCATTCCTATAGTGGGCCCTCAACAGAAGCAGTCTCTCATCCGAAACCCCAGCCATTCGAAATCCTCCACGTGAAATTCCCCAAGGCCCCGCTGAACCCGAGTTTGGCTTCCAACGTCAGAACACAATCCTGTGCATCTATCGCTGACCGTCCACCTAATCAGACGGGACCCGGGAATGTCCCACATTTCGAATTTCGTCGGCCGGGAATTTGGAACATGGGCGGCGACATGTCCCAACGATCGCTTGTCGGAACGAGCTTTCGCCGTGCATGCCGCCGAGACTGCCTCTTGGTCGTCGTAGCAAACTGATGGATGGATGGATGGATGGATGGATACTCACCATGTTGTCGGTTGCTGCTCCAAAGAGGATTATTGGAGATGGGCGATGTGTAGCGAGCGAGAACGACCGATTTCCCACGGCGGCTTTGACTTGAGCGAAACAAGGCGCGACTTCAGGAAATGAAATGCCAAGCCACCCGATAGCAACAAATTTCTGGGTATAAAAGGATCAGCAAGGACATGAAAAGCGAAACCCTGGTCGCCTTCACCCTGAGAATGCCGACAGAAATTCAAGTGATTCAGAGTCGGGTTCCAGGACGTAGAAGGCGTGGGCAGGGGCAGGGGTCTCAATCAGTACGAAGTTTTTCAAAGCATAGCCCGTTTCGGCTGGAACAGTCGATGTCCCTCGACGTCCCTTCCACAAACTCAAGGACGGAGAGGATTTCCCACAACGGACCTCGGACTCCCTGCTACATGCACTCCATGTGCTCCAGTCCGAGCTTCGTTCAATGGCAATCTTTAGGAACACCCGCCCAGGTTGGTAACCACTTGAGCAAAGATGAGCAAAGCCAAAAACACAAATCAGAATCGCTACTCCGATTTTACTATCATGAGGAGATCGTTTTATAGTTCTGAGCTCAATTGGTGTCCAAACTGGGTGTTGTGAACTTGTGAGATGTGATATTGTGCGGGTGCGAGAATCGATTGAATGCTCTATCCTTTGCGCTCTATCGTACAATGATATGAGACAAGTCCGTTCGCCAGCCAACAGAGTATGATTGGTCTGTCAGGCTCCATCTGAATGATGCATGGTTTCATAGAAAGGAAGCGTTGTTCTTACTTCAGCAAATGAAGTGCTGGACAGATCTTGAATCTACGTCTATTTTGCGAGTGCTACATCTAGATACATCGATCGCAGGAAGGAATGGATCTAGTAAGGGTGATCATTCGTAGTCCAGTACACCAGCCATCCCAGCAAATTGCAGCCCGCTTCCCTCCTCCGACACACTATGAAATTGGGGAGAGTGCCGGACCACTCCGCATCTTCTTCTCGATGTATCGAAACATCGATCAGTTCCACAAAATCCTCATCTACCAGAGCCTCGAAACATTCGTCGACTTTCCGCCGCCGCTCCTGTCTCGTCTCGGGCGATTCAAACTCCTCGTCCTCGTGTACATCAGCGCCCAGGTACGAAAAATTACGGTACCTCCTGAACGTCGCGCTGTCGCCAAGCTCGATCCTTCGCAGTTTGTAGCGCTCCTTCACGTCTTCCGAGACCCAAAGACGGTATAGAAGCGTTTCGAGAATAGCACTGTCATCCGTTGGTTCCTCCCCCTCCAACTCGGGAACAGGCGCAAGCAGAAACGGCAATGCCTCAACACCTACATCCCTAGTGCCACTTCCCTCATAAACTTCGCGCAGACTGCGCGGCTCAGAGGCCATTTGACCATACGTGTTGTAGAGACTGAACGGCCCAGCGAGGAGGTCGAGGTCATGGGCCAAAGCCACCCAGTCGGCATCCTCCTCCGGCGCATCCGGATGTGACCTCTCCGCGCACTCCCACATATCGGCCTGCATTTCCTGCAGCAGCGCAAACTCCGAGGTCAAAAAAGCGAGTCGGATACGGTCCGTGTCCCACAGGGTGTAAGCCTGCGTGTCCACAACAGAAAGCTCCCGTCCCTTGCCGTGATCAAACAAATAGAAGCGTTCCAGCTCGTTGGTGGAGTCGATCCAGCCGTATGAGACGACACAGCGTTCGCGGATGGAGAGGGAGGCGTTCCATGCTTTGCAGACTAGGAGGCAGTTGACTAGGTCTTTGGGATCCGTGAGCGCGACCAGACACAGAATGCGGGGAATCAGCTCTAGGGGGAGAGCTTTGCACTTTGCGATCGAGCCAGCGGTCGCCATTCGGTTGGGCTCGGAGGCGAATGGCGGCGAGGAGGTGTAAGCTGGGACGCTGCGACACTGGCTGCTCGTCCTCGCGGTCGCTCTTCCAGAGCTTTCAGGTGTTGAAATGAGGTGCTGGCCGCCGGCTTCTACCTGCCGGGGAAGGAGGAATGCCCAACTCCGCACCTACTTTGGCTTCTGCTTCTTTTGCGAATGACTTCATTGCAACAGGTCTGCACAAAAGGAACTCGGTGAGACTCAGGGTGAGACTGACTCCAACCAGGATGTCTCGCGTAAGGTTGAGAAGCTTCGGGAGCGTCTCCCTTTCGTGTGTCATACTGTACAGTACAACATTCCATACATGTGGGACACATCCATACATACATACTGTACAAAATCCATGATCGGCCCCGAGGTGCCTGATCTGGTTGATGCGGGAGTGGTTTGCACCCGGGATTGCTTGACGGGGAATTGCCTGATGGAGCTCCATTCAAAGCACAGAGCTGTTGAGCCCAATGGTCGCTTACAGCGGAGATGGCCGAGATGTCGTCAATTGCCTTCCACAGTCCGCCCCAAAAACGATGCATGGTTTTGCTCTAAAAGGATCAGTCTTCATTTGAGCGTATGAAGTATTCACAAAGTAGCAGAACATGAAACCTCTTTACAAGGGCTATATATTATAGATCTACAACGAATCGCCAGAAAGGAGGACCATGAAGTATGGCCGCTTATTGGAAACATCAGTGGGAAAGGGCACTTCCAGTCGTCAGCTTCGGCACCCGCTGGAGATGTCTCGGCATAATTGGGCGGTCATCGAGGTCGGGGTGCTTGGAGCTGGAGGGTATTGCAGGGCTCCTTCTCTGATCCACCCCGGCCGATCTTCCAGCCCTTCTTTGTCGTGCTGACATCCAAAATCCGATGGCAAACTTCATCTGGCACTCGGACCATTCTCGCTTGATTTGGCTTCCACCCAGGGCATGTAAAGATCCCAAATTGATTGCACATTCTGCCCACGCGATAATAATGGCATGCCGCTCGGCAACCATCTCATGGAAGCGGGCAAAACTGCTCGAGTCCGTCTCCTTGTGCAGGTAAGCGGGTCACCAAACCAACATCGCGCGCGGCAACCTTTTTGAAGTTTGCCTTCCACCTCAGGCGCAGTTTCGAGGGGTAGGCGCGGCAGTTCGAGCTCAAAGGAAGGAAAGGCCTCCGAGCTCGCGACCCCCAGGTTTCATGCTGAATAACTCCATTAGTCCTCGGTCCCTCATTCTCGACCAAACCGTCTCTTCTTCGAAGCAAGGACCAAAAATGTTTGGTGCTGGGCGAACGAGAACTTGAATTATGATACTTCCTCGGATGAAGATTAGCCGAGTACAGCGAAGCTTCCGTTTGTTTGCTTGAATGTACGCCATTGAGGTGTTTTCTATCAAAGCGTTGTTTATCCTTGTTCCATCCGTCTAATCGTCCATTTCTCAGAACTTGCTACACAGCGGCGCTGGTGATTTGATGTAATTCGACGGAATCATCACAGGCAGTTCCTCGGAGGCAATTTTGAGCCTCTTGAGGCCTTTTGAGCATCGACCAAGCTTATGGGACCGGGCAGGGCTCAACACGCAATCTCCCGCATGTCGTTGATTGAAGACCGTGATTTTCTCTGAATCAATGCCTTCAATTTGTGAGCCTCCCACATACGCCTAGGAAGGCTTACCGCGTAGGCATCGCCGCCCGGAATATCCGCAGACGCCGTTCCCTTGATCACGTTCGCGACAACCGCACACGCACCCATCGACTTTATATGAGCAGTCCGGTATGCGAGAGCGATTTTCAATCCTGACGACCATGCTTCACAATAGGTAGCCAAAACCCAGTTTCAGCCCATCCGCTGACCCTGAGTTTTGACCACCTCCTGCCAGCCTCCGTTGCTTCCAGTTGCCGAGGGTTATTTACTCTCGTAAAGGTTCACAGGTCTACTTCAAGGTCGACCGAAACCCCCAATTTGTATGTTCCGTATCGATGATTCCAGTGGACGTGAGCCTGGACGTGAGCCTTTAGACCTGCTTCAGACCGAGTGAAATGGGAGGGGCAAGCCACACAGCGCCACTTCGCAAGCCACGCCTGAGGGAGCGCTCTTCCCTCTTTCCTCAACGTGTTCCCAAGGTCAAGTCACCCTGAGGTCGGCTCTCTGTCAAGCTAGGAGAAGGGCGCAAGCATATACTGCATATCTCAGCGGAAGAGGGAGCAACAACTCTATTTTGCCGACGGACCGAACTTAATCTCGAACACGAACGAGGTGAACGACGACATGAGCACGCCGCTTAGGACCGACACGGAGGGCGGCCTTGTAGGGTCTCCCGCTGTGAAGAAGGAAGCCGAAGTTGGAAGCACTCTTTTAAACCTCAATGTCAAAGAAGAAGTTGAGGGACAGTTTTCTGACGCTGAGGATGAGACCGAAACTCCCGGACCAAGGGAGGCCGATGTCAAAGGCGCTAGAATTGATGACGTGGAACATGAGGAGTTTGGCGAGGAATTGAGCGAAGAGGAAGAGGATGACGACGACGACGATGAGGATTACGATGATGCGGACTTCGAGCTGAATCATGGAGATCTGTGGCTTGGTGCCAGTGGAGGTTGGTCCTAAGTTGTTTAGCCCGGGAAACCCTCCGCTCTTGATTTCTGATTTATTCTCGATTTCAATAGACTTTACGAAACAATATAATCGTCTGAAAGTGCAGCTTGGAGCCACCGACGTGGCGACTGAAAAGGCTGCAAAGATGGGATCAACGACAGCACTGACTGTTCCGACAGGGATGAAGGGGCAGGTGGTCGCAACAGCCCGGGCCGCAGCAGCCGCAGCCGCAGCGAAAGCAAAGGCGACACGGAGCGCCACTGAAAAGGACGCGGATACAGCGAAAGAGGAGGAACTGAGTGCGAGATATAGCGGGAGAATCCGCCTTGACGCCGGCCCAGACGCCTTCCTCCGTCTCGGCAGCAGAAAAGCCGAAGGCGGCGAAAAGCGCGAGCGGGACAAATCCGACCGCGCAACCGTCGAACAAGTTCTCGACCCCCGCACGCGCATGATCCTTTTCAAAATGCTCTCCAAAAACGTCGTCTACGAGATCAACGGGTGCGTCTCCACCGGCAAAGAGGCCAACGTCTACCACGCCACCACCGAATCCGGCGAGCACCGCGCCATCAAAATCTACAAAACGTCCATCCTCACCTTCAAAGACCGCGACCGCTACGTGTCCGGCGAATACCGCTTCCGCCACGGCTACTCCAAACACAACCCCCGGAAAATGGTAAAAGTCTGGGCCGAGAAGGAGATGCGCAATCTGAAACGTATCCATGCGGCGGGTATACCATCCCCGGACCCCCTCCTTCTCCGCATGCACGTGCTGCTCATGACCTTCATCGGCGACAAGGACGGCTGGGCCGCCCCGCGGTTGAAGGACGCCCAGATCTCCGACCCGGCAGTGCATCGCGACCTCCTCACCCAGCTCCTCCGCATGATGTGGATCATGTACCACCGGTGCAAGCTCGTCCACGGGGATCTCTCCGAATACAACCTTCTCTACGTACGCAAACCCAAACCCACCCTAGTAATGATTGACGTGTCCCAATCGGTCGAACACGACCACCCGCATGCGCTGGAGTTCCTAAGGAAGGATTGCACGAATGTGGTCGAGTTTTTTAGGAGACGGGTAGAGGAGCAGATTTTGACCGTACGGGAGGTGTTTGAGTTTGTCGTCCTGGATCTGGACGGCGTCAAAAAAGCTATGGGTGCCGACGCTATCAAACTCGTCGAAACCAACCTAGAAGAAGGCGCGGATCTGGAAGTCGCTTTAATCGACGCATACATCGAACAGGTACGTCCCACCCCTCCCCCCCTCCTTCCCCCCACCACACACCTTTTACTAACCCTCCCCCCTCTTTTACCCCCAGCTCCTAAAAACAACCTCAACACGCTCCTCCAACTACCTAACAACAGCCCAACACCAAACCGACGAATCCGTCTTCAAACAACTCTACATACCCCGAACCCTCGACGACGTTGCCATCCCCGACGCCGAGCGGGACCTTCAACGTCTCAAAGACGGAAATCTGGGGGTGGATGAGGCGCTTTATCGGCAGGTGGTTGGGTTGAGTTTGAATGATAATAAGGATAATGATGAGGAGGAGAGTGAGGAGGAGGAGGAGAGTGAGGAGGGGAGTAGTGGAGAAGAGGAGGTGGGGAAGGATGCAGATGAGGATGATGGGGCGAGTGGCAGTGGGAGTGATGAGGAGAGCGAGTTTGAAGATCGGAGTCGGCCGATGAAGAAGGATGAGGATCGGGATGTTAAGAAGGTCAACCATCACATCCCCCATCTCGTCGTTGGAATCCCAGTTTCAGTGCAGCTAACTAATATATTCTTTTTTTCATTAATTCACAGGACCGCAAACGCCTAGCAAAAGAAGCAGCCCGCGAAAAACGCAAAGTCAAGACGCCTAAAGCCGTCAAGAAACGGAAGGAGAAGGTTGCGGCGGGGCGGAAGGGTGGAAAGAAGTAAAGTAAATCTTCACGCCGCACCCAATATATTCCGATAGCCCCCTATCCGACGTCGCTACTTTGGGTGAGAGGCAAAGGAAGGCATAACTTAAGTATAGTAGGAATAGAGTAGACGGTACATCTTATCATAGTACAAGCGTCGTTTCACAAAGTTTTGTATATAAATATTATGGTAATCGATGCTTGTACAAGAGGAAAACCCTTCCGTGTGTTATAACTTCCCATTAGAGTTTGACCATTACATATGTGTTAACTGTTCGGTCGGAAGAGCTTTTGCCTTGGAAAGTCCCTTTTCTATGTCGGTGATGAAAACCACCTGCACCCAAAAAAATAGCCGTCCATATGACACCCCACGAACATTCCCTCCATCTCCTCACCCATCAACATCCATCCCCACAACCCCCTCCCCCTCCCCCGCCACGCCAAACCCCCTCTCAGCAAGATAAACCGGCACCGTCCTCGCAATCCCAAAATACTCCTCCCTCGCATACTTCTCCCCAACCGCCGAGTCCTGGTGCGTGAAGCAGCACTGCAGGAGGGGTGCGACGTAGGGGAGGAGGGTGGAGGGGGTGTAAGTCGAAAGATGGGTGTGTGTTTCCGTCTTCATGAAAAAAAAAAGATTGGTCAGCATTGGTCGAAAAAAAAAAAACAGAACAGTGGGATATATATGTGATCGTCAGACTTACCCACTCGGTACCCAACACCCACCCGGCAGCCGCATACGCCACGGCCGCGACGACACTGGCCGGGACACCCACAAACCCCTCCTCCAGCATCGCGAGCTCACACAGGTACTTGCCCAGCATGCGGTGTCTGGGGTCCCATCCATCGGCTCCATTCAGCCGTCTGAGCCACAGAACCGGACCCGCGAATGCCGAGAGGTCGTACTCCAGTTTCTGCAAAATATACCGTTCCGCCGTAATGATCAGACTAAGCGGGTACTGCTCCTCCGCCAGCTTCACAAGATCGGCTAGCGGGGGCGCATACTGCTGCTCGAACTTAGCGGCCAGGGTGAGTGCGCAGACAGCGACGAGGTGGTAATTGTGCGTGAGGACCGTGCGGAGGGAGAGGAAGCGGTCGAGGATGTGGGTTGTGAGGAAGAGTGTTTCGGGGAGGAGGTTGAAGTGGGTGTGGAGCTGGACGAGCCAATTGATGAGGACGCGGCGCATGGACCAGGTGAGGGTGGGTTGGGTGGGTGAGAGGGCGTAGTGCGGGTTGATTCTTATTGTTGCCTGTGGAGAGAGTGTGTGAGTGAGCCCTCCGATTTTTTTGAATGATATGTTGCCAAGTTCGCAGGTGATGCTCTTACCTCCCTCCCCCGCAAAACCCCCAAAATCTCCTCCTCATACTCCGGCACAAACACCTCCTTTAACCGCATCCGCTCAACCTCCACCTCCCTCTCACCTTCCCTCCCCATCAACCTACCAACCCCCTTCATCACAAACACCGGCGTTCCGCCACTCTTTTCCAAATCCCTAAAATCCTTCTTCCCACACCGAGGCGCTCCCGGCATCTTGCGATCCGCGAAGGGATTCACGGAGGACGCGTTGGAAAAGAGTCGCAGGCGGGAGGTTTTGGTGGTGGAGGCGGTGTGGAACGAGGACGGGAATGTGGGTTTGGCGATGTGGCGTGAGAAGAGGGTGGAGTAGGAGGTGGTGAATGTGAAATCGTCTTGCTGGACTTGGGTTTGTGGCGTTTGCAGGTATGTCGGCTGCGTGGGGGCCGTGTAGTGCAGTTGCACCTTCTGGTTTGGTTGGTGCAACAGTTGTTGTGCGTGTGCGCTGCTGCTTCCACCGGAATTGGAGCGGACCGTCGCTGAGGTCGTTGAGGTATGTGCAGCGCTGGGCGCAACGGTCTCCGATAATATCCGCGAGTATGACCCATGACCTGATGCATGACTCGGCATATTGGCGCTCAATGACGAGCTCGTGGACGATTTCTGGACCCGTCTCATCGTCGTTCCCGCCGTACTAGCATAGCTGGCCACGGATGCCTTGAAATCCACAGGCCTGGCGGTACTCGCATGTTGGACATGGTGTGCGATCGGAGCGCTCGGCAGCCTTGTTTGAGCCGGCGCCGTAGATGAGACGGACGTATAAGTCGTAGTTTTCGGCTTGGATTTGACACGTTGGGATGCGCGGATAGTTGATGGCGGCGGAATGCTTGAGACATGAGTGCGAGTTGATGCTGGCGCTGGCGCCGGCGGCAAGCGGTTTTCTTTGCTATAGTGGTGGACCGACTTGACTCTTTTGTGAGCGTGCGCTGGCCTGCCCGTCTGGATGGTGCAACAAGTGCAAGCTAAGTTAGCAATCCATGAGGAAAGTCCAGAATTTATTCGGAGATGGACCATACCTCATGATTGACAACATCCCCGCCCGCATTCCTCTTAATCTGCTGCTGCTCCATCTGCATCTGCATTTCAACCAATTCCCGCTCCCGCTGCTTGCCTTTCTCCAGCCTCTCCAACCGCTGCATCCGTTCCACCCGTTCTTTCTCCCTCTCGCTCTCCATAACTATCTCGCGCGATTCCTCCCTAGCCCGAGTCCGCACTGATTTTCTAACATTCAAGCTTGGGACATCTGGAATAGATTTGTGTACATGGCTCGCGGGCGTTGATGAGAGTTTACATCCGGTGGCCGCGACGGCACGCAATTCCATTCGGCGACGGGTGACATCTGAGATGCGGCCTTTCATTATGTCCGCTGCGTCGGTGGTTGTAAAGGGGGGTAGGTGTCCGTCCCGCGAGCTGATAGATGTTTGGAGGCGCTGGGTCTGGATTTGAAGGCTGTCAATGGTCTGCGTGCATTTGCAGCGAACCCAGCGAACCCTTACCTCGACTCTCCTCGGCTTCAGTATTGGCCGCGCGGTCGCAGCGACTGTCGTGATGCTACTGTTAGTGGTCGAAGTACGCGAGCGTCCAGTTGTGTTCGCTACCAACGATCCTCGCGCCGTCGAAGCAGTTGTGCCCGAAGAAAGCTGCAAATGATATTCGAAGTAAGTAAGCATGGTGGCGGATCTTCTTTAAGGACGGCCGGTATCCAAGCCATTCCGTAACCCACCTTTCTCGCCTCCTGGCCCACATCACGACCCACACTCACACTCAACCCAGACCTCCTCGTGCCCGCCGTCATGACCGTAGTATTCGCGGTCGCATATCCGGAATCTTCAGCAAGTCGAGTTGATGCCGCACTGCTTCGCTTTCGCAGAGGCCTGTCTGGGTAGGAAGGGGTGCATGCTCTTTCGGTCGAAGACAAATGGGGGGGCACGCGCTGTCGTTCCGTCAGGACGGGCTGCATTAGGGAGGTTTTGATTGAGCATTTCATGGGATACTGCTCGAACCAGACGCTTCTCACAGACCTTGGTGCTTCTAGCCGACATAGTGATCTACTTCGGCCCTCTCGCTTTCTACTCTACTTCGCTTGCGATTCACCGATTCACCAATCTCTGATTTTTTTCGCGTGTCTGAACACCCGTGTCGTATCCGTCACACTCTTCACTATCGACGCGATCTAGCAGCCTTCCGCTCTCAGTCTTTTCGTAAACTCAAAGCGTATGTCGTTCCCCCCACGTGCTTCCTCTTGAATCACAGAGTATCCGACGAACACACCGACCGGCGAAGTTCCTTCTCTTGTATTTGAAGCCCAAGTCTCGTCGTCGGACGCAGAAACCCGCACTCTTAACGCTGTGGCAACGGCTGTTCCAACGCGTGAAATGCTGAAGAGTTTCGACAACTTTCGCTCGTTGGACTCCTCCTGCTTGCTGGACGACTACTGGCTGTCCCTATGAAGCGTTGCGGTGTAATTCTTCCTGCACAATAACTAAAGGTGATCCACGCCGTGATGCCCTCCCTCTCTCTCTCTAGCCCTTTGCCTTTGTCACACTTCTGACCGCTGCACGCGCGAGACTCGGACGTCACGTGTTGCGCAATAAATAAGCAGGGGTTATATCCGCCGTAAGCACGCGTCGAGCCCACTTCCACGAGTTTTCCCCTTTCCCCTTGCACGCGTTGGTCCCGTTTTTCGTCAGCAGCGAGCGACCTTTTCCCTATATGCAGCTGGCCCGGGAAGGGCTAAGAACAACTTTCGTGATTCCCCACCGCAATTTGCCGTGCCACCCGCAATTTGCTGTGCCACCCGCAGTTTGCTGTGCCACCGCAAGGCTTCGCCGACGGATATAAAAGCGCACCGCAGGTCGCTCCCTCGTTCGCTTTTTCTTCACTGGCATGGCATGGCCATAGAACCTGGAAGGTGCGAACCCAAGTAAAGTAGCAGTGATACTCTGCAGCTGCCCTTGAGGCCTTTGTGCCGATGATTGGGTAGACAGCGCATGGAATGGCCTTAGAACCTGGAAGGTGCGAACCCAAGTAAAGTAGCAGTGATACTCTGCAGCTGCCCTTGAGGCCTTCGTGCCGATGATGGGGGTAGACAAGGCATGGAATGGCGTTAGAACCTGGAAGGTGCGAACCCAAGTAAAGTAGCAGTGATACTCTGCAGCTGCCCCTGAGGCCTTCGTGCCGATGATGGGGTAGACAGCCCTTAGAACCTGGAAGGTGCGCATCCCAGTAAAGTAGCAGTCATACTCTGCAGCTATCCCCTAGTGGGCTCTAGACATCGAAATTACGGTTGACTTCTTCTGAGAACAAAAGAAAAAGATACCATGCGTTAAGATATCGGGGATCTCGGCATCCCTTACGCGTGATGTCGGCCATCACGAGAGTGTCGCGCGACAATGTCGGCCAGACGGACATCGCAGACGCAGAGTGAGAGCGGCTGCCATCGCATTGTAATATGCCTGCCGTCTTCAATCACCAACTCCAAGAGCCTCTCTGTTACAATACAATGCTAAGTCGTTCGGGCATGTCAATGGCGGACATTTCTTACGCGTAATGTCCGGAATGTGTGCGACATCGTTGGTGCACATGAGCAGCCGGACCAACTCCCGCGCAACATACCAATATGCATATCGCCATGTGTCTCTACTGCAGCGCTCTCTGTTACGAGCCCTAGCTTTGTGACATGTCGATGGAGCGCATTCTCTACGCGTAACGTTGCAACATGGGCGCGACAGTGTTGGTGCACATGGGCACGGACCAACTTACAAGGCACATATCAATATGCATACCGCAACGTTGGTGATTCGCAACCGCTATTTGTTAAGAATCCATGTCAGGTCATTTGTGACCTGTCCATTGCTTCCACTCATTTCGCGTGATGCCCGGAATGCGGCGACATGGCCGCGACAGTGTTGGTATACATTGAGCACATGGGCCACCGTTGCGCGACACCATCATAGATCATTATGCATTATCATTTATGTCTCTGCACCGGCGCTCCTCATTATGAACTCATGTCGCTCCTTAAATTTCGGGATGTTCGCCAAATCGCGCTGAACGTTGAGAATGTCGCGGACATTGCACACACGGAGATGTCAACGTACTGTATATGGCGGGATGCGACAGGATGATTGAGCATCTGAGGCTCCTGCGGCCGACTATTCCTTGGGCCGCATGATAGGGCTATCAATGGGTTCGCATGTCCGGAAACCCTCGCGTGCATCTCGCGTTTTTGACGCCCGCAGTGGGACATTCACTGTCGGACATTCGGTCATGACGGCCCCCAAACTGGGACCTGTCTTCAGCGGAAGCACCTGAACTCTTGACGACTCCTCTCAAAAATTGCGTGACAAAATCAGTCCTCTCATTTACCGTTTTGAAGACTGGATTTACCTGGTGAGGAACATATTGCGCATTTCTGCAGCGGTGGTCGACGCCTGCAAAGCGATCACTCCATTCCAACAGAGCCTGCGAGGATATCCTTCACTGTACATGTATAATCGGGTAGGACGGAAGGTGTGATGGAAAAGGATAGAGCCTGGCATAGCAAGCACTCCAAGCACACACTGCATCATTTTACGGATACAGTTTGGGACGAACGCAATGTGCATAGCGCTGAATCGTAGAAGTCTGCATTTGCTGCTCCTCTGCGTTCAAATCCTCTGAGCATGTACTGTAGTTCAATAAATGTGAGACACAAAGTAACTGCCGTTATGTCGGATTGGTACATCGATGAAGCAAGAGCTCCACTTCCCGACTTCTTTCTTCCACTTTTGGTGACCCAAATCCAATCTTTTGCGTCATGGCTGCATATGCTCAATTAGTTGCTCTTTGAATGATTGCAATTCCAACTAAGGCGTTGGCATCTGTGGTAACAGGTTCAAGCATAGTCAGCGAAAGGTTCCACAGCATAATCTTCACATAATTTTTTGTGCTGGTGACTCGCCCGCTTCCGTTGAGTAGATCACAGACCATTGTCGCCAACACTCCCAAACCGTTCTCTTGTGCTACTCTGCTTTATTAATGTGACTATATCTACGCCGTCTACATGTATAGCGACACACTATCCAGATATGCTACCAGCAAACACCATTCCCAAATCTCTACACCCATAATACAACCACAAGCCCTCCTTCGACCCCGTCAACAACCCAGGCTGCTGGCACGCCGCCTTAAACACCACCAGCGCCTTCGGGATGCCCGGAGCCGCCGGAGGGGCCAAATCGACCGAGCATTTCCGCACATTCAGGTCCCCGTCGATCCAGTACACCGTGTCCCCCCTCTCATCAACCACCAGCGGTCCGGGCGGGCTGGACGGGTTTGCAGGAGAGTTGACGCACATTACCGTCGCTTCGCTGGATACGAGGAGGGTTTTCCGCAATACGCTGGTGATGCCTGACGTGGCGTTGTGCGCGAGGTACACGAGCGAGGACGGCTCGTGGGGGATGTACACCGGCGCTGTATCGGCCGTACCGCCGATCCACGACGTCCGCAATATCGGGCCCGTAGCGGTCAACGAGTACACTCTCACGGTCTTCGAACGAAAGGTGACGGTCATTTCGGTGCCGGATGAATGCATGGCGACGTCCGAGACGGGGTCGGCGGGGACATTCGCCGCGCCCAGCGCCTTCGTGTACGTCACCGTCATCGTGGTCATATCCACCCGCGTCACATTCGGGACCGCGCCCGTCAGGCCCGTCGCAACCAAATACACCGCCGAATTCCAATCCTCCGGCACAGTGCGGATGAGATCCACCACCCACCCAATGCGCACCTCGCGCGGGGGGTTGGATATCTCAAGATCGTTCGTCCACTCCGTATCGTCGAACTTCGTCGAGATCAGCGATGTGCCGTCCGTGCTCACCGACACGAAGGTGGTCTTGTTCTGCGGGTGGAAGACCCCAAGTGTTCCGGAGCCGCGGAACTCGTACACTAGCTTGTCGTCGTCCATTTTGTACGCTTTCATGCCGGTCGCGTTGCTGACGACAACGTAGCGGTCGTCGGGGGAGATTTGGAGCCCGGTCATGTCGCCTGTGTGGACTTTCCCAATGGCGGCGGGGTTCCAGCTGGGGGTTGTTGGGGTCGAGGCGGCGGGGCTGGTGTCAAAGTAGTAAGAAGGGGCGGCGTTGAGACGCACGATCAAGACGACCAGGCCCGCGATGGTCGCTTTGATGAAGATGATGAAGACGATGGTTTGGCCGCGCGTCCACCTTTTTTGGGGCGGTGGTGCCGCAACGGGGTCGGAGACGGAGTAAACGGGTAGCATCCTGGAGCTTTCCACGTCAGGTATATATCTGTGTTCGTCGTAGACTGGGACAGCTGACGGTGTGTATGCCGGGGGCGGCGAGGCGAGAAGGGGGAGTATCGGCGTTGCGGGGCCGGCTGCCGATGGGGCCGGATACGTACTTGCTGGTGGGTAGGGCACCCGGGCGGCTGCCACGGGGACGGCCGGCGCTTCTTGCCATGAGTGGGGGTTGTTCATGATGGTCGTGAAGGATGGGGGCCAGCCCGCGCTTCCCAGATGTAGTTTCCTTGATATGGAGACGTCGTTCAATCCTCCCAGGCCTGCCTTTTATCGACCTCCACCGCCTGCGGCCGTGCCCAGCTGCTGTGGTCCAAGCACTCAACCCGGTACGCCAAGTTGCATGCCATCTCTTCACATAGTCTGTCCAACTCCGATGTGAGGCCAACACCCGCAAAATTGGAGAAACTTGGTTGTGTTCTTAATATTTTGCACCATAAAATCTTTCGAACCGTCACAACTCCATCCCCCGGACAACGGTCGCTACTTGCAAGGGGTTTTCGACGGTACCGTGACAGTCTGAGTGTCCATGGCGACGGCTGCGGGTGGTCGCAGACTACACCCCCAATTATGAGAATGCCAAATGAAGGAACACGCCCGATCTTCCAGGCACCTCCAAAACGGACGTGCTGTAGGCATTCTTGAAGTTGGTTCCCTTGAAATTCAGTGACGACGCGCGCGGGAGGTTCTTTGGTGATTGATCCAGGGACATCGCATCAGGACTTTCCCTGGACCTTCCAGTCTTGAATGTCGCATGAAGATTCCCATCCAACATGTCCCAGGGACATCTTCGGAACCCTAACCCTAACCCTAACCCTAACCTGTTTTCGTGGGAACAACGCATACGGGAAAGAAAAGAAAGGGGAGGGTATATCGTGGTATGTGTACGTAGTCTGTGGATAGTGGTAGGAGTCTGCGGATAGTGGTAGGTGCGCGACGAACTGGTAGGTGGGGTTCCGAGACAAGCAAGGGAACCCTCTGCAGCATCCAGAAACGTCGCTACCACCCCACAGGTCCATGCAATGGCGAAGACGGCTTATGGCACATACCCTGCAGCAGAGAGAATGAAGGTGTGAGAACGGCGTAGTTGGAAAGAGGAGACCGGTTTTAGTCAGCGTGCGCAGTCTCAGAATTCAGGGGGAGAATCGAGATCGCAATGTTGGGAATTACCTCATTACCCAATACCCCATTACCTCGGTTCCCACGGTCCCCCTCGCGTCCTGAATGCCCGCCTCAGTGCCCTCTACAACCATTACCGAGGCTTGCTCCGCTGCATACACCACTGCTTGCGCCGCCGCTTGCTCGGTGATTGCAAATTGTTAGAGTGCTATGAGCCCCGCGACATGTGCTGTGCTGTTTCCCCCTCTTTTTGAAAGTCGTGCGCTCGTGGAGGTTCCCAGTGAACCTCCCCTGGAGGGACCTCGCGAGTTCATGCAATGGAGGTTTGGTGAGAATGTCTGTGGGCGGAGAATGTCCTGGAAACCTCAGCCAGAGGAGCCTGGGGAATGTCCTGGGCACGTCTCGAAAGAAGGCGCCCCGGACTGGAGCTGGGATGTCTGGGGAAGGTGGGTAGGGTTGGGGTTAGTTGGGGATGTCATATGAGCAAACAAGAAGAACCATCCATGGCCTCCGACGCGTTGAATCCGCGCAAATGGCATTTTCCCTTTCTGGGGGTGTAGGCTACTGCCCATAGGATTAGGGTTAGGGTTAGGGTTAGGGCGGCTTGCTGCTTCCACCATGTCGAAATGCTGTTGAAATGCTGCATTCCCGCAGGACTTTTGCGGCGGTCCCGCGTCCCGTCGAGTGCAGGACGGGACGGGATGGGACGCGGGATATCCCACTGCGGGACGACCCCCTATCGCAGACATATGGTCAGTGGTCACAGACTGTATGTACCGTCGAAGGCCGGCTGTCTCTGCTCATAGTCTGATGTCTAGGAGTAGATGTCTAGTAGACATGGTCCCGACACAACGGAACGGCGGTCAACTGTCGTTCGCGTTTTAGGCTTACGTTATGGAGAATGGGACACGGCGTAAAGTCTCACACACTCGATGCCTTCCCAATTCATCACAATGCCACATACCACGAACAGAAATCTACATAGCTACACGATTACATATTCAAACGAACGCATTTCTGGCTCTGATATATCTACATTCATCCCCTCCCCAACAAACCGATCCGGGCTATACCCTCTCCATCTTACACCCCCCCCTCCTACGGTTCCGTCGACACGATCAAGTCCGAGGACCGGACGCGTTTCCGCTTATGCGCGTAATCTTCCTCCTCGTCTTCCTCTTCTCCAGAGTGGGTAGTACCATGTTTCTCATCCCCTTTGGAACCCTCTGCTTTGATTGATGTGTGCTTCTCATCCCGCGCGTCGTTCGGGCCTTCATTACGCGTGAGTTGCCGAGCCGTATCTACCGCATCCCGTTTGCGTCGGTTGGTCAGCAGTTCACGGGCGTCGCTGCGTTGATCGGATTGCTCGCCCTCGTCATGACTGTGATGCTCAGGTGTTGCTGTCCGTGACCTAGCCCGGTCCTCTCGTCTCGATTTCACTTTCGTTCGGTCATCCTTCTCACGGACTTTATCGACATCCCTTGACCTGTCCCTATCGATGTCCCGGTCTCTGTCCCTGTCTCGATCCCTCTCACGGTCTCTCTCCCTGCTGCGGTTGCGATACCGTCTCTCGTCGTCGCGTCTGTATCGTTCTCGCGATCTTGATCGGGACCGACGTCGGCGGTAGGATCCGCGGTCTCGCGATCTGGAGCGTGAGCGGGAGTGGCGGCGACGGTCGTAGGATCGGGATCGGGAACGTGAACGACGTCGTCTTCGTCGATCTGCCATGACACAAAAAAGTTGTGAGATTTAGGATTCAGGCCGCTGGGTGCAGGGCGAGAGAACACTTGAAATTTCGTGCATTACCTCTCGAAAGGTCTCTGTCCCGTCGCCATCTCGTATCCACACTCCTAGATCTCGACCGACGTCTCCTCGAAACCGGCGCCACCTCTGACGGCACCGGCGTAGTCGCACTGGCCCCTTCATCCTCATTCCCATACTTCTTCGCAATCGCCGCCTGAGCCTCTGCCACGCGTCGCATAGCAGGATCCAGCATCACATCCGGTTTCTTCGGCGCTTTATTAATTGCGTTTTTCGAATAATTGACTTTGATGAGCCTGTCGCCCAGCCCCGCGCCGTTGAGCGGGAGTGCTTTCGCAGCCGCTTCCTGGGTTGCGAATTCCATAAATGCAAATCTGGTGAGTTGTCCGGAAGAATCCCCAGCCATCTTCACGTGTGCGATCTCCCCGCATGGCGCAAAGAGTGCTCTCAGCTCTTCTTCGGTGGTTGTTATGCTCAGATTGCCAATGTACACCGTCCTGGCGATCTCCTCCGCTTTTACGGGATCGAACTGGAGGATGGATGCATTGATGTTGGGGTTACGGGCCAGCAGGGCTTCGGCGACGGTGGGTGTTCGTATTGCGGGGGATGCAGTGATCGTGGCTCCCAAGCTGGGCGTTGCTTTGCCTGTGATTGTGACGAATAGTGTACGGTCGCCTAGATCTGTCCCTGTCAGATGCAGGGCGGATTGGGCGGCGGTTGGGTCCTCAAATGCCACCTGGCACTCTTGCAGGCCATCGTTGCTTGGACTAGACGAGGGGCAACCTTGCGTCTCAGCATATTATTACACTGAGCCCCATCGACACCGCACCCGCTCACCTTGGATAGAGTTTGACTTCATTCACCTGCCCGAGAAACTCGAATAGGGGTTTGAGAACATCTTCCGTCACCAGAGACGAAACGCCGGCAACCTAAATCACCGAGGGACCGACTTTCAGTCTTCTTTCTGCATCCGTGCACATCTCTGACTCAGGATAAACCCTGCCACCCACCTTGACAACGGTTCCAGTGGCCATATGGACTGCCTGCCTGCCTGGTGGCTTCTGACCTTTGGCCTCTTCTACGCGTGACCTTTTGCGCTGATCTCTCCACACTTGGAGGACAGACTCCGCCTAGACTCACGACCGGAGACTCTGAAGACCAAAGCGAAGGGTGTGTGTTGCTATATGCAAGCGCTACGGGTATAGGTCGAGATTGCCTTTGAGGTGAGAAGTGCAAACGTCCGTCTCGAATGAGAACGCGCCGTCTTCACCCACCTCCTTCTCCTCCTCGCATTACAGCCTCGTCCGTCCGTGGGCATCGGGTGCACTGAAGGAAGCGTGGGAACGCTTTGGGAGCTACCACCCGACCCGCTCCTCCAACCAGAGTGCTGTCGCGGTACTGCCTACTGTTCCCTGCTGGTGTCTCTCTCGCCACTCTACGAACTTGCCTGGAGGACCTTAAAAGTGGTCTTTCCCTGCTGGTCGGCCCAAGATCACTTCAGCGACCAACGGTTATCACTGGATATTCTTCGGTTACAGGACGCAACGATGACGGCGGCCGCAGCCCTCGGCACACTGCTAACTCTCATGTTCCCGGTGCTTCTCGTCTTGTGGCTCCGTGCGAAAGATGCCGCCGGCAAAACTACCCGCGTCCTCGTCCTAGTCCTCGGCGACATCGGCCGCTCACCTCGAACGCAGTACCACGCCATATCCCTTGCACGCGAAGGTTTTGAGGTGCATCTAGCGGGTTACCAGGGCTCACCAGTGTTACCAGAGGTCCTGCAGGCCGGTGACAAAATAACTGTGCATCACATCCCGAATCCCATGAAACTGCCTGTCGTGCGGGCGGGTGGGGTGGTGGGCATAGCGGCGTACGTGGGGCTTGCGGCGTTCCGGGTGGTGAGGCAGCTGGTGCAGCTGCTGATGCTGTGTTTGAGAGATGTGCCGGCTTTCGGGACTATACTAGTGCAAGTACGGCCGAAGAGTGTTTTGATTAGCTCGTTAGTGTAATGATGGATCCCTGATGTACTATGGATGTTTCCTTTTTTGGCAATCATATAGAATCCCCCGGCAGTTCCTACGCTGGTCATTGTGCAATTCCTGCGATTGGTGGTGGGGTGCAAGGTCATCATCGATTGGCATAACTTTGGATACTCCATCATGGCGTTGAATGTTGGGCAAAGGAGTCGGATAGTGAAGCTTGCTGAATGGTATGCAATCATGGGTCTTCCTCGCAGATGGTCCGCTTCTAAGCGTATATTCATCTTTCGCAGGTACGAAAAAGCATTCGGCAACTTCGCCAGCGCTCACCTCTGCGTAAGCAAAGCAATGGCCGCCGAAATGAAAACCGTCTGGGGCGTGCGGTAAGAACACCGTCCTTCCCCCACCCACGCCATCCTCCTCAAACCTCTGTCCGCCCTCACATCCCACATTACAGAGGCCCAATAGTAACTATGTACGACAAACCCCCCTCCCACTTCCGCCGCCTCCCCCTCGCCGAAATCCACGCATTCCTCTCCCGTTACGATCTCACCACCCCCATAATGCGTCCCACCACCTCCCCAACGACGACATCACAAACCCTCCTAACCCACCTCACACCCACGGGCACACTCGAACCCCTCACCGGGCGCCCCGCGTTGGTCGTTAGCAGCACGAGTTGGACGGAGGATGAGGATTTTGAGATGTTGTTGGAGGGGTTGGGGTTGTACGAGGCGGCTGCGGGAAGCAAGCAAGGGGGAGGGGATGACCAGACGGTGTTACCCGACATCGTACTGGTGATTACAGGCAAGGGGCCGTTGAAGGACATGTATCTGGCGAAGATCAAAGCGAAGGCGTTGAAGAGGGTACGGGTGTTGACTGCTTGGTTACCTGCTGAAGATTATCCGCTCTTGCTCGGTACGTGAAACCCATTCGAAGAGGATATGTTTTTTTACCTTTCTCGTCGTTCAGGGGGATGTTGATGATTGTGATTTTTTCCAAAGGCTCAGCAGACCTCGGCATCTCCCTCCACACCTCCTCCTCCGGGCTCGACCTGCCGATGAAGATTGTGGATATGTTTGGGTGTGGGCTGCCGGTTTGTGCTGTTGGGTATCCGTGGTGTGTATGAAAAAAAAAACCCCCTTTCCCACTTTCGCAAATGAATGCGTCGACTGATTATTACCGATAGTCTAGAGGAATTGGTCCAGGACGGTGTGAATGGACGTGTTTTTGGGACTCCGGAGGAGTTGTGTGGGCAGTTAAAGGTGCGATCTACGTTTTCCCCCTTTCCGTCTCCCACCCCCCGCCTCCGCAACATCTAACTCTTCCCTTACCACAGTCTCTCCTCGCCACACCCTCCACATCCTCAACAAAAACTACACCACACATCCCAACACCCGCTCTGACATCCCTTCGCGCCGGCACCAAGGCGTTCGGGCGTACGCGGTGGCATGAGGAGTGGGTGGGCGTTGTCGAGCCGCTGATTGTCGGGTAGTGCCATGGGGGGTGGGGGTGGACAAAGCACACCCCGAATGCGGCGTGTGTGGATGTATTGTACATATCATAGCGGGTATTCGCAAAATACAATCATTCCACAAGCAACCCAAACGCCATCTTACGACATACAGACATCCCCCTCACCCAATATACGTAACACTCCTCAACCGCCCACACCGCGCCCTCAACTCCTCCACCTCCTCCCTCCCCAACTGCTCCTTCCACCCCCCAGCTCCCACACACAACCCCAGCGCGCCCAGCCTTCTTATCATGGGGACATACTTCACCAGCGCGCCATACCCGACCCTCGCAGGCACATTCATCAGCGTTTCCAGGTCCGGACAATGTTCGGCGAGGGCGGCTAAGGTGCGGTGTGTGATGTTGTTGTTGGCAAAAGGTAGTGAGAGATGTTGGAGATGTGGGAGGGAGTGAGCGAGTTGTGTGGTTGACGCGTCTGTTATGCGCGTGTTCTGGAGTGCGCCGAGATGGAGGGATGTGACACGGGTACATCGACGGACGAGGAGTGTAAGCGCCGAGTCGGTGATATCCTTCCCGTCGCGGAGGTCGAGGTGGGTGAGATGTGGACAATGCCCCGCGATTTTGAGTAAGGGTCCGTCGGTGGCGATGGGCACGGTCAGGCTCTGCAGGTTATGGCATGCCTGTGCGATGAGCGCGACGTGGGCGTCTACGAGGTGGTGGTGGACGGATGCGGCGCGCCGGGAGGGTGTGGCGTGGATGTGGGTGAGGTTTGGGAATTGGGCGAGGGTGGGGAGGAGGGTGGAGAGGAAGCCGATGCCATCGAGGGTGAGGGTTGTGAGATTGGCATGGGGGAGGAGGGGGGTGAGGAAGTCGGCGATGGGGTTGGTGGTAGGGAGTTCGGTGAGGGTGACGGATTCGAGGTGCGGGTTAAGTTCGAGGAGCGTAGAGGCCGCGCGGGTGTTGATGATATTGCCGAGGCGGAGGTGATTGAGCTTTGTGAGGGTGTCGGCGGCGACTTGGAGGGTGTCGTCAATGGCGACTGGCCAGTCGAGCTGGAGAGACCGTAGCTGCGGGTTGGCGGTGATGATCTCCCCAAGCGCCTCTTTGATCCGCTTGTCGTCCTCTGTATCGACATGGACGAGTCGTGCGAGGCCCAGGCCTGTCCATTCCAGCGCAAATGTCCGCAGTTGCCCGCGATACGCCTCTGCCACGGCGCGAAACCCCCGCTCTGTGAATCCCCACTCTGTGAACGCGTTTCGCGCGCTTTTCAGTCGTAGGTGTTTGATATGGCGACAGTTTTTGACGACGGCCATCAACCCGTCATCGCTAACGAAACCGGAGCTGTGCGAGCCCGACACAAGCGACAATGCCACCAGTTGCTTGCAGCTCGCGGATATCGACCAGAGGCCGTCGTCGTTGATGACCGGAAGGTTCAGATGTAGCACCGTCAGTCGCGGACAGCTGTGCAGCACTTTGACGAGTCCGGGAAGCTTGTAGTCAGACGAATCAACCTCTTGGTTGTGCGCGTACACCGAGACGGTCTGTATGGATTGCCGATAATCTGTCATGAGCTGCTTCGGTTTCGCCAGGATCTTTTGCCATGTTTCCCCTGTCCAACAAAATACAAGTCAGAGATGGCCGAGTGGAGAAGGGAGACGGAAAACCCGGGCTCACAGTTATAAGCATACGCGTGAATATCCCTCCAAATGAAAGCGTTGGCAGAAGCAAACCATTGCTTATTGACCAAGCAGCAGGAATAGAGGTCATGGGAGTCTATCACAAAGCCAAATATGGCGTCCAGGAGTTCGGTGGGTATGTCTTCTGAGGAGGATCTTCTGGTTCGCGGCGAAAGACTGCCAGGTTGTGGAGGTGTTAGCATCGTTCCGATCGGTTCCTTCCTCGAACAGTGCTAGTGTTGGAGCACATGGGATGCTGGCCGAGTGGGGTCCTTCTTCAGGGAAAAATAGCCGCTCTCGGTCGGCGATGGTACCTGTACAGTCTGATCGCTGAGATGAGAGGGGGAGGGGAGTGGGAGGGGAGTGGGAGGGGGATGCCGTTGTTGCGCCTGTAAACTCCCTGTTATCTCACATCCTCGGCCGTTCCGAACAGACGCGCGCGTTCCAAGTCTTCGACATCCCGCGAACCGTTTCACTGGAAGAGCGGGTAGTTTTTGGGAACTTCGGAAGACAGTCCTCTGGTTCCATGCATCTTTTGCGATCTCACAGTATACATGAGTGATTTAGCAATAGCTTCGCCCGCTTCCAGGAGCTCGGCGTTTGACGCCTCACTTTCGGACTGTTCCATCTTTGCGATGTTTGCAATATTGAGGTTGATCTTCCATCATTTGGTACGCTTTGCCGTACTTGCTCTCATCGATCGACTTGAGGATCTTGGCGGCCTCCAACGCCCATGTCGAACTCGGAAGCTTGAAGCCAAGCATCATTGCGTAGTGTACAAGCTGCGAATGCCTGTAGCGGTCCATTCCTTGTTTGGACCCCGAACTGGGAAAGCTCCAGAGGTCTCTCCAGACGAAAAACTGGGGGTTCATCGGCACCTCGTGCGCAGACTTCCTTGGGCTACAGGGCGGGGCGTTTTGCCCATTTGCCCCTGACTCCTGACACCGGCTTCCAAAGTGCCAACAGTGCTAGGAGCTCTCATAGATGATACATACCTAGATTGAAGCTGTAGGTGAAATGAAACCGTTGTGCAACAACAAAATCACATCGAAAGCAAGGCGTGCGAAAGGATGAAGAACCGGGCGTGGGTTGTTTTGTTGACTGGTTTTCGACAGGCCTTCTGTCAGTTAGTCGGAGTGAAAGTCACTTGCAAGTCAAGGCGAGGCATATTCCCTCTCTTTGTTTCGAAAGGCGCTCATCAGTTGCCGGTGGCCATTCACAGGCACAGGCTGGCAGTCGCCTGCCTACTTGCTTGAGAGACTGATGAAAACTCCTGTCGCTCCTCCGTCCAACGCGCTGCATGCAGCAAGGCCCTGTCTGGAACCCGGAGCGTCTCCATCACAAGAGAAGCCATCATCTTCATCATTTTCACGAGGTTCCTTGACACAAGGAGGAGGAGACCTTCGAAACAGGCGTCAATCAATCACAGGTTATCAGCGTTGCAGGCAAACAGTCCTTTATCCTCACTTGATAATGATACCGTCACCCGCCTGCTCCTCCGGCTATCCCCACCAAACCTTCCCAAGCCTTCCTGGACCCTCTCTAGACCGCTTCGCTGGTACGTAGGTGAAGCGTAGGAATGGGCACAATTCAAAATGCTATCCACTTTACGTTGGTTTCGTCGCAGTCATGCCCGCGCCCGAAGGGACACCCGAAACCGAGGGGTAGTGTAAAGTGATGCCTCAATGGAACTTCACTGGAGGAGAGCTACCCCGGATGGAAGTGGGCCCGGTGAAGTAGTTTTTGCCACAATGCAGAGCATTTGCCATACAGCCTTGCCCCTCAGCAGTGGTGGCGATCGAGTCGGCTCAGCAGATGCGGGAAGATGGGAACCCCAAACAAAATCAACACGTTTATCCCAATGTAGACTAGATGTAACCCCGATAGACGGGAGGAACGGGCGATAGGATCGGAGAGGCGACATACCTGCGGTTTAACTCCTTCTCGGCTGGACGCGAATGAAAACGCTAAGATGGCGATAGGGCGTGTCAATAACTTCAAAGCCAAGAGAACACAACAGTCGTCCGATGCACATGCTGTCGCTATCACCCGAACTCATTGAGCCAGCTTCCTACTCGACAAGGCGAAATACCGGAGCAATTGGCAGGAGACAATGAAGGGACAGGTTTGACGGGGTGTCGAAATGCGGAAGCGGTTGCGCCACTCGACGCCACTTGCAAGCCACAGCCTGCTTCCGCTCTTCGAGTCGGCGAGGATGGGAAGGGCATTAGCACCACCCGGCATTGCAGAGCTACAATCAGCATAGGGCACAGGCACTGGCGGACGCACAGTTTACGGACGGACGACAGCAAAGCAGAGAGAGATTTCTCCAGTTTTTTTTTGTGCAGATTCCTCCTTGATCCCACTTCGCCAAACTCAACCCCCCAGCAACACCCATTCCCACCGTAAACCTCGTTAAATCATGCCACAACGATCAATTCTACCGACACTCCGCCTCGCCGGCCGGCCGTTCCACCACCCCGCCACCGTCCGGTCATGTCGCCTTCCATCGACTACCCGGTATCCCCTGTGTGCGCGAAAATACGCGACGGAGACGGAGAAACCGAGCAGGGCGGAGATCGGTGGTGTGCGAGAGGAGGCGAGCGGGAGTGCTGTGGATGCGGAAGTGAAGGAGACGAGTGATACGGAAGTGTTTGCTGCGGCACCAGATGCGGATGTGATGGTGGAAGCAGACGCAAAGACGGACCTTCCGTTGGTTTTCTCGAGACCGACGCAGAGGAAGTATGAGCATCCGTATGGGTGGCAGACGCTGCAGCGTGAGTACCGATAGGACTTTTGCGGCTTTTCTCTCTTCCCGATTCCCCCGCTCATTTTCTCCTCATCCACGCAGTCAACCGCCCCCTAAACATCCCCGCCCCACCCACACCCCCCCGGACCCACAACCTCCTCACCGCAACCCTCACCCTCACAACCCACATGCCGGATTACCTCCCCTTCCTCCTCTACTTCACCCGTCACACCGCACACAGCCTGCTCCTCCCCACCTCCCCACCCATCCACCTCCCGACCCTTACAAAACGGTACAACGTCATCAAAGGCCCGTTCGTGCACGCCAAAACCAAGGAAATCTTCGAGGAACGGAAATACCACGGCGCTGTGCAGGTGTTTGATGCCAGCCAAGAAAGCGTCGACGCGTTGGTGGATTACATCAAGCGGAGTCTGCCTGCGGGTGTGGATTTGGAGGTGCAGAGGTTTGCGTGGGAGACGGTGGAGATGGCGGTTACGCCGAGGGTGTCGGTGCCGGAGAAGTTGGGGAGTGCGGGCGCGCAGGTGATGTCGAGGGGGAGACGACGGAAGGCGGCGAAGAATCAGCCGGGGTCGTTTGAGGAGCAGGTGCAGAAGAAGGCGGAGAGCTTTTTGAGGTCTTGGAGTGAGCCGGCGCCGGCGGTGGGGAAGGCGCCCGCGACGAAGGCGAAGAGCAAGTGAGGTGGTGTAGACTGTTGGGCGCAACGTAATGGCATGCCCCATCCCGATACTCCTTTATATATATGTGCATATTCATAGACCACAAATCTCCTCAATGCATCTTGACTCGTTTATCTTGAACAAAGTGCTGACGTATGATACGGGCATACCGATACGGGAAGGGGGCTCTCCCGGGAAGATAGCATATAATTGTTCTTCCCAAGCCATGCGAAATCCATTGCATCATTAGCACACATACGTACAATACGAGGGGCACATCGCATATATCCATGCGGCATCGTACACATACGTACCCTACCCACTCCCCATCCATCACGTCGCATCCACACATCATTATATACACTCCAAGTTCACCCAAAGTACATCCCATAAATTCCCAAAAATGTTGTTTCACCCTCGCATCCCTGGTCCAACAGGTAGCGGTTCACGCCTCTTCCTCCCCCGCCTCCTCTTCCCCCTGCCCATCCTCCTCTCCCGTCCCTCCCTCATCCCTACCTTCCTCCTCATCCCCACCTCCCTCCCCACCTTCCCCTTCATCCCCCTCCCCCTTCCCCTGCACGCCCACAGGCGTCTTAAAAACCAACGGACTCCACCTCAACAACTCCGGCTTAACCCTCGGCAGCGTCTCCGCGACCTGATCGGCCTTCTCGACGTACTCCAGCAACGCGGCGCGCGGGTATAGGAGGACGTAGTCGCCGTGTGCGTTTTTGGCTAGGAGGTGGAGGAGGTAGAGGGTGTGGATGACGTCCGAGGGTGTCATGGATAGGGTTGTGCTTAGGTCTGTGTGCGGAACGGATGAGGTGATGAGTTTGTTTTCGTGTACATGTGCAAACCCTCCAAGATGCATAAGTAAGCCCACCTTCTATAGTAACCCCCTCCTTCCCTCCCTCCCTGGCCTCGACCAATGCCCTAACAACACTCCGCCTCCAATACCGGCGATACGTCAACAACCCCAGATCCGAGAGCGGTTTCTCGGGCGACCCCGTGCGCCCTTCGCGGCGGGAGAGGAGGTAGCTGAACTCGATGAGCAGGCCGCCGTAGCCTTTTCGCTGGCAGATGGGGAGGGTGACGATGCAAGAGAGGTTCCAGTTTGCTGAGGAGCGTTTTTCCTGTACAAAAGAGAGAGATGTGGATGAGTGATGAGCTATATGAGCGCGTGGAAGGATGGGGTGTGATGCTACCGTACCTTTGAGAAATACCCCACGAAATGACACCCGCGCTCATCATTCTCCGTCAAGATATAGAACAGAAACGGTTCGACGTCGTAATACAGCGTCTTGTGGTCCAGGAACATTTTGGCTACGAGACATAGGTTTTGACAGTATATCTACAGTTGTGCAGTGAGTGGGTGAGAAGTTCTTGCATTAGAGGCAATACCGTGGGAAAAATACGATACCTTGTTTCGTCGGCCGTCGACTTCGAAGATGGAGAGTTTGCCGTCGCGGTAGATCTCGTCGCCTGGTGGATGGCGCAGTGGGCATTTGGCCTAAGATTCAGGATCAGTCATGAAGCCCTGCATCTCAAAGCCTCACTCGAAACACACTCGCAAAACAAACCTTATGCCGTCCCGCAACGTATTTACTCTTCATATACTTGAAGCAATACTCGCATATGTACAGCAAGGGCTGACCATTGTACTCTTCCGGGTACGGTGCGCTGTACCATGTTTCGATCTCGTAGGAACCCAGCTGCACGGCCTTGATTTTAGGGATCGTGAACGTGCCGTGTGGGTCGTAGTGGGAGTTGGTGATGGCCGGGCTGGAATCGTGGTCTTGGGTGCCGTCTGGCGGATTGAGATGGGCGGCGGCTGCGGCTGCGGCTTTTGCTATTTGCTCCTGGGACACCAAGAAGACGGATTAGATATCGACAAGTCATCACATCTCTTTTATGTCTGCAAGGCCCTCACCTCAGCCTCCGCCATAGCCTTCTTGTACATAGCCCGATCCGCGGGCCCCGGCGTGCAAGTGGAGATATCAGCATCTTCCTCACTAAGCTTCCCACCAAACGGCACGGGTTTCGGTGGCGGTTCCTCCGGCTCCTCATGGTCGCTCGCCGACTTATTGCCACCCCGCTTCTCCTTTTGGTGCGTTTTAGGTCTTTTGTACACGAGAGAGATGCGCGGCTTCTTCTTCGTTGGTTCGGGTGTCGGGCCTACGTTCGGCGTTTTGTCGACGTCTGACGCGTCCGGCTTGTGCTTCGCAGGTCTGCCCCGTTTTTTCGGTGGTGGTGCTGGCATGCTGGTGTTTAGGATTGATTGGTGGATTGGACAGTCCCCTAGTGATGTGTGCGAGGCGGCCTGCGGATCGTGAGCATGCCCTTTGCCGATGCAGCCTTCCTGCGGGCATCGTGCCTTGAGTGCTTTGATGGTGATATGAGGCGTGATATGCTTCTGCTGCGAGCCTTTCCGTGACGACCCGTGTCCCGTGCAAAATTTACATTTCCATGAAGCTGCGTTGAAAAAGAAAATTGAGCGGTCGTCCATTGCGAGGGAACATAAGGATCACATCAAAACACACCTTCTGGCACCTCCTTCAACCCAGCGCAATAAGTATGCGCTGCCCGGTCACACCCATCACAGAACACCATGTTGGCATCATCGTTATTTTTTTGACATTCCATGCACCGCTTGCATTCCTTGCATTCCCACTTGTAAGAGTCAAAATTCTTATCTTGCAGGTCCTCGCACGTCGGGTGGACTGTACGTGTGGAAGGTCTGCGTGAGCCTTTCGTTCGGTTTGACAGACATGAGCCATAACAACATATATACCACTCAGGTGACATGAAGAGCATGCGAGCAGTGCTTCCGGGACGCTCTCCCTGTTGGCTTGACTAGTCCCACCGCACGTTTCGCAGAAAGGACTGTGGGGTGGGAGTTGTAGTTCAGCGTGTCAGTGAGTCCGTCTTAAGTGCATTTTCCGGCAAATCCTGTATTTCTCCCTCCCTTACCTTGCCTTTTCTTCATTGCTGTCACTGTCCACGCTCTGTACCCAATGGAACCCAAAGCATCGTCAGCACATATGGAACGCGTGAAGCACCAAAGGCGACCTTGCCCCAAAGCCATTGTGAAAAACCTAAATATTCTCGGGGAAGAAACCCTCCAATAAAACCCACCGTTGTTCTGAGGACAACCTTCCTGGCCGAGCGCCGTGGTCTAGGACTAGAAGACGGTGACAACTCGTCGGCGGCAGCGTCCGCATCACCGTCGTCCGAGTCGTGATCTTTTGAAGTTGGGGTGGTTGTTGCTCCTTTTGCTTGCGACCGACGGGTAACTCGCGGACTGCTCGTGGTCATTGGCGTCTTAGCGAATTGCAGCGATATGTTCCTTTCCCTCTCTCGGGCTCCCTCGGTTGTTGTAATTGGAGGTGTCGCTGTTCTGGGCGCAGTTTTCCGTCAATAGTGAATGATTCCAATGACTTGTGACTGTAGTGTGCAGTCTGTAAGGAGCGACGGTAGACAGTAGCAACACAGGCCAACTCTTGCTTGCTGCTCCTGGGGTCTGCTTGCAGGTGCAATCGTGTGTCTGTCTGTGTGTCGCTATGCGGAAAGCGGCTTTCCCAGCGTTCGCACGCTGGTTCGCACGGTGTCCCTCCGTCCTGCGTCTGTCCGAAGGGCGTCTTTCCCCCAACGCGTTTTTCGGCCGAGGAACACCTGGAACACACCGACATTGGGAGGCGCCCTCCAGCCGACACCACCCACAACAGAACGCTCCGGCAACAGGCACGCAGGATGGTGGCAAAGCGCAAGGCAATCGGTGAGAAGGTACGTCGCACTCTTTCTCTCGAAACCGCCTAGAGAAGGCAGCCGATCTCGCGTGTTCCTCGCGTCTCGTTCGCACTCCATCGTGCGATAGAAAAAAGAGAGAAATCCTTGAACTGACTCGAATGGAATGTCAAATAGGCAGCACAGCCGTCGTTGAAAGCAGCAGCAGACGTCCTGACCGCAAAGTCGCAACAGACAAGCACGCGGAACCGCACCACCACCACGGCAGCAGCAAAAGAAGCAGTCTCGCCACCTCGCGAAGCGCCCCGCTCGCCCTCTCGCAAACGGCAGAGAACCAAGCCAAAGGACTTCTGGATAGCGGGTGCCGTTTCGGTTGCAGATGATGACAACACGAGACCTGTGGTTGCTGCTCCTGCGGGTCGGAAGCAGACGGAGAAGAATAAGAAGGGATTGACCGTTGCTGCTCAGAAGAACGTTTTGGTTGAGGATCAGTCTGAGGATGAACTTTTGAACCGTGGTTAGCGACATCTCAGCATGGCGGTATTTTGATTTGAGAGCTGCTGTCTGACATTCAACTCTGATTCCCACAGCCCCAGTCGCCAAAATACAAAAGACCACCACTGCTCAAAGGAAACCGAAAACGGCAGCAGCAAAGATACCGGAAAGCGAATCCGAGGAAGAACAACCAGAGACAGAACTAGAAGCACCCAAGCCGAAATCGAAAAAAGCCTCCGCATCAAAGGCAAAACTGAAACCCGCAGCAGCTACAGCCCCCGCAAAGAAGAAAGCACTAGAAGATGCCTCGGAGAACGAGATCCTAACAGATGTGGAAAAGCCGGTCACAAACGCGCCGAAGAAGTTAGCAGTGCGAAAATCATCCAAAGGACGAAGCACTTCTAGGGGACGAAGCGCATCCGCAGCCCCAAGCTCGACTGACGATCTCGTTGGAACTCCCGAGACGCCCGCCGAAACGCCTGAGGAGACCGACGACCTCGAAAACACTCCTCAGATACAAGACGAGGTGTCCCACGAGATGGAGACTGAAGTCCGGCCGGCGAAGAACCAGCGTAAGACTACTGCTGCAGTTCCAGGATCCCAGGAGATGGAGACGGAAGTCCGGCCGGTGAGGAACCAGCGTAAAAATACTGCTGCAGTCCCGGAACCCAGCTCAGAAGACGAGGTGACCGACCGGCCGCCGAGGAACCAGCGCAAGACTGCTGCTGCTGCAGTCCCGGAAACCAGGCCGCTGGTGGCAGCGGCTCCTCCTATCCGAACTCGGTCGCTTAGCCGAAGGGAGGAACGGAGTGTGACTTCTGAGGAGTATCGTAAGGTGAGGCGCGGCAATTCACTTACACATCGACCAACACGCCTTAGATATTCCCTGGAGCTGACTGATTTGCCACCCGAGTGTAGATCAGAGACCTGTACGAAGAGTTGCAAAAGTCCTACCAAACGCTCTACGATGTGGGCGTCCAGGAGGGTATCACCCGTTTCAACGAGTATAAGCGCACCGCCGAGGAAAAGTTCCAGGGTGCGTTCTCAATCCACTACCCCTGACCATCAACATCAGACCTCATGCGATTCGCAAACTTACTCCAACTCTACTTTGTCATTAGCCTACGAGACATGGAACACGAAACTCCAAGAACAAGTCGACACCCTCTCCGAATCTGCCCAAACGGACGCCGTGGCCCACAAGGCGGTGAAGAAACAACTTGAGGAGACTAGGAAGGAGCTGAAGGAGGCGCAGAAGGCGATTCAGAGGCGGGAGAAGGATGACGCGGATGGAAAGTCGAAGAAGGCGGGTGGGGATGCAGTACCGGTGCCGGTGGAGGACAGCGCAGGGATGGCTGCGAAGACCGCGGTTGTGAATGGGGAGGCGGAACTGGTGAAGAAGTTGAAGGCGGAGGTGGAGATGAGGAAGGGTAGGGAGAAGGAGCTTATGGGTGAGGTAAAGTCGCTCAAGGAGAAGAGTAAGTTCAACACCATTCGGGGCGATGCACAGTCGATAGAGCACACCACTAACATCCACCACCCCCTCTCCCCACCCAGTACCAGCTTTAATCCAAACCCACGAACAAACCAAATCCCACCTCATCACCACGCACGCCCAACAACGCAAACAAGACCTCGCCACCATCCATCGCCTCCAGCAGCACGACCGGTACCTCGTCACCGTCGAGCGCATGGTGCGCATGTACGAGAACCTCACGGGCCTGACCATCCAGGCCGTCGAGGAGGGGAAGAGGCTGTGGAGTGTGGATGAGGAGGCGTTTGTGCTTGGGGAGCAACGCGAGGATGACGAGGAGGTGGAGGCGGTCGAGGTGCCGGTTGTGGTGTTTAGGTGTAGGCAGAAGGGGAGGAATGCTGGTATGTGGACCTATCTTATCGTGTGTGTGTGCGCGCGCGAGACCAGCGCCCCATAAGCTAACAACTTCATTTACCCAGCCATCGACTACACCCTAACGATCCCCGACCAACCCAGCACCCTCCCGCCAAGCCCTAAAAAGGCCCATCCCCAACCGAAAGCGATGGTCTACGACCCCGTCGTGCGTCCATCAGCACCTCAACAGCAACTTCCAGATTTTTTGATGCAGCCGTTGGGCTTTGAGCAGGAGGCTTGTGGGTTCTTGTTTTACAAGATTATGGATTGTTTGAATTGTGAGGGGGATGAGAGTGGGGAGGAGGAATTGGAAGGCGAGAGTGATTGAGCCTGCTCCTTGGTTGCAGTGATGGGTTCCGTGGAGGAGGTGTTGATGGAATCCCCAGCTGGGGAGGGATGCGACCCGTGGTTTTGACCGGACGTGGATCGGGCGGGGTACGGAAGCTGAGCAAGATGGAGGGCTGGGGTGTACGATATGGAAGAAGTGTGAGAGATAGACCTGGGTATTGAATAATGAATGTACATGAGGAATACACGTCGAGAGTTGCATAGTGCTCCGAGAGGAAAAACAGCGAGAGGAGGGGGGTGTGTGAGGGGACGCGTGCGACGATGCTGCAAGGCTCACGCGTTGACGGCGGGGACTTCCCTCGTTCCGCCCTCGATAATAACGCACCAATCCACCGACATCAACTTCCTCATCGACAGAGGCATCCCAGCAAGACTCAACTCGATATGTCCGCCCAACCTTTCACCCGCCTAGAATACTCCGTCGCCGACGGTATCGGTACGTTCAAATATTTCAGCGGTGTGAAAATGGCCGTATGCCCTGTGGTTCCGGGTATCACCCCATCGTCCCTGGTTCGACGAAAGACAGCAAGGGGGAGGGAGATACCACAATCAACCGCCTGACAAGAAACGCAAGGAAGAGCTAACACCTAATTGTAACTTGTTTGTCGAACACTCATCCAGCCACGATCGCGTTCAACACGCCCAAAAGCCTGAACGCCATCGCCAAGGACTTTTATTATGAGTTGCCGGCTGCGTTGAAGAGGGCAGGTGCGTGGGGTCCGAGGGAGAATGAGGGGGAAGGGGGGGGGACTGAGGGCAGATTGAGCTGATGTTTCGATGTGTTTGTGGTGGAATAGAGGAGGATGAGAAGGTGGTTGTGACGCTGATTACTGCTTATGGGCGGTATTTCAGTAGGTATGTAGGGGAGGTGTCCGACTGCGGTTTTACTGCAATCATCTTTCACTCTCCGACGACATCCCATGTCCATCGCTCATTCACCCGTCTTCGTCCACCTCTCAGCGGCCAAGACGTAACAGAACAGCCCGTGGAACTTCCCCCGGCTCAAAGCGACGCAGACGCCACCCGCGCCTACTACCGCCGCCGCTTCGACGGCTCCGTCGGCCGCATAGCATTGGCGATGGCCGCACACCCCAAAGTTCTGGTCGTTGGGCTCAATGGGCCTGTTGTTGGTGTTGCTGCCGGTGCGTGCATTATCGGCAGTTCGCTTTAGTTCCAAACCACTCAGTTCTCATTACACATCTGTTTATGGATTTAGCGATGATAAGCCACGCGGATCTGATATACGTATCCGACACGGCGACGCTGCATGCACCATTCACGGCACTGGCCATCTCGCCCGAGGCGGGGTCGTCGTTTATGTTTGTGAGGAGGATGGGGGTGGCGAAGGCTATGGAGGCTTTGGTAATGTGCATCATATCGGTTTTGGGGCCGAGGAATATCGCGGGGTGTCGTGAGCGAGGTTCTTTTTTTGGGGAAATGTGACTAACAATCACGCTTTGTGACAGCTCCTCTCGAAAAAGTTTACACCCCATGAACTCGTCACCTGCGGATTCGCCAAGTAAGCCGCACCCACTCACACACATCCTCATCCTTGTTCCCCAACTCTCACATATTCCCCACACCAGCGCAATCCTCCCAACCACCGATTTCCACGCCACCCTCCGCACGGCCCTACTCGCGACCCTGGCCAATGTCTCGCCGGCGTCGTTGAGGGTTACAAAAGCGCTTGTGAGGGGTGCATATGGGGTATGTTTTTGTGATTCCCTTGTGAACGTTCCACACTGGTTGTGTTGGGGCACGCGATGTGACGGACCCGATTCCATTTTTTCCTCATGATCTCCTACGTTTGGATACAGGCCGAAGCCGAGCGTAATATCCACGAAGAAGTCGCTGCGTTGACTGAACGGTACAGTATTACCCGAATCGCCCGCTTTCTGGTTTCATCCATTACATGGGATTTCACATGCCCGCCACTACGAAATAAAAGAATTGATCCGTTCCCCTCCACATCTAGATTCGTCTCGGGCGCCCCGCAAAAGGTATTCGCAGGCTTGGCCACGCAGTTCGGGAAAAAGAACAAGTTGTGAGGAGTGGACGCGTATCCTACATGACAGGGAAGGCGTATGTGGGGAGCGACATGATTTCCAGGTGTGGTAGGGATAGGACAGTAGTCTATGTAGCCTTTCAGACCTTTTGTGGTTGGTGTTGATGTATATAGCAATGCCTTGATGGGACGCTGTGGGCTCTCCGTATCTGTACGTTGAAAGATTAATTTGGACATCGACGGTGTTTCGACAGCGCGAAGGCATACTTTCCGACCGTCAAACGCGTCCGATCTCAGTTGAACTCGGGCATCCGAGGGCACGCCCTTACTTTCTATTCCTGCGAAGAGCAATACATACGCAGTCATGGCCGCCATTGCAGCAGCCAATCTTTCCCATAATTCGATCCCCGAGGACACGGAGGAGGAGGAGGAGGAGGTAGAGAGGCCGAATGTCGCTGTGCGGCCCCTCACTGTGTCGTCGGTGAAGCGGCCAGGATTGAGACTCATTGAGGGGCAGGCTTTTGCGTAGTAGGTTTGTCCGGCATTTTCTGTGGTTTAAAGAACCCCTGAACAACAATCACTCTAAATCTCATCAATCTTATTCAACTCAAAGCAATGAAGAAGGCCTCGCCCTCCTCGCCCAAGGCAAAACCCTCAACTCCAACCCCACCCTCGCCCTCTCCCTCGCCAAATTCGACCGCGCAATCCAACTCCTCCCCACCGAACCCACCTTTTTCAACAACCGCGCCGAAGCCCACATCGCCCTCTGCGATTTCGAGTCCGCCATCGCCAATTTCCGGCACCACATCGCTCTCGCCGACGCCGTGGCTACCAAGTCGTCACCCACGAGGTCGATGGCGGCCAGCCCGATGAGCAGTTCCACGCGGCCGGCGACGAGAGCGAATGGAGATGTGGGCGTGCATGCGTCGGTCTTTGTGCTGACGAGGAAGCTGGCCCCGATTGCGTATACATGGGGCAACTGCTTGTTTGATATGAAGCGGTTTGAGGAGGCGTTGAGGATGTTTGAGTATGCGATGGGGATTGGGATGCGGGCTGAGGCTGTTTTGCTCAAATGGTGGGTTTTTTGTGGATAATATCTACCCTTTCGTGCCCTCGGGGCAAAACCTGCATCATTGACGCTGGAACGGGATGTCGCAGTGCATTGGCGTACATAGGTCTAGACCAGCTCGACGCCGCCCTCGAGATCCTCTACAAGCTCACAGAAGCTCCCAACCCCAACATCGAGCTCTACATCGTCCGCGCCAAGATCTATCGTCATCTCGGAAACGTGCGTCGCCTCTCCCATACCCCCATGCCCTACTCCCCACGCACTCATCCCTCTCACCCCCTAGGTCGAATTCACAAACATAGACCTCCAACGCGCCCTCCTCGTCGACCCGACCCACCCGGAACTCGCGCCCCTGCTGACCTACACACTCAGCAAAGCGGTGGATTATAAGAACTTTGCGTGGCATGAGACGATGAAGGGGCATCCATTGGCGGCGATACAGTATTTGACGCATGCGTTGGATTTGGATGAGGGGGATGTGGCGGTCTATAAGCAGAGGTGGGCTATGATACACTGGACGGTTATGTAACTCCCAGGATAGGGTTCCTGATGTTTCGGATCTGTTTAGAGGGATACTACTGGCAGAAAGCGGCCAATACGAAGGTGCTATCCAAGACCTCGAAAAAGTGCTTTCGGTCACTTCACCGGCTGATGTGGGCACCGTGGCGGAAGTTCGGAGCTGCTTGGCGGGGGTTTACGTCGATATTGGGTTGATTGCATACCAGTAAGTTCTCTGCAATTGGTGGACGTGGGGATATCGGTGCTGAGAAACACGGGCGACGATAGGAAGGGGGAGCTCCAGGCTGCGATTACCTCGTTTACGGAAGCGTTGGGGTATAGTCCTGACAATCCCATTATTCTCAAGAACCGGGCGGGTATGTATCTGAATCTGATCCCGCCTCCCCTTCTTGTCCACCACCTCCCCTTCCGCTCCCACTCTCCCTCCCGCCACTGACCAACCCCCCTCCCTTATTTTCCACAGACTGCCACCAAGCCCTCGGCCACATATCCGCGGCAATAACCGACCTCGCCCACGCACTCGAAATTGACCCAGACGACGACGCCTGCCGCGAGCGGTGCGCGCTGCTGTGGGCGATTGTCGCGGACCATGCGAGTGTGGATGCTGGTGCGGGCGGGGAGTGGAGGAAGGCGGTTGAGTTGTGGGGGATGGTATGTCTACGGCGCTTCGGCTGGGTGGGGTTGATGGATGGAGATCTTGATTGCTGTCTCTGTCTTTCTCGATGTAGGCTCTGCAATATGATCCGCTATGCGCCGAGTACTTTTTCCGAAGAGCCAGGGTGTATTACCGTAATCAGGTGCGTTGTTAACCCCCTACCCTAAGCTTCGCTCCACTCCACCACCTACCTACATCTCCACCCCCCTCCCTCCCCTTTCTTCAGAAAATAAACGAAGCCTACACCGACCTCCTCTCCGCGCGCGCCCTGGATCCCACCAACGTCGAGATCTACGCGATGGTGTGTGAACTCCAGGGCGGGCCGCAGTTGGCGTCGTTGCAGCCGTTTGCGGCGCCGGGGGTCGTCAAGAGAGTGGGTGGGAATTGGGTCGGTGGGGGTGTTGGGGTGGTTAAAGGTATGGTGGTTCGTGGGATGTTGATCTGCAAGGTGCGTCGGGAGTTCCTGATGTCTGGTTGGCTGTTGGATAGGTAAACGAGGTAGCACCCCACCCGCCAAAGCCGGCGCGTCTGCCACTACATCAGTTGCTTCCAGCCCGGCCTCCACAACCACAATCCGCATCCCAGCCTCCAGCCACGACCACGTCCTCTCCCTTCCGCCGCTTTCTCTCCCGAAACTCTCGGTTAAGGAAGGCGGCGAGCATCCCTATCAGAGTAGCAGGAGAGGGGTGGAGGTGGGGAAGAAGAAGGAGGGGGAGGGGAAGGGGAAGGAGGGAGGGATGAAGAAGAGGGAGGAAGATGAGGCGGTGGAGAAGTTGAGGCCGATGTTGCATAGGGTGGCGTTGGAGTTGGATGTTTGAGATGTTTCGATGAGTGATTGCGATTTGGTACGGCTCCGATATCCAGTTTCTTCTCAGTCGCATCGCCAGATTTCGATATGGACGGCACCGAGCAATGGATTTTGGGAGAGAAGCATGCTGTGAGACGACGATATCATAGGTTGCTATTTGCTACCCACATAATATCTCGAATGGGAACTATTAGGAGAACTACAATATACAGACATAGCGAATAGCATATCCAATCTTCATCGCCCCGGAACAAAGGCATCCCGGACCTACGCATGAGACAGATGCGCCATCCTCCGAGCTACACGTAACGCCTCGCAAGCTCACGAAACACACAATTCTGCGGCTTCAACGAATGTGTTTCCATACGCTACGTAGGCTTGGGGGCCTAAGAAGGGCCGATCTGCTCTTGACACGACACTCTTTGAGCACTGCGCCGCCTTGCAGCGAGGAAATCGGGCCACGAAGCGGGATGGAGGAATAAGGTGAATATCAGCGCATCTTTGTTTTCATGGAGATGGGTGGAGAGAGCCGAGACACCGGACCGACGGGATCGCGCTGTCGAATTTCAATGGGAATTGACCTGTCAACTAGCCGGGTGAACGTCTCTCCTGCCTACATAAAAATTTGAGGTTAGCGACAGCGTTCTTGATCTGTCCTTGCGTCGTGGCGACCGCGGACATCAGGGTGGCCACCCATATTCATAAGATCTAGATCTGGGCTAAATCAGTCGTCGAAGTTCAACTTGGTAACAATCAGCCATACAGGGATAATCCCCTCTCCACATTCGTTTGGGTACAGATACACACCTTACTCTACATAAAACCATTTACATACTGCACAACGACCCTGCCAGGCAGAAAAACAAGAGAAGAATGTTCAAGAATACACAACCATCGGTGGCTACAAATCGCTGAGCACTAAGGAAAAGCGTCTCACGCAGGGGGCCCTCATCCTCGCTCGCGAAGAAAGTCCATCCCAATGTCCCATTTGCCTAAAACCGATACGCCCCATCCCCAACCACACTCATCCTCCACCCTTTCTTCTCCTCCCTCGTCGCCCTCGCATTGCCCCCTCCCCCGTCTCCCACATCCCCCCTCGGCACCGGCGGCCTCACCCACACCAGCAGCGGGCCCCAATCCGCCTTCACCCTTGGGACCACCTGCCCCTCCCCATCCGCATCCTGATCTCCCACATGGCTCGCATCCGGCACATCAACATACCCATGCTCCTTATAAAACCCCTCCGTATGCCACAGAGACCAGACCTGGACAGTCTGGATGCGCGGCAGGCGATGCAGTTCCTGGATGAGGCGGCGGGAGAAGCCGCGGCCTTCGTAGAGATTGTTCACGTAGAGTTTGTCGATGCAGATGTGGGTTGGATCTGTTAGGGGGTGGAAATACTGATAAAAAAAACATAACGACATGCGACGTGAAATGTTAGTGAGACAATGTCATCCAGCGGTTCCGACTGGGATCATAGCTTTACCTCGATAAACCCAACCAAATCCCTCGTCCCCAAATTCGCACTGTCGCGATTCCGCCCCGTCTCCGCCCTCCAATACGACAATATATGGTGGTCGTTCTCCTCATCCGGTCCCACTCGCGGGAACACGATCCCATCGTCATCATCCTCATCTTCCGTTCCATCCGTGTCATCGGAGGGGATATGTGAATCGGCCTTTTCTTTTTTGGAGGAGTGTGCGGCTGATCGGAGGAGATCGCGGCAGATCCGGATGAAGTGCTCGTCGCCTTGGCGAAGGTGGCGGACGGCGATTTTGGGTTCGGGGGTTGGTGGCATTGGTGGAGGAAGGGCGGCGTGTTGTTGTTGTTGGGAATGTGGAGGATGGTGTTGGGGGTGCGGCTGGGCGTGTTGGTGCTGGTGTTGCGGGTATGAGTGTGCGTGCGCGTGCGTTGGGTGTTGGTAGGAGCTTGGGTATTGCTGGTGGGATGGGGAGCTGTGGATGGGGGAGACGAGACTTGAGAGCGAGTTTTTGCGCTCTGAGTGCGAGTAGCCTGCATAACCCCAAACCACACATGTCAGCAAATCCTCAGCGCCTCTCAAAGATCATCAGAGGAAATTCTTACGTCGCTCAAGCGTCGGCGCCGTCGAACTCCCCCCATGCCACGACAACCGCGACCCCGGCTCCTGCGGCATCTCCTCCCCCTGCGCATTCGGACTCAACGAGTACCGCAACGACCCGTGTCTCGACAACTGCGGCAGCGGCTTCCGTTGCTGCAACCCCAAATCCGGCTTGGAGAAATTAGAATGTGTGTAGAACGCGTTGTTAACGGCGGCATTCAGACTTCCATTGCTGGAGTGCGTTTGCAGCTGTTGCTGCGGATGTGGGTATCGTTGCGTGGTATGCACGCCAGCTCCAGCTGAAGAATCGCTCATCGCGTCGACATCGGACATCAAGACCTCGTCATCACCCGTTTCTGCCGCGTCATCGCTCAGGTAATACTGCATCTTGTACTCGCCGAGGGTATCATCTTTCTTCGCGGCGGCATCGCTTTTGGTCTTTTTCCGGCCGAACCCTAACCGCCTTGCGACCCTCCTGAGACCCATGTACACGATCTTTGTCGAGTAGAAACAGACGGTGGCGGACGTGACGATGGGTACGGCGGCTACAGCGGCTAGCGGAAAGAAGAGGAGGGAGACGGGGACGGCGAAGAAGGCGGTGACGAGGAAGACGCCGAATATCCATGTTACGAAGATGTGCGAGAGATGGAGGGATTGGTTCTGTTGTGCGTCCTCATCCACTTCTGCCATATTGTCGGGGCCTGTGGTTTGCGTGGGATGTATGTGAGATGGACGATATGTGACACACATAAGTATGGGATGTTCTGATGTCTACATTCGAAACCGGATGCTCCAAGAGGACTCTTGCGCGGGAGAGTCCCCTCACGATAGAATCAGCCGCTCTGGCTGCCCTCTGTTTTCCCCTCCAATCCTCCTCTCCCGTACCGCTTTTCGCGCTTGCCACGATGTCGCCCCAACCCCCCTTCACCCGACCGCAACATCCACCACATGCGCTTACCATTCTCACCCATAAACATCCCCGCACTCCGCTCATCACCCTTCAGCGCCGCTGGAAGTTCCAACGGCTCCGTCGACGGCGAAGCGTCCGGGGACGGGAGGGAGGCCGGGCCGGCCTCGAATGGCATCACCCTTTACTCGAAGTGGTTATGTCGAAGTTGGTAGGTGTGGTAGAGAGGTTGGTTTTCTATCTACGATTCCCTAGTGGGCGCCAGCGCCTGGTGTCTAGGTAGATGCCCTTGCGGTCTGTGGTGCCGATATACGGCCGGCGGGATTGCAAGACGTCGGGAGTGGAACGTACGCGCTGAATAACGACCGGTGAGAAGACTTTGAACGATGGCTGCTCGCTCTACGTCCAGTACAGAGTATACGGGAACCAAGCGCTACTACGTATGCAGACAGTCCTGTTAGGACGCTGAAGGGACAGCTGCTGCCGGAGAAGACGCTGACGACAACGAGTGAGTTCAGGGCCCTGTTGTGGGTGGTGGCCGCGTGATGGCTGTGAATTTGAACGTCATGTCGGTGGAAGGCGACGTTCCACAACACACATGGCCCTGACTTTACGCGCACAACAGCCTGCTGCCCACATCGATTCATTGTTTGACAGGCCTGCCGTCAGAGCATCCTCCGAGCAAAGATGTCAGGGAATCAAAGAAAAGAAAAGGTAGGTATCGGATAGTGAAATTGTGAGCAACTATATGTGTATCAGATATCGAAGACGCATCAGGAAGTTTCTCTGTCTGTCTGTTTGTCTTTTGTGTCTGCCTAGCCCTACGTCTATCCTAAATGGGAAACAGCCTAAACGTAGTAATCTACGGACGATCGTACGCACTCGGGTTCCTTGCGGGTCAGCATTTTTTCTCTCAGTGTTTCATCGCAATCGCGAAACGCAGTTCATCGCTTCCTCATGGGACTCCAAAAGTTCCTCGCAAAGTTCGACGCCCCAGTCGACGTCGCCTGCTGCACCACCACGCCCAACAGCATCGGCAACGGCGACATCCCCCTCACGACCCGCGGGCTCATCTTCGGGCTTGCAGTCGGCATCCTCGCCGTCGGCGATGTCGGCGACGTCACGCGGTGCGCCAACGACGCCGGCGGCGTCCCTGGTCGCTGTGGGCTCACAGGGGAAAGATGCGACGACGACCGAAACACAGGCGCGGACGAACTCCGCGGCCGACTCGCATTCGTCACATTCCGCAACTGTGTATTGATCGCAAACTGCTTCCGCGCGATCCTTGCAGTGGTCTCGCTCACACGCTGCGTCTGCTGCTGCTCCGTCGTGAAATGCTCCCGCACGCTCGCATACACCTTATCCGGGCCCTCCACCGCCTCAATCCTCACAAGATTCGCTTGCGGGACCGGAGTCGCCCTGGTCCCTGCCAAGACCCCACCCTGCCGATAAAACTCAACAACACTCGGCGTCTCCACCGCGTGCAAGCGCAACCGCTCCTCAATCACCGCTTCGGTATCGTCCCCCCTGCCGCGGGCACCTAATCTTGCACGCAACATCTCCGGCGGCGCGTCGAAGAACACCACCGTCCGCGGTGCACCCACACACTCCTCAAACAGTTTTGCCTGTGCTAACGTGCGCGGGAACCCGTCCAGTAGTATCCCCTTCCCTGCATTCCCCGCACGTACGATATCTTTCACGGCCGCCTGTAACACCCCGACGACGATGGGATCAGGCACAAGCCTTCCCCGGGAAATAAGCCCCTCGATCTGCCCCCCGAGCTCGGTCCCGCTTGCGACCTGCTGCCGTAACAGCTCCCCAGTGCTCAAATGCGCCATACCGAACTCGGTCGCGAGACGCGTGCTTTGAGTTCCTTTGCCTGAACCGGGGCCGCCGAGAACTAGAGTTATCTCTGGGCATTGAGTTTGAGTTTGGGACGCGCTTTTGGGTTGTGGTGTTGCCGGTTCCGATACCGGTTGCTGGGTGTTGGGCTTCACGTTCGGGCGGACGGTCCACTGGGCCACGTCGATGGGCAGCGACGCGGATGTGGAAGCGAGGCGGGTATGCGAGGGTCTGGTGAGCATCTTTCTGTAGATTGTAAATTCTGTTATGAAAAACTTGGTGGAGTGGTCTTGTTCGAAAAGTCAACTGATGGAGAGAGTAAAATGCGAGCGAGGTCAAGCGGTGTCGGAAGGGGATTCACATGCACATCCACCTGATGTAGAGCGGAGAACCTACGCATGGCAGGTGCTGGCCTGGAGGGTCCAAAATAGGCCGACCTTGTTGACCTGGATGGGCCTTGGCAAAGCACCGTGAGCCGAATTTAGAAAGGCAAGAAAGCCGAACGCGTCAACAAACGCGTAAGGCAGAATCATACAAAAACAGAGCGGCAACAAGCTGGCGACGACTGATGAGACGCTAGGAAGAAATCTGGGGATTCAAAATATGCCAAAACAGAGGCAGGGTGCAAAAGCAAACAGAAAAACAAAAATGGGTGGTTTGGGCCAATAAAGCGGATCGAATTTGAAGAAAGCGTTGAGTGAGGCCCCTACGTCACGTGATACTCTCGGGTGTTCTGGCGCGTTTCCCCTTACATAATCGGGCGGATGCTGTTGCAGGCTTCCCTGCGTCCTCAATAAGCAAAAAGCCATGGCGGCCAGAGGAGTTAAAACTGTACCTATGAGAGTGCCCGGATAAAGGCAGATTCCATAAGCGAAAATGACCGGTGCTAGGCCCGGCCGTAGCCAACTCGGTGTGAAATAGTGCATCAGCAAACGGAGTGGTTGGATTGTAGAGTATAAGAGCAGCATGTAGCCCGGTCTTCCGGGAACCAGCAAGATATTTCACAGGGACATCAATCTGGCGCTTCATAGTGCATGTACACAAATAGGAGATCACCGCAATGCATCTTCCATCCTCCATCCAGAACCTCGCACTACTGGCCTACCTCTCCAACCTCCTTGCCCCGGTGCATGCCATCCCAGTCCTAGATCGACGCATCGACGCCGCCAAAGAGTCTCTCGACACCTCCGCATCGCCCAAATGCCGCATCGGCGGCTGCCACCGCGAACGCTGCATCAAAACCGACTCGCCGGACATCAAGGTAGAGGAACACGTATCGGGATCGAAGCGTGAGGAAAGCGAGAACTGCGATGGAAATATCGAACCTTCAACGGCGAGATGCTTTGAGAACGTGGAGTGTCGGTATAATGAGGACCGTAACGAGTGTGGATGGGCGGAGAGCGAGGCGTTGAGGACATGTTTGCAGGCGGCAGCAGTGATTCATCCTGAGCCGTCTAAATCAGAAGCGGAAGAAGAAAAAGAAGAGAAACCAAAGCCGGAAGATGGCGGTAAAGAAAAGACCGACAATTCCAAGAAGGAGGCGGGACAGTCTGAGAAATCTGACAAAAAGACGCCACAAAGGCAACGCAAGCCCGACGACAATCAAACCGAGTGGGAGTCTTATGTCGAAGGGGAAGAAGGCGTAGACAGTGTGGCGGAAGTGGACACGACGCTGCCGCCCAAAGACATCAAATGGGATTACGACACTGGCAAGGAAAAGGTCGAACAGGGAAGGCAGCCATGGCGGTCCCAGGTTTTGGAGAACGTCAAGGACGAAGGCATGCGAGATGAGGCCAAGAACAAGGACAATGGCGACGAGACTCCCGAAAAGAACGTCTCCGCCAGTCCCTCAGCCACATCCGCCAACATATACAACCACGCCGTCCCCGCCTCCGACTCAGTCCCCGAGCCCGACACACCTCCCACCGACGACGACTCCCCCCGGCACAACAAAGCTCTTTCCGACTACAACCCTGCTCTCTCCGTCCTCAAATCCGACGCCACGACCCGTCGCATCGCGCCAGAATGCCGGCCGGCGGGCTGTCACGGCGAGCTGTGCGTATTGGCCGGGAACGCACCGATTTTGACACCGTGTGTGTGGCGCAATGAGTTTAAGTGCTATCGGGAGGCAAACTGTGTGTATGACGAAGAGTTGGGGATCTGCGCGTGGGATTGGACGGAGCAGATGGAGGGGTGTGTTGTGGGGAAGAAGGAAGAGGAAGAGAAGAGCATTAGGGATAATTCCTGACAGGGGCATCGGAAGCTCATGCTATTTACTTTGACTGCTATGTATAAACTTCTTCTACTACGCTTTGTTTAGCGTCCAAATGGATATACTTCTCGCTTGACTTCCACATCCTGAAGGTGGGCAAACGCCAGCGACACGCCGAGAACCAACGCGACGAAGAATGAGAAGATGGCGTGCAGAATGGTGAGACATCGGTGGGGGAGCTGAGGTATATAGGGACGATAGCAACGGTGGCGATGGTGAATGGAGTAAACAAAGGGAGCGAACAGCCCCCAGAAAGATCCCCAGCGGCCCATTTTCGTAGGGAATGGATGAGACGCTTGTCCTTTCTCGCAAGATGCGCGAACATCCTTGCAACGCAATCGTGGATGCGAGGAAGAACGGCTGACCGTGTCAAGGTGTGGAACTCGCAGATCTTCTTGGGCGGTCTGTGGGAGTGGAAGATCAAGTGGATTTCTTACAGTCGAGGATTGGGAAGGATATGGATGGGCTGAAGCGTGAGCCAATCATTGGAGTTGATAAAAACACACAGCTCCTGTTCATGTTCCTTCCTGTTCTCATTGGCCCCAAATGGCAGCATCAACTCGGAGTGACTGCTCAAGCATACCTCCAGATACTGGCCGACAAGGACGAGGGGGATCTGGAAGCCCCTCAATCCGACATCCGCCATCTACGACTATGGTTTCTGGTAGAAAGGCTTCTTCCCACTTTGGGATGTGGCAGATGCAGAAAGCGGATGTTATGGTATCATGCAAATGCACCGGTTGTCTACAACGTTAACTGGTTCCTCAGAGAGACATTGCTGCTCTTGGTTCAGTTCCTCACTGACGCCCGTCCCAGGCCATGTCACATCATCTCAAACTTTTCTAGGGCCAGCACGGATCTCACCTTTCTGCGGTGATATCCTCCCAATGCACAACCAGGCCTTGGAGCACTGTGTTGAGCAATGGGAGAAAAAGGAGACAGGCTACTGCTACGCATTCCTGATAACATGCTGTTCAAACTCGACCTGGAAGCGTTTGAGAACTTCCACCAGAACGAGTTGACAAACGATCTGGTGTTCGACAATGATGATGCTCCACCCATTTCCGACAGACTGCCCATGTTTCCATGATGGAGCAGCATGTCAATGAGGTCAGGGAAGAGTACAGGCGACAAATCGAATAAGAACATATATTTTGAGTTTTTTTATCGGGTATGTCGAACTGAGCGTGTGTATCAGGTTGACCAAGTCGCAACGTACATCAGCCAAAGCAGGAAGAAAGAATGTCTGTATGAGCGCCTGATATGTATTCACAGTAACCAAGCCCAACAACACAAAAGAGAGGTCCAGCCCGCAGCATTACATTAGGGGGTGTTCTATTCTATTAGGGGTTATCTACGGGGGAGGAAATATTTCGCGGGGGTACTATTATACTTTCAACTTATCATGTTGCATCGAGCGGCGACGAATGGGGGTGCGATCTCGGTCGGCTTGCGCGGACTTGAGTTGCGCTTTCTCTAGCGCCAGCGCAAAGAGTCGGCGTAGTTGGGCTTTTGCGCTCGATTTTGGTTTGATGGGCTTGGTACCATCTGCGACGACGGTGGGGCGGGCGTCTTCCATTTCCTGAGTAAGGAGGGTCGTGCCGAACGCATGGTCGTCGTCCAGCGCGGCCAGCGAAGAGGTGAAATCGATCTCGCTGACCGGACAACTCCTCAGAAGCCCGCCGACGAGACTGTCGACGGGGTCAGCGCCGACGGCCAAGTCCTCAAGATGGACATCGAAGTAGATCGCAAGGCCCTTTTTATCCGTCATCGTCTCGCCGACGTACTGCTCAAACAGCTTCGCCTGCCGCGGGGTCCTGGGGAACCCTTCGAGGACGATGCCGCCGCCGGAGCGGGTGGCCTCGCCGGTGATGACGAGCTTGCGGACGGCGCTTTGCAGGACGGCGACGACGAGGTCATCGGGGACGGGGAGGTTCTGGGCGACGTACTGCTCGAGCTGGCGGCCGAAAGAGGTGGATGCTGCGATGTGTTTGCGGAGGAGCTCCTCGGTGCAGATGCGGGAGGGTTTGTTGTTCATTGTGCGGGAGCGCATTTGGCGCTTCGTGCGGAGGTGTTGTGCGGTGAGGGGGTTGCGGGAGGACTTGCTGTTGCGGCTAGTTTTGCTGTCGATGCTCTTGACGCTACTGTCGCTACCACTGGAAGAAATGCTGAGGGTGCTGGCGATGGTGGTGGAGGATTGTGTGCGGGTGTGAGTAGGTTGGTTGGCGATGAAGTGGCGGAGATGAGGACGAACGGCAGGAACGCTTTGTCGCCGCCCACCAGCGGCCCTTGACTTGGAAGGCACGGGGATCGAGGCCATATCCTGCGATGAGGATGAGGAGTCGGAACCCCGACGGGTAGTCTTAGCAAAGTGACGAGTCTGTACACGCATGGCTGAGAGAAAGAGAGAGCGAGAATGCCGTGGAGGGATCGATCGTTGGATTTCTCCGAAGACGCTCTGGAGTGCTTTGCGGATGCTCTTTTTCCAGGGAGGGTGTCCGCCCGCCCTCCATTTTTATCTCTCGCGGGCGAAAACTTACTCCCTTTTTCTGCCCCCCTTTTTGCTCACATTTCTCGAAGTCCCCCAAGCGGATTCCCGAGCGTGGGAGACAGAGCCCTTACTCTCCGCCTCTCCAAATTTCTCGGCGAGAGCGAGCCAGGGGCGGGTTCCATCTGGGTCTAGATTGATTAGCCCATGATTTAGACCGTGGCGGGCCGGGGCGCGCCTTATGCTCTACCTTAAAACCCTGCAAGCTTTGGACAATCGCGCGACCGAGTTCCCCGGACCGTGTGGCAGCTGATCTTCTCTCCATCTCTTGCTAGCTCAGCCGTCGGAAGCGGACGGGTCGGCAAAAAGCTGTTGCCTAGTTACGGTGCCCGTTCGGAGATGCACGCTCCGGTCGTTATTCCATCTCGAATCTTCTCGCATGAGCCGGAGGAGATAAGTTTCTAACCCAAAGTCTTTAATGAGGAAGGGGGTGATTAGGAATGGACAGGGGACACTCCGATGGAGCTGCGGAGCTGTTCGGCTCCACTATCAGCGGCAAATCTCACCAGGCGACTCGATGGCTTGGCACGAGGAGACCGGCTGAACCGACCCTCAAACGTGCTCAAGCTTGCCTTGCAGACAGTCTTCGACCATTGCCGCAAAGAATAAAATCTCTTCATACTCGCCCCGCCCTGCCCACTCTTTCCAAGCGTCACCTGTGCTTATAGAACTCTCCGGAAAGACCCAACTGGCGATATCAAATCAGAGAAAAATGTTGTCAAAATGGCTTACGGAGTTGGAGTCGCGCTGTCGAATTCTGTTTGTTCTCGTCGCGCAAAATCAAACGGTGAGCGAAACATGAAGGCGGGCCTAAGTGCAGCCTAGGCGTTTCCATTTCCCGGCACACAACTCAGCGGTTACCCTTTTCAAACAGAAAGGGAGTTAACAATAGGCTTCTTCACTGTCTTCTCTTTACAACAGCTACCATCCTCCCCATCCAAAAGGCCATCACAATCGACGCTCCCCAACCGCACATGTCGCCTGGCGAGAGCGAATCGGGTACGTCGAGTTCTAAAGGCCTAGACGAATCCCGGATACGGATCCTGCAGCTCGTAACAGACTTGCCCCTTTTCGCATTCATATTCCGGTCCCAAAGCAGCAGTCATGTCCACATGGGAAGAGGAACTGGACAATCGATTATGTATTACGGAACGCCAATAAACATGTATGCGTTCATGAATGCGCTGGGCTTTGGGCTGTGCGTTCATGCGCTGTATGCGTTCATGAATGCAGCAGCTTTCAGCATGCATTTTCTCGACCACTATCGCGGTCTGCGACGCAAGTCGAGATTCAAAAATCCGTTCGAGTTGACATCAAATGAACTTGCCGTTTGAGTTTCCGCCGGTCACACATTCACCTGTGATTCCGGAACCGGAAAGAACCATTCGAAACAATACACATTTCGCCTAAAGAAATTATAAGCGTTCATGAATGCGATACTCCGGACTCCGATTTCCGGTCCTCAACTTGTCGGTCAACCTTCGTTCCGGAATCACCAGCTTTGAACAATACACATGTCGCCTAAAAAAGTATAAGCGTTCATGAATGCCATACTCCGGACTCCGATTTCCGCTCCTCAACTTGTCGGTCAACCTTAAAAAAGAAGTAGAGCACCACGTTCTCTTCTAACCCTACCATTACGGGACGCTAAAAAAATATCAGCATTCATCAATGTACTAGTCCCTGCAGGAGACCGCATTCATGTATGTATATATATATATATCACATAGACCATCAGAAAAAGAAGTACAGAATGAAACAGAGGTACACAAATAAAGGGGTGAAGTTATGTACTGAAAGGATGGGAGACAGGGATTCTACTGTATACAGCGATGTACGGGTGTCCGCAGTGGTCGCAGTCCGGAAGTCGAGGTAGGAGGAATGGGAGCGGAGTTGGGGGACGAGCCAGCGTCCTTTATGTTTCTGGTTTTCATGTCGAGGATCTCTAATGGCAGATCTTGAACGTGTTGCCGTTTCCACCCTGCAAGAAAGTAAGTAAGCGCCTCATCTACTAACCGCCCCACTCCCCACACGTCCCAGGCACTCACATGATAAACAACAGCACAAAGCACGCTACTCCCCCCACTCGGGTAATAGACCACGCGATACTTCCCGGGGCTGCCGCCGTTATACACGCCGCCCCTAATGATGGGAAACTCGTACGTGTTTCCGTTGTTGGATTGGGTCGCGCATTTGCCGGTGAGGAAGCCTTCGCGGTTGTCGTAGCCGTGCGGGTAGGGCTCGTAGCGGCGGGTGAGGGTTACGGTGGGGGAGGAGGTGGAGTCGGTGGTGGGGGCGGGGAACGGTTCGTTGGATTCGGAGTCGTTGAGGAGCCCGATGGGGTTGTTCTGGTACTTGTGGGCGGCTGTGAGGGCGGCATTGATGTCTTTGGCTATAGGAATGAGGTTGATGAGATGGGGTGCGACATGGGACATTTCGATGCTGCCTGGTATATGGGAGCAGGGAACGTACTTTTGATGCTCACGTTCCCACACGACTCGTCGCGGGCTACGATGTGGGCCGGTGCGGCGGAGATCAAGGTGGCGGATGCCGCGAGAGCCAGGGCAAGGTACGATGAAAGCATTGTGATGGGGTATTCGAAAGGGCGAGAAAGCGGAATGGTGGCAAAAGGTTTGGTGCATCTCGGCTAGCTTATATAACCCGGTCGGGTCGGAATTCGGGGACAGGATTTCGTCGAAGGCCTTCAAATTCATCGAGAAAGCATTTCCCGAATGTGAGCCTCATGGTGCTTCGCAGGAGTTGACCGTTGCGCCGGATGGCACGGGGATCAAGAATCATGTGTGTGGGAGGTGGGCAGATCATCTCGCACAAGCGAGGAAACGTTTCTGAGCAAAGCGAGTCGAATACTCTGTACATGTTACTGTATTTACACAATGGACGTCATGCTGTACATGGATGGTTTCGAGGACGTTATCGCTGGTCGGTGGAGCCCTGCAACGCAATCGCCGGTGCGAGTATGGACATGCTGGGTTCTGGACGGATTGACAGTCCCGTCAATCGGTGATCCCCCGCGGCCCGACTGATACACCCACTATCGGACAAAACGAGAGACACCGTTGATCAGATCAAGCAAGGGCGTCTGACGGGGGGATCCAGCATAATAAATACGAGACGGTGTCCCGAGGAACGTGTGTGTCCGACCGCGGACTTTCCTGTTGCAGGGGACGACTCACGCGACGGCGCCAAGCCACCCTGCGCCACGCTGCTTACGCCATCCGTCATGGCCCCACTGGCGAGTTCCATCCCAAAGTAAAGGCAAGGAACGCAGCGAACCACAACAAACGACACACCCCCGCCCTCGGCACCCACCCCCCCACAAACAAAGCACAACATGATACGTCGTCAAACCCGCATGCGGAGGGAGTACCTCTACCGCAAGGCTCTCGAGACGAAAGATAGGCAGATATACGACCGCAAGCAGGCGCTCAAGGAGGCTGTGGAATGTGAGTTGGGACCGGAGAGAGGAGACAAGGCGTGGGAAAGGGAGGAGAAGAGGTAGAAAGAGAGGACGGGCGGTTGCGGCGGGTACTGTTGTGTGGTTGAGTTATTTGCTGAGGTGCAAAGAGGCCGGCAAGCCACGTCGCGGGGAAAACCTATGCCCGAAGTCGATGGTCCTGAAATGCGCTTCCTAACCTTTTGGCGTACTCCTTTTCTCAGCTGGAAAACCGATACCCGTAGAGCTCCGCAAAGAGGCAAACGCATTACGGAAAGATCTGCAATACGATGAAAACCAAAACTGTAAGTTTACGACCGTACGCTCCTTTCCTCACTCACGAAACCCGCTGCTAGAGCTCACACAAAACTCCATACGTAGTGCCGACATCCCACATCGACGATGAATACGCCCAAGCAGGCGTCGTAGACGCAAAAGTCCTCATCACAACCTCGCGCGACCCATCGACCCGTCTCGCCATGTTTGCCAAAGAAATGCGCTTGATGCTGCCCAACGCCCAACGGATAAACAGGGGAAACTACGTGCTGAAGGATATCGTGGAAGCGTGCCGGTCGAACGAGGCGACGGATCTGGTTATCTTGCATGAGCATCGTGGACAACCTGGTGCGTATTTTTGAAAACAATGTCCGCCCACTCTTTTCATTGAGACTAACTGCGGAGTCAGACGGCCTGGTAATTTCCCACTTCCCTTACGGCCCGACTGCCTACTTCACCCTGCACAACGTGGTCCTACGACACGATATCCCCGACCGCGGCACCGTCTCCGAGCAATACCCACACCTGATCTTCGACGGCTTCAACAGCAAACTGGGCGAACGGTGTCAGAATATCTTGAAATATCTGTTTCCGGTCCCGAAGGAGGACTCGAAACGGGTTATGACGTTTGCGAATAAGAGTGATTTTATCTCGTTTAGGTATGGCTTTGCTGCTTCGATGAAACTGCTTGTGAACGTGCCAAGAAACATATCTGCTGAATTTCTAGGCATCACGTGTATTACAAAGTCGGCAACGAAGTGCAGTTGGCGGAAGTTGGACCACGCTTCGAAATGCGATGTGAGTAATCCCGATTCCCACTCTAGAGACGTCAACGCACACTGATCTTCAATCTCGGAACAGTATACGAAATCAAACTGGGCACAGTAGACGTGACGGAAGCGGATACCGAGTGGGTGTTTAGGCCGTATCAGCGCACGGCGAAGAAGCGCGATTTCTTGTAGAAGGGTTTTCATTCAGGGAGGGGGAACGGTTTGCTGCAAAGTCCGGGTAGGGCTCGGTACGGGCTGGAGGTTGGAAGGCGGGGCGGTTGAGTGTAAGTCTGGAAGGCAGACAGGACGCACACGTACGCTACGCAACACATCGGTCCGAAGAAACATCAGGTGGCCTTTCACCCCTCTCACCCGGATAACGGGCAACGTCCGCGGCGACTGCACCGTACTCGCCACATTTCACCGTACACCGTCACTGCACACCCGCTCTTGGATGGTTCTCCACGCACCCCATCGCACGCATTGCACGAATCGCATCGCATCGCATAGCATTGTCCGCCATCTGTATATAGCCTACTTCCTTTATGTAGCCGATTTTTGCGTATAATTTATAGTGCTCCTTTTTGAATATCGAATAGACATGTCTCTCCTGTGGAGTTCAGTCGGAGGATGTTGCTGCGGGGGGTATGTTCTGCAAGTCCTGTGTGTGTTGGGTGCGTGGCAGTCCCGACAAACAACACGCGCGCCAAGACCACCCCTTCCAGACCCCTTCCCTTCGCACTTTTCTCACGGCTCAGAAAACCCTCACCACCACAAAACATCGACCAGAAAAGCAACCCTACAACAATCCAACAGCACACACCACACCACACCACTTCCCACCTCCCCGTCATTTGGCAAACGTAAATCCGCAACCATGAACCGCATCTTCGGCACATCCAAACCCCGCGCGCCCAAACCCACCATCGCAGACGCCATCAGCTCCGTAAGCGCCGCCCCCATTAAAATCCCCTCCTCCTTTCTCCCCCTGTTCTTCCGCTAACCCCTCTATGAATACCCCATAGACAGATGCAAGAGCAGATTCCGTCGAAGTCAAGATGCGCAAACTGGACGCGGAGCTTGTCAAGTACAAGGAGCAGATGAAGAAGATGCGGGAGGGGCCTGCGAAGGAGGCTGTCAAGCAGAAGGCGTTGAGAGTGTTGAAGCAGAAGAAATTGTGAGTGGTGTGTGGGGGGGAGGGAGAGGTGGTGGTGGGTGAGATAACGACGACGCTCGAAGGCGAGGGCGGAAGGCTTGAGTGTGGTCCACTCAGCCCGCTATCCTTGGGGGATAGCAGGATCGTCCTTTTCATCGACCATCGTACGCATCGTCTCACTGACGGGGCTGCTAACCCGTACGATCCCCCTGACACAGGTACGAAGGCCAACGCGACCAACTGGTCCAACAATCCTTCAACATGGAGCAAGGCACGATGGCGCTCGACAACCTCAAAAACACGCTCACGACCGTCGACGCGATGCAGCTCGCCAACAAGGAACTAAAGGGGCAGTACAAGAAGATCAACATCGACAAGATCGAGAAGATACAGGATGAGATGGAGGATCTGATGGAGCAGGCGAACGAGCTGCAGGAGACGATGGGGAGGGCTTATGGGTTGCCGGACGGGGTTGACGAGGATGATTTGGAGGCTGGTGGGTTGCGGGTTTGGAGAGGGGGCGTAGACACGAGAGGGGATGATTGCTGATGGGGGTTGAATTTTCCACAGAGCTGGAAGCATTAGGAGACGACCTGCTGGAAGACGAGGCGGAACCGTCGTATCTGCAGGAGCCGACGTACGCAGCCGAGCTGCCTGCCGCGGGGACGTCTGAGCCTGCAACGGTGAGTTTTCCGTCCCAAATCACCTGAAATTCGTGATAGTTTAGGGAACTCATTTTTTCTGGGTGGCTTCGTAGGCTGTGCAGGTGGATGAATACGGTACGCACTCTCTCTCGTCGTCCCTTTCGTCGTCGGCTCCCCCGCTCATGCCATTCTCCCCACCCCCGTGCTCGCGCATATAGGTCTTCCCGTAGCACCAACACCTGCGAAAATGAACGCATAAACCACAATCGTCCGGCCAACACACTTCTGCTCCCGCCCCGCTCTACTTCTCTATCCGAGCCCATTTTTATGAGGCATCGTAGTCACGCAAGCACTTCGGTGCTGTGCCATGCCCCATAGACGGACGGGCAGGTGGACGGATGGTGGCGAAAATCGGGCAGAGTAGTCGGTAGTGCGCGGGCGGGGCATGGAATTCGGGTAAACGGGGGTGCAATTTTGGCAGGAACGGATAGGGTAGGAATAGCGAGTGATTGAGAGTCGTAGCGCAAGGAGGGAGATCTTATTCGGGGAAGCGGGGTTTATTATGCGTACCGCGGGAAGTGTTGCGGCTGTGGCTTCTGAATATATCCATGCATGCCCCAGGTTTAGGGCCTTATGAAGCATCAAACGGGCTGTGGCGGACGGGCGATGTACAGTACAGTAGGTTTAGGCGTGGGATTCTCTTGTCGAGGTGGAATATATTTTCCCGTCACGGAATCTGGATTACAGCTTCGTTCTCCTTCTGACGGCTCTTTTTCACGCTACATACGCCTACGCCTGCCCTCTCACCTTCACCACTCCCCCCCCCCCCCCCCCCACCACCACCACCATGGCCCCTTCCTCTCCCCCCTTCGCCCCACACTAAACAAACCTCACAACAACACAAATACTAATCGGCAACGCCTCATCTGTAACCGTGATCTCCTCCCCATTCTCCACCAGCTCGCCCATCTGCTTCGTCAAATTCGGACGCGTGGCTTGCTCGAGGGCGCGCGGGGCGGCCATGTAGAGGGAGGTGGTGGAGGTGCGGAGGGAAGGCTTTTTGAGTTGGCTGAAAATGATATCAATACGTGTGAATCGATGCCCATACCAGGCAGACACAGTGAAAGAGAAAGAAAAGCGAGGAAACGGCCAACACATACAAATCCTTCCTGTCCACCAACCGCTCAATAAACCCTTCAAGCGTCTCCATCTTATTGCAATCAACCTTGACCGTCGCGCCTCCACACACGGGACAATCGTCTTTGCGTTGCAGTTCGAATGTGTAGGTGTAGACGCCTTGATCGCCGACGTACATCATGTAGTTGTTCATGGCGGTCGCGCTGTTGGTGGCGATTTTGAAGGCTTCGGTTGCGCAAGAGGCTGGGTGGGGTAATGGAGGTGCGCAGTTGGCGTAAGATGGGAGTGGGAAAGGGAGGGTAGGTGGGTCAGCTTACCGGCAACGATGGCGTTCGTGGAGGCAATTGCCGGGATGATATTCTTGACGACGCCCTGTGTGAGGGAATAGGAGACGCCGGAGATGTTGAACTCGGTTGCGCGCGCTGTGGCTTTGTCGAGGACCCAGCGGATGTGTTCTGAGTCGTCGCCGTCCAGTTTTGTTTCTGAAAGAGAACAAAAGTTGATGATGGAGTTAGTGGGGCACAGGGCGCGGTGAGAAACACACTCGCACATGCGAAACGCACCTGGAAACACCTTGGGCCATTCAAGCACAGAAGCCCACTCGATGCAGTGTTCCGGCAACCTAGGCGTATTTGCGATCGTGCACATGGGGTATGTGGTGGGTTTGGTTTGCATGTCGAGGGAGCATTCGTAGCAGGCCGTCATGCGCGGGAGAATGATGCGGGATTGCCCTTTGAAACCTTAATTTGGTAATACAATCTTTGTAAGTCGATAGAACGTGCTGAGTGGAGAATGGGGCCTCAACTACCCACCCTCGGTCCCGCCGTCAATGATAGGCTTAAACGTCTCCGGATCATCCTCATCATACATATTTGCAACCGTCGCATTGATCCACCGCCGCGCAACGACGGAATCCAAGCCACAGATAATGATCGTGAACTGGCTGTAATAGTCCTCGTCTTTATCTTGGATCTTGCCAAAGTATCTGGTGAGCATGGGGGGAGTCAGCATACACTTTTGTTCGTTGTTGTGGTGATGGGGTAAAAACTCACGCTTACGGGGTGATCTTAACGCCTGGGACGCGCTTCATTACAAAGGCCGCAGCTACTTCGGCTTTGGGCTTTCCGACGTCTGATGCTCTGTTGTAAACCAAAACGTTAGACGTTGCCTTGCTCCGTGCGAATCGTTTCACCACTCCGACACTTCGCATTGCCTCTCGTTGCTTCGCTCGCAGAGGGCATTCTCACGCGTCTCCCATCCTTCCGCTCCTCTTTCTCGCTAGCTCCTCCATCCCGATACCCACTCTGCCTTCCTCCCTCCGACCCCCTCGCAGTACCCACCGAAACAAAAACTGCCGATTCAAATTCGACACATCAATCGTATCCATATCAATCACATGAATGTCCGTGAACCCCATCAACGCCAGATCCTTCAATAGTTCGCAGCCGAGCCCGCCGGCGCCGATGACGAGAATTTTGAGAGAGTGCAGGAATTCTTTTACCTGTAGAATGCAGTGAGACTTTGCAGGAGTGGGACTGGGGTGTGGGAAAGTGGTACTTACGGTTTCACCGGGCTCAAACCCTTCGTTCGCGAATGGGCCGGTGCGGTCGAGGTAGGTGTAGATGTCGCGCCATCGTCTGCCATCAGACGAGTGGAAGGAATGAGACGGACCCTTCTCTTAGAGATATGAAAGACGGGTTTGTAAGACACTTACTCCTCGGGAACCAGGATGGGTGCGCGGAGATCACTTTGCACGGGCATGTTGGGCATGCGGTGCAGCTTTCTTCTGGCGTCCTTCGGAAGCTATCTACTATATACACCGGCGGCTTCGATGGCTGACGATATGCGCTCGCTGGGGTGGCTTAAGGGTTGTGTGAAGCTGAGGACAGGAGTGGTGGGTGCTGTGGAAACTATTGCGATGCTGCTAGACGGACGTTGAAATTGGACCGAGTGGGGAAACCGACGCAAACTCTCTATGGAGCTCTCTGCCCTCGCGCGTTTGGCCTTCTCGCCGGCTGTTGCCCTCTTTGCCCACCAAGTCTCACTACCAATGTCAGCCACCACAGCAACAAAGTCCGAAGTCCTGAGCGTCTTCCGGGGCATGCTGCGGGAAGTGTCCAAGCAGGTACCACCTTCTTTCCCCACTTTGACGGAATTCCTACCTCCATCCTTCATTACTGGCCCGTTAACACCCTTCCTCATTCTTAGTACACCCGGCGCAACAACAACAAACTATGGCATAACGAAGTGGTGACAAAGTTCCGGGCTGGCGCTGTGGAAAGAGATCCGAGCATTGTGGCAACGAATTTGGGGCATGCGAAGAACGTGTATGCTTTTATGAGGAGTAATAGGTCGCATAGGGTACGTCGAGGGAGAGTGGGCTGTTTTTGATCAGAGGGGCGAGCCATACGGTGGGAAGGGGATTGAGAGACAGCCAGTGGGGAGAGCGGCAAAGCCATCCCTCTGTTTCTCGGGAGGGGAAGAAGAGGAGGGGACAGCTCGCAGAGATTCCAGTACTATACTCAACTGGAATCAACCGCATACCTTCAAATAGGAAATGGTGGAACGCTACTGGCCAACATCCGGCCTGACAGAAGAAGAGAAACTCACACGGACAGCCAACACCGTCGGGCTGTCGCTACCGAAGATGTTTGGGGCTGGAGAGAGCTGGGCGGATTCAGGTGCCGCTGGTGGTGAGGCGGCGAAGGCGGCTGTGGATCCGGAACTGGCCCCAGAGGTTAAGGAAGCGTTGGATATCGTCAAGAATGCGCCGTCGTAGTGGTAGCAACAGCAGACTATATATCGTAGTGGTGTTGCGGACGGAATGCAGCGGCAGAACGTGGAAATAGATAGATTGTTAGGAAATACAGAAGCGGGATCCTTGATTAAAGAAGGCATTTCTTTGTTTTTAAGAAAGAATAGAAAAAATGTAATTAAACAGTTTTTCAGAGCGGCCTCTTGCGCACATATCCTACTACAATACGTGGGGTGGCCGTAGCCTGTGTGCAGAGGCCGTGGGGTTGCAAGGAGAGATGTCTATGTGGAAAAGGGCATGGCAAAACCGGGAAGAAAGAGAGGCGACGCGCCCGAGACTGTATGTACTGTATGTCGGCCATTCCGCACGTTCCGTCTTGCAATCCCTCTTGCATTCCTGCGGTGTTTCTTGCTGCGACAAAGGCGGCGAGGACGACCTTACATACAGTGTCGGCCAGCGCAGCAACCCATACCCTAACGCCATTCGCCAGTCGCTCGCCAGGATGCCCATCCTGCCCGCCGCCCTCGGCATCCCCACGACCCCCACCTCCCCCCAAAACCAAACCGAAACCACCCCGCTCCTCCCCGCCTCCTCCCTCCCCGCCCCCCGCTCGCTCACCTCCCGCCTCTGGGAAGTAACCCACGACTTCCTCCCCCTCGCCTTCATCACCTTCGGCGGCCCCCCCGCACACATCGCCATCCTGCACGACCTCTTTGTCGCGAAAAAGAGATGGCTTACGGAAGCAATGTTTGCGGAACTCCTCGGGATCAGCTCCGCGCTGCCCGGGCCGGCGAGCACGCAGCTTGCGTATACGGTTGCGATGATTCGGGATGGGATTATCCCGGCGATACTCGCATTTTTGATATGGAGTGTGCCGGGGGGGATCGTGATGGGGACGCTGGGCGCGGTTGTGGGGAGCTGGAGTGATGAGGATGGAGGAAGTGGGTTGCCGCTGTGGGTGAAATACGCAGAGAATGGATTGGCGTCGACTGCGGTGGCGTTGGTGGCGCTTGCTGCGTACAATCTGGCGAACAAACTCTGTGGGGATCATGTTACGAAGATTATATGCGTTGTTGCTGCTGGGGTGACGATCAACTTTACTACTGTGCCTTGGGTTATCCCGGCGTTGATGGTTGCGGGAGGTCTGGTTTCGTACGCCGCGCATCTGCATGGACAATATACCCGGCGACACGTCCATATCACCGACTCCACATCCGTCGCCATCCCAGCAGAAGAAGAGCCCGAGATCTCCTTCTCCCTCAGCTGGAAAGGCGGCATCGCAGTCCTGCTAGTCTGGCTATCGCTCTTCCTCGGCGCCATCCTGCTCCGCTCTCTGGTCGAAACGCGCTCGTGGCAGGTCCTGGGCACCTTCTACTATGTCGGGTCGATCATCTTTGGAGGAGGGCCGGTGGTGATCCCGCTGCTTTACAACTATATCGTGACGCCTGGGTGGGCGAGCAGTAGCGATTTTTTGCTGGGGTTGGCTATCATTAATGCAATGCCAGGTGAGTGTTTCCCTCATGCTGCATCCCACACCTTTCCTCATCGCTTGCTGAAACCTAATTCAAACCCCCCCAATGAATCCCCCAGGCCCCAACTTCAACTTCGCCGCCTATTGCGGCGCCCTCATCCTCCGCCCCTACGGCCTCCCCCTCTCCATCCTCGGCGCCCTCCTCGCCTGGCTCGGCATCTTCCTCCCCGGCCTGCTAATCAAAACCGGCGTCCTACCCCTTTGGCGCACGTACCGCGGCTTCCCCACCGCCCAAATCTTCTTTAGAGGCGCCAACGCCGCGGCTGTTGGGTTGGTTTTCACTGCGACCTATTTGTTGTGGGAAAAGGCGATCGCGGTCGGGAGTGAAGGTGCGGGATTGGGGGGGTACCCGGTTTATGTTGCTTGGGTGGGGTTGGTTTTTGTTGGGGTTGGGTTTTTGAAGGTGCCGGCGCCGGTGATGATTGCGGTGGGAGCCGTGGTGGGACTTGTGCCGTATTGGGCTGGGTGGGATTTGTGAGTAGTTTTCCTCAGAACTGGATTTTGCTCGATGAACTCTGACATGATTTGTGTATACATGTATAATATACAGGCAGATGTGAATTTTTACATAGATACACCAATACTTCACTCTCTTCTCTCTCTGATGGAGCGCCAATTGGAACACTGCGTTCGAACTCCGGCGGACATCCCGGATCTCGTGCAGAACATACGCCGCCATCTCACACCGCACCTCAAAACCCAAAAACACTCATCCCCCCATCCACCAACAAAACCTGGCCCGTAACATACGCACTCGCATCACTCGCCAAAAACACCGCCGGCCCCACAAGCTCCGCCACCTCCCCAATCCTCCCCATCGGCGTGCGTTCCAACACACTCCCCAAATACTTCTCATCCCCCAACACACCCTCCGTCAACGGCGTGCGGAAATACCACGGCCCGATCGCATTCACTCTGATATTAAAGGGCGCCCATTCCAATGAGAGGATACGCGTCATGTGGTCCAGCGCGGCTTTGGATGCGCCGTAGACCACTCCCGTGCGTAATGCCACCGACCCGGCGACGGAGGAGATGTTGATGATACGACCGGAGACATTGTGGTGTTTCATGTGGGCTGCGACGGATTGGGAGAGGGTGAATGCGGATTTGAGGTTGGTGGACATGATGGTGTCCCATTCATCTGATGTTACGTCGAGGGCTTTGTTCCGGATGTTGGTGCCCGCGTTGTTGATTAGGATGTCGATGTGGCGGCCTGGGGGGAGTTGGGAGACGATAGAGTCTACGATCTGGTGTGCGGCGTCCTTCTGGGAGAGGTCAGCGGTGACGGGGTAACATTGCCGGCCCAATTTGCGGATTTCATCGGCGACGGCGTCCAAGTCGGCGGAGGTCCGGGCGATGATGGCCACGTCGGCGCCGGCTTCGGCGAGGCCGATGGCGAGGGCTTTGCCGATTCCGCGGCCGGCGCCGGTGACGAGGGCGGTTTTCTTGGAGAGGGAGAAGGAGGGGAGGTAGGTGGGCATGATGTTTGGGGTTGGGGTTGGGGGATGTCGAAAGTGCAAAGATGGGCAGAGAGGATTGACTGCGAAAACCTGTTGGGAAAAGTGGGCCGCGTGTGGTCGCCCCCAAACACCCAATGGACACATACAGACCTGCATACAGACGGTCAGGAAGGTGCTTTCTCTCACCGCAAACCATCCCATTGCCTTATCATCTATGCTCGATTTGATGCACTCCATACGGTAATAGATGGGTATCCCAATGAGTTCATGGATATGTCACAAATGTCTGCTCCCTCGCTTCCGTTATCGCCCCCAAGCCCACTTGGTCCCTTGCTCGTTCGCTCACCCTACCGACTCCCTATCCCGCAAAGACCCCTTCTTCTTCACACTCCCCCGTCCACTATCCCGACTCGGCTGATTCCCACTAGCGGCCTGGGCATTAGAAGCTTCGACAGCGGCGAGCCCACGCAGTTTCCGAGTAGATGCAGTGAGGTCGGTAGCTGCGTTGGACGGGGAGTAGAGGGTAACCTGCCGAATGATATGGATATTATAGTTGGTCCACGCGCAAAACACCGCCGTCCCTGTAAACAAAGGGTTCGACATCAGACCAGAAGATCGCCCCAATCGCATCACACTCGTTATAGAATGCACAACTTACACATAGTAGCAATCCCATCCCCAAGCACCGAGTACGGACCCGCCGTATACGCCCCAACCCCGATCGTAACCGGGATAAACACCGCGGCGATGCAGCTTGCTTGTTTGCGGATTGTGTCCAAAACCTTGACAGGGGAAACAGCCGCACCATCCCCAGTCCCCTCCTCCACCGCGGCCGCCAACGATCGTTTGATCGTCGTCACCAGCCGCAGAACCATGATGGAGGTCACCATGATGTACAGTGGGGTGTACATGGCGGAGACGGTGAAGAGCCAGCTGCGGATGTCGTCTAGGTCGGTGGTGGGGTCACCGTGGACGCGGCGGATGGCGAAGAGTGTGGTTGTGCCGAGGAAGCCGCCGAAACAGGTTGTGAACAAAAGAATGTTGGAGGTTTTAATGAGCGTGTGCCAGCGGATGTCGTATCGCATGCAGGATTGGATTGCTGCGAGGAGGCCCTGGGTGCGTGGAATGGAGTGAGTTGGAGGAGTGAAGCGAAGCGGAGCCTTGGGACGTTGACGGGCAGCAGGCTCGCTCGCCCTGAAACCGCGACCGCTCGCTTGGTTCAGCCACTCACTCACCTTACCTGAAGCGAAAACAGTAACAAGAACGACCCAAAGATAAAGAACCCGTCCGGTATCCGCAGACCCCTATCACACGTCCCCGCACTCTCCCCGCCTTCATTCCCATCCGTCGTCGCCGCGCAACCATACCCAGTATGAAACGACAGCGCATACACAATCAACATACACGTGTGCGCGAGCGTTTGGAGATAATTCCTGGGTGCGCCTTCTGCTCGTAGGCCGAGGTGGTGCCGGCCGACATGGGCGAGGCTGAGGAGGCCGAGGAGGTTTGCAAGGGTGTAGCAGGTGAAGCTGGTGATTATCGAGGCGGTCAGTGGTGGTGGCATTGCCTTTGAATGGAATGCGAGTGGGGGGTGCTGGAGGGAGGCCGGGTGCAGGGAGGGAGGGAAGGGGCATGGATGGATGGGCCGCTATTGTTTGGGGTAGGCGGTATGGCTTTGTTGATATGTATGCAAGGAGAAAAAGCCAGGGCAAGCAACGGGACACCTTCTGGCCAGCAACGATGAACGCGTGTGTCACATCGCACGGGGCGCCGAATGAAATACTTTGTGAATTTGCATATATTGCCATGTGCCGGTGGGAACACAGGCGCCGCGTTGGTGCAACTCATGCCGGCATTCGCAATACGGTAGTGTGGACGGGCACTTGGACGGATGCATCATTCAACCTGGTCTCCCAGACTGCGTGCTGCCTCCATGTGTACTTTTGCATGACATCACGATGTCCGCGCCTTGCATTTGTCCCTGGTTACGTCCAAATCTCGTTCATTTCCCAAGACCTAACCCCCTCTCCTATTCGAAGACTTCATAAGACAGTCCTTCTCCGAATCATCCCAGTCGTACATTCGTAGGAGTGCATTCTAAAAGGCCCAAGACAAGAAATTTGGATCTACGGATCTAATGATACTTTTCCCAACTGAAAAATTCGTGGTATAAGAAGGAAGCAGACCGACAACTCCGGTTCGTTTAGTCCGTATGCAAGGGTTTTTGCCGATGCGGACAACCGAAGGACCTTGAAGTGCAGATGGATGTGGTTTCATGCAGGGGCAGGGCGAAGTGCAGATGGATGTGTGTTTCATACGGGGCGAGAGCGAAGAGACGAAGGTCGCCTCCCCACTCATCCACCCACCCGCGCCTCTCCGAACGCCAGATCACTTCCCCACTCTCGACCATCGGTGTCAGAAAGCCAACCAGCGATCGCAATATTGTTGCTCGACAAGATAATGCAGTGGTCCACGCAAATACTGCAATTGGCTGCTTCCCCTTCCGACCCTCACCCTCCATTTTTGACAACTTTTGACAGTCCGCTCATGGAAATGTTCATCACGTCATCAGCGGTGTTTACGCTGGGCTGAGTGAAAACGAGCCGTGAGGCGCCTCGGGGAACGTGTTGGGCCAGCGTTGACTTGATAAAAGCAGCGATGTGCCCATCATTTTCGGCGAGAATCCTCACGTCCCGTTTTCATCTACCGTTGTCGTTGACGCTTGTGCGCATCGTTCATCGCTGCGGTACTCCTCGTCGCTGTTCCTGGTCCGGCCAACTGTCGACGGATTCCACGCCTCCCCCACCACAGCCTGGAGGATCAGCTCGGGTTAGGATCAACTCGGGAAGACATCTACCGCCGCTCGGAGGGTCCAAGCAACAACTGCGATGTTGGCCCGCGACGGGAAACTTACTGAATCATTGCGACAGACGAGCTCATCGCAAGGCAGTTCCGGGAGGAACTTGCGCGGAACTCAGTCAAAGGCGCAAAAGAACGGTATCCATGGCTCTCAAGCCCGGAGCGACAGAAGGCCGCCGTTTCCACACCAAGGCAACCCGTCGTCTGGCCGATGGATGGCAACATGCGCAACACCAGTACATTGCCTGTTCCTTCGCCGCATGTGAGGACGATGCAGACGGGGAAGCATCAGAAAAGAAACACATCTGACAATGACTTATCAATGGCCTGGACCGTGCCTACACACTTCCACGCTGTCCATCTTCACCGCTATCCGCCACTTCCAAGCGTGCAGATTAACCCACGGCGTCCGTCGTCCGCGGCATCGACTCGGTCGGTCGGAAGCCGAAGCATCCCACTCCACGAACAAAGTGGCTTCCCCTGCCCCCCCTACCCGTTACCCGGCTGCGCTCTTCACTACGCATGTCCGGAAAGGGCCTCAACAACGCAATTCATACCTTCATCGGTCTTTCGCACGCTTCTCCAAACGACTACTACCTGGCCGTCGTCACCAAAGATGATACGTACTTCGATCAACAGCCAGGGGCATATGACTGCAGAGGATCCAGCTCCGTTCTTCGACACACTCTTCAACAGGCCGGCGTCGTCTTGCAACATGTCGATACCGGTCTCCACGGCGCCTTACAAGCCGATTATCCGAACGATCACTTGTTCATTGACTTCGGTAAAAGTGTAGGACCCATTCGGTTTGTGAAAGGGACTGCAGCGGAAATTCCGGGAATGTTTTTGATGCGATGGTTATAGACTTTTTGTTTTCGATGGCACCACGCTCTCGGCCTTTCGCAAGCTAACGACAAATGCCTGGTGGTGTCGTCACCGAGACGCAGTTCGACTTCTCCCGGTCCCTCTTCCGCTTCTGACATGGACAAATCAAGTCACCGACCATCGCATGAGAAATTGTTGGTTCTCTTATGCTTGTCTTTGCTGTCTCGCCGTACTTCGACCGACCAGCAGTCAAGGCGGCTTGGCTCTATCGATCTCAAAAACTCCACCAAGAGGGACATGACGATCAGGCCAACATGGGCACGGCGAGCGTCGGCGACTCGGCGACGGCGACCCCAAGAAAGCAAGCTGCACGACCCGCACAGCCACAGGTCCCTCGACCTCGGCACACAGGGGGATCAAGGAATGCGCCGCCCCTGTACAACTCATGAAAACTACCATACACAAACGCGCTGTGGCTCCCGGTAACGACTTGCTTCCCCACCTCAGCAGCATCCCTTGCCTAGGAGATGTCCTGGGTCACAGCAGAGCTCAACGGAATCGCAAAGGCTGTTGCTACGACCGAGCGATTTCCGGCGATGGGTCGCACCGACAAAACCGGCTCCTCTTCGCTCCTCGTCGCCGAAGGGCATGACTCCCTCGCCGCCTACCTCTTCTTTCCTTCGCAGGAACAAGGACAAGGCCGTGAGCGACAAGCCAATCGCCAGACTTCCTAGACGACTCCCCTATGGACATACAAGTCGTGCCGGTCTTTTAACACCGCGCGGACGGGATCCGCCTGGAGGACCGAAAGGCCCTGAGCTGTCGGAAGGCTGATTTCGCATGTCTGCCTGAGCTGCGTTCCACCGGCTGCAAGTAAGCCCATATGCCCAGCACACTTAGCAGACAACAAGCATCCGTTTGGTGAGTTTTTCTCTACCGTGGTGCCAGTGCCGGCGGTCCATGATGAAGGCCACTAATCTTCCAATCCGCTATCCTCATCACCCCATCCAGCCATGGATCTGCAGTCATGTAATGTGTGGTGCGAGGATTGTAGGCAGTCTGTGTACGCCGGCTTGCTCCGACCCCTGCGGAGACGACTTGTCGTTTGAGCGAGCATCCAAGCCGGACTTGCTGTTGCAGGCCGGAACGAAAGTGTTCTTCGAGATCACCTCGGAAGACGGCACTCAGATCCGATTCCCCGCTAGACCCGAACGTGAACCTAGAAGCTATCAAGGAAGACGAGAAGGCGCCTGACGCCTCGACGTACCAGTCGATGATCGGGTCGCTGATGTATTACCTCATGATCGGAAAACGGCCAGATATCGCTTTCGCAGTGTCTCGGCGATAGCCCTTTCAGGCAGTAGGGCTCCTCCCATTGACGCCAGCCTATACACGTCAAATGTCCTCCTGGAACTTTCTTGAACCTTGAGACGAACTTCAACGGACAATACCGGCTGGCGATAGGGCGGAAATGTCTCACCTGCGACACGACCATCAAGCCACACATCTCGCAGCCAGTTGAATTCCTTTACACATACTGTATAACTTCTTTATATAGCGACGTTTTACCGCCGAGTGCGCCGGCTTTTGCAAAGACGAGGATGGACATTAAATCTCCAAGTGAGTCAGTCAATGAATATTTCCACCCGCACTACCGCACTAATGACCGAATCGTGTTGCAACTAGTACATGGCAATCTACAAGGATTGCACCCTGAGAGTGCTTCAAGAAGACATGCGGGCGTTGAGTTTTGCCTGCGAGTGGTTGCCTTGTGGCGTCCGTTTTTGGCACATCACGGTGGGCATATTTGATGGTCCCTTAATATTTTTATGTAAGTATGTGAACACCTTGTCGCTAGAAGCTCCACACACTAAGCAAGGTACGTTTTCAGAAATCTTCATGGGAGATGGATCTAGCATGGATCTAGCATGGATGGACCTTGAACCTCCAGGTGAGTGAGTCAATCAATTATTTCCAGCCGCACTAATGACTGAATCGTGTTGCAACTAGTACTCAGCGATCTACAAGGATTGCACCCGGAGAGTGCTTAGAGAAGATTTGCGGGCGATGCGTGTGCCGCGTCGACCCCGAGCGGATAGACGCCCACACCGCAATCCACTCCCCAAGGCTGTCAGATGCTTCCGCCCCTTGGGGAACCGGAACCCCCTCGGTACCGGCAACAACCGCTGTCCAATCAAGTCCCCTCACGATAGCGGCACGAACTTGGTGCCGCAGCTTAGTTCCGCAAGCTGCTGTTCGCAGAACCATGTCGGCGCCGCCATCCATCATCCATCAAGCAACTGCTATCCACTGCCGACTCGCTGTCCCTCGTAGGACACCCTACTACACTCACCAGCACGCCCAATAGGATCACTACTTTTTATACCGACGCTGGGGTGCGTAAAGAGTCTCACGTCCCGTCGTAGTCTGACAAGGAAGTGGGACCAAGCTGGAAGGTCGCTGCTTCTAGAATCTGTTCCTCCTCAGGCGAAGGTCGCCTATAAGGAAAGAAAGCTACGACGCATGATAATCGCGTTGATAGACCGCACGGGCATCAAGGTTTACCGTAAGCTGCGCGCCCTTCCGCCATTGGAAGAACTCGACGCTATCCTCGGAGACGAGCCACTCCGCGCAGAAAACGAGGCACTCTGCGCAAGAGAGGAGGCAAGCCGCGCAAGAGAGGAAGCGCTCCATGCCGAAGTCCGCAAGCTGCAACAGTTGGTTGCCAAGTGGCAGTTGCCGTCCGTGGAGCTCCACTGTTCGAACGCCCTGAGCTCGCGTATAAGATTGGCAGTATGTTCGCGTTCGGCACCATCTCCCCGCCGCGACACAGCAACGCAAAATCCCAACGGCGCACGACTTTATCGGGTCCGCGAAACGTCGCCGTCATCGACGGAGAGGAGGACAGGAGAAGCGTGTTCGGCGGAAGTACGCAGCGAACGTATTCGCGATGTTCCTCTCCAATCGCCACAACAGCTAGCCATGTGTCCGTGTCGCATGCCGTTCAAGCCGACTTTGAGGCTACCAAGGCCCTACATGCGGAGATGAAGGAGATACAATCCGAAATGAGCGATTTTGACGAACAGAGTGGTCGGAATCGCAGCACGATGTGATCTCACCGCCAAGCTGAACGATTCGGAGTTGCAGCGAGAGGCTGAAGACCTAGAAGCTGCCACCACTGTCATCTCAAATCTAGCTCGCTTCAAGGTGCCTTTCGGGTTGGTCAGCGTAGCGTGCCTGGGACGATCCGAACTTTCCGTGTCCACATACAGTGCGACTCGCTGCGTTTCGCAGGACGACATGAACCCGTACATCGGAAAGACAAGACCAAATCTCCTCGGCCGACACCGGTGTGGTGGGTGGCGTCGTCGACAACTTCTTGGACCCCCTCAGCCCAAAGCGAGATCTAATGCAAATGCCATCTCAGCGCAAGCCCGCCGCCCCTGCCCGAACATCACTTGTTGTCGAGCTTGCGACGGCTGTCGGGGAGCAGCGCGGCCCTGCCATAATCATCGCTAGAGTGCCAGCGGATGTGTGGCGCCTCGTGTCCGTATATGCGCCGCGCGCTGCAGAGCAAATGTCGAAGGTATCGAAGGACCTCCGATGGGCAACATGTTCACTACTATTCCAAAGAGCTACTATGACGCCGGTCCGCCACGCACTGAACAAAGAAACGTCCGTCGAAGTCAGGCATCTGACCCTTCATGGAGCCGAGCAAAGACTTCAGCTATGAGAAACACACGACCCTTTGGAAGTCTATCCCATATTTCAAGAATCTTTCGACAATGACAATAGACGGAATCGTCGGCCCATCTATCGTTGAGGACTTTTTTTTTTTGGCTCTGTGGAGCCCAAACTTACAGATTCACCATGACACCGATGGAACGACCAACATGGGTTAATTGAAGCCGGAGACAAATAAAGTCGGGCAGGATGTCCTCGCTACCACCGCCTACGCAATCGGAGAGTATCTGCATCAAGTCGATCAAGGCTGCACAAACAAGCGATCAAGGGGATGCACGGTCGAACCACATCAATCATCGCAATCAGTTCCTCCAACATGACATCCACCAGACCAGCCATTCTTGCACCGACTGCCGCCGCCCGACCGTGGCCGTTTCCGATTTGCCTGTCTCGATGCGGCAGAACGGCTTGTACTCGAAAGCCGCGTCGGCAATATCGGCAGCGCTTTGGGGTCGCGAGCTCAATCACATTTCTGGAGCATATTACGCCGATTACGGTCCCACCACCGCCCCCCCTTTTACAACAAGCCCGCACAGGATCGTCACGTATCCTGTCCTCACCTGGGGTTCCGTCATGAGTTTCACCTCCCATTTCGGGTGTTACGGACACTGCCACCGACACCATGACGACTACAACCACTCGGGCACAACGTGCATCCTCCGGTGCTGCCAAGAAGGCTTCGGTCCCGGCACCGAACCCTCAGCATCATCCGGCTCCTACCGCACAGCAGCAGCCAGCACAAACCCAGCAGCAACAACGCCCTCCCAAGACCAGAACGGACCGGTAGCGACCAGATTGGCTTCGACGGCACGCACAACATCACCTCGTCAGAGGGAGAAGAAAGCGACCACGCTGTGTGGGGGAACGAGACGGCCTGCTCTCGCTCAGTATCTAGTTCGGCGACATAATTTGGCAATCACAAACTCGAACATCATTGCGGCTTCAACTCGCTGGCTCTCGGACGATTGGGCACCAGGGGATTCGGGCCCGTTTATGCCGCCACCTGGTCAGGCAGCAGGACAGCAGGACAGGAAATGGGTTGGCTGCGCTAGAGCTAGAGGCCGACTGGCTCGCGCATGTGATCACCACCGACGCAGATTTCCAGTATGAAGCCGACGATATCATTTCGATCCCAACCAGCCAAGCATCCCTGAGGAAAGAACCCGACTCAAAAAGCTGTCCGACCATGATAACTACCCTGATCTCCCGAGCAAATCCCTCGTCGCTGAAGTCTGCACGAGCATCACATATGTCCATGGAAAAATCGTACAAGTCGAACGGCTTCTGGGGTTTCTTCTTGTCCGCGGAGGCCTGCTCTTTTAGTCTCGAACGCGCAAACCAACGGCAAGAGTGAAGTCGCAGCCAGAAGCCCCTCATCATGTCCGAGCGGCTTCAACTTGGCGAACAGATTGTTCGTAGCATCCGTTCCAAAGAGTGAGTAGCGATGCTAGCAAAACGACTCCGGCACCACCGCCTCACGCACCGACGAGAAAGAGCAACAGCGCTCCTCGCCACACCACGCGCCGCCGCGCCAATGACAAGCGAGCACGAGCGATGCGGGGGAAAGGGGGCGCCGGCGGTGGCGGTGAAGGAGGCGGTGGCGGCGAGTAATGTGGGGGCCGAATACAAACATTTGCAAGCGGTTCAATTTCCTTCTTTACAAGAGCACCATCTCGAGCGAGCAGCAATCCACGGATTGAACCGCATGGGCTATCATGCGACCAATGCGAAGGTATGGAGACTAGTTCTTCTCATCTTTTACGCTGCCAGAGTAGACGGCTGATCGGCGTTTTCTTTTTGCTGTGGAAATAAGGTTGTGCCGAACAATGTGACCCACTAATCTTCCTTCACGTCACCATCATTGGCCGTACGCGCGCAACGTGCAACCTCAGCACGGGAATGCTATGAGGCCACCCCCGATGCCCGGATATCAAGGAAGGAACCCGCGGAACCAAGGAATGCCTTTGGCATTTCCATGCCTCCGGGGGTCCCGCAAACGGCCCCCACGTCCATGCGGTCCCCTCAAGACCGATGTTTCGCATGCCGCAATACGACACCCCCGACTTCTCGAACATGTATGCCTTCCAACGGTACCCGCAACAAGGGTATATGGTATCGTTCGACTTGAAAGACCGGCAACCGGTGGGTCTTCTGCCGACCGAGACTGGCACAGAGGTCGTTCGACGCACCGCGCCAGAGTTTGTGGAGCTTCTTGCAAATCAATCGCAGGGGCACCTCTCTCCGGAAGCTGGACCACATCTTAGGATTCAAACTCATTGATGTCGGACCCAACACTTCATCTACTGCAAAAAGCTGCGTCCGATCATGACAAGGAAAAGAAGTTCCTTGCCCATACGAAAGGAAGATGGACGAGTCGCAAAGGAAGATGGACGAGATGAAGAGGAAAATGGACGAGATGGAGAGGACTATGGGCGAGAAGCAGAGGAATATGGAGACGACATCGAGCTGCTCAGGAGTGGCGGCCTTCTTCGGTCTCAAGTTGGATGAAAGCTCTGACTACACGGCATGTCCTCCAAACTCAACTACAGTCTACCGATGACATTGCCGGACACTGGATACGCCTATCGCAAACGGGCTCGAATCCCATTGTTGGGGACATGGCCGTCGGTCAATCAGTGGGGTGCTGCGACAGTCCACAGGGCTACCCGGATGAGCAAAGCCGCCGGCGAGTGCAGGTCGCCATCGTGCATATCGATTCTCGTCCATGTTGCCGAATGTAGGGTCGGCAAGAAGATGCTGAGGAGTTCTTGGATTTATCATAGACGGGTTACATGAGGAACTGGTGTCGTTACAGAAAGAAGACGGGAGTGGGGATGCGAAGAGTCCAGATTCGGACGGGAGTTGGGTTGAGGTGGGAAAGACGGGGAAGAACCTCGTCACGCAGAACGCAAGTCATAGAAGACACAAATTCAGCGCGGCCATGTGCCAGGCAGCGCTGGCGCAAGAAGCGTTTCGTCGGATTCCGCCAACGCACGCAAGAACTCGAAACTCGCATGAAGACGCAGCAAAGCCACAAAAAACGGACCTCGTGTCTTGCGATGTGTGGTGCGAGGACTGCGGCAATACGCCTACGACAGATCTACGTCAATCTGCAAGCTAAACGCCGTGCGCGCCGATTTCGAGGCCATCAAGGCGTTCCCTGCCACAACGGGCGAGATCCGTTAGCGTTAGAGACTGGACGCTCGGCATGCCACACAGCCCACCGACTACGGCACTCTTTGAGTTGTTCGCCCTGCGCTTTCGCGAGACGATGGAGGTCAATGTCCTCCCGCGAAGTGGTGCGAAGCCGAGGGGAAACTCGTCGAACAATGTTGCAAAGGGCGAACGCGCCTCGCTACATCGACGGCCGAAGAGAAGCGAAAGATGGCCGAAGTACTAGGACAACGGTCTCTGCGGTCGGTGCCAGCTACCTCCATGGTCATGGTTATAGCAGGACACCCGACGGGCCCAATTACTGGACTACGCCCGGCGACATTGGAGCGGACAGTTAACATAGAAACCAGACTTTGTTTTGACATTTGTAAAACCTGACAATAGAGTGTACACAAAACGGACTTTGGGACTGGACGGCATGCTTGTAACATAAATCCTTTTTCCTTTTTGGTGTGAGGGTGATGTGAGGGGGGGTCGTTGCTCGTCCGTCCGAGTCGAGCGGAGTTGGACGGGGACGCCGGGCGGCGCGGTTGAGAAGCCGTCATTCGTGCCGTCTCCTCGTCGTCCCTTTCCATCCCTCTTCCACCGTTCCTCATCGCAGACCATCCTCGTCCGCTCGCACGTCCGCCAACCCACCCCCGTCCATACAGTACATCTCTCTCTCGTCTATCCGACCACACCCGCGCAACAAAATGTCCCAACCCCGCACCCCAACCCCGCTCTCCTCGACCCCACCCCGCACCTCCTCCATCCCTCACACCTCCGGCCGCTCCCCCGCCCGCCCAATCCCCTCCCCCATCTCCTCCACCCAACCCCACCCCGCCCAATCCTTCACATCCCAAACCCTCTCCTACCTCTCCTCCTCCCCCCCCATCTTCGCATCAACCGCCAACGCCGCAATCCACACATTCAACGCGCTGAACCCATTCCCCGCCCTCAGCGGTGGCGGGGGAATGGCGAGGGATCATGCCGCCGGGAGCGCGGTCCCATCCCCGACCGGGAGCATTTCCCCGGGGGGTAGCATGATCATCACGCCGTTGAGCAGCACGACCAGCCCCATCGCCACGCCGACGTCATCAACAGCAACAGCAAGTGCGACGGCAACACATACCGAATTCCTCCACCACATCAAACCCACGCTCCACCCGCTGGCCCTCTCCACGCACGCCTCGTACGCCAGTGCGTTGACCCACCCGCTCCAAGGCACCGCCGAGATGCTCGGCAAATGCGTCAAGACGTGGGTGGAGAAGGGGGACACGGCGGTGGATCGCACGCGGATGGCATTGGAGAGGGTGAGGGCGTCCGTGGAGGAGTTGGAGAAGAGGGCGGGGCGGACGTGTGGGGTTTTGAAGAGTGTGACGGTGGATACGATGGCGGGGGTGGAGAGGGGGGTGGGGATCGGCGTGGGGATTAGGAGTCCGGTGAGGAGTGCGGGGGGGTCGGCGAGGGGGTCGACGACGGTGGGTAGGGGATGATAGTTTTGGATAGCAAGTTTTGGGGGCAGGGTGGAAGCGGAATTCATTCATTCAACAGCGATGCAGAACCACCAACAAAAAGAGGCAGATGTACACAAAAGGAAGGGAGCCGCCTGTACGAGCCCCTCTGGAGCGATATATACACATCCCTACGGATGTATCCTCACAGTAAAAAGCCGGATATGCGTCCCTAGAGTTCGGTGAAAAAAGCGCATCAGCAATGCGTGGGAATCGACGGACAGGACAGACGCAGAGACTTACCAGTCCATATCGGCGGACACAGCTTCGCCGCCTCCCCAGCGCCCATCGCATTGCTCTTCATATACACGCATCCCTAAAGGGGACGAAATACAAGAATGTCAGAATCCACATCTCGGAACCTCCCCACAACGACCGAACATATAAAAACAAACACGTACCCAAAACCACCCAACAAACCAAACCCTCACCCCAACGCCCCCGACAAACCTCCTCACAAAGATCGGATGCGGCACCGGCAACACGCCCACCAACGTCCCGCTATTCAAATACTCGAGCACTTTCCGGTCGTCGTTGATCCCCTGCTCGACGCAGAGCTGCTCGATGGTGGGGGCGAGGGATGAGAGGAGGGTTAGGAGCGTGTGCAGGGGGAGGTGGGCGTGCCAGTAGGCGAACTAAACATCACCCAAGTGAGAAATGACAGTTAGTTTGGCGGTGGGGGAGAGGATGGCGGAGGGGGAGGGGGGGGGGGGGGGGGGGGGAATCGATGGACGTACCCATTCCTGCGTCGGCACGAATTTCCCGCGTTCATCCACCATAGCCTTCCCGTCTGCTTTCGCGCCGTCTACCCTGTCCCCATCATTCTTCCCACCCTCCTCCGAATCCACGTGCGCGGGTAACTTCCCCTTCCCCTTCTCCGACAACCCCTCCTGCGGGGGTATCACCTCCCCCACATCCTCAGAATGATCCACCTCGCTCTCCCGTCTTGACGTCGGCAGCGACGTCTCCCCCGGTGGTGTCGTGTCTCCATTCGTGTTACTCGTAGCAGCAGTGGGTGTGGTGGTGGTCGAGGGAGTTGAGATCCCAGCCTGCTGTAATTTCTGAGCCCTCAACGCACGGATCCGTTGCAGTTCCGCGTTGGCGTGCTCGAAAGTGAGGTCGTGGAGGGCGTAGAATTTCTGTTTGTAGCGGACCAAGGCGTACAATAGTGGTGTGTTTCCTAGAACATGAAATCGTCGTTAGCATGATGCAGACCCTCCATTGTGGAATAAACATAATGACAACGTATTTGTGTACCCACCAGTAACCTGATACTGCACAAGATTATTAAACACCTCCAACACATAAAACACATTCTTATGGTTATACTCATTCGCGAGCATGAACGCCGGGCTCGCAAACGCCGAGTACAATGACAACAACTTGTTGGCGGTCGTCACTGATAGCGTTTTGACGTAAGGGGAGACGTTGGCGAGGGCAGTGAGGAGGGGTTCGTGTAGGGGGATGGAGGTGGGGGGGCGCGTGGTGGAGGTGCAGAGGGTGTGGACGGCCTGGGGTTGGGTAGAATGGATGGGGTGAGATGGAGATGTAGCAGTGGTTTGATGAGTTGGGATAGTGGGACTTACCAAGAACAAGAAATCAGCCCAAGTCCCCGTCGTGAAATTCGGCACCGCTTTCGCGGCAGCCCCGACCGCGGCATGGTCGAAGGGCCCGTTGAGCTGCACGCTGAAGTTGCGGTCTTGGGAGAGCATGTGGAGGAGGAAGCTGCACATGCGGAGGAAGCCTACTTGTGCTGTTAGGTGGGGAAGGGAAGATGCTGTGAGTGATGGTGTGGTGGGGGAGGCGGTGGGGTGGAGGATACGTTACATGGGTCGTTCCGGGCCTCAACAGCAAGGTAGAGTATAGAAGCGAGCACGATCAGAATCTTATCCGTTTCCATCGCCTGATGTTGGAATTTCTGTACGCCGAGGGGGCAACCACACCACAACTTGAGCATGCGATGACTCCCATCTCGAATGAAGATGCCGTACGTACCGGATTGCTCTCCATCAACTTCCAAAACAGCATCAGCACCTCGGCCTGCAGGTTCACGCGTTTCGTCGAGCCGGGGAGGTATGTGTTTGCCGACTGCCACATACAATCCCATATCACCTATTAGTGACCACCCATTACGGGATGCATCTGCCACGGGACATACCTCCAAAGGATTCTTCAAAATCCGGCAAAACCCCGTCATAATCAACAAAAAGTCCTGCGGGCGGTGTAATTTGCCCGCATAGAACGCAAAGTCGTTGCGGAGGGCGTCTCTCTGCAAAAAGTGAATCACGTTGGACACACACGTACGTACGGCCCATTTCATAGTCATAGTAGAGGGGCACATACCTTGGGTCCACCATCCCCACTGGCGGGGTTAAACGCTGCCGCGCTACTCCCGCTCGCGAAGGATGTCCGTCTATCCGGTTCCGCGGGTGTGTTCCGGCTATAAATTCGAGGTATCAGTAAACCATGCTTTCCTCCGAGCTTCCGAAGGCGAACTCATCTTTACCTAGAACCGACATCGGGCGTTGACGGCGCCGAATCCTGAATCGGTGACCGAGCGTCGAGTAAAGCTACCAGAGTTTGGAGGCAAAGCATGACGAACTGTTCTTGGACGTTTGCAAAGATAAGCTGTGAACAGGATAAGTACCAAACGTGCACTCCACATTAGCGAAAGACCGGGGACATTACATCAGCCGCTCAAACCCCAAACATACATGATTGTAAGGCAGCATCCCCCACCCAACCGGATCATAATTCACACTCGTATTCAACAACGAGCACAGCAACGACAGGGTGGCTTTCTTCTCCAACCCGGTAACGATCGCGTTAGACCACCGGCTTTGTGTTGTTGTCAGTTTAGCGGTGGGTATGTAGATGGTGCGCGAGAGGAGGGTGAGGAGGAGACGGAGGGTTTCGGTTCGGTGGGTGATTTCGGTGCGGGTGGTAGCGGGGGAAACGGAGGCGCCTACGCCTTGTTCCCTGGGGAAGTGGGGAGACCGGTGAGTCGGTTGTATGTTGCGATGGAGGACGAAACGTCCGAGACTCGTACCAGATGATGTATTGCACGCCATGCCCCGTCTGCGGGTCCGTCCCCTCCGGCAACGTGAACCCTCTGAAAAACAACAACTGCACGACTGCCCTGCACAGCTTTGGCGCAAGGAGATCATCCCCGCTCCAGAACAGCTTGTCCTCAAAGTCGGATTCGGCTTCAAAGATGTATGGTAACAGCCGCGTCAGGATCCGGATGCAGTTTAGGATCTCTTTTGCGTCGTCTTTTGTGGGGGGTGTTGTTAGGGAGAGGAAGGTGGAGATTCGGTCTAGGATCTGCAATAAGTCGATGGGTGAACGATATCCTTCGACAACGCAAATACAACGCGGATGAAGCGTCGTCAACCCATCAATCCATCAACCACCATTACCAACGCGACAAGGACGTTGGACCGGTGTGTGCTCCGCCCTCCTAGGCCCCGCCGCACTCAAGCATGCCCTGCACCTGCCCTCCCCATCCACCCATTCTCCACCGCAAACCTCCCATCCCTTGTCACCGCTCCCGCCGTAACCCACCTTCTCGATCAGCGTCACCAAATTCCCACCGGCCACATCCCTAACCCTCCTGATATCCTTCGGGGCGAAAAGATTAAAGACATCCTCGGCCGTGTCGGGGAGGGTGTAGAAGTTGTGCCAGAATTCTTGGGAGGTTGGAGGGATGTTCTGGAGGAAAGGACAAAGATTAGGGGAGATCTCGGTGAGGAAGGGGCGAGAGGAGAGAAGAGAAGAGGGTACTTGTTGTTCGTAGAGCTGGAAGACGTTCTTGCGGAAGGCTAGTTTTGACTCTGTTGCGCCCATTGTGAGTAGCTTCCCGTGTGCCTGTCGCTTGTATAGTGACGTTTGAAGCGGCAGGGAACAGAACGAGGGGAAAGAGCAAGAGGGAGGCCGCCGTTGTCTGTCTGTCTGTCTGTCTGGGTGTCGCCCATCGGACGCGTCTCTCCGCCCTCTCTCTCTGGCTCCAGCACCTCCCTCAACTCCCCCCTGACTCCCAGCCATATGATATGCATCTGCAACAATGGAGCTATCAACCATAGGCCTCCAGTGCTCCGCTCAACTCTGCAACAGGCTAGGTAACACACTCCCCCCCCCCCTCCCCTCCCCTCCCCTCTCTGACCTCTTCCTAACACACACCCTCCTGCAATCTTCGTATTCTAGACTTCCTTCCGTTCAAATGTAGCGCTTGTCTGTTCGTCTTCTGGTACGTATGGGCGCGAGGGTTACGACTTTCTCCGCTCTTGCTTGGTGGGGAGACGCATGTCGGGTGGTTTGTAACCCAGCGAGTGTTTTTTTTTGGCAGTCTGGAGCATAGGACGCCCTCGTCGCATGCATGCGCCAAATGGACCGAGAAGGACGTATGTGCTGCGTTTATTCATGAATGAAGGGAAGATCCAGGGGACCTGGAGCGGAATCTCATCAGCCCCCTCGCTCCCGCCCGCAAAGGCGTAACAGAAACACCTCCCCGTCTGCCCTCTCTGCTCAAACATCCTGTCCTCCACCCCCGGTGTATCCGACACCGATATCGTAAGAACAGCCAACTCATCCCATTTTTGGCTTCACGCCCTCCGTGCTTTTTTGCTTATTTCCCGATGTTTATCTATCGAACAGTTGAACGCCCACCAATCATCAAAATGCACCACGCACATCACACCCACGAAACCGTCCGAGAAGATCACATGTGGGATGCATGGATGTGGGAAGAGGGAGTTGTGGGGGGTCAAATGTCGGAAATGCAGCCATGCTTTTTGTTTACAGTATGCATTCCCACCCCCCCCCGTTTTGCTATCACTGTGAAGCTGACTTTTTGTTGTTGTATCGTGTGCAGACATAGACACCCCTCCGCACACGCATGCACAGTCCTCGCCCGCGAACTGACCGTGAAGAAGGAAAAGGACGACGCGTTGGCGGGCGTGACGGGGACGAAGCGGACGGGGGGGACGAAAGTAGGGGGGGCGTCGGATGCATCGGGCAAGAAAACGAAATTGAGCCCGGCTGTCGAGTTGATGAGGCTCAAGATGCACGCCAAGGTGAATCGTCCTCATTCTCAAACGCAGGCGACATCCCCCACAACTGACCACTAAAGCTGTGACAAAACCCGCACAGGGCGACGCATCCATCCCCGTCCCATCCCGCACATACCTGTCGATCACATCCACAACCGAGCCCGCCCTCTCCACCCCGACACCCATGTTCTTTCATAAAGACTGGACGGTTGGGCGGTGTGTGGATTATATCGCCAGCGCACTCAAGATTACCAACGTCAACAATACCGGGAATAGAGAGAGTTTGCTTGCGCTCTATGACGCGGAGGGGCGGAGGCTGGGGATGGGGGAGAGTGTGGGGACGGTGGGAAGTGGGAGGGGGGTGAGGTTGGAGAGGGGGGTGATGGAGAGTGTTGATGTCGAGACAACACCGTGAGAGAATCACTCCATCGAATGTACTGTACGTGAAGTGTGAGCGAAACTTTGTGTACAAGTTGCCATCATCGGCGACGCCTCAGGCAGAGGTACAATGATGTGGATGGCAGATAACCACCACGGAAAATAGTATGGGGTGAAAATTCTAGACTACCGGTTACGGGAGAATGCGTCTGGTCTGTGGCCATTGCCAAGCACCACCGAGCGCACAATCAAGAGAAAATTCTTGGTGCTTAGGACGTCCCGATTGTGCACTTTCATCCGTAGTCGTTGTGGTCGTCTTCCAGGAATCTCAAATGGCGTCCAGTCTTGGTTGATACATTCGGGGTTGGGGCAACCCACCAATCCATGGACGTATTCCATTCTTCCCTTTCTAGCTTGCCATGGTCGAGATGACAGCCGCTGTCGGATGTTTTTCTTCACACGGCCGTGGCAGTCGGGGCACACGGACGAAGTTCAATACTCATCCAGCAAGTAGGATGGAATGCTGTTTCTCGCAAAGAGTGTGCAAAATCTGTTCCATGATGAGTTAGCATAATGGAATACATAGTAGATACCACCAATCATGGTCACTCACCCCTTGATCTTCGATGACTCCTGAAAGCGCATCGTTTTCCCAGCATCGCTCCAATCACCCAAGATGACCAAAAAATTCTTTCCATACTGGCGTCGCATGTTCTTAATGAGCTTGCTCTCAGACTTTTGCCGCAGTGAGAACGCCTTGAACCTGCGAGCGACTTGAATCTCATCCTGGTAAAACTCATCCAGGGCGGGATCTGGGATATGGATGGATGTCAGCCCATGTATTACTAAATTTGAAGACAGCGCATAATACATCATACCTGCATGTATGTGATCCACAATGAGCGCTGAGAACGCCTCCATCTTCATGCTCTTGTGCGACGGAATATGTGATTCCATCTCAGCGACGCCGGCATTGATCTTTCGCTCTGTCATGTCTCTTTGAAAGAACCGAGACTTTGTCTCTACCGCCCGTTGATTGGATGTGTATCTGGTACGGGGTGGCGTTTTGTGAGAATGTGGCAACGGATGGTGGGGACGGTAAGGGGGGGGATGGTGGGGACGGGGACAAGGACAGGGTTGGCCTCAATACCGTCATGCAGGTCATCAACATGGGCCACGCGACGAGCGATATGATGCGCGACGGCGACGAGCAAACCAACCGCGGGCGCTCCCTCATCGGCGGCGTTCCCATCGACGGCTCCGTGCTTGTCCAACTCTATCAACGAACTCCTCGCCCAGATCCGCGACGGTGGCAACCGCTACAACATGATTAGCGCCACCGAGGCCCTCGTTGCCAACATGGCTGCGGAAGCCGTCAACGCCGTCTGGACCAACTTCGTTGCCCGTGTCCGCAAACAGGGGAACCACCCCTTCCAAATCAACGTCCGCAAACACCTCCGCAGCGTTGGGGCGGGGCGGGGGGGGGGGGGGGAGGGGGGGGGGGGGGGGACAGCAGGGCAGTAGTAATCAACTGAAACGTACCGAAATGGGCGCTCCTTCTCCATGTCTCGACAGAACAGGAGGTCACGCTTGCCCGGATCAATGCAGACGATGTTTGGAGCCTCCCTTAATTCGTCAATGTGGTGCTCAAAATACTGCTGCTTGACTTCTTCCTGCATTTGGGCCTTGCTGCGCTTCCGGGCCCGATACGCGAACTTGAGCCCTGGCTTCTTGAAGTGGATGGTAACGGAATACCCGTCGGTGCTAATTGACCCATCGAACTTGAGACCAAGCTTCTTTCGATGTTTGAAGACCTTGTCCTATAACCCGTCGTTCAGCAGGGCAATCGAAATAAGCGCAGAAGGGTACAGACTTAACTTACATTCACATTGAGAAACTGCCCCCACAGCTCCCGCTTGCGTTCATCGGTGAACTTCCCCATGCAAGATTGGCTCAAGCTCAGAATATGATTGCCTAAGATCATCGTGTCGATCCTAACAGATGACTGGATTCGAGATTTGCGCAGCGGGATAGCCGAAAACAGCCGCATTCTACGGCGCTCATAAAGGCGTGAGAGCTCACAATAGGCACCTGTGATGAGGCAGGTGCGGACCATGATTAGACAAAAGAGGAAGCCGCGCGGGGGGGGGGGGGGGGGGGGGGGGAGGGGGAGGGGGGGGGCCGGCTGGAAAAAAACTAACTCACCTAAATATGGCATTGCATTCACCGCAAGGCTGTATGCAAGTGGTTCATCCTGGGGAGGAAACAGAGCCCATAACTCATTGAGGAGAGTCTGCTCAGGTCGTGTGAGGCGGTCAAACTCCTCTTCAGTTGGGTACTCTTCAAATGTTGCAAACTTTATGAATTGACGGACACGCCGGTAATACTGTTGGCGCTGCGCTCGGCTGACTCCGGCTCTCTGAAGATGCAGTACGACTTCTTTCAAGCCAATCCTTTCATTGACGTAGCGCAGAAGCATTTGCAGAAAATGCTCTTGTACGTTAACTTTCAGGTTGGTGAAGATGACATCAAAGAACCCTCCACGGAACAGGGTTTTCCCAAGGTCCAGCCGCAGTAAAGCCCCAGCGACTGGAGAACACACACTCCTCCGGGCCTCCTAACCTTGCAGCTCCTGCAACGGAAGAGGCCACCCCCCTGGTTCCCGACTCCGTTAAATCCAACACAACCCTCCTAGCCGCCGCCCATGTCGAAAACTCCGAAATTAACCCACGCGCCATGCTTGCGCTGGGTCCTGCCGAACCCTTCAACTACCCCGTTACCATCATGGTATCATCCAGCCGCGCCCCGATACCTACCTCAGCCATGATCGACAATGGTGCCCTGTCCTGCTTCATCGACAGAGACTTTGCCCGCAAACACCGCATCGCCCTAGTCCCGCATCAGCGTCCACTGACAATCGAACTCGTTGACGGTCAACCCAGCTCTGCTGGGCCAATCACCCATCACACCCAACCAGTAGGCATGTGGGTTGACAACCACTTTGAAGAACTCGTCTTCCATGTCACCAAATCACCCCACGCTCCAATCCTCCTTGGTCTCCCCTGGCTCCGCCTCCACGACGTTAACCTTGACTTCAAGAACCTTTCGGTCGGTTCCCGTTGCGACTGTCAGTACCATGAATTCGCAAATTGGCACCGCTCCCCGGCACCCCCGAGCCCAGCACCCGCCAGATCTCCCGAGCCCTTGATCCGCATCCCCCAGGATGAAGTCCCCATCAACAAAACATGGTCGATCCCAGTACCCAAGGTATCTCGCTCCAGCACCCCAGAACTGGCTCCCACGCCGCTCCGAGTCTCGTTCATCTCCGCCCCAGCCTTCCGGGTCGCAGCAAGGCATGACCAGGTCTCTGTCGCCTACGCCAACCCTGCAAAACCCGAGCTCCCGGCCTCACCTAGCCCCAGTACCCTCCCAACAACCGAGAAAGACATCAAAGACTTCCTGCCCCCCGCATATCAAGATTTCGCCGACGTTTTCGAAAAGAAAAATGTTGACACTCTCCCTGAGCACCGGCCCTACAACTGTCCTATCGACCTGGAAGAAGACAAGCAGTCACCTCTTGGCCCGATCTACAGCCTCAGCAAACCAGAAATGAAAGCACTCTGCGAATACCTCGAAGAAAACCTCGCCAAAGGATTCATCAAACCCTCAAAGTCCCCTGCCGGTGCGCCAGTCTTATTTGTGAAGAAAAAGGACGGTTCTCTCCGCCTCTGCGTCGATTATCGAGGCCTGAAGAGCATCACGGTGAAGAATTGCTACCACCTGCCCCTGATCAACGGTATCATGGACCGTTTGCGCGGTGCCCGCCATCTCACCAAGATCGACCTCCGCGGCGCTTACAACCTCTTACGCATGCGCCCGGGCGATGAATGGAAGACCGCCTTCCGCTGCCGCTACGGCCTATTCGAATACAATATCATGCCCTTTGGACTCAGCAATGCTCCTGGCGTTTTCCAGTACCTGATGAACGACATCTTCCACGACATTCTCGATGTGTTTGTTTTTGTCTACCTTGATGATATCCTGATATTCTCCAAGAACCCCGAAGATCACCCCAAGCACGTCCGCGAAGTCTTGTCCCGCCTCCGCCAGCATGGGTTGTACGCCAACCCGAGAAGTGCGAATTCAACCGTGAATCTGTCGAGTTCCTAGGCTTCATCATCTCCGAGAAAGGCATCCAAATGGACCCCAAGAAGATCGCTGCCATCACGGATTGGGAACCTCCCAAGAATGTCAAAGGCGTCCAGCGCTTCCTCGGCTTTGCCAACTTCTATCGCCGATTCATCCAAGGTTATTCCAAGATCGCTACCCCGCTCACAGCCCTGACCCGGAAAGACATCCCGTACGCCTGGACGCCCGCCGCAAACACCGCCTTCGAGAACCTGAAGAAATCATTCACCACCGCCCCCATCCTTGCTCACCCTGACCCAGAGAAGCCCTTTGTCGTCGAAACTGACGCCCCCGACTTCGCCTCTGGCGCAGTTCTCCTCCAACCTGACCAGGACAATCAGCTCCACCCTGTGGCCTTCCACTCTCGCAAATTCACGGCCGAAGAGATCAACTACGAGATCTACGACAAGGAACTTCTGGCCATCCAAGACTCCTTTGCCCAGTGGCGACACCATCTCATTGGCGCCCGTCACAAGATCACCGTTTACTCCGACCACAAAAACCTTCAGTACTTCATGACCACCCGCACCCTGAACCGCCGCCAAGCCCGCTGGTCGATATTCTTCTCGGATTTTGACTTTGTCATTACCTATCGCCCCGGTTCCCAGCAGCACCAAGCCGATGCCCTCTCCCGACGCTCGAACATGAGCTAAAGAGGGGGAAGAAGCGTTCCGCTCCCAGGCGACCACAATTTTGACTCCCGAACGCCTCCGACTCGCCGCGGCCTACCTCACACCCATGGATACTACGCTGCTTGACAAGATTAAGGCCGCCCAGGCCTCTGACCCCTCGCTAAGACCATCCGCAAAGAGCTCAAGATACCCCTTGCCCAACGGACCGAGGAAACCCAAGATCGTATCAAGCGGTTCTCAGATGAAGATGGGATCCTGCTGCACGATAACCTTGTCTATGTCCCCACCAATGAGCTCCGAGCTGAAGTCTGCCACGACATGCACGATACACCCCTAGCCGGCCACTTTGGGATGTCCAAGACGCTCGAACTCGCCTCCCGCAACTACTGGTGGCCCAGCCAGTGGCGCTTCGTCAAGGCCTACGTCAAGTCCTGCGATATCTGTAGCCAAGCGAAATCCAGTCGACACAAACCTTACGGCCTACTCCAGCCCAACAGTATCCCTACCCGCCCTTGGGGATCTTGGTCCCTGGACTTTATCACCGGTCTGCCTCCCGTTGATGGGTACGACTCCATCCTGAACGTCAACTGTCGCCTCACCAAGATGGCCCACTTCATCGCCTGCAGCGAGTCAGAATCCGCCGAATCCACCGCCGACCTAGTCTTCCACAATATCATCCTGTCTCCACGGCCTCCCCGACGACATCATCTCTGACCGAGGACCCCAGTTCAAGTCCCGGTTCTGGCGTCGACTTCTCGAACTCCTTGGGGCGAAAGCCAACCTCTCCTCGGCCTTCCACCCCCAGAGCGACGGCCAGACGGAACGCACCAACCAGATCCTGGAGCAGTATCTCCGATGCTTTGCAACCACCAACAGGACAACTGGAAACGGCTTCTGTTGTCCGCCGAGTTTGCCTACAACAACACCCACCAGTCCGCTTCCCAGACCACCCCCTTCTACGCCAACAATGGTCTCCACCCCCGCTTCAGTTTCGCTGCCTCTGCTACCTCCGAATCCGTCAACCCCGCCGCTGAAGCCCGCGCTAAACAAATCAGGGAAGTCCATGAACAGCTCGTCCTTGAGCTCAAGGAAGCGCAAGATCGAATGAAGGGCTACGCTGACGCTATACGAATCCCTGGACCAAACTTCAAGCATGGTGACCACGTCTGGCTCCTCCGAAAAAACCTCCAGACGACCCGGCCCTCTCCGAAGCTCAACCATCGCGAGATTGGGCCATTTCCCATCGTTGAAAAGATCAATCCAGTCGCCTACCGACTCAAGCTCCCGCCTACGTACAAAATCCACGATGTCTTCCATGTCTCGCTCCTCGAACCCCGCTTCACCATCCCCGAACGACACGAACCCGAACCCGGGCCCCAGAGACCGTTGAGGGTCAAGAAGAGTGGGTTGTTGAAGCCATACTTGACTCTCGCATCCATCGTCATCGCCTTCAGTACTTGGTCAAATGGCAGGGCTGGCCTGACTCCGAGAACACCTGGGAGCCCGTGGAACACCTCACCCATACCGACGCACTCCTCAAGGACTTCCACAGCGCGTACCCCAACAAGCCTTCCTCTGTCCCCGGTGCCCCTCCTCCACAACCACACCAAACTCGCCGCCGCCGCCGCCGCCGCTAAAGAGAGGGGTGATGTTATGGACGACGCGCCCATACCATAAGCTTACCTACTGACAGCCGCCAATGTCAACCGCCAATGTCAAACGCCAATGTCAATGTCAATGTCAGTGTCAATGTCAGTGTCAATGTCAATGTCAATGCCACTCCCCCTCGCTCCTCTCATTTCGCCAATCCTCCCGCAATATGGCCACTCCTCCTCTCTCCTCTCATTTCGGCAATCCCCCCTCGGCTTCTCCACACTCCCCACTACTTCTCCATAGCCAGCAGCTGTAGCAATGCTCTCTACGCTCGCCACGCACGCTCTAGGAGCATAGCTGGCGCCCCCCCCCAGTCCCCTCTTGTTGTTGTTGTTCTCTGGCCTGCTGGGTTGCCTATCTATAAATAGCCGGCCTCTCTTCGTCCATTCCCTTCCTCCCCAGCAGATCAACACCAGTTCTTCTCATCTCCTGTTCTAGTCCTTGTTTCTTGTTTCGCCAATACAATCTCTTGTCGCCTATCACTCTCGCCTTGTCTTCTCTACTTCGTTTTCGCCTCAGTCTTCGAGATCATAACACGCTGACCATGTCTGCAATTGCTTCGGGCAAGTGGCGATGGACAGACGGTGGGAACTCAAATCGCGGACGTGATTGCAATGGTGTCTGCACAGCGGTCGGCAGACGTATGGGCAACCGGGGGGTAACTGGAGTAACCTTCCTCCTCTTCCGCCGTGGTGTGGTTACTCCGGTGAAGATGCCACACCACAGGTGCCCCTGGAGCGCCTGGTGTGATGACATGTTGGCTGTGCTGTGCTGTGCTGGCAGGGAGGGTAGATTGATATGTATTAGGTAGTGTGAGGGATTGCCGCGGGGTAAGGGATTGCTGTTGTTACCTGGAGGTGGTTGGCGGGATGTGTACTGTTTGCAATTGCGGTGGAAGGAAGGGGGTTGGTAGGTTGGGAAGGAGAGAAGGGCCTACATCCTCCCCACTCTACAGCGTCTTTATACGTATATGAATCTCCATGTTCTTGTGCGATACAGAGTGTGGCTTGGTCCAGCGAAGAAAAAAGCCCAGCCAATGGGGGGAAGCTATACGCTTGCTTATGGGAATGGGGGAAAGCGGGGGTATGGCACTGACAGCACTGGATCACGACAGCTCAGCGGAGTACATGTACAGTATGTTTGTACAGTACTATGTACATATACAGTATATGTACGTGACTGCGTTTGTCTCGCCGTGGCCAGAGGTGCGGTACCGAATACTTGGAATGTTATGGTGTCGGGCACTTTCTCATTCATTTGGTTGGCCACGGCTGGCCAGAGGTGCGGAGTGTGCCGGTGGAGGGTTTAGCCAGAGGTCTGGTCAGAAGTGCGCTCCAAAAGCGCACGTGAGAGATGTATCCTCACCCTCGGACTTACAGCCTTCACCCTCAGTTTTTAGCCTTCAGCACGCGTAATTGAACCCGGAAGGCTGTTATTTCACGCAAAGAAAAAGCTGTTATTTCACGCGGCAGGCGTGGACCCGGACTCTTTCTTCAAGGTCCTTTGAACGAGCAGAAAGGCCAGCGGGGCAGGCATTTCCGTTAGCAGGCATTAGCAGGCATTCAGGGACATTCCCTTGCAGCAGGCATTATTATCACCTGTACTCTACTCCAGACCGCTTCAAGTTATTTCAAGGTAGTGGGATGTGCTTTCTCGCCCCCCGATCCCTACCCACTCAGTCTCACTCTCACTCTCCCTCTCTCTCTCTTGCGCTCAGGTAACCTTGGGCATACCTCCATGCCGTGCACTCACACTTGGAAGGAACACTATAGGTGAGAATTAAAAGCCGCACACAATACCAAAACCGATCGCCCGAGGCAGCTCGGCATAGGAGCAGCCTCGCGATACTCTACCTTTTCGAATCACGATCGCCCGAGGCAGCTCGGCATAGGAGCAGCCTCACAATATGCTACCTTCTCGACTCGCGATAGCCCGAGGCAGCTCGGCATAGGAGCAGCCTCGCAATTTGTTTGCCATTCTATGTCACACACCCGCTCCATGCTCCCGCGACGAGTGGGAGCAGCTTCTCACCGATTTGACCAAGATGATTGACACAAGGGATCTCACTCGGGCTGCAGATGCTGGATTTGATGAGCGATGTTGGTGGTTTCCCCAGAGCCCCGTCGAGGCGGAGCCGTGTGAAACAGGAGGAATAAAGCGAAAAAAAAAAATGGTCGTGGCTCGAACTGTTTGAGAGTGGGTAAGGTTGCTTTCTGTTGCGATACATAGTACGTAGTTTTGCTGTTCAGTTAACACCCACGAAGCGCCAAGCGCAACAGTAGTTACCACGCCGCGCCTAGCGCGACAGGGGTCATAATCTGAACAAACAAAGAAGTTGTCTGGGAGTGGGAATTGAACTCGCGACCTGCACGTCTGCAGGGAGAGCAAGATTCAACTGTGCCAAAGCGCCAGTGTTATCAGAATCCAATTACAGTACCAGAAGGGTGTACAGTAGGTGGCCAAAAGTCCGGGTACGATGGGTTCCCTAAGCCTGCTGCCTCAACGACCAGCTGCCGTCCACGCACGTGATTAAGTCAGTGTCCATTGCGAGCTGCCATTGAATTGACAGCATCGACCACGGCATCAGCCACTTGAATAGAGACCCTAACCCTAACCCTAACCCTACCCCTACCTTGTATTCTCAATTGAAATCAGAACTCTAACCCTAACCCTAACCCTAAATTGAATCAAGGAACTTTGTGTATATTGGGAGAGTACCGTGCTGCACATGTAAACAATCGGCTGCTCAAACTGTAACATTCCCCACAATCTCCCACGATCCAAAAACACCAAAAAGGCGACCAAGATGGAATCAAATGCAAACAGTAGTGTGTAAAAAGCCAAGAGAAAAACGAAAAGCGTGCGATTCTTATTCCCTTCAAAAAAGGGTGTCAAAGCAAACATGTATAATGCCTCCCTCCCCCGTGTTACCCTCCTCCCCTCTCTAAACCCCCCTCCTCAAACGCCCCCGGGCCTATACTTTACTAGCAACGCACTTCTCCCCCAACAGCTTCCCCGCCAACCTCTCCGCCGCCACCTGCCGACAGCTCTGCATCTGCTGACACTGATGCGCCTCGGGCAACCGATGCTTTGAACAGAACGTGTGCGTGCAGTAGCGACACAGCCCGATGATTTTGACCGGCTTGGCCGTGCAGGCCGGGAACTTGCACCGTGTGGATTTCTTCGCGGGGGACGGTGTCGTACCCGTCCCCGTATTCGTATTCGTATTCGCCTCCGTCGTGGACTCGAGCGACGACGTTGATGTCTCCGCCAGTGTGGTTTCCTCCCCCGCCCCGCCGCGCAATCTCAGCACCAAATGCAACGTGCTCTCCTTCTGGATGTTGTAGTCACTCAACGTGCGTCCGTCCTCCAGCTGCTTTCCGGCAAAGATGAGCCGCTGCTGGTCGGGCGGGATCCCTTCCTTGTCTTGGATTTTTGTTTTGACATTGTCGATGGTGTCGGAGGACTCGACTTCGAGGGTTATTGTTTTGCCGGTCAGGGTTTTTACAAAGATTTGCATTGTGGCGATTGTGATGGGTGGTGGATGGACGGAGGAGGGTGGTTAGAGCGGTGTGGTGTTGTTGGGTTGTGGTTTAGGGAGGGTAGCTGAGCGGCCAGTTGTTTATTTATATGTACACGAGGGGTGGGTTGGGGGGGTTAACGTTGCGCTTGGCATGAATTTGAAACGGGCGGTTCGCAGATAAGAACTCCTAACCACCGGATCGCTCTCTCTCGCTCTCTCGCTCTCTCGTCGTGAAATTCCAAGTAAGTGACGTGGCAAGGAAGACGTGCTACGATGACAAACACCCAATGACTCATCAGCCTCACTCTGAGGATTTACAATGCACTTGAGCTGCATGTGATGTCTGCCAGATTTTAAATGGTACCGTAGTAGACAGCGTAGTAGAGCTCTGATTGCCGCGGATACTTTTGACATTTGGGTTGTCATCACGCGCTTGCTGTCCATCCCCCGCTGCTTGCAGCTTCTCAAAGCCTCAAAGAGAGTGAGAAACGCAGCCGCCGCCAGACTGAAGCAAACGAGGAATAACCGCCGCGGGCTCTTCCAAAGAGCCTTTCTCATCATCCACGCACCAAGGTCCTCCAACACTGCCGCCCGCCCCACCACCACGATGGCCACCACGGAAGAAGTCCAAAGCTGGCTCCAAGTAATGGCCCTCAACGACTCCTACTACGGCGCAACCATCGCAGACAAGCTGAAAGTTGTGAAAGCGCGCCCAGGCGCAGTGGTCTTTGAGCTCCTCGTCGACGGGCCTATGCTCAATTTCGCAGGGTCTATACATGGCGGGCTTTTGGCGACTGTAAGAAAAAGAGGCAAGATACGCTCGGTTATCTCAGCCTTGTCCATGCTCATCCATCCCCATTCATTATATTACAGTTAGTGGATGAATGCACGACCTTTGCAATAATGTCCGCGGGCCACAAGCCAGGTCTCAGCGTCGATATCACAGTGCAGTACCTGTCCACCGCAAAGGAAGGCGAGACGATATCGGTTGCGGCGACGTTGGATAAGGCGGGGCATAATATGGCGTTTGCCCGCTGTGTTGTGGGGTTGAAGGGGTCTGACAAGATTATTGCAACTGGATCGCATACGAAGTTTTTAAATGTGAAATTGTGATGCGGGGGTGGGTGATGAGTCGGAAATGGACAGGCGACAACACGATTGCAAGCCACAACGAATGCGCGGGATAGCGGGTCTACTGGAATACCGCCGCTGCGGGCGACAGTAACGGCTAGGGAGTGAGCCAGGCGGGGCTTAAGCGAGCAGCGACTTGCGAATGGAGGCAGATGGATGATGCCAGCCGCAATTCAAAGTTCGCCAGATCGATCTGTCCCGTTACTCGGCAATTTCGCATGTCTGGCATCATTTGCATCATGGATAGCAATCGATTCATGGGCCATGGGCCTATGGATTTCACCGCATGTCCGTAAGGACTGCACATAGGTACAGCGCTCGGATTATGGAGAAGCTCGTATCTAAGAGAACAGTCAGCATAGATAGAGCTTCCTCACAGGAATGCAGTAGAGACCGGCTGTCTTCGGATTTACTGTATACAGGGTATAGTGTAGAAACGAACAACGTCCCTTATACAGTCCCTTATACAGTCCCTCATACACCAGTCGTTGGGAATCAAAACCTGGTCTGAATTGTGAGTTGTGAATTGTGATTGTAAAATATAGGCCGCTCCTACGTAGTACAGGCTACTACACCGCTACTGCCTACATACAATATGATGCGACGCGATCCTAGTGGTACTCCATCTTCATGTCCTCCTCCGTCTTCATGTCCTCCTCCATCTTCATCCCCGTCTTCACCTCCAGCTTCATCTTCCGGCCCTTCCTTTCCTTATCCGCCAACAACTTCTTACCCTCCTCTCCAACTCCACCTCCTTATCCTCCATCTCTATATGATGACCATTCCCTTTGCACATGGGGGGGGGGGGGGCCAGCGAATGCTAACCATCTCCTCAGCAAGCTTTCCGTCCAACTCCCGGTTGTGAAAGTTCTTGAGAACCTTCCAACCCGAGCTCAAACACCTTCTGATAAGTAAACTGCAAGAACGCATACCGGGTGTCGGCAGGGTCCGTCGCCCACCATCTCCACAAAGTGCTCAAGAGCCTGACTGCGAATGAGCAAAATATCTCCAGGTCGATAAGGCAGCATGATGCCAAGATCGGGAAGGCACAATCTTCCACCTTTGGAAAAAGTCCCAAAGCAGCTCATGGTGGCCCAGCTGTAAGGAATGTCGCGTTTGTCATGATGCGGTGCAGTTTGGTGGTTGGCTGCTAGAACATTCATGGCATTGACTTGGGGGCCCCTCGTACCAGCCCAGAAGTGCTTCAAATCTGGCCGAAGGTGGGTCATCGATTGAGTGAGACGGTAATGGCCAATGGGGTCAATAAGGCGAAGAGCCTCACTGAGGAGCCAGTTGATGCATTCCACACCGGGATCGCAGATGAAGTGATAGGTGTCGCACTGGGCAGGGCCCGAGTGCATGTGCGTGCAGTCATAACGTCCCCATACATAGTCTGCCACACACAGATGTGCATGGTGGCTTTTTGGCTGGTGACATCGATGGCATCCGTTGGCTGGTGGCAAGGTCAAACATCCTTTGACAGCTTCCCAAAATCCTCCTTCTGTTCCTTCTAATTCTTCACCACCTTTTTTGCCACCTTCACAAAACCCAGCTGCCACCCCTGCCCAATGATTCCAGGGAGGAACATGAACAACGCCTTCCCGTCCTTGTCCACTCCAATTGACGGCACCCTCCCACTTTTGATATCGTCCACATCCTCAATGCTCAAGTTGGTGCAGTCAGCATTCTTCGGTTTCGCAGCCAGCTCACTCAATGATAAGTGGTCAAAGATCCAAACATTGTTCTCAATGGCACGCACTACCTCATTGCAGAGGTATTCACGCATGCTATGGGAAAAGAGAACACTGGCTTCCATCTCTGGGAGAGCGGGGCCCCAAAGGATCTTCCTGTGCTTCGAAGTCTTTTGTTTTTCCTTCACATTTCCCCTATGCCGGTTCCCTCCACCGCCTTCGTAGTCGCTGTCGTTGTCATCGTCGTCATTGCCGTCTTCATAATCGTACTCAAAGTCGCCTTCTTCAAGATCAAGGTCGAGGTGGACTTCTACCTCCTTCATACTCTGAACTCGGTCGCGACGCGGGCGAAGGCGGTTACGGATACGGTCTTCGCCGACGTATTCGGTGTTGGAGGTGGAGATGGACATGCTGATGCACCCACCGACGCTGAAGTGCGAGCCGCCGCTGCCATTCTCGCCGCCGCCGTTGTCGTTTGCACCATTCTCCCCGCCGCCATTGCCACTCTCGCCACCGTCGCCATTCTCCCCACCATTCTCGCCACTCTCGCCGACGTCGCCGTTGGCGCTCTCGCCATTTTCCCTGCCACTCTCGCCGCCCGTTACCGTTACCACTCTCGCCGCCACTCTCGCCCACGTCGCCGTTGCCCACTTTTTCGGCTATCTCTTTCAATTCCCAAGGCCTAACTCCCTCTCCCATTCGAGCCCGTGGGTTTGAACTACGGTTCGTTCAGTTCATATGCAAGGATTTTGGCCGATGCGGACAACCGGAGGAACTTGAAGTGTGTGTTTCATGCAGGGGCAGAGCGAAGAAGCAGGAACCTCGAATCTCGAACTGATCTTAGTCTGCTTTGTAGATCTAGCCGTTCAAAGCCGCGCACGTTTGAAGTGAAGGCGAAGGTGTTACGGCCGCAGTTAGGCTACAGGCAATGGGTGTGAACGAGGAGATGATAATGATTTTGGAGATCGGGGCCGATTGAGGCAAGAGGGTACGGCAGAGGTTGGGTTGATGGAGAACTGGAGAAATTTTGCGGGATACGAGCGGACGCTCTATGTATATACGAATTCCGAGAAATACATAGAGCCCTCAATCTGTTGCAGTGTTTTCTCGCCCGTGCTGGACCACTGAAATGGCAAGCGCGGCAAAGCAAATGCCTCGGTGGCCATCGACGCGTCCGACACGCGTTAGGTCATGGAAATTGCCCATTGAAGAAATGCCTTTTGATGCGATCAGTATACATTTCCGAGAAGAATGTTCGTGGACGTGGGAAGCAAATGAATTGTTACTGATGAGCTAGGTGTTAAGACCCACGTTTTTCAACCACCTCGAGCGTCTTCTCGATGCATTTGATATCATAGCGGCATCATGCGTGTGGGGCAGAACCTGTGCCTCGCCCTCAATCCGGCGGGCAATCAACTTACCAGTTTCGCTTGCGCTGGAAAGGATGCGGGACCTAGTATGCATTTACTGTGCGTTCTGTGGAATCCCAAATCAAGAAAAATGTCCTAATTGTAATCAAACTGATGTAACGTTGCCGACTAGCTAGACGAGAGGGGGGAAAGGGTTTATCTCGTAGAGTTTCCACACGGTGGTTATCATTGTGAGTGGTGGGTCTAGATTACTCCGATTAACAGGAAAATCACTACCACATGTAACCTGAATTCAAATTGCTTAAATACTCCCATGAGTTGCGGTGCTCAAGTGCTCACCACAGCCGACTTTCTAGCAACGTTGAGCTTGAGCATCAGCTGATTGCACAGGGCTTCAACGGTGTCAATGGAGCTGACGAGGGTGGCAAGACGAGGGGCGGTGGCTTCCACGATGACAGTGTCGAGGATCTCGACTTGTTTGCCTTCATAAGTCGCAAGCTTCGCGCTCTTGAACTTGCCCAATATTTTGCTCTGGAACTGAAGTGGGATGGCCGATTGAGGGTAGTGGAGCGCGTGAACCGAAACGACAACGTTGGACTGTATCACGTGCAGGTCTATGACAAGGTCGTCGGGGAGGTCTGGTGCGAATGCCTTAGCATCTCCCTTCTTGGCCGGAAAAATGTCGGCATCATCCACACGGCACAGCTCCGCTTTTGCACTCTTCATATTCTCCCTCACACGCCTCAGTGGAGAACGCAGCAGTTTGTCGCGCCTCCCATGCCCGGCATCTGCAAGCTGCAGGATGATGTCGAGCGAGGCGAGGAGATGGTTGCGCGCTGAGGAGATTTGCCTGAGGAGGATGGGCCGTGCGCTGTTGATAGTGACCCTGACGGCGTCGCCGTGGTTGTGGTGTGGGAGTTTCAGGGTGAGGTCGCCTTTCGTAATAAAGGCTCCATCAAGCGTGAGCAACCCTTTCACGAGGTCAGTGCTGCAATCAAAATTAGGGCATAGGTGAGTAGATCAGGTAGCAGGCTGTTTGCTAATTGCCATCTCTTCATGCACACCTCGCCGCTGTTATCGCTAACGTCGCTGGGGGGTTCACAGGCTGGGACGGTGGTGTTGGCTCTTGCGACCCAAGACTACAGCTCAGGCCGGTCTGATACCGATGGGACAACAAAACGCAGACATGAGAACTGCGTTCCGAGCAACTGAAACACGCCATATGGAGATACCTACGTTGATGATGGCCACCATCTCCGTGATGAGGGGTGGCACTTGGGTCTCCATGAACCACTTCAGCTCTGGCCCCTGAGAGCGGCGAACGTATGTGGAAGTGAGAGTTATTGAGAACAATCGACGGAGTCATTGCCCGGTCGCCTCGAACAGAAGTCCTAGTCTGCGTACGCCCCGCAGTCACTGTCCTCCCCTGCCTATCCCCTCCCACTCGCATGGCAGACACCGCGTCCCATCTTCACCATGCGCCACCGAACTACCACCCACACGTCGCACAAAGCAGCCTACTCACCACCAGGTCCTTTTCGCTCATGACAACGCGCCCTGGAGAACCGCTACTAGGTATGGGATTTGCACTCATCATGGTCAAGGCGGAAGACCGTCCAGCGATGAGGTTGAATGGTCCGTCCCGTGATCATCCACGCGCGCGCGGGAGACGCATCGTCCAACTGAGTGTCTTCAGGTGCTTGATGCGAACAGAGTGCGCGCCGAGCTGGCGCAGGGGGTGCGAAATGCCAAACGGCTGAAATCCCTACGTAGAGGGCGTTCGGGGACGGCGAGTCGGTCGCTGGTCGACAGGGCAATACCGTCGGGTAACTTCATGAGTGCATGCCGTGATAATGAAGCCCCTATTCTTTCGGAAGCGATCGTGAGCGTGTGTCTGCGACTCTGCGTGTGCCCCTGCATCTCCCAGGTAGTCTGAAGAAGGTGCGCACATAAGGAGCATAAGGAGCGCCGCCGCGTGAATTCTGAGCTCGAAATTCCCACCATTGCCGAGACATTTCATCCCTAATCAACTTCCGGCTTCTCCGGCCCGACAGACATATCCTTGAACATCCCTGCGTGAAGGCCTGCGTGGTCCCTTGTCCCCTGAGTCTTATACTTTTTGGCGCTAAAACCCACAGCAGGGACCCTCAACCACGCCAGCCAGCGTCCCTCAAACGTTTGACTATCGCTCAATACACCATCTTAGACTATTCAGACCATCTTCGTGCTTAGCACGGCGCCTTAAACAATGGACGTCATAAAAGCGGTTCAGGTAGATGCTGGTTTGCGCAAACTGACGAGCATATGTCTATGCGCTACGACAGGGCTGACAAAATGCTCGCGGTGTAGAATTATCTGAACAGGATGATAACCGAGGTGACGGGGATGAAGGTGTTGCTGATGGACGCGGAAACGGTGGGCAGCTATATACGTTCGGCCATCCAGCACGGACTATGGACATTTTCTGAGACACGCATTTTTGTTCTGACGCGATAGACGGCCATCATCTCAATGGTGATGACACAAACGCAACTATTACAACGAGAAGTCTACCTGATAGACCGCATAGACAACCGTCAACGGGAGAAGATGAAGCATTTGAAGTGCATAGCCTTTGTGCGGTCGACGGGCGAGTCGGTACAGGCGTTGGTGGAGGAGCTCCGGGATCCGCGCTATGGAGATTACTACTTATGTGCGTATACGGAGATGGCGTGGAGTCGGAGAGCGGTGAAGCGGACGTGGGCCGGTTTGAGTTCCTTTGGAGGCTGATATCGGCATTCCATAGATTTCAGCAATACGCTGCGGAAATCCGACATAGAACGCTTGGCGGAAGTGGACGAGCACGAGGTCGTTCGTGAGGTTCAGGTATACCAGCCGACATACATTCCTGAGCTGTTCGATCAGCGAAGAAGGGATTCAATAACTTTCGGATCGTTCTTTAGGAGTACTTTGCGGACTTCCTGTCCATCAACGCAGACCTTTTCCACCTCAACCTGCAAGCGCCAATGAACCCGATGTTCACGGAGAACCTATCGACTTGGGATACAAAAACCTTTCAACGGACAACAGAAGGGATTCTCGCAATGCTGTTAGCATTGAAGAAGAAGCCGCTGATTAGATATGAAAAGAGCTCTTCTCATGCGAAGAAACTGGCTGGGGAGCTTGCGGTATGCAAAGTGCTTGGACCCACTGTTTTACCCAGGTCGGACATTTATGCTCACTTCTCGTGGCTTTGCAGTACCAAATGCAACAAGAGGGTCCACTCTTTGATTTTAGGAGACCAGACACAGCACCGATACTTCTCATCATGGATCGTCGCAACGACCCTGTCACGCCATTACTGTTGCAGTGGACATATCAGGCGATGGTGCACGAGCTGATTGGTATCACGAACGGACGGGTGGACCTGTCATCGGTACCAGATATCAGACCGGAAATGAAGGTATACCGCTCAACTGTTTCACATCATTTTCCGCGAGAACAAGCTGATTCACGGTAGCCCGCGGCCGATCAATTTAGGAAGTCGTCCTCAACCCGGATCAGGACAGCTTCTACCGCAAGAACATGTACCTCAACATGGGCGATTTAGGCGGCAACATCAAATCATACGTCGACGAATATCAAACGAAGCACAAATCATCCGCCCAGGTTAACTCCATCACCGACATGAAGAAGTTTGTAGAGGATTACCCAGAGTTCCGAAAACTCTCGGGAAACGTCACGAAACATGTCACGCTTGTCGGGGAGTTGAGTCGGCAGGTCGGGAGGGGTCACTTGATGGAAGTCGGAGAGCTGGAGCAGAGTTTGGCTGTGAATGACAACCATACGCAGGACTTGAAGGTGGGAAACTGATTGATGGGAATGACGAGATTCCCGCGTGCACTCAGACTCAGACTCCGTTTCGACACCCACCAGCAACTCAAAGCCCTCGTCGAGCGGACAGACATCCCGGATGACGCTCGGGTGCGTCTCGTCCTGCTTTACGCGCTACGCTACGAAAAGTCCCAGGCGAACGCCACACCGCAACTTCTCGACATTCTGGCACGTAGCGGAGTCAGTGACAAGAAGATCGCGGTAAGCCACTGATGTGTTCACATAAACGCATGCAATCACTCTCACGCACGTCCTCCTTGTAATCCCTCCCTCTAGCTCGTCGGCCACATGATACAATATGCCGGCTCAGACCATCGTCTCGAAGACCTCTTCTCCAACCAAAACGTTTTTTCACGGACCAAAAACGTCTTCAAAGGCTTGCAGGGCGTCGAGAACGTCTACACGCAGCACTCACCGCATATGGTCGAGGTGTTGCAGGAGTGTATCAAGGGGAAACTGAAGGATCAGCTGTATCCGTTTGTGGAGGGGGTGTCCCGGGATAAGTAAGCGCGCATGTTCGTTGGCTGTGGAAGAGGCATCCTGGTGTTGACGGGTGTGACACTCTTGTTCAAAAGACCGCAGGACATCATCGTGTTCATGATTGGCGGCACGACGTATTCGGAAGCATACGAAGTCAACAAGCTGAACGCTGCAAACCCTGGCGTGCGGATCGTGCTGGGCGGTACCACCGTGCATAGTTCTGGCAGGTGCGTTTTTCCCTCCATCCGCATTTCCCCTCTCATGCGCCACGCGTCACACTCATCCACTATCTTCAAAATCCCCATCTTTACAGTTTTCTCCGCGAAGTAGCCGACTCCGTCACGCGCTGGAGCGGATCCGGTAAGAGTCACGCGCCGGCGTCGTCGCCACCGCAGGACCGGCTGCGCAGTGCCCGGATATGAGGTTAGACAGAGAGAGAGAGAGGAGACCCCTGTACCCCGCAGCCACAACCGTTTTGGTGTTCCTTTTTTTGGGGGGGATTTTGGGTTGGTTCGGCTGCGGGAGGTTGGGGGTTGTCAGTCTGAGGTTAGGATCAGCCTTGTTTCTGTTGTTCGTTCTAAGCGCTTTGCCGGGCCTGGTGGCGACGATGACCATGGGAAGGGTCTCTGGCTCAAAAAGGCGAATTGGAGAACGCAAAAGTGGGCGGGCGAGGACGGGCGGTGAAAGAGCCGCAGAACGCGCTTCGGGGTCAGGCCACTGTGCCGCTCACTCCCATTTTCCACATTTGCTTCCTTTTCATACAGGTGATTCGCGATACTAGAGGGCATGTCATATCATTATAGCATACCTTTTTGCGTTGATTGGAGTCTCAAATGAGTTGCCACATCTTAAAGGTGCTCGGACAAAATACTGGGAAGATCTTATGGTACATGAAACCAAAGAACGTATAATTACTATCTTATACGTATTTTGTCACAAAGAAGCCAGCGGAATTATTTACATATCAAATTTACACACTCCATGAGCCTACAGACGAGAACGAACCAGCACCTCCTTCATCCCCCGAAGGTGCAGCAGTTGTTGTGAAAAGAGCGCCTGATGCGGGACAGGAGAACATTACGGAAGTGAAGGCTATGAACGAAAAAAGAAGGGCGGGACATAAGAATGCGAGGCGGTGGTGTTGCGAGGTGTTGTACACTATTGACTACACGGTCTAAGCAAGGCCCGGAGGCGGGGAGTGGAATGGAGTGTCCAGGAAGTCTTTTTACGGCGGGTTTTGTGCGCTGGGATTTGATGTGTGCGGGGTGTTGCGGGTTGTTGCGGTTGTTGCGGGTTTCAGCGAATTGAGATGCAGTTGGGCAACGAAGCGGACTGGAATGTGTCTAGTGGTGCACGGTGACTAAAAAGGCGGAAAACCGGTTAGATCAATGATGCGCAGATGCATGGCTAGGTAGTGCAAGCTTACCAGACTCGAAATCCCGGAACGGATTCGCACTCCTCTTGTCCTTCTTCGCAGACGAAGCCTGTGACATTGTCGACGCGGAAGGCGACGGGTACAATCCCCTCCCACTCCTAGGTCCCAATGTCTCATGACCCCCACCTCTCTCGCGTTGCTGCAGCGCAACGAACGCCCTCCCTTCCTTCTCCAAATCCAACTCAATGCTGTCCTCAATGGGCCGGAAGTTGCTGGTATCGAACGGATCGGCGGCATTGTACCTTGGCACGATGGGTGGTGTCTTCTCATGCCGGAGGAGAGCCCAGTTAATGCCTTTGAAGAAAGGGTGGGCTTTAACGTCGGAGGCGCCGGCGCGGGAGCCGAGACGCTTGCGTTCGTCTTTGATGAGCAGTTTCCGGATCAGGGATTTGCAGCTTGGGGACACTTGGGGGTAGTTGGGGAAGGTGACTTCGTTGCGGATGATGTTGCAGAATGTCATGTTGCGGTTTTCGCCTTTGAAAGGTGTTGTCCCGTACTGCAGTAATGAACGTGAGTGAAACGTCCTGGGACAGGCGATTGACGCACATCAACATCGGTTCCTTACCAGCATCTCATACAGTAATATCCCGAGGGTCCACCAATCCACAGCACTAGTGTGACCCATTCCCGTTATGACCTCTGGTGCAATGTACTCCTCCGTCCCGACAAAGGAATTTGTCCGCAGATTCGCGGTACATGATTTGGTGTCAATGGTCGGTGTGCTGTAGTTTTGGAACAGGAATGGTGTGTTTTTCACAATGGTGGGGACCCCTGGTTCTGTGGATGGCTTTGACAGGTCGAAATCTGTCAACATAATGTGTCCCGTGTCGTGCAGCAAAATGTCTAAGAAAGCGAGGAAACCAGGATCAGCGGGGTTCGCAGACCACTAGTCCAACAAATCAGACATGACTTACTCTCTGGCTTCAAATCTCGGTAGATGAAACCCATCAGGTGCAGGTATTCCATTGCAGCAATAACCTCGGCTGCGTAGAACCTCGCGTCCTTTTCCTTCAGGCATTTTGTTTCGAGGCTTTGCAGAGCTCGGAAAAATTCGCCCCCGGAACAAAACTCCATGATAAAATACAGGTATTCCTCGCTCTGAAAACTGTGGTATAGTGTCACAATGAAGGGGTGGTTCGATGTGGCCTGCAGAAACAAAGCATTCATTGTCAGAGTAAGCCCTAGATAGCAATCGCGCATGCTGCGGAGGTCTTACCAAGATCTCCTGCTCCGCCAGAACTCGTTTAATCTTATGACGCTTGATCATTTCCGCTTTTGATAAGACTAGAAAAACTCAATGTTCAGCCCAATTATCAGACAAAATTCTCGAACCAAATCGGTATCTCACCTTTCATGGCGTATAGCTTGCCGTTGCTCTTCTTTTCGACAAGATATACTTTGCCAACATCCCCTTTGCCGATAAGTCGTATCTTCCGATAACTATTAGGCGCCACCTCCACATCCGTGAACCGCAGAGAGCTATGCGATATGCTTCTTCGCCCGTTCTTCTTGACACCATTGGTCGGCATGGTGTGGAACGACCTGTGACCTCGCAAATGAGGTACAGATGACGACGCTGGCGATGCAGCCATGCCCACCAGACCGCCGTACCCCTGACTGATGACCGGCAGGGCTCCCAGAGTGTCTTCATGGCTGTGTTTCTCACTATTTGGCTCGCTAAAGCTTCCCACACCCGTGTCGGCGCCAGAGCCTCCGTATCCCTCATCGGAAACCTTCACCTCCTGCACCAGTCCAGCTTCCGGAACAGGTAGCGGGGATGGTTGTGGGATACCTCTAGGTGTCCGCTCTCGTCGTTCGGCGGCAACGGCTGCGTGCGCTAGTGACGTTTCGGAGGTTGTGCGTCGCAGGTTGGCAAGTGACGGCTTCTTCCCTAAAAACCCTAGGCGGCCTTTGAACGACTGATACGATAGCGTCGAGCTACTGCTCCCGGCACTGGTAGGGCTAGCCACCGAAGGTGTAGGTGATACGGCTTGCATTTGTACGTCAGGCGAGTCCAACGTTATCATTGAGTTTGTCGCCCATGTCGACCCCGATCCTCTGCTCGATGCCTGGCTCCCGTCCTGCTGCTTTTCTTTCTTGCTATGGAAAAGAGACTGAACCGTGGCGGTTGGCTCGGTGGCTAACCGAAATATGATAGAACGCTTTTTTCCCACGCCTAACTCCCTATGTGAAGTCGCCATGCTTGGATGATGTTCTTTCGACAACGGACAGGAGGCCCCCAAAATCCTTACGCAAGGTTGGTGGTTTCAGGCCTGAGTAGCCTGTATCTTTGGTCCGTCAAAGGCCTCGATACAGTCCGTTTTGCTAGGTGAGTACCAGGGTGAGTACAATGCTGACAGACTGGCGACGCCATGCAAGGGCAGCACGAGGGTTGTCCAGGTGTAACAAAAGGAGCGCGGGTATTTCGAATGAGAAGCTCCGTGAACTGATGAATCTACTGGCCTGTCGTGGGAAAAAGTGGTGCCTGCCGAATGGGCGTGCGGGTTGACAGCGATGCGACTGACAGAGTAGGATGTACTGTATGGATATGCAGTACAGTACTTAGTACGGTAGGGTAGCGACGACGAGAGGCCGGTTGCGAGGGTTGGGCGGGGCGGGTAATAATGTGAGTTGTCGCTCTCTGGAGGATTAATGGAGGAGGAGGCTCCCTCTCTCGTCCCGTCTCAGGGCCGTCTGCGCTGCGCGCTCCTTTCCTCATCCGTACAGTAATCATCAGCGGGCGCCAATATCGATTGATGACGATGATGGTCTCCCTCATCATCATCATACCCTGTAAATTTACATCAGAAGGATGCCTCGCTCATCAGAAGGAAAGGAAAGAAGCGAGGGAAAACCATCAACTTAGACTATTACAGCTTAACCAAATCGGTACCCTTTCCCGGCGCACCCGCAATTAATAAACGTTCTATTTCTGTACTTTCCAAGTCTCTCGCTGATTCTAGCTGGTACATATAATTCACGTGGTACCATGTGCTCGATGTCAAAATTACAATCTCCACTCCCTATCAACAGACGCTGTCAAACAGGAAATGCGGAGACGCTCTCCGCAATGCCCATCAATCCCATCATCCAAGCTCGTCTCAACGAGCAGCACACCAGGAACTCCGAGAATGCCATAAACTTCCTGGTATTTATCGCTAATCCTTGCGCGAGACACTAACAGTTTTCGAGGTGTTGCTCAGCTCCAACGCTGAAGATAGTCTATCAAGATCGTTCACCATCCTCAGCCTACGTACAAATATACTTCTCTCAACGTAAGACCGCAATCGCCCTGCAGAGGATTACGGATATATATCCGCTTCCATCATCCCCGAGTCCACGACCTCTGGGAGCGTTGATGAGTTGATGACCGCTGTCAAGACTTATCAGCAGCCCCTGAAACGAAAAAACTTGCGACCGAACGAAAGTTTGTAGTGCCACCAAGTTTTGGGTTGAAGTCTGACGCGTTTGGGGGGGCAACCGGCGGATTGGGTGGCCCAGCACCCCGGTTTAGGCATGACGGTTCCGGACGACCCCGCGATGCGGCTCAGGGTTCATCAAATCTCATTTACAGTACAACCACGATTATGATGCTGTGCGACCATCGAACTCCCTTCCGGCCGGATCCACCCGGAATCCAGATCCGCTTTGCTGTCCGCGCTGCCGAATAACGCGTGGCCTTTATCTGTGCGATATTGGCCCACGACAGCCACTTTGCCCCCACCCCCCCCCCCCCCCCCAGAAGGCGCGGAGAAGCCACATGGGATATTGCGACTCCGGTCGGAAGCTCCACTATACAGACGTAGGAAAAAGGTCTGATATATTTATGAGAAGACGGTCGAAGCCAAACCTATAGTAATAAGGTCCTTCGTGGTTTTGCCTCGTCGTTTTGCCTCATCCTCCAGCACCAGAAAGAAGGGAGGTCTCTAACCAATCTCTCCACATCTTGCGCCAATTTCACACCTCTGATAGGCGGAGTTACAGCGCGGTCGCCTGTCTTCGGCCTTCGAATTTACATTTGAAAGGGAGCTGGTCTCTCAATCAGTTCGGCCTTCGCATCTACATCTGAGAGGGAGCTGGTCTCCGAATCAGTTCGGCCTGCGAATCTACATTTGAGAGGGAGCTGGTCTCTCAATCAGTTTCTGCCAAGGGGACTCGCCTTGAGCTTTGCCAACCCCTGTCTCACCTGTCAAAACCATCCGACCAGCAACCACAATGGGCTCCACAACAAGAACACTCGGCCTTCTCCGGAACTGCACGCTCCTGCTTGTCCTTCTTTTAGGTCTCCTTGCCAGCGCCCCTGGCACTGTGTTAGCGCAGGACGTTGCCACTGCAACTCCGTCACCCACTTTCCCCGGCGCCACCGCTTCGGCAAATCCCTCAGCGTCTTCCGCCTCGTCGACCTCGACGTCGACTCGCGGTCCCCGGCAAAATGGCTTTGCATACAATAAGGAACCGATGGCCTACACAACCTTCCAGTTTGTCGACTCGAACTTGCGCACGTCCGCAGTGCTTATTGCCCTCGGCTCCGTGTTTGGTTACTGGTTCGTCTTTGGCAAACGCACGAACTTTCCATCGCTACTGTTCCTGGGACTGCTGGTGTGCAACCTTTTCGGGACTGTTGGCAAAACGCTACCTAGATACATGAATCTGGAAATGTACGTAGATAGGCCGAACGGGAGTTCTCCGATCAGGGAGAAGATCCAGCTTCTTCCATCTCTACTGGCCGAAAGCCTGTTATACGGGTACTGATTTTTGTTTCTTCAAAAATGTAGTGGCGATTTTCTCGCCGATATCCTTTCGATGTACATCGGGAATGGCTTTCTTTTCACCGCTTGCCAGTCATTCAACTGGCTTCTGTATCTGGTAAGCTTGTGGATATCGCGGTCTGAATGCGCTGTTTCATCAAACTCCTGCTAACTGGTTTCGATATGTTCGTAGCGCTTCTCGATGGTGGTGCAGTTCAAACCGATGCTACGAACCTTCATCAAGGCCTGGCTTTGCTTGGAGACTCTCTTCTCGCTTGGTCTATACGCTGTCTGGTCGTGGGGTATCCTGGCCGACAGGGCGTCAGCTGCAAGCGACACCAAAATTCGCCCCCTGTGTTCCAAGACTTTTTCGTACTTCCAAATCGCCCAGGGAGTCAACGCCTTTTTTCTGAGCGCCTATTTCGTCAAGACGTACTATCTCCCAAAGATTGTGAATCAGCGTCAATTCATGAGTCGCATGACTTTTGGTCGTCTGCTTGGCACCGGATTCTTCTACCTCCTATTCGAATCGCTCCTTCAGTGCACGTTCTTGTTCTTTTACTACATCAGCCCCACTTACTACTCGGGACTCAACATGATCGCCACTTCGGTCCGATACTGGCTCTTCCTTCTCTTCGTCTACCATTTGAAGAGCGGCACTCGGAATCTGACGGGCAACTCCAGCCAGACCTACGGTCCTAATGTGTCCGGCATCTCTGGACACGGCCGGCTCCAGTCAGCAAAGGAATCCTACGGCCCCTCTCAGCACCGAGTCCCAGTCACAGCGGCCAGGAAGATTTCCCTGGATCACCAAGGGGGATACATGCGGTCGCCAACACCGGTGAAAATGGGATTCGCTGCGGGGGTGGTGATGGGACCTCGCTACTCGATTGACAACATGCCGGTATCGCTATTGAAGAAATCTAGTTTCGTAAGCGATGCTGCATCCACTGTCATTAGTACCACGGGTGGTGGCTACGCTGCAGCTCACAAACCTGCATACCAAGTTTCGAGGCCGAACCAGCCTCAACCTCACTACTACGGTAGGGACGAACCAGCAACGTCCTCACCTGACGACGATCATTTTATGGACGACAACGGCATGGGATATGATGATAACTTCGTCCCCGCCGCCCCTGCAGCAGAGCCAGGCAGACAGACACCCCTCTACAGCGCTCCTCGTCAAGCTCCAGGTGATCCCTTTCACCATCAAGAAACGAACTTGTCTTCCTACGTGTCCGCAGCAGCGCCGCAACCCGCACCCGCTCAATATCCCGCAGCACCGCGAGCGATCATCCGCTTCGCCCAAGCTCCCAGCAAAGTCAGCCGCGTAGTCGTCAGCCAAGCACCGACAGTTCACATGTCGTCCGCCACCTACCGGGAGAGAAATAGCTGGCAGGCACCCCCAAACCCATCACCTGCATCCTCTCGCGCCCCCGTGTCGCCTTTACCACCGGCGCCCACAGGGACGGTGATTCCACCTATGAGCCCCGCGACGTCCATGCCTGGCGTATCGGGACACCCGACCTTGGACACGATCATGGAAGGCCAGACGTCGTCGCCGTCGGAAGCCTCGTTGCTGCAGTCGGTGACGGCCGGAGAGGAGGTCAGCGTTACGGGCTCGTACCGGACGAGCCCTGAGAGTGGAAGCGGTGATAGCGTCGGATGGCCTGGTCGCTTCGTGACGAGAAGCACGGACGAGGATGAGTAGGCCGATTGGAGTTGGCACCCTCGTTTCGGCGTATTTCATCACACTCTCTTCTCAACCCCACATTTCCCAACCGTGGACTCCGCCAGACAAGTTTGTTAGACTAGACTTATATGTAAACGTTCAAATCTTAAGTTGTTTTTTGCGGGTCCGCATTTGCACCTGCAGATAGATTTGAACATTCCCTAGACTTCTCCCCGTTTCTTCATTCCCTGATCTTGACACTTGCTTCTTTCCTTCTCACATTCACGGCATTGCGTAGTTAAGAGGCGCTGGCTCGCTTCTTTACTGCCACATGCCTCGGGTCAATAGTTTCCGCCCCCGGAGAGGACGTCTTCTCTTTCACTGCTGCAGTTACCGGTTTTACATAGAGCTATCTTTAGTAGTAGTATCTAGCATTTATCCATCATCAATCATACTTGAGCCCTGAAAACATTCCGTTGTGGTGAAGATGGACGGGGAGGAAAGGTAGAGCTCCCATAGGACGCCTTGGCCAGTCGTTCAGACATCACGTAGTAGGTGTAATTTATAGACAGAGACACGACGGGTTTGAAGAAGGGAATTGATGCTCTGCAAGTCCCGGGAAGGGGTAGTCTTATATTTCCTCTGTGTAATTTCTATTGGGTGGTAATCCTGATCAATTGGCCGAAGGCTTTGGTAGATGAAAGCAAAGACATACCCTGGAATGAACCCTTCGACCACTCCACTTGCTCGATATACCCGAGCTTTCCACCATCTGCCATCATTTTGGAAAAACATCAGAATGAGGTGCCGGATGTGCCCGGATTGATATGCGAGATGTGAGCAAAACGTACCCGTCGTCCTGCTTTTCCAGCACATCCAGCTCCTCTCCAGCTGTAACCGACAGATCCCCCGGAGCACCCTCAAAGTCATACACCATCCGAGCTTTACAAATGACATCCTCCCCAGCATCCACTCCACCCCCACCGCCTACCCCACCCCCACCGACCGCGAGCGAACTCTCATACACATCCTCGCCCCCACTATCCTCCGCCTGGCTCTGGCCCAAATACGAGCTCATCCCAGTCGCACCCGAAAACCGCCTCGCATCCCGCCCCGCTTCTAGGGCCGCCGACGAGCTCGCGAACGAGTCCTGCGATTCCGGTCGGCCTCGATGCTCCCCGCTGACATGCTCAGGCGTGAACGGTGTCATCGGGCTATCCCGCACCGTGACTCCCGCGGGCGGGTCGGGCGCGGGCACACCGTCCACTTGTGCGATGTAGCACTGCAGCCGATGCTTTTTGCTCTTGATCACGTCGATGTGCGCGTTCAGGCCGTTGATCTGGTCGTCCATGTCGCGGCGCACTTTGGGGTCTTGCGAGATCTCGGGTTTCGAGACGTACACGTTGATGAGTGTCTCGCACCCCTGTTTCTTTTTCTCGGTCTCGGAGAGTTCTTTATCGAGGAGTTTGATCCGCTCCACCGCCTTCTTCCGCCCGTGCTTCCCCGGCATGGCCACAATCGCGTCCTCCTTGTTGTCCTCGGCCTCCAGGTACGTCTTTGTGAACCCGCGTGCCAAAGTTTTCTTTCCGGCTGTCGCAGCGTTCGGTGTCAACGCTCGCTCTTCGAACATAAAGTCGTTGGGCGGCAGAGTGCCCGTTTTGCAGAGCTTGACGAAGGTGGCGGAGTCGTAGGTGGGTGATATCTTGTCGAAGATGCCTGTCATGGCGGAGATGGATGAGGCGATGGATGGGGTTTGAGCATTGAGGAGGTCCGCGTATCGAAGGAACGCCTTCTTCGTAAAGTCGATGCGGCTGCTTTCATCTTTCGATTGAATGTCCTATACACGTAGCGCACGTGAGACATCGGGAGAAGAGGGCTTTGCCGTTCTGTTACTTACATCCAATATTGAGGGTATCGTCTCAGTGTAGAACTTATCCTTTACTTGATTTGTTTGCTCTAACAGAAAAGGAAAGAATGAGGTCATGTTCGGCTCCGAGGAAGGCCATTCGTCTCAACGCAGTGGCTCGATCTTACCAATGCACTGCTTATATGCCGTTGCACACTCCTGCGCAAGCATAGCCTTCTTTTCTGCATCAGTCCTCAACTATCGGAGAAGGTCATTAGATTCATGTCGGTGCTCGCAGGACAATGAATTCCGATTCCCCCACACCCCTCAACGAACCCGCTCGATGTCTTTCGCCGTTTTATTCATGTCCTGGTTCGCCACCTCGTATGCCTGCCGCGCGGCATCCATATCCTTCGTCGCCTTATCATACCGTAGTCTCGTCTTTTCGAGGTTGTCGGTTTGCTTCCGGTATTCGAGGGTCTGCTTCCGAATCTCGTCGAATTGCTACATCACAAATTGCGATGATATCCGATGAGCACGTTTGCAATGCTTAAATAGAGCGGCAATCAGCAGGAAGCATGACGCGGTACCTGTTTGAACAGCTTGTCATTATCCTTGATCTGTGCTTTTATGCTTTTCCTCATCTCTCCGTCCAGTTGCTCTGCCAGTGATGTGTGGAATGCCGCGGTGTGTTCCGTGACGGTCAGCAACTGTAGCCAGCTCTGGGATACTGTCCTGGTGGGATAACAAAAGGGTTGACAAGCCGAGTCAGTTTCGCACTCTACGAGCTTCCCGTCTCATGAGCTATAGGCTCATTCTGTAGTACCGCCCGCGACCCGTCCAGGTCCTTTGACCATGGTAGGTCCACTCCTCACTACTCACCCACTCATGATGGCCATTCCGAACCCGCCCGCAGCCTTTTCCGGTCCCTTCTTTGTGACGGCTTCATCCTTATGCGACCGCGCCAGCTTCTGCAGCGCTTTAGCATATTCACCCTCGATTTCGGCTCGCCGCTTGAGGAACTCGTTAAACCGCTCGAGAGATTGCGTTCCCACTTTTGTGTAGCTTTCGACTGATTCCCATTGATCCTGCGCATGATGGAGATTGAGATTCAGATTTCATGACAACGAAGTGGGGCAGGGATCAAGATTTGCGATCGCAAACAGTGACAGGATATAGAATGAGCCCTCTCGGGAGGGGTGACACCACCACCTACCCAAAGGTGGCGTCCGAACGATACATCTGACATTTCCGTGGATGATTGATCACGACAAAGAGGATATCGATAGCGTGGGCGTCAAACGTGTGACGCGAGAAATGGCTGCAACCACATTTCGGCGCCTGCACAACAAACTCGCAGGTGCAGCATCCAACGCGTGAACGTTCACCGCAAACGATTTAAGCTTAACGTCGCCCTTTCACGTCGCTTCAAGCCTCTACCCATCTTGCAGCAACAAAACTTTACGACATCAAACTGGGACAGGATGGTATCTAAGCACAAGCCCCGGATGCGAATTGTATCCGTACGTCAACATGAACATGCTCGTCAAGTGGGGTCCAGAAAGTGCTATCACGGCGGCGACTGTCATTTGGTGAAGTTTCAAAAATCGACAGCGCGTTCATAACCGATGGCCTGTGGGACATAGCGTCGGGAACGCATCTGTGTATATCAAGTATGTATATTCAAAAACGACATCTCGCTCACTTGGTTCAATTTTGGCCACCGCAGTGCGTTGGTATCACTGCAGTGAGGTGTAGTATGCATTCGAAGAGAATCACACATCCTGTGCATGATGTGAATCTTTAGGCATATAGACCAAAGGAGGGCATATGGGACTTGTCTTGATCGAACATCATCAAACGGGTGCAGGCCTGCCTGTCGGTTGGCGGTGCAATTCGACTGAAGTACTACAGAAGAATAATCGACGATGGGATGGCCCTTATGATCGTTGCACAAGTTGCACGCCATAAGAGGAGGTATCAAACCAAACCAATCAACATCAGAGTCTCCGCGTCTCCGCCGCCTGTGGTGTAAAAGAGTTCTTCCGCTGGGCTCAGCGTGTTGCTCGTGAGATCACGTCACACATGCATTTTGTGAACTTATGTCGAAAGCCTTTCCCCAGTTTACCGGGTGAACGGACATTCCAGGAGCATAACGCAGAGTTACCTTTCTCATCCTTTCTTTATGAGGACAGTATTGAGAGAGAGCACAAATGATTCTACGTAGGTTGAATGGCTCTCACTGAGTGGTGTTGACGATTGAGATTGCGTCAGGCCGTGAGACTGTCCGAGTGATTTAAATTGAGCAAGGTCATTGTGAGAGGGAACGCAATGACCGAGTAACCCTTGGTTGGGTTGACCGATTGGGGCCCCCCAATGATCCTGGCTGCATCTGACGAAGCGGTGCGGGAAAGCCCGACTTGTCCAGAGCGATTCCGAGTGATCCCACGTGAGGGTTCTCCGTAGGCCTAGTCAGAGCTGTCGCTGGGGACTGATCGCGATGAGAGTATTCTGCATTGCCCAGCGGCCGCTCGGCTGTGGTGAGTGATTAGTGAAGTCTCCTCCCGTGTAGGAAACCACCGCGCCGAGAGACCCCACCGAAATGCACACCGGAATTGCCGACGACCCACAGTCAGAGTTTGGACCTTGCCCAAAACGCGTCAGTCCCCGCCGTGATGACATCCATCCCAAGGACTGCCGGGCTGGAAAGAACAGATCTTCACCAATTACAAACTGCTGACAGCACATGCTAGCAAATGCAGACGTTTGTGAGCCGTAAGTGTCTGCGTAATCTGCAAGTGCTCTTGGATAATTGTATCTCACCATCTGTCCTTGAAACAACCAGCCAAAGTGTCTGCGTAATCTGCAAATGCGCTCAGAGAACTGTATTCTACCGTCTGTCCTTGAAACAACAGTCTGCTCTGCTTTTGTTTACAAGGTGACTCCAAAACCAGTCTTCTCATTCTTGCCCCGGAAGACAGTACATCCTTTCGCCGACCACCACCCGTCTTGACCCAGTATATCCTTTCGCAGACCACCACCAGGTAACAACCGCGATCCCTCAGCTTCATTACCACAGCACTGACGTGAGTTTTTTTTTGACACACACGGCAATCACCGCACTGCAACACCTGTACTGACCTCGGCTGGGCTGGAGTGGGCAACCTGACCTCGACGACATCACATATCCGGTAGGGAGTGAGCAGCGGGGAGGTGAGGAGATGAGGTACCCTGCCCAGATGGTTTCGCGCATATGGCGCATGCAACCACTGCCAGCAGCCCCTGGGTTCGCGCATATGGCGTATGCATCCGGGGGATAAAGGAGAAGAGACGGAGAGAGAGAGAGGAGAAGAGAGAGAGAGAGAGAGAGAGCGGGCTATTCCATGCTAGTAGAAAGGCAATGCATGTGTAGGAATAGGAGACGAGTTCCATCATCTCTTAAGCTACGTGGAAGGGCTCTATCTCTGGGTGGAAGGCGTGGCACCACAGCGCAGAAGGCTATGAGTCTGCCCGGAAGCGCCGAAGCGCTGAATGACAGAGGAGCGCGAAAAGACTACGACGGGAAAACAGCAATTGCAAAACGAAAGAAAGCTATAAGCTACAGCTACTATACAAGCAACAATGAAGCGGCCACAGGAACTCCCTACGCCAGAGGAATACGCCGCTTAGTGGGAGAATCTGGCTACGGTGGGCCAAACTCGTAGATCGAATACTTGCGGTCGAGGCCCGATGAGGTCCTCCCAGGGATTCTCGTATCCTTGAACCCTCGGGGGCGTAGGAACTTGAGGTTGGCTACGATGTTCTTGGTATAATTTGCTTGACCCAACCAGTCCTTCCAAAGACGGTATGACCAGTGTGTACTGAAGCTCTGGTCCAGATATCCGCCGAAGAGGGTCTTGAAAGAGTGCGCGCCGGCTTTGGGATGGAGGGTAGGGTCTGCGGCGGTGACTAGACCCCCATTCGGAAAAGCAGATTCTAGCCATTTTTTCATTGGCCAAATTCCATCTTCAGGTTTGACGGGCAGAGCAAACTCGCCAGCCTTCTTTGGAGTCAATGGGCTCCGGAATGGATCCCTTCCCCGTGCTGGTGGCGGCTGTGCGATGGGAGCCGGTGGTGCCGAGGCAGGTTGTCCCGGGGCATGTGTAGATGGCGCCGTTCCCGTAGTTTGAATTCTGGTCCCAAGGGAGAAGAGGGAGGGTGGGATCTTTGTCGGTGGTGGGAGCAGCGATTTTCCAGGCACAAACGGCTGGCGCGGCAAGCCAGAAGGACCGGCGGCGGCAGAGGTACTGCTGGAAGATGGCGCAGGTATAATGACTGGTCGCGGCAAGCGAGACGGACCGGCGGTGGCAGAGGTACTCCTGGAAGAAGCTTTTCGCTCCTGGGTGGCCAAGCGCAAGGCCCTTGTTGCGTCCGGTTCCCCTATGTGATGGAGGTTTGCATATGGGATGAGTGTTCGAATCCGCTTCTGACCTTTGGTGAGATAGGCCCCGGTTTCGTCCGTCAGACCGATTCCGTCCTCCATAAACTGGATGTAGCGCCGATCAGTTTCCAAGACTGTGCCGAGCCGTGTTGTCACTCGAAGATGAATGATGACATACTCATCGTTTTCTGTGTCGTGCCAGAAGAGACAAATTTCACCATTCTTTCCACCGACCTTGACCTCTCGTCCATGCCAGCTAGCATGGTACTTTGCCTTATCGATCTTGTGTGGGCCTGTGACGGCCTGTCCCCCCGCAGCGAGGTAGTCTCGGCGCCGCTTGGATTGGTTTGCGGAGGAGAAGAAATCCTCGGGGAGCCCCGCAACGAGTTGCTTGCTTTTTTCATCAATTGCCTGCTTGGTAAGCGTTGGATCCGCCATCCACGAGTCGTCAATTGCACCTTCCGGAGCAAATGGGGCAAGAATGTTGCGCAAGGGATGCTTTGCCGGATCCTTGAATGTAGCTCTTCGCAGCGCAGAGGTGTAATAGCTAGTTGTCTCTTTCAGACTCAAAGCCCATGCCTTCCAGGTCTTTTCATCAGAGGGATCTTTCATGTGGATGGCCAGGTCGGGAATGGCCAACTTCCAAAGCATATCAACTTGGGCCTGACGCGTGACACTGAAGGGAGCCCCTTCTGCAGCTTGCGAGAACTCAATTCGTTCCCGTGCTCCAGCCCTCAAGCGCTCTCTGGTGACTTTGGACAGAACCCGAGTAGCCGCCCGCATAGTTTCGTTTTCCCAGTACGTTGCCAGCTCGGCTTTTGCTTGGTCGAGTTTTGCATAGAGATGTTTGACTGATGCACTGAGGCCTGGGTTGGCTCTGTCGTACATTTGGAGCACCGACAAGCAAAGGGTGTCATGATCCATGGAACTGTTATTTGCTGCCTGCGTGGCTGCGTCAGCAAACATAAGCGTCACCATCCACGTCAAATCAAAAACGCGTCGGAGCTGTTTTGGTTGCGAACCGTATTTGTCGCGACCAGGATGGAGGTGAGGGATGACGATTGTACTGAAACCTGCCGGAGGTGATGCCTGTTGGGGATCTGAGAGCCAGGAGCGATCGGCGTAATGTTGAAGGCTTGGGACCCCAACAAAGTCCAAGAAGCGCTGAGATGACGGTAGGCCATACGGGTAGTAGAAGTTTGTCATTGCGAAAGCCGTCACTCGTCGAGAGAAGGTCACGGACACCACAGGCTGTGCCGCCTGCAAGTAAGCCACAAGCTGATTGAGCGCTAACAGCCAGTTTTTATGCTTGAGCCACGGATAGAGATCCACAAATGGGAAGCCGATCGTGTCCAATGTAGCCGCATCCCAATCGTCAATTCCGTTTTCCAATGCTTGCAACCTTGCTAGAAAGTCGGCAGTGAGGTATCCTGCCCGCGAGCCACCTTTTAGGAATGTTTTGGCTCCCAGATAGTCTTCTCGTGTGATATCTTTCCCAATCAACACCAATACGGTGTGTCCGTTGACTGTATATGGGAGTGCTTGCTTCAGCAAAGCATTCAAAAGGTCATCGGTAAATGGCCGTACGGCGGTCCCAGTATCGACAGGGTTCTGATCTGCGATTGTCGCCATCTCATCTCTCCAGCCGATGATGGCCTGTTTCTTCCCGCTTCCGCATGGTGTAGCAAAAGCACGGAACCTCTGGAAGAAATCCGTTTTCAAAGCTACAAATGTTGCTACATCCGAACTGTCTGGCGTGTAGGACGAGTAGAATCCCCCAGGCTGCCGGTTGAGCAGGGTTGAGCGGTTGAAAAACGCAATGACGCTCCTCTCGCGATCGTCTCGGGAATACTCAGAGACATACTCATCCAAGCGACCACGCGGAAATTCATAAGTCTTGCCGGCAGCGTAGGTGTCTGGGCACACCTCTTCGAGAGCGTTGAGAAACTCATTCAACAAACCGCTCTTCCGCCCAACTTGATCTGCCACAAAGCGCTCATGTGGCGTAACGGGGGCTGTGCACTTGCCCACGTAGCGCACAGAAAGCACCTTTTCCTTCTTGCCCCCATCGAGTTCCACCTCCAACACTTGTACATCCTCGTCTTCATCGGTCTTTCGCTTGGATCCTGCGGCGGTAGTACCAGCACTGCTGGAGGTTCCGATCCCGGCTGGTGACAATGCCACAACGGGCCGCTTCTCCTCTAGCAACACTTTGGTCATCCACTCAAATGCCTCAGGGATGTTCAGATCTTGTTCCTCCCAATTCAGAAGAATCTGCTTCAAATCTCTGACGGACAGCGCCCAGCTCCGCACATAGAACAACTCCACGCCGTCCACAACATCCAAAGCATCTGTATTATCGTCGGCTGTCGACTCGCGGAGGTTCAGGGCGGCCACCATGTCGGCGTCAGTTACTGACATGTGGTGCCGAATGAGGTCCTCGAACGTCCCGAGAATTCCCTGCCAGCTTTCGAGCCAGGGGTGAGGAACTGGGTGAGGCTGGCATTGAGATGTGATGTATCAAGGTTGTCATCCTTCATGCGCTGTATAATGGTATTATGGATATCTTTTGCCAGAGTTTCGGGTGCCTTGTCGGCGGGGAACTCGTGGTGCTGCAGCGATTTGGAGGCCCGCTGAGCTGAGAGGAACGGTGAGCGCCGACCGTGCTGCAGCGACCAGGACTGCTGCAATGCCTTTGTTTGTTGCATGGCGTCTTCTTCGAAAGATGGTGTGCCGTGCTGCGCCGTCATACATACTGTACTACAAGGCCAGCCACGGCGGCGTTGCCGCCTCTAACGTCCAGAAGGCAGGTCCAGGGCTGGCCAGAAGTGCAGTACCAGATATTCGGTGCATTTTTGACGTGACGGTCTGGCCAGATGGTCTGGTTAGAAGTGTATAAAAATCAGATTCTTCTGGTTCATTTGCAGCCGTGGAGTGTTGCGTCCACATGCGCGTCGCGACGTTTGGTGTCGGGCACTTTCTCATTCATTGTCTGGCCAGGGCTGGCCAGAAGTGCGGTACCTGACATTCGGTACATATGGATGGGAGATGTGCGTTGGGAAGGAAGGGGAAGAAAGGCACAGTACGGTGGCCAGCACTGGCCGCGGGTTGGCTCTGGCGAACTTAACTAGAGCCTGCGAATATCCGGTACCGCACTTCTGGCCGGTACCGCACGGTGCCCTGGACCTGCACTTAGAGCCTTCTGGACCTTAGAGGCAACGGAAGGCAGGTCCAGAACAAAGGCTCTAAGCCCGCCGGTGAAGGCTCCAAGTCCGGCCTTACACCCATCACGCCCGGCCTGTTGTAAGACGCGCGGCCTAAGGAACCTTCCTCCCCGACCCCCTTCCATGGGGCAACCGACATCATCACTAGCAGGCACGCAAAAGGCACACGCGTAGATCGGTACGATGTATATGATGAAGTCTTATAAAGGGGCCAAAGTGGTATAGTGGCAGCACATCACGTTGTGGCCGTGAGGACGGCGGTTCGATTCCGCCCTTTGGCAATCCATCTTTTTTTGCTTGTTCCCCGAGTCCTACCTCTTAGCTGCGCAAACACGCCGGAACTAATTGATGATTGCGACTGACCATCACGGTGCCACCCTCTCGCCCCGTCTTTCCCACCGATATCCACACCCCTCGGTGGCCCAACAGGCTCAGCATAGGCTCAGCACCTCGAAACAGAGGTATTGCTCCTCCCTCCGAGGACCCCCCTAGGACTCGCCTCCCAGGACCTGCTGTGCGTTGGTCTCGCCGGCGTCTTTCCAAGGGTTGGGACTTGCGGTACAGCATCATCGCCGTCGCAGAGGGTGCCCCGGTCATTGCCGCCCGAACAAACTCATAAGTACTACCAATATACCCAATATAACGCCCGCTGCTCCCTCTGTCTCCTGGAGAGGTTTCCCCACAACACTCCACTTCCTGGTCCCTCAACACGGTTTCAGTTCCACACTCATTAGGGCCCATATCGATAATGCTCTTCAAACCTTCTTCATGGAAGTTCCGGAAGGACAAGTCCTCCTCTTCGCCAACCAACACCACCGCACCGAGCGCAGAACCCGGCGATGAAACCGAATATACCTTTAACTCTCGGAGCAGCAGCTCCTTGAGCCTGCACGTGAACGCTAGCGCCCACGATCTTCACCGCTTCGGAACGTCCAGTCCCCACGGAAGTCATAGCCACAGTCATAGTCCAAGTCATAGTCAGAGCTCTAGCCAAAATTCGAGTCCAAGCAGCAGTCAAACCACTAGTCGTAACAACAGCTGGCTTACGCGGAAGTCAAACAAGACCGCCGAAAAGGCAAATAACTCCAACAATGTATCTTCGGAATCATCTGCTGCCCCGCCGCCACCGACTATCGCTTCGTCTCTGTCCCACCGAATACGCAGGAGAAAGGACAAAACCCCCAAACAGATCGACCCTTTCACGATTCCCCATTTCCCGATGCATTCTGAGTACTCGGTGACATTAAAGCAAGAGGCTGTCGCAGCAGCGGCAGCAACGGCTGCCATGTCCGCTTCCGCTTCTGTCCCGTCTCTCGATCATGGGGCGTACTACCGAAACCTAAATTCCCGCGCCCGCCACCACCATTATCACCATTTTCCGCACCTATACCTATATGAAGATGACGAACACGACGCAGCGAGTTTCATCAGTGCGACTGATTCCGCCTGCGGCGTAGACGAAGTCGTGTTGGAAAAATTGGATTTCTTGGCAAACCTCCCCTTCGAAATCTCCTTGCAAATCTTGTCCCACATCGAATCTCCGACGGAGCTTGCAAAGCTGGCTCAAGTGTGTAAATTCTGGGCGCAGCTGGCGAGAGATGATCAGCTCTGGAAGCCTCTTTTCACGCACAGTTGGGGGTGGAAATCGCAACGAGCAGTCTTATCTCGCATTCGAGAGCGACGCGCACTCCAAAATAATAACGATCGGCGGGCGACCAATAGCACCTTCCGTGCCATATCGGCAGCCTCGACCCCAGCATGGCATACGCTCTACAAAAACAAACACATCCTCGAATGCAACTGGAGGGACGGTGGGGTGATGGCTCGTTACATCAATGGTCACTCAGATTCGGTTTACTGCATTCAATTCGACAAGTCGCGCATACTGTCCGGATCCCGCGATCGCACGGTGAAATTCTGGGATTACGATCATCAGTCTCAAACCTGTGTCCGTACTCTATCCGGCCATGCGGGGTCGGTTCTCTGCCTGCAATACGATGATACATACGTGATTACGGGGTCATCAGACGCCACGATCATCGTCTGGTCCTCGCAGACAGGAGAACGGATCGCCACATTGAGCGCCCACTCTTCTCCGGTACTCGATATCCGATTCAACAAAACCCATCTCGTGTCGTGTTCCAAAGACTGTACGGTCAAAATCTGGTCGTTGAAAACCTTTGAGCTCGAGCACAACTTGTATGGCCATCAAGCCGCCGTCAATGCCATTCATCTGCACGGCTCCACCATCGTTTCGGCCTCAGGAGACAATCACATCATGATGTGGGATTTACACACTGGCGCACTTCTCCGTGATCTCGAAGGCCATACGCGAGGCTTAGCCTGCGTTCAGTTCGATGGTGAAACAATCATATCTGGATCCAACGATCGAACCATCCGTGTGTGGGACGCAAAGACAGGGCAATGCACGATGGTGTTGGAGGGCCATACGAACCTTGTCCGGACCCTCTGTTTCGACGACAAGAGGATTGTCAGTGGCAGCTATGATCAGACGATCAAGGTGTGGGATCGAAAAAGCGGCGAGATGTTGTTGGATCTAAAGGAGGCTCATTCCAGCTGGGTGTTCTCCGTGGGATTGGACGGCGGGAAGATTATCAGTGCTAGTCAGGTATGTTGCCTCGTCTTTGCAAACAGCGGTGTGTCATCGATGGTAACTCATCTGCTACGGTTTGCAGGATCGAAAGATTGTCATCTGGGACTTCACATCGGGCGTGTCCAATCTCGATTACTTGGTTGGCGATGCCGACAACTTGGCAACACCCTCACCTCATACCCGGCCATAACACGGTCTAAGCGACTGGACGATGCGGCTCCGAGCTGCTCAGTTGCACATGCCTTCCATTTTCTCCCTGTTGGATACTACTTCCGCCCGAAGCAGCGTATACGCGAGGCTAGCAAGCGTGCTATGAATTGTTTATGGGCGGAACTTTGTAAATTGCGATTTTGATCCTGTAACATATACGATTATACATGAGAGGGTGGCACTACATCCCCAGCGGGCAAACGGCTTTGATTTGAGCTCATAGTTGTGTTGGCATGCAAAGGAGCAACCGAGAAAGATCGTTCTTGCTTGCCCTATGCTACCAGAATGCACAAAGAGCGTACAATGCAAGTTATGAGCACCGTTGTTTTTTATTTTCATTCAGGAAATCTTGGTATTGCGCTAGCGTAAGCTGTTTCTGGCATCGCTCTACCTCCATTGCACGAGCAACCTCCTCGCCTGTGGTCGCCGTCAGTTGGCAACGTGCCTGTACAGCATCATATATCCTCTTTCGCCGTGTATAATGAGTCCGCTCAGTTGTGGCCGCCCACCAGCTGGACCGCCACCCCGCATCCAATGCCCTTACAGACGGCTGCCTCGCCCCGTTCTCATCTACCAAGCCCTTGTCGTACTCCTCCCAGACTTGGATGACCGTACCAAGCCGCCGACTCATGATGTACTTTGGGATGTCACCAGCCGCTGATGTCGCTGATGGTGTAGGCGGAGGAGTAGGCAAATGCTCTTTGGCGAGGGCTTGGGAAGGCACAGACGTGGCTGGCGTCTTGTGAGGCCAACAGGCGGGAGAGCAAGTGCTGGCTGTGGCCGTTCCGTTGACCGCAGTTGTTCCAATGCATTTTGAGCCTTCCTCCAGGATGGCGACGTTTGCAAGTCGGTCACCATGCCTTCTATAGATCCCATGAAGTCTTCCACATGATCAATGCGCTGACTATGCAAAGCAACGTCGCTACCGACGCCGTTGATGTAACCAGACACAAGCTGCAAAGCCTTGATGGTCATAGCGATGCCCTTGCACCCGCGTGTATCGATATCTGCAAACATATGGATGTCAGAGACGTCGGCGATTGTTAAGACAGACAAGCTGAGGTTTAAGCTGTTTTTCGACGTCCCCATCGGGTTCTCGCTCAAAAACGCGATCATCCTCAGCTTGTCACCAACGAAGGCAATGCACGGACTTACTTGCAGTTACTCGGTCCTCTGACTCCATGACTCGTTTTGTGAGCGCCGCCATCTGGTGCTGTATACCTTCTTCAACCATTGCCACCTTCGTCAGTATGGAATTGTTAGTTGCTTTGATCGCGACGGCGACATTTGGCAGCACATGCTCGATAGATGCGATTGTTGGATCTGGTGACGTTTCCTGCGCGGCCTTGACTTTCGCTTGGTATTCGAGAAAGACAGGATTGGCGAAGACCGGATGGAGCCAGATGGGGTTTGCTGGAAAATGCGATTGAAGTATTGCGGCATCTTGTAGTAGGCTCTTGCGTAACTTGACTAGCAGGGTTGCCACGTTCTTGCTGGCAATGCAAGGCAGTGTGCGTTCCTTTTGATCGTGGGCATCGAGTGCTTCTTTAGCCCACGGGAAGATCTGGTCAACTAGTTCCTGTGGTGGTTCAACTTCCCTCGCCAGAAAATACCCGCCTCCACTTGCAGGCCACTCGCCGATGGCCCGCATCACTTCTTTGGGGACATCCGTGTCATACCCGAGCCAAAATGCACTACGATTCCAACCTCCCATATTGGTGATCGCGTTTACGTCCGCTCCGTTGCCTCTGGCTTCCTTACTACCGGTACCGCGGGTTAAGTGGGTGACCTTGGAAGCGTGAATCCCGACTGCCGCGAAGGCTGCTTTGAACATTTTGTTGTGCGCTTGGTATGGAAAGCGATTGGGATCATTTCGCAGGCCCCCATCTTCATCGTCCGACGAGAGAACCTCGCGAGTTCGTTTCCTTCCAGTTTTGGTGATATCCTTTTTCATAATGTACGTGTTGTACCTCGATGCCTTGTCAAACAGATCCGGTGGAGTTTCCTAAGAGTTTCCAGAATTAGAAACAAGCTGAGGATAACCTCGGTTTTGGGCGTCCCACAACGGGGCACGTCCAAAAACGCACTGATCCTCAGCTTGTCCACCTCAAGAGAAAGGTCGACAAGCAACATGCAACATGTTCCTTACCTTGGTTATACGCCATCGGTAGAAGAGATACACTGCAACATGCGCTATGGCGCAGAATATAACGTTCTTTGCCCGCATGAAACCGATAATGTCCAATCCCCCAAATTGATTTGTTTTCCCATGCCGCAATGTGAGCTCGACGCCCCATGCTGGCGTGAGTCCTTCATTACCGTCCAACGGCAGAAAGGCGAAATGGGAGAGTTGTAAACCGTGCATGATTTGGCCTCGCTGAAAGGTGGCGTGCGTGCGAAAGAATGTTCTCTATGCAAGGTGTACAAGATTCAATGGTGGAAGCTGAGGATTATTGCGTTTTTGAGTGAGAACTTGATGGGGACGTCGAAAAACAGCATAAACCTCAGCTTACCCTCTCTCATTCTGTCACGTATGGAAAAGGAGCGCCACCACCGCTGCGGTCCCCCTTCCCTCCTTTTCCGAGAGCTTTCATCCCCTTCTTGTACTCCCCAAGGTCCGGCGTGTCTTCTCGTCCGCCAAGTTCACCCTCCTCCTAGAAAGTCAGTATTGGTATCATGCGATATGAGAAACTTTCTCTTGGCCACTCACCTCGTCCGACAGTTCATTGTCGGTATCGATCTCCCTGCCCTTCCCCTTCCCCCCTTTGGCAGCCTCCCTCTGTTCCGCAGCCCTCTTATGCGCGCGTTCCCTCTTTGCCTTCACGGCTTCGTCCTCAGCAAGCGTAAGGTCTATCGCCTTCAGCGGCTTCGACGTCGACGCCGAAGCTTTGGGCTTTGGCTTTGGCCACGACGACGACGACCACAACCTTGTCAACGCCTGTTGGGTCCTCTTCAATTCCATCAGATGTTGACGTTTACGGTATTTGGTCCGCTCCGAAGCACTCAGCAGCTTCCGGAAGTACCGGATGTCGGGGATATCTCATCTTCACTTGTATTTCATATTATATCTCTTTACTTCTACTTGATCCGAGACCCGGGCTGGCCACCCAAGCTCTCGATGATACATTACCTAAGGCGCCAAGCCTCATTGAAGCCACGCAAGCCCCACTGGCAGCCCATATATAAAGCTGTCAGTCGAGCGGCCGCTGCGAAGAGCTAAACTGGCAACAATATGTGAGTCGGTGAGCTTCTACATAAACGTACGCAGCAAGGGTTAAACGAGCGCCCACAACATATCACAACGTCTACACCTTACAGCTAGCTCCGCATACAAGCAGTAGGCAGCGGGGACCCTTAAACTGCGTTGAACAAGCCTTAGGGGAACCACTTCATTTATAAGTCTCAGATGGCGATTGTCGGGGATCTCTCATATTCATACTTGTATTTCAAGGTAGTTGCTAGCAACGCTACCGGTGTTCGCTATACACGCTCCTTTAAGCACACATACTCTAATTGTTAAGTGGATGGAAATTATAACTTGGAGCCCAGTTAGGGTTAGGATTAGGGTTAGAGACACCCATCCGGCCCGAAGGGCGTCCGAGCAGAGTGACCCAAAAAGTCACCTTTATGTCGCTTATTATAGCAATTTGCTATTTATATTATATCTACGTCTACACGGTCCGGTATTTGAGCTGGCCGTCCATGTACCGTCAGAGGAAACGTAGATGATATTGGGCCCTTCTGAGAGGGCTGTGAGCAGTGTATTGTAGTGAAGAAAAAAGTAAGAAGCTCTTCGCAGCGGCCGCTCAACTGACAGCTTTATATATGGGCTGCCAGTGGGGCTTGCGTGGCTCCAGTGAGGCTTGGCGCTTTATGTAATGTATCACCGAGTGTTATGGACGACGTGCCCATACCATAAGCTTACCTACTGACAGCCGCCAATGTCAACCGCCAAATGTCAAACGCCAATGTCAATGTCAATGTCAGTGTCAATGTCAATGTCAATGTCAGTGTCAATGTCAATGTCAATGCCACTCCCCCTCTCTCCTCTCATTTCGCCAATCCTCTTGCAATATCGCCACTCCTCCTCTCTCCTCTCATTTCGCCAATCCCCCCTTGGCTTCTCCACACCCCCCACTACTTTCCCATAGCCAGCAGCTGTAGCAATGCTCTCTACGCTCGCCACGCACGCTCTAGGAGCATAGCTGGCGCCCCCCCAGTCCCCTCTTGTTGTTGTTGTTCTCTGATCTGCTGGGTTGTCTATCTATAAATAGCAGGCCTCTCTTCGTCCATTCCCTTCCTCCCCAGCAGATCAACACCAGTTCTTCTCATCTCCTGTTCTAGTCCTTGTTTCTTGTTTCGCCAATACAATCTCTTGTCGCCTATCACTCTCGCCCTGTCTTCTCTACTTTGCTTCCGCCTCCGTCGTCGAGATCATAACAGTTTGATCTGCTCCAACACTGCGAAGTTCAGAACCCGTCCAGCCCTGCATCCGACAAACCTTTTTCGCCATGTCCCAACCCGAATCCGTACCTTTCACCGCCAAGCAATGGAACGATATGTGCCAAGCCATCGCCGCCTTGCAAAGCCAAAACGCCAAATGCAGGCCAACCTAGCGCAAGCCCAAGCCGACGCACAAGCTGCCCAGAGCATCGCCGCCCAGGTTCAAGCCGATACGTACACCCGTCCCCAAGCCACCAACCCTGCTCTGGAGCCAAGAATCAGCTCGCCCGAGAAGTTTGATGGTACCCGCAGCAAATTCCGTGGGTGGTTGAACAACATCCGGTTGATGTTTGCTCTCCAGCCCGACCGCTACCCCAGCGACATCATCAAGATCCAAACTATTGGCACCTACCTCACCGGCACTGCACAAGCCTGGATGGCGCCCCTAGTCGAACGCCAAGATCACAGCCTTCAGGACTTCGATAGTTTTATCAGTCAGATGCAATCGGTCTTCGGAGACAGCGACAGGGTCCGCACCTCTGAAAACAAGCTCCAGAACCTTCGCCAAACCCGTGCAGCAACCGAGTACGTCGCTGAGTTCCGCCAGCTACAATGCGATGTCTCCTGGAACGACCAGGCCCTGATCGCTACCTTCCGCCGTGGCCTCAAAGAAGACGTCAAAGACCTGATGCTCACAATGCCCCCTGCGGCCACCATTGATGTGGTGATGGAGCAGGCTATCCAGTGCGATAACCGGCTGTTTGAGCGCCGCCTGGAGCGAAACAGAAGCCGCCAGACCTTCCCGGTTCCCCAACCTCGTTTACCACTACCACCACCGTCGACCACAGCGAGCCCATGCAGATTAACGCCGCCCGTCCCCGCGGCCCTCTGAGCCCTCAGGAACTCCAACGCCGCAGTTCCAACAACCTCTGCCTTTACTGCGGTGGCGCGGGGCACATTGCAAAAGTCTGCCCCGTCAAGAACAAGACCACCACCTGTGCCGCCAACGTCAACATCAAAGAACCCTCCACCGAACAGGGTTTTCCCAAAGTCCAGCCGCAGTAAAGCCCCAGCGACTGGACAACACACACCGCCCCGGGCCTCCTAACCTCACAGCTCCTGCAACGGGAGAGGCCACCCCCCTGGTTCCCGACTCCGTTATAGCCGACACAACCCTCCTAGCCGCTGCCCATGTCGAAAACTCCGGAATTAACCCCCACGCCATGCTTGCGCTGGGTCCCCTCGAACCCTTCAACTACCCCGTTACCATCATGGTATCATCCAGCCGCGCCCCAATACCTACCTCAGCCATGATCGACAATGGTGCCCTGTCCTGCTTCATCGACAGAGACTTTGCCCGCAAACACCGCATCCCCCTAGTCCAACATCAGCGTCCCCTGACAATCGAACTCGTTGACGGTCAACCCAGTTCTGCTGGGCCAATCACCCATCACACCCAACCAGTAGGCATGTGGGTTGACGACCACTTCGAAGAACTTGTCTTCCATGTCACCAAATCACCCCATGCTCCAATCCCCCTTGGTCTCCCCTGGCTCCGCCTCCACGACATTAACCTTGACTTCAAGAACCTTTCGGTCGGTTTCCGTTGCGACTGTCTGTACCATGAATTCGCGAATTGGGACAACTCTCCAGCACCCCCGAGCCCAGCACCCGCCAGAACCCCCGAGCCCTTGATCCGCATCCCCAGGATGAAGTCCCCGTCGACGAAACATGGTCGATTCCAGTACCCAAGGTATCTCGCTTCAAGCACCCCAGGACCGGCTCCCACGCCGCTCCGAGTCTCGTTCATCTCCGCCCCAGCCTTCCGGGTCGCAGCAAGGCATGACCAGGTCTTTGTCGCCTACGCCAACCCTGCGAAACCCGATCTCCCAGCCTCGCCTAGCCCCAGTAAACCCCCGACACCCGAGAAAGACATCAAAGACTTCCTGCCCCCGAGTATCGAGACTTCGCCGACGTTTTCGAAAAGAGAAATGCTGACACTCTCCCCGAGCACCGGCCCTACGACTGTCCAATCGATCTGGAAGAAGGCAAGCAGCCACCTTTCGGCCCGATCTACAGCCTCAGCGAACCAGAAATGAAGGCACTCTGCGAATACCTCGAAGAAAACCTCGCCAAAGGATTCATCAAACCCTCAAAGTCCCCTGCCGGTGCACCAGTCTTATTCGTGAAAAAAAAGGACGGTTCTCTCCGCCTCTGCGTCGATTATCGAGGCCTGAACAGCATCACGGTGAAGAATCGCTACCCCCTGCCCCTGATCAACGGTATCATGGATTGTTTGCGCGGCGCCCGCCGTCTCACCAAGATCGACCTCCGCGGCGCTTATAACCTCTTACGCATGCGCCCGGGCGATGAATGGAAGACCGCCTTCCGCTGCCGCTACGGCCTATTTGAATACAATGTCATGCCCTTTGGACTCAGCAATGCTCCTGGCGTCTTCCAGTACCTGATGAACGACATCTTCCGCGACATTCTCGATGTGTTTGTTGTCGTCTACCTCGACGATATCCTGATATTCTCCAAGAACCCCGAAGATCACCCCAAACATGTCCGCGAAGTCTTGTCCCGCCTCCGACAGCATGGGTTGTACGCCAAACCAGAGAAGTGCGAATTCAACCGCGAATCCGTTGAGGTTCCTAGGCTTCATCATCTCCAAGAAAGGCATCCAGATGGACCCCAAGAAGATCGCTGCCATCACGGATTGGGAACCTCCCAAGAATGTCAAAGGCGTCCAGCGGTTCCTCGGCTTTGCCAACTTCTATCGCCGATTCATCCAAGGTTATTCCAAGATCGCTACCCCGCTCACAGCCCTGACCCGGAAAGACATCCCGTACGCCTGGACACCCGCCGCAAACACCGCCTTCGAGAACCTGAAGAAAGCATTCACCACCGCCCCCATCCTTGCTCACCCTGACCCAGAGAAGCCCTTCGTCGTCGAAACTGACGCCTCCGACTTCGCTCTTGGCGCAGTTCTCCTCCAACCTGACCAGGACAATCAGCTCCACCCCGTGGCCTTCCACTCTCGCAAATTCACGGCCGAAGAGATCAACTACGAGATATACGACAAGGAACTTCTGGCCATCCAAGACTCCTTTGCCCAGTGGCGCCACCATCTCATTGGCGCCCGTCACAAGATCACCGTTTACTCCGACCACAAAAACCTTCAGTACTTCATGACCACCCGCACCCTGAACCGCCGCCAAGCCCGCTGGTCGATATTCTTCTCGGATTTTGACTTTGTCATTACCTATCGCCCCGGTCCCCAGCAGCACCAAGCCGATGCCCTCTCCCGACGCTCCGAACATGAGCTAAAAGAGGGGGAAGAAGCGTTCCGCTCCCAGGCAACCACAATTTTGACTCCCGAACGCCTTCGACTCGCGGCTGCCTACCTCACACCCATGGATACCACGCTGCTTGACAAGATTAAGGCCGCCCAGGCCTCTGATCCCCTCGCTAAGACCATTCGCGAAAATCTCAAGATACCCCTCGCCCAAGTAACTGAGGAAACCCAAGATCGTATCAAGCGGTTCTCAGATGAAGATGGGATCCTGCTGCACGATAACCTGGTCTATGTCCCCACCAACGAGCTCCGAGCTGAAGTCTGCCACGACATGCACGATACTCCCCTAGCCGGCCACTTTGGGATGTCTAAGACGCTCGAACTCGCCTCCCGCAACTACTGGTGGCCCAGCCAGTGGCGCTTCGTCAAGGCCTACGTCAAGTCCTGCGATACCTGTAGCCAAGCGAAATCCAGTCGACACAAACCATACGGCCTACTCCAGCCCAACAGTATCCCTACCCGCCCTTGGGGATCTTGGTCCCTGGACTTTATCACCGGTCTGCCTCCCGTGGACGGGTACGACTCCATCCTGAACGTCAACTGTCGCCTCACCAAGATGGCCCACTTCATCGCCTGCAGCGAGTCAGAATCCGCCAAATCCACCGCCGACCTAGTCTTCTACAACATCATCCGTCTCCACGGCCTCCCGACGACGTCATCTCTGACCAAGGACCCCAGTTTAAGTCCCGGTTCTGGCGTCGACTTCTTGAACTCCTTGGGGCAAAAGCCAACCTCTCCTCGGCCTTCCTCCCCCGGAGCGATGGCCAGACAGAACGCACCAACCAGATCCTGGAGCAGTATCTCCGATGCTTTTGCAACCACCAACAGGACAACTGGAAACAGCTTCTGTCGTCCGCCGAGTTCGCCTACAACAACACCCATCAGTCCGCCTCCCAGACCACCCCCTTCTACGCCAACAAGGGTCTCCACCCCCGCTTCAGTTTTGCGGCCTCTGCTACCTCCGAATCCGTCAACCCCGCCGCTGAAGCCCGCGCTAAACAAATCAGGGAAGTCCATGAACAGCTCGCCCTCGAGCTCAAGGAAGCCCAAGATCAAATGAAGCGCTACGCCGACGCCAAACGAATTCCTGGACCGGACTTCAAGCCTGGCGACCACGTCTGGCTCCTCCGCAAAAACCTCCATACAACCCGGCCCTCTCAGAAACTCGACCATCGCAAGATTGGGCCATTCCCCATCGTTGAAAAAATCAATCCCGTCGCCTACCGGCTCAAGCTCCCGCCTACGTACAAAATCCACGATGTCTTCCATGTCTCGCTCCTCGAACCCCGCTTCACCATCCCCGAACGACACGAACCCGAACCCGCGCCCCCAGAGACCGTTGAGGGTCAAGAAGAGTGGGTTGTCGAAGCCATCCTTGACTCTCGCATCCATTGTCGTCGCCTTCAGTACTTGGTCAAATGGCAGGGCTGGACTGACTCCGAGAACACCTGGGAGCCCGTGGAACACCTCACCCATACCGACGCACTCCTCCAGGACTTCCACAGCGCTGTACCCCAACAAGCCTTCCTCTGTCCCCGTAGCACCTCCTCTGCGGCCACACCAAACTTGACGCCGCCGCCGCCGCCGCTAAAGAGAGGGGTGATGTTATGGACGACGCGCCCATACCATAAGCTTACCTACTGACAGCTGCCAATGTCAACCGCCAAATGTCAAACGCCAATGTCAATGTCAATGTCAGTGTCAATGTCAGTGTCAATGTCAATGTCAATGTCAGTGTCAATGTCAATGTCAATGCCACTCCCCCTCTCTCCTCTCATTTCGCCAATCCTCTTGCAATATCGCCACTCCTCCTCTCTCCTCTCATTTCAGCCAATCCCCCCTCGGCTTCTCCACACCCCCCACTACTTCCCCATAGCCAGCAGCTGTAGCAATGCTCTCTACGCTCGCCACGCACGCTCTAGGAGCATAGCTGACGCCCCCCCAGTCCCCTCTTGTTGTTGTTGTTCTCTGATCTGCTGGGTTGCCTATCTATAAATAGCCGGCCTCTCTTCGTCCGTTCCCTTCCTCCCCAGCAGATCAACACCAGTTCTTCTCATCTCCTGTTCTAGTCCTTGTTTCTTGTTTCGCCAATACAATCTCTTGTCGCCTATCACTCTCGCCCTGTCTTCTCTACTTCGCTTCCGCCTCCATCGTCGAGATCATAACAGCGCTGGTGTGGGCAATCTGACCTTGACGCATTCACCGTGTTAAATCAGGTTGGTCCGCTAGAGCGGTCTGCATCAGACACCTTTCTCTAGCAGGCACGCAGAAGCACGCACACCTTACACACCACACAGCGGCACATAACATGCAGATCGATGCGCCGATATGCTCGTACAACCCCTACCTGTACAACCCCTACCTGTACAACCCCAACATGTACTGCTCCCCCCAATAAACCCCGCGCTCCAATAAAATCCTCCTTCTCCGTTTCCTCCATCTTCGTGTCGATACAAATCAGAATGGGTCAGCGCAATCGTTCTAAAGTCTGCAATCGCTATAAAGACTCAGCAAGCCCAAGGACGCGCCCGGCAGCAACGACACCCTCCTCCCGCAACAACCGTTCGACTTGTTTTGCCAGCTTCTCGTTGATTTGAACGGAGGTCCCGAGGCGATTGGAGTCGTTGCCTCTGACGGACAACGTGGTTGCGTGTACATCCTCAGGCCCTCGCCAAACAATCTCGACTACGCCGTCGCACGCATCAAAATCCACATACACACGATAGTCCGCATTTACAAAGACTCCACCATGACAGGCGAATCCATCCGCCTTGCTCTTCAGCTTGCCCGTTGTGTTCGAGACTGGGAACCAGATTCCGTATGTGAGTTTCGATGTGTTGTTATCGCGGTGGAATTTATTGGCAAAGTCATCCCATGTGGCGGTGATATTGCTGGCGAAGGAGTCATCCGCGACGAGGTCCCCGAATTCCGCTTGTGAAATAGTAGGCACACGCAGTTCCTTTGCCCGCTTTTTGATGCGAGAAAAGAGGTAAGGGGAAAGCTTATTGAGGAAGTAGATGTAATGCGCCTCAATCTTTGGTAACTCAGCTTGCAAGGCGGCCCACTTCTCCCTGCTAACGGAATCCTTTTTTCGTGGTTGATAGATGCCCATGCTTTTTCCACTATCTGTACCCACACGCCAGCCAACACCGATCATGGTACCAGACGTCTGTGTACCATTTATCGTCACAGGGTAAGCTAACTGACGCTGGTGGTCGAGGTGGAGCGCAATCTCCTCAAAACGGGTCCTGTCATCCGCTGACATATCCGCAAACGGATGAAACCTTGCCGCAAATACAATCTCATCCGTTTGCCTGTCGGCTACAACAAGGATGTCCTTGTAGAGACGGGTGTACGGGTGATCGTGATCAACTTCCCTGGTATATTGCTTGAGGAAGTCTTCGTGCGTAAGGTGCTTTCCAAACGGATGCGGGCTGGTTTGCTGCTCAGTCTTTCTTGTTGCCCAGAATATGTACGCACTGTCGCCGGAACCTGTGGCACAAGGCCATACAACAGTTGGTCAGTCGCGTTGGTTGAGACGGTCAGTCGCGTTGGTTGAGACGTGTCTGACAGCATACGTAATGAAACGAACCTTGGTCAACACTTCTATGCTCAGCTCCAGCCTCGGTATCACCCGCCGTCTTCAGTATCCTCCGCATGTTTTCATTCTTTTCTTGTTTGCGCTGTCGGTTTGCCGCCTTTCCCCTTGCCCAATCGGCTCCGGAACGTCGTCGCGGCTTTGACTTCGACCCTGGCTTTGACGTTGATGCTGATTCTGTCATGCTGATTTGCCTGGTGAATGGAGTATGTAAATTAGTTGGGGCGGAGTACGTAGGTTGTCCCAGGAGCATTGGAGTGGGTTTGTGACGTAGAATGGCAAACAAATCGCGAGGCTGCCCCTATTCCGGGCTGTCTCGGGCGATCGCGAGTCGAGAAGGTTGCTAAGCGTATCGCGAGGCTGCCCCTATTCCGGGCTGTCTCGGGCGATCGGTTTTGGTAATGTTACGCTCGTGCTTATTACAGCCTTCACGCTCGGCCTTACGCCCACGCTCGGCCTTATTACAGCCTTCACGCTTGGCCTTATGACAGCCTTCACGCTCGGCCTTATAACAGCCTTCACGCTCGGCCTTATCACAGCCTTCACGCTCGGCCTTATTACAGCCTTCACGCTCGGCCTTATGACAGCCTTCACGCTCGGCCTTATTACAGCCTTCACGCTCGGCCTTATTACAGCCTTCACGCTCGGCCTTATTACAGCCTTCACGCTCGGCCTTATCACAGCCTTCACGCTCGGCCTTATTACAGCCTTCACGCTCGGCCTTATTACAACCTTCACGCTTGGCCTTATGACAGCCTTCACGCTCGGCCTTATAACAGCCTTCACGCTCGGCCTTATCACAGCCTTCACGCTCGGCCTTATTACAGCCTTCACGCTCGGCCTTATTACAGCCTTCACGCTCGGCCTTATTACAGCCTTCACGCTCGGCCTTATTACAGCCTTCACGCTCGGCCTTATTACAGCCTTCACGCTCGCCCTTATTACAGCCTTCACGCTCGGCCTTATTACAGCCTTCACGCTCGGCCTTATTACGGCCTTCACGCTCGGCCTTATGCCCACGCTCGGCCTTACGGCCTTCACGCTCTCAGCGCCGTGGTTTGCCATTTGGTACGGCTGGTACGTAGGGGGTAGGCACTACTACCCCAGAATTCAATTTCCCACATCCAAAAAACGAATCATGGCTCGAGTCCTGCAACATAGGGCACTCAACTCTCCTCTTCCGCTTATGCAGATACCGATAGACATCCATGTGCATATTCATGTTCGAGCTGGAGATGAGATATGGTGGTGATCAATGATGACTGATGAGGCTTTGCGAAAAAACCGGAGATCAAACGGGAACAGGATGGTTGACGGAAACAGGATGGTTGCACGGTAACGGGATGGTTGGACGGAAACGGGAGACGCAAGGATGGGATGCGGAACTGCCACCTTGTTGCTACAGGCGTCCCTCTGTCTGATATGAAGGTGAGACTGTCGCACACGGGAGGAGAGCGATGGTGGAGGAGAGGAGGGGTAGCTGGCAGGTTGTGCCGGGACTCCAGGACTCCCGCACTTGCAGAACATTCCCACTTGCACATCTTCATGCACATCCTCACGCTGGTCTCTTGTTTTACAGACTAAGCGACGAAACGAATCTGAAGGGGAGGGGAAGCGGACAAAGCGGGCAACAGCGGTACACGGATTCAGTCGTTTTAATACACTTCTGAAGCAAGATGCAGTCGGAATCATCTCACGCTTCAACCTCAACGTCGAATCCGCGGAGGAATATGCCACAACAATTGCGCACCCCGACACAAGCCGTATCAGGTGGATAAACGCATGACGAAAACATCTATATGACCAGCTCAGAGCGGGAGAGAAGGAGGCGATCGAAGGGATTCCGTTGTCCCCAACTCCAACTCCAACACCAGCCCATGCCCTTGACATGTTACTGAGCGCCGCGAAACATCTCCTCACTTACGCCGATTCCAGTATCGAATTCGGATTGTTTACCTTTGATCACACTACAGAGTGCGCAACAGCAACAGGGACATCTCCGATGCTGTGTGCGACGCTTAGTGACGGGTCAGCTAAAGCTGATAATGTTTGTCAGCGAATCAAGACCCATTTTCGCACACTTGCACGTAAGTTACATGCCGTTGTCCTCATGCTCCGTGTGTCTGTCCTCGGCCACTAATCAGGGATATTATAGAAACCGCTTCATGCCCCCCCAAACGCCGCATGTACTTTACCTCCAGGGAGGATGTCGTCGCGTTTGTCAAAGAGTGCTACAATCAGCATTCGTGAAGGAGTGTCACCAAACACATTTTTGCGAGATATTTGGCCTTCCATGAGAGGTACCCATATGCGAGCGGGTGTCCGCCATATCATCCATACTTTGGCGCGCTGGCCAAAGCAAAAATGGATCAAGGTCAGCGAGACGTGTGGGGAATGTATGCCCCCTACCTGGAATTCAAGTGGCGCAAAAAGGGGCAGAAGCTGTCTCTAGGTAAGGCGACCGGACCGTGTTCCCGCATGCATTGACACAGCACACTCACCTATGTATCATAGACGACATTTTGCTCCGGTTCTCCCAAATGACCCTCTCGCTATGCGGCCCAGGGCGCGGATCCACCAGTTTCTTGACAAGGCTGCATGGGCACAGAGCCTGGAAGGAGATCACGATCACCAGCCCACACCAACACCTGGCCCAACCCACACTACCACACCCCGCGCCATCTCAAACCCCGACATTGGTTTTGCTTTGGCAGAGGTTGACGACGGGCGGCGGCGGTGGTTGAAATCGTGGCAGGCAGCGGCGGCGTGGCAGCGGCGGCGGTGGAGTTGAGGGAGTTGACGAGGACCAGGCGCGACAGATGATGAACACTGATGCTTGTCTCTGGATATATAGGTGGTGCGCGTTGTTACAAGCCTGTTAATCTCGACGACTGAGGCGGAAGCGAAGTAGAGAGACACAGGCAAGAGCGATGGGCGACAAGAGATTGTATTGGCGAAACAAGGGACAAGGACTAGAACAAGAGATGAGAAGAACTGGTGTTGATCTGCTGGGGAGGAAGGGAATGGACGAAGAGAGGCCGGCTATTTATAGATAGGCAACCCAGCAGGCCAGAGATCAACAACAACAAGAGGGGACTGGGGGGGGGCGCCAGCTATGCTCCTAGAGCGTGCGTGGCGAGCGTAGAGAGCATTGCTACAGCTGCTGGCTATGGAGAAGTAGTGGGGGATGTGGAGAAGTAGTGGGGGATGTGGAGAAGCCGAGAGGGGATTGGCGAAATGAGAGGAGAGAGGAGGAGGGGCAATATTGCGGGAGGATTGGCGAAATGAGAGGAGAGAGGGGGAGTGGCATTGCCATTGACATTGACACTGACATTGACACTGACATTGACATTGACATTGGCGGTTGACATTGGCGGCTGTCAGTAGGTAAGCTTATGGTATGGGCGCGTCGTCCATAACAAAGCCAGGTCATCACGGCACCCAACCATTTATCCGCCACTGCTAGCCGTTGGATCCACTTGGCTCCAAAGTGTCAAAATGGCACGGAGATCCAATGTCCCTATTTGGGTTGTTCCGGTAAGAAAAGTTACTTAACCGTACCGTACTTAACTAAACTAACCTTCCTTTTTTTGTTTGATGTTAAGCGGTCTGTCAACATCGCAGAGTACAACATACTGCTATCCCCAACAAACCCAGACAATCTGCATTGGGTCCTGTTTGCGATACTCGTCGCGGTGCCGGCGCCCAAGTCCGCAAAACCCCTGGGCCCCCCTGGTGCGCCATTAACCAGACACGAAAACCTATCCATAGTTTTATTTGACTCCAAGGCTTGCCCAGGCGACAAGTACCACATTGATATGGCCAATATCGGCTCCATCTTGTGGGATTGGTACACCAGGGCCACTGAAGCCCCCCTCAACGACGCACCGACACCGACGGTTGACGCCCTCTTCACGCCTCGACAGACCAATGACCAGAACTGCGGTACATTTGTGTGCATGATGGCCGATGCCATTGCC